AAGGGAGGATAATCCTAAGGAGGAAATAGATAAGCTAGAGGCAAAGAGGCTTCTCTAAGCACTAGCTATATTACTAGAATTCTTTCTAGAGGAGACATATAAAGTTGCCTTCTCTATATTTGCCCCTAAAGTTGCTCTCTCTATATTTGCCCTAGATCTTATTTAGTAAGATATCCTAATCCCAAAATCCTATAAGGAAGCAGTAGGAGACAAGGAATAGGGAGCAATATAGAAGGAAGCAATTTAAAAGGAGTTAAATGCCCTTATAAGTAACAATACCTAGAAGGTAACAGTTCTACTAAAAGGATCAAACCTTATTATATCAAAATAGGTGTTTATAGTTAAGAGGCTAGTTAGTAGAGCTTTAGACAAGCTGAAAGCTAGATTAGTAGCAAGAGGGTTTTCTTAGAAGTATAGGGTAGACTTTAAGGAGACCTTTGCTCTAATAGTTAGACATAAGACCTTAAGGACCTTCTTAGTAGTAGTCTGTAAGAAGGACTTAGAACTTCACCTTATAGATGTGGACAGTACATTTACAAACAGCCACCTATAGGAAGACATCTATATAGCCCTACTAGAGGGAGTAGATCTCTACCCTAGCTAAGTTCTAAAGATCCTAAGAAGCCTCTATAGTCTAAAGCAGGCTGTAAGGGACTGGAATTAGCTATATATATCAAAGTTAAAGGAGCTTAGATTCGTATAGTTAGATGTAGACCTATACCTAATATATTACTACGAGAAGGAAGTAATAATTATAATATATATAGATAATATCCCTATTACTATACTAAGCATAGCCTTAGTTAACTAGTTTAAGAAGAGTTTTAGCAAGATGTTTAAGATTAAAGACCTTAGTAAACCTATAAGGATTCTAGGAATAAACATTATAAGAGACAGGAAAGCTAGAACTCTGAAACTAGACTAGAGCTACTATATCTAGGAAAGCCTCTAGAAGCTTAGGATTAATACTAAGGCATCTAAACTAACCCTTTCACCTTTAGACAATTACGAAGGTCTTAAGAAGTTAGCCCCTTAGGACCTAAGGTGCAACAAGGAGGACTACTAGAGTATAATAGGAACCTAGATATAGCTAATAATTATAACAAGGCTAGACATTATATTTGCAATTAGGAAGTTAAGTTTATTCTTAAGTAATCTATCTAAAGAATATATAAGAGCATTAAAGAAGGTCTTAAGATACCTTAGATTAAGTCCTAACCTTAGACTCTAATTCTTAAGGGATAGATCTAGATGCCTTATTAGGTATTTAGACTTAGACTTTGTAATAGACAAGGTTAACAGGATCTTAATCCTTAGAAATGTGTTTATACTATGCAATGCCCCTGTCTTATAGATAAGTAAGAAACAGAAGTTAGTAGCAACCTCTATAATAGAAGCTGAATTTATAGCAATAAATGCCTATACAAAACAGTCTTAATTCCTCTTAGCACTTCTAAGAGAGATAAGATGTCCTGAACTTATTAGCTAGAAACCCTTCTAGCTAACAGTCTAGGCAAGGAAGGAAACTACTTAGGAATTCAGACTAGTTCAGCTCTTTAGGGACAACTAGGCGAGCCTAACCCTTATAAAGGATGTCTATGTCTATAAGAGATCTAAGCATATTAATATTGCCTATAACTATATTAGAGACCTGTAGTAGAAAAGAAAGATCTATGTTAAGTACCTCCTAATAAAGGAAATAGTAGCAGATAGATTAACAAAACTATTAACTAGACCAAACTTCTAGCACTTTATAAACTAACTAGGAATCTAGTAGGAAAGGCAAAAAGGGTCTTACTAGATTAGACATTCCTATTCAGAATAGCTAATCTAGCAAGATATACTAAGGCTAGGAATTGAACTATAGGTAGTAATTCTACTACTATACTATCTAACCTAAGGTAAGAGAAGGGAAATCCTCTATAACTATAGAGGTAAGTTCTAGAATAAAAAGGGAAGATATATAGGCCTTCAGTCCTAAGTAGGAGTGTTAGAAAGTACAGTCCTTAGCGGCTGTACTAGATAGGGCTAGTCATATAATTTAGTTATATAACCTATAGCTAGGAACTCTAAGTTTAGGAGGATTATACATCGCTCTAGATAATTAACTCAATTAATACATTAGTTCCTACTACCTGCCTACCTTATAGACACCTTCCGCTACAGCTATACCTATACAAAACTATTATTAGGACACCCTTTTAGGGACTTAGTATAATAATTAAGAGTATAATCCACCTTATTAGATATATAGAAGTCTTCCTAGAAGTTAGTAGAAGAAGCTATAATAGACGTATATAGAAAGATAAGACGTAGTATTAAGGAATGTAACGTTACGAGTCTACTACGAGTATATACGAAGCTTTATAGAGGCTCCCTAGTAGTAGTAAAGACGGTTCTCGTACGATTAGACGGCTCGAGGCTATTTAAGCGAGTCGGCGCGATATACTTAGCGAGTCGTCTACTAGTATCTAGGTACTACTTAGCTACTCCTCGGAGGTACTAATAAGCGTGTATATAAAGCTTCTTAGGCCTATTACCGAATCCGGGTTCGCTACCTTTAAAAGTTAACGGGTAGCTAGCGAGTACGAGCTATTCGTTTACCTATTATAGAGTTGTCGGAGGCAGGTATAAGCTAAGGTCTATATATAGCGAGGCGTAGTTAGCGTAGGAGTAAGAGAGAGGTAACTCTATAGGCGGGTAGCTAGAGCTACGAGTATAGCTAAATTGGCTACGAGTATAGCTAAATTAGCTACGAGTACGGTCTAATTTCGAGCTACTTACCTAGTACTAATATAGAAAGCTCTTTAATTACCCGCGGAGCTTACTATAGCCGTCTATCCGGTTTATCTACTACTTAAGAGTAGTACTCGCTAGACTCTTAGGGTTAATTAGATGCCTACGCTAGGTAGTGTCCTCGAGCTCTAGATACTCGTAGAGCAAATCCGGTATACTACTAATATAGCTCTTAAGGTTTTATACTCGTACCGGGTACCGATTCTACTCTAAGACAAAGTGACTAACTATATAGCGTATAATTAGAGTGTAGATTACGAGGAAGGCGAGTCGATTAGATAGCTTAGCGGCCTCGAAAAGGTATAGGTTAATATACTAGTTAAATAGGTCTCTCTAGCGATTTATAGCTAATTTAGCTATCTCGCCCTACTAGTGCTTAATAGTCTAATTGCCTTTGCTCGTAGTATATAAGAAGGCCTTAACAAAGTCGATATTACGGCCCTCGATAAGCTCTCGAAGCCGTAGATAGGCGTCTACTAGTATAGGTGTCTCGACACCTTAATTAGAGCAGACTCGCTAAGGGACTCGCTAGATATAGTTAATTATAGTATAGTACTACGAAAATACTAAGTACTTTGTCTTTACTATTAGGCTAACGTAGAACTAGATAATCCGGTATAAGTAGACGTTAATATAGGCGTAAATCTAAATGCCGAATTGCTCGATTTTGTAGAAGGCATTAATTAACTAGACGTAGTTAGGCCTATTAGCTTTTAGTCGTACGTACCGTAGCCTATTCGGATAGCGATTACGTAGTTCGCGAAGCTTATATAGTAGAGCGTTGATTTGCCGTGAAATCCGGTAGATACGGTCCCTAGTAGGTATTAGTATAGTAAGAAGAGGGCTACGAGTCGGCTACGAGTCGATTCCCTACCTACCTATAATATACTAGTAGGTTCTTAACTCTCGTACGAGCTTACGATAGCTAAAGTCTTAGGTTTGCCTATTAATTAGTACTACTCGAAGCACCTTATCGACGTAGGTAGTAGCTACTTCTAATTCCTCGTATTCTAGTCGACGCTTAAGGCCGTAAGTACGGCGGAGCTCTTAATACTGCCTTAAAGAGATATTGTAGCTATTAAGCCGTAGTATAGCATGGCTCTTCTTATCGCTAATAGTATATAGCTAGAATAGCTCGGTAATCCGCTTAATTAGTACTACGTTACTACTATAGTTAATTCGAGGGCGAGTAGTTACTCCCTATCGCGATAAGTATGTCTATAGAGTTCTAATACCGTAGCGAATGCCCTTAGTATTATGTAGGCTCTATACGACTCGCTAGTAGGTATATCTAGTATAAATCTAAAGCTTAATCTAGAGCCGATAGGGCTGTAAATCGAGGGCCTAAGGCGGTATAACGACAAAGTAGACAATAAAGGACCTAGTAAATGGATTGCGAGTCGATAGCGAGTATATCAGTGCCTAACTACTGCGATTACGGTGTGTGAGAGTGTGGTGGTGCGGTGGCAAAACCGGCAAAACCATTTTGCGGATTTGTAAGCACAGGCCACCGCCCGAGTCCGCACACGAGACTGCGCTACCTTACCGAACTCGCGACGCTCCCGCCAATCACCAAGCACCAAGCACCAAGCACCAGCAATGCATACATTATTAGCCCCAAGTCTCGATCGTCGTCGTGATGAGCAGGCAAGTCCCACGTGTGCACGCCCTCTTCTTCCTCACAACCACTCGACTCGTGCACGCACGCACGCACGCACGTCTCCTCCACCACCCCTCCCCTCCACCACCTTATTACCTTACCGTCCCCTCTCTGCCGTGTCTGCATCTGCCTGTTGGAGCCTTGCTGCATCGGCCTTCGCTCTGCTTCCGGAACAGTCTTGCTCCTGCCGGTACTAGTACCTGCCCTCGCACCTCTCCGACTCCACTTCTGCTCGGGCCATCACGTTCGAATGGGTGAGAGTGAAACGCGTGCTGCAGGACACCATCGATCCCTGTAGTAGGAGTACGGTCCAGCCGCACCCCTTCCTTCCCGGCATGTACCTCCGGCAGTGTGTACTGTACTGTGCTCGGTGTCTGTTGTGTACGCGAGGCCATGACCAGGCCAAGCACCCTCCTGCCTACCACGTTCCTCCTCTCCGACTCGTGGTGAGAGCGCGCGCGCGCTGCGCAAGCCACACCACCACGCCTCCATGATTACGCAGGGATCGCAAGGGCGACATCCTCCTGTCCTCTCACTCTCACCATCAGCCGTCGTTTATCGTACCGTTACGGCTTCGCTGCTGCTGAGACGAGTAGAGGTCGGCAGAGGAGGCCTCGCTTCGTCCGTCGTCACCCATCATGGCCGCCGCCGCCATACTACTACTGGCCTCTCGAGCAGCATGCTGCCCTTCCTTCCCTTTCTTCTCCACAATGTCCAGGTGCGCAAATTCTCGCCGGGCCAGCTGAACGTTGACCCGCGCTGCATTGAACGACGCCTCGTCACTGGGCATCACCACTGCCAGGTTGGTGTTTTCCGTCAGCCGCGTGATGAAGAACATGAACGCCCCCGTCTTGATCTGCATCTCCGCAAAAGACACCTCGGAGGGCATCATGCCTGTATGCCGCGACATGGAGTGCTTGTAGGTCTTGAGGATGCTGCTGATGCGCTCGAAGCGATCTTTGTAGGGGTTGCTTGCCTCGTCGCCGCGCGTGATGTGCGTTACGACCAGGCAAGTGATTCGCTCGTACAGGATCATCTCGCGCGCATCCAGCACGTCGGCCAGCTTCTGCAGCATGCTCTCGATGACGGTTGCATTGGGCACGAGGAAGTAGATGACCTGCGTCCACGCCCGGTAGAGACTCTGGTCCCAGATCGAAGTGCCGCAGAAGTCGACCTGGCTGTCGACGAAGCCTTCGTCTTCGCACACGGACCCAATCTCCTTGACCTTTTGCGGGTAGAGCACTTTCTTCTGGTCCGGAGGGACCAGGTCCATCTTGTGGATGAGCACGAAAATCTTGCTGCCGGGGCTGAATTCTCGCAAGGCGCGGATGGTGGACGCAAAGCTCAGCATGTCCGGCGCAGGTTCCTTGGAGGAGATGTCGAACACGAAAATCAGCACCGCCACGGATGTGAAGACGTGTGATCGCTGATTGGTGAGATAGGATTCCACGAACGAATCTTGACTGTGTGTGATACCGACGCAGTCAGTCCCCTACCACGCACAGGCAATAATGATGTCGAATGGCATCTTATCGACTTACCCTCCGCAGTCCCAGAGGTTGAGCGTCAGATTGCCCATGAATTTGATGTTACTGTGCTCGACGTCCACCGTCGCCCCCAGTCTTCGCACATCTTTGGCGACGTAGTTGTTGAAGATGATCGATCTCATGGATGACTTTCCCGCGCCGCTCCTCCCCATCAGCAGCACCTTGCGCTGCTTGTGGCGCTTGCTGCGCTCGAGCGTGTTCATGGTCCAGCGACGATTATCAATTACGATGCACTGTCGACCTGTATGCACTTGTTGTCTGCATTCATCTCTTTCAACGAGTTTGGGTGGTGAGCTTTTGCTGATTGATGGGTGTGTCGCAGATAGGGGCGTTTTTGGAAATCACTCGGAACCGGACTCGTGCGTGGGATGCGGCCCGAGCGTCCGCCACCCAGCATGTTCATGTTGCAACCATTCCCATTCGCACTCTTCCTATTTTTTATTTTTTGGGACGGAGGAATCTCTCGACATTCACTCACATCTGCAAACGGTCGGAGCATGTGAACGGAACGATGTTTCTGCGATGATGGATGGTCTTCGCATGCCCGCCTATCACGATTCACCAGAGTGGGCTTTCTCGGCCGTTGATCTGCTGCTTCATTTCACATCCCTGTCCATGGCCCATCGCAAGGCTACCTATGCTCACAAATTCCACGGGAAAGGCTCTCATATGGCGCCCGTATTCTGCGAGATTCTATGATGAGGTCTCTCAAGTCTTCGATCCATGATCATGTCCCCTTCGTAGACGCTCCGGCTTTTCAACTTTGCTCATGAACACTTGCGACGGTGGTGGAGCGTACAATGTGCTGATCTGTGGAGGTGGTAGGGGTGGTGGTCTAGATGGCGTCCATGTTTGGAGCAACAATATCTGGATTTTTTGTGAGTTCTGCGTTGTGGGCTGGGAATTTATTGGTTACTGACGGGGTGCAGGTGATGTCCTCGTTACCAATGAGGCCGACAGTCGCCCTTGACGAACAATCTGGCAGAGAATGTCTACTGCAACTGGTCGGATGACTGTGTTATGGTCTCCTCTACGTTCCTTGTTTCCTGTTCACTGTACACAATACACCTCTCGACACAATCTCCTGCTAGATCAAGCCCAACGGAGGCAGTGGGAGAGTCGACAGTGTTGTTCTAGAGAACTCTATTGGCCAAGGCAACGCCTACTGGTGAATTGCTCACTCTCACACGATTGGCCGACCGGATCTAATACACGCTATCTGGCTTGACATTGACCAATACTGGAGTAGCATCGATGCAGTCGATGGCGATGGCGCTCAGGTGACCAAGTAAGTGATACTTGGTCGTCTTGCCTCGGCTCCCGCCCGTAAGAAGTCCAGCATCCAAGGCTTGCGAACACTGGCCTCGATGAGGCACCTTTCTGCTTGCGGCAGGGCTCCGGAGACGCGTATCCTGCAACCACCACGACTTTCACAGCCGCCCGCCCCAACGGACTACGCAGCTCCCACCATGCCGAAGAACTCTCGAACTGTTTTGGCACGACCGCTTCGATCCCAACCCCAACGTTCCCAGCCAGCTTCTCGCCAGACAGCACCCTCGCCGCCAGGGGGCTACTAGGCGTGGGCCACAAGCTCAGAACTGCATCGAGGCAATGCAGCACGCTTCTTGCAGGCTATGGCTTGGCGACTTCCAAACCCCGAAAATGCCAACGTTGATGTGTGCTTTAGCATATCCCCGATGCAGTCCCTTCCCCGCCGGAGCGCTAACCTTTCTAGACTGCGACTCGATAAAGCCGTTGAAGCAGCCCAACCCGTTGCAACTGACGGCAGACAGGCCATGCGCCCCAAAACGCTTATCTCGAACTCAATCTCATCGATCGCGTCGGGAAGCCCGGCCAAAGTCTAAGATCGCTCTATAATTCGGTCTCTTTTCTGGCTTTGGCGCTTACGGCAACCGTCACGCCACACAGAACCGTTCGCTCCAGCGCGGGTTGGAGACTGCCGGTAGGATTCTTTGAGTTTGTTCTTTTCTTTCGGAGAATTCTCCGAGCTGAGGTGGTGACGGTAGGCGTGAGTATTGTGTGTGTCCAAGACTGCATGTAGTCTCTCTTGTGGCGGGACTGGGTTGTCTGTGACTGACTAAAACGGATTCCTCAGCCTCGAGAGCTCGGCCAACCGAAAGACTCAAGTGACGGCGATGCAGAGGATGACCTTCGGTGCCGAATGTGCGGGCCCGGCAAGATGTATCTTCGTCTCGAGGCGACTTATCAGTGTAGCATTTGCGAAGTTCGATTCCAATCATTCGTCGGGGCGCCAACCCTTCGGCCGAAGTAGAAAGAGATATCTCAGAAGTCGGGGATGCAGATCGCCGCGGGAGCAGCTCCTTCGATTTGACAGCTTCCCAAACAGGCGGATTCTGGGAGAGATCACAAAAGGTACCGAATCCTCGGGAATCCCTTGGGAACTCCTGTTCAGCTGAGGTTCTCTCGACCGACAGCTTGTGATCCTTCAGAAGTATGTCCGAGCGTCACAAGCGCAAATCTCTGATGAGACAGTTCGTGCTGCTGGACTTGAGGTTGCCAAAGAGATTGCTTATGCGAGCATACGGTATAATAGTCTGACTTGCCGAATTCCAAAAGGAGTTGGTACGGTGCGATGAGCCAGCCAAGGCATTGCGGGATGCTCATCTCAAGGTCGAACAGGTTCAAGCAGGATTCCGAGTGAGGGCAACTTCATCTTCCGTCTGAACCAACCACTGGATCGGAACTGCTTCGAGGTGCCTGCCGTTCCAGTCGCGGCTATCGCGTCAATCGAAGGCGTGTCTCCATCGAGCTCCTCGTCGAAGTCAGCATGATGGGTAATATCAGGACCGTCCCGCCTGTCGCAGCTGCTTCGTCTGGCTATTCGTGTCTCATCAAGCAGGCTGTCCGCAATGTACCGCCCTCGTTGACCGAAAAAAAGTGGTCATGAGGATATCAGACTTGGCGGGCTCCTGTCGCCTTGCAATGAGGCAGTGTTGATGTGTGATGTTTGGAAGGCTTCAGCCAGGCTGTATCGCTCTAGCCGCGACAACTCTACCCACTCCGAATCATGTGCATGTGTGACGGAAGTCGTCCCCAGGCTTCACGAGCAACGATCTCTTACCCAACCAAAGACTCGCAGGCTAGGCACATTACTAACAACCCCTTGACCACTCGAGGAATGTACCAGCAATATCAGCACGTTTCCAGGTGTGATATCTTTCCCCGAATCAGCCGCGTTATACTATCGATTCCACTGAGAGAACAACGGTGTGGACTACACATTGTGGACACGGAACCTCTACCATAGCCGCGCTGTTCCCAGCCCCCAAAACGCCGGAAAAAAAAAAGCGTCGACAATTGAAACCTCTAGAGAGGCACTCTGGAATCAATCTCGGGCAGTGTTTTTCGAATTTCTGCCTCATCAAAGCCAATACTATGCTATGCTGTCGGTTGAAAGGACCTACATAAGAAGCAGCGTCGAAATTGCCCTTTGCTCTTGGGATGCGAAACAGCAACAACAACAATAGGAATTGAGTCATCCTTTCGAAGAAACAATGTCCTCTCCATCACTTGTGCCCCTTCGCCCTCGTGGCCCCAGCTCTGCGCCATCGCAGCACCTATCACGTGAGTTTCATCATCCGAATCTCCTCCTTCATTCAACTGGAAGCATTCCTCGATGTGTGTGTGTGTGTGTGTGTGTGTGTGTGGGGTTCGCGATATACACAGTATGTGAGCTCTATGTTATGGCCTTTTTTCGGCTGTAAGCGACCGTGTGCACAAAGTTTTCTTCTCCTGATCTGAGCTGAGAGGAGGGTTTCCCATAAATCTTGAGAGGGGATGTGGACTCTTCATTCGAACAAGGAACGCAAGGCTGAGGCGGAGAGGCTCGAGCTTGCACACGACTTCCGTAATCATGCGCAGAAGTCGCAAGCTGGGATTTCATTTTTTTTTTTTTTTGGAAACGCTACAAACTCAGTCTCCCGTGATTGTGGGTCAGGAGCGCGATGGAAAGGACGGGAGAGAGAGAGAGAAGCTGTACATAAGATAGAGTGCCAAAAAAAATTCTCCGGTTATAGGCGTGTTGCCTCGCCCGCACATCATGGCATGGTGGAAGCTCGCTCGCGCAACGCGATGCACAGATGGCAGAAGCTTGCGTGATGCCTTTTGGATGCAATGATAATAAGCAGGACAAGCTCCCTGCGGACCTCGAGAGAGATGTTGGGACTGGGGGAGATGGAGGACGGGGGAAGAAGCCAGGCTAGAGGAGCAATTTGAAGATTTCATATTCTGGTCTCTTGTGGGGGAGACGTTGGATGAGCGCTCTAGATCTTGGATTCCGGTATCGTCTCAATGATTTTTATTGTGGTCTTGGAATGGAAGAGGAAGACTGCGATGGTGTGCTGGTTCGGTAGGAAGTGCGGTTGGATGTTTCACATCGAAACTGGACGGATAGACTCGAACCCAATTAGTCTCACCAGTCTCGGAAGATGCAGAGGTATGGAGATCATTGTTGGCAGATTCAATGCTCTAGGATGATTGTTGGAAGATCTACGGCACTTTTGGCTTGCGGAGCGTTGTTGAAGTAGATATGTGTGCTGCATAACTCATTCATCATTACATCTTCTGTCTATACTCAGCATTGAGAAGACTTTGGCGCTTATAACAGAGCAGCAAGACCAACGATACCGGCACCAAGCAGGCTACCAGCTCCAGTGATCATGGCTGCGCCAGCAGCGCTGGTCGAAGAGGAACCGCTGGGGCGCGACGCACCAGTCGGACCATATGGATCTCCGGAGGTGATAGGAGAGCCAGAGGCAGAGCTGGAGTTGGAAGCATTTGGGTACTGCGCACCGGCAGCGGCGATGAAATTGCCTGGCACATCGGTCTGGTTGCTAACATAGAAGTAATTGGCAGCCGCTGGGCTCCCAAGGCTGGTGTCGCGAATGAAGTTGGTAAGGTTGAAACGGGTGCGGTTCATCGCGCTGTAGCCGGCATACTGGCTTGGGATGCTGAAGTTTGAGGGCTGGCGGAAAGTGTAAATGATGTAGCGGTGCGCACTGGAGTTTGTCGGTGGTGCCGGGCGGGCGTAGGGGACAACTGGGGCAGACATATTGACAAGGTGGCGGCCAGTAAGAGTAAGGTTCTGGTTGACCGTGAGATTGGTCGATTGAGTCATGTTGGCCTGCATCCAGTGGAGAAGGAAGCGGTTACTTGGGTTGTTCGGGTATGAAGCATCAGGATCAACCATGAGCGTGACATAATTGCCGGAGTAGTTTGCCAGAGATTGATATGCCGTGGTGTTGACAGCCAGAGTAGGTTCGTTTGCAGGGATGTTGATGCCGAAAAGCTCGGCCTCAGTCACTGGGACATATCCAATGTTTCCCGAGTTCTGTCGAAAAGCAACCGTCAGAGCGGTATCATTTGGTGCCTCTGGGAAGCCGAAGTTGGGTGGTGGAATAGCCAGGGTTGGCGCGATGGCCATGGCAAGCGCAGCGATACCAGTCCTCATTTGGGCGTGTGTTCTGTTGTCAGTTTGCGATACACTGAGTTATGGTCAGGACATTCGAGAATATATACGTCGATACCGTCATTGGTATGCAGCCAGCGTAGACCCTTTGCCTCAGGTGGTGGCTTGGCTGGCTGGATACGTCACCGATCTGGGTGTGCCTGAATGGACCAGAGAGTTTCTTGTCGCGTGTTGTGCGTGTGCTTTTTGCTACGATGCCGGCTTGGCCGGCTAATAGACATGTAGATTTCATTACACGTGCGGAGAGAATAATGCCTGCCGGCTGTTTGCATGCCGACTCGGTTCTTGGCTTTCACAGCTATGGGCAAAGTGCTTCCTCTGCAACGGCAGGTACTCGGATACGATTCCGGCATGGCGAGCTTGGCAGAGATATGAGCACAGCTCCCGCCTTCACAGGCGTTCAGGCGGCTTGTCATATGGACTCCGTGTGGTGGCGATGTCCCACTTGCCGAAGGAATAACGTCCAGTCAACAACGTCCGGAATGATCGCGATGATGGCAACGATTGTGTGGCTTCAGGAGCAGACGGCTGACCTCCCGGGCTATCCTTTGCGAGGCGATACGGGGCCCAAGAGGTAGCATGCGTGTCTCTTGAGACCTTGTCGTGTTCATGAGGTCGACATTTCGACGAGACGAAGATAGATGCTGTTGGTGGAAAAGGTGGGCTGGCCTGTGCTGACCATGTCCATGCGTGGTCCACGTGATTTGACGTCATGCCGAGGCCTAGCTTGACTTTACTTGTGCTCGGATTCCGCAAGTGAATAGAGCAACAACGCGGAGACAGCTTTCCTTTCCATACTCACCAGCCATTGGCCTATATCACAGCCTATAGCAACAATGCTGGCCTCGCGCTTCTTCGGCTGCGGTCTCCGAACGCCTCTTCTCGCCGCAGGAGTCGGGTTTTCGTCAGCACTAATCTTCACTCCTTTGATCCAATCCTACCGAACACCACTCCGACTAGACAGCTCACCATCGTCTGTGTCGCCAAGAGACTGGTCTTTCTCGCAATACCAATCCGATGCTCGAGTACCAGTGTCAAACAAGCATGGCGGCCTGAACGCCAGAGCTGTACGGCAGCTTTCAGCAGGATCAATCATCGGTAAGTTCATCACTCAGCCACTAAATGTACGGCGACTAACACAGCTTCTTCTTCCAGGTCTAGGAGCAGGCCTCCTCCTCTCTACATTTTCGAAACCTCTCGTCCTCCTCATCGGCCTCCTCGTAGCCGGTGTTCAAACAGCAGAAAGCTACGGAATCCATTTAATCCCCTACAAAACACTACAAGGCTATGTAAAGAGCGTGGACTTGAGAAGTGCGGTTCAGGATAATGTGGCATTCAAAGTGAGTTTTGGGTTGATGTTTGCGATATCGGCATTCGCGGAATTGCCAGCATAGATTTTGGAAGAGCTGTATAATCCGGACAGAATTGTCACTAAAGAACGAACGGTACCTATCGGGATGTGGGGCTATTATAGACAAGTAATCGACAATCACGGCATAATTCGGGTCATAGACTTCGAGGTCTGAAGCCGAGCCTACCTTTGGATGGGCGAGGTGAAGAAATAGAAGCTGTACGCACGTGCCGCACAGCTCCATCCAGATCTTGTAGGACACGAAAGACCAATTCCAAGTCTGTCTAGATTATCAAAATCATTGGTTGGGTGAACGCTCTCGCTTGGAGGGCGCAAAAGTACGCGTGACGTTGTTGACGCCCAGTACAGCGGAAGGCACAGCAGTGTGCGGCACGGAAATAGAGCGCTAGATCTTCTCGCCAGACACTGTTCCACGGCTCGTTTCAATTCGCGGATCGGTCGATGAACCATCAATCCGCGAAGGCTCTGATTTCTCACGGTCCACGGCCGGAAAGCACCAAAATCCAACACTCATTGTATAACACGACTCTACCAAATCTGCCGGCGAAATGGCCTACGCCAGCAAGTATGCCAATGTCAGACCGAACGATGACCCGCAGGCTCACCATATCAAGCAATATCGTGTGTATCATTTGGGTACCCTGCGCAATCATGACATTGCCTCGACGAATCGACTGTATTCGCCATTCCGACCCCAAGGGGTGAACGGATCCCTCTCTAGCACATTGAGTGACCACCGACTTACCCGAATCTTAGAGGTTTCCGTTCGGTCCTCACACAGCCGTTCTCCTGAGCTGTATACTTGGCGATCCAAAGATTGACACTGGAACTTATGTGGTGTGGCTATACCAAAGCGCGTACTTTTTTCATGGCACGAGCACAGGGCAGCTCTCGATGGTCACGGATCTTTACGACAAGATTATCATTATCTGGGCCAAATGGTGTCCTCTACAGCCCACGTCAACGATACCGGACTGGAGGCGATCAGGCGGAACCCTGCAGTTGCTATGGTGGAGTGCAATGGCTCTGGGATCTTGAAAATGCGCCCCAAGGAGATGGAATGTCGAGGAGGGCAATACTGTGACTGCAAAGCTGTCGAAGTCTTCCAGAAACGGAGAGCGAAATTGAGAGAGGAAAATCAGAGATAAGTTGCGAGGAAAGAATGAGGGACTCGTGCGCGTCTTTTAGCCAACTCCAATACACGTGCACCATACCAAGCACGCAACGCCCAAACAATCACAACCTCTCCCCCAAAATCTCATGCTCCTCCCATCCCATAGCCCTAACATAAATCCCACAACTCTCCAACAACCTCCCCTTCACCCCGCCCGTCCCCCTCTCAACCTCCCCCTCCCTCGTCCTGACATCCTGTCCCGCAAACGCCCCAAGAGCAGTCTCAAACTCCAACGGCCTGACCAGCTTCCAAATCCGGAAAATGTCATCTGGATGCAACGGGATGCGATTCGGGATACTCCAGAAGAACGTGAAACTGATCACTCCCGCTTTCCCCGGGTTTGGATTCATCGCGGACGGGGAAGTGAAGATCGTGTCTGCGATGAAGAGGATTCCCTTGTGGTCTGGTGCTTTCCAGTGGAGGAGGAGAGAGCCTGGGAAATGGCCACCGGCGAGGATCGCCGTGAGGTCGGAGGAGCCAGGCAGGATGTCCGTTGTGTATGGCTCTTGGAGGAAGCGGATATCTGCTCCTTTGGAATTTACCCGTTCAAGCCAGAGCTTGTCCGGCTCGCCAATGTAGACGGGACATTGGAAGGTCCGCGACCATTCGGACCAGGTGGTGTAGTAGTGTGGATGACTGATGACGATGGCTTTCAATCCCCCCAGCTGGACGATCTTGTCTACGGTCTCCTGATCGAGAAGGGCGATGAGATCCCAGAGGACATTTCCCGCGGCGGTCTGGACGAGCATGGCGCGTTGGCCGATGGCGAACTGGGGGGATTGTGTCAGCAGTGAACCGACCGTACGTGGCGTTGATCTGGTAGTTTTGCACCTTGGGTTCCGTCCTCACAGACCATATCCTCGGATTCTCTTCGTCTTGCCACCACGTATTGCGGTGTCCTTGCTGTTTCAATCTCCCCAGAGTGGTGAAGACCTGGCCTGTAGCAGGAACATATTGCCTCGGGTCGTCACATATCTTACACTCGTCCTTTCCGGACTGCGTGGTGACTGGATACTGGGTTCCGCATTCGTTGCAAAGGAGTAAGTCGTGGGTCGTGCGCAAGGATGGCTCTAAAGTGCTCATAGTGCTAAGTCTTGTATCAATCGACCTATGGCAATGTGATGATTGGAGCAAGGACAAAAGATAGCAGCGCATGCGCATCAACATACTTCTATTTGATATAAGGGCGGAATCTTTCCGCCTTAGTGGCGCTTTCCTTTTGTCCGGCCCTGTATCGAAGGTTCGATGCCTTACTCGTCCATGTACTTTGTAGGGCGTGAGCCAGTACGTACTTCCAGGACATGTCACTTTGGGACAGGCATCTCGAATCAACTCTTGTCTCTGGACAGCGTCGCACGTGATGAGGTTGCATGTCGCTTGTGTCATCTATGCCTCCCATGGCCTTGGGGTCGAGCGGTCGCTGCTCCGAGGAGCGCTTGCCGTTCCGACGGATACGCCCTTCGATGCTGCAGCTGTCCTCTTTCGCAGTCAAGGGTTCGCCTTACTTCACCTGCATGGCTTGGAACGCCTCATGCAGTTTCTTCTGACGTTCCCAGTCCTTCTTCAGCTTCTTGGTCTTCGATTTGGCAACCTCGTTACCAGCAGCGTCTTTGGTTGGCAAGCCTTCGCTGTCCCATTCGCTGTATTCGCTGGTCCGGTACATGTCGAGATGCGAGAGTCTGCCCTTCTCAAGGCGCTCCGTCTCGGCCTTCTCGGCGTCTGCTTTGGCCTTCTCTTTCGCGGCAGCCTTTGCCTTCGCGTTTGCCTCGCGATCCGCTCGCTCCTTTCGCAGCGAAGCTGAAAGTGGTCGGACAAGAGCATGGCGGCCCTCCCTGTCTTCCAAGTAGATGCCCAGACTCCACAGTTTATCATCTCTGAGATCGTCGCAAGCTGCAAGGTAGTCTTTAGCCGGAGCATTCTTCGTATACAGCTCGACGACCTTCCGCTGGAAACCAGCAAGAACCTTCGCGTAGGGCTGATCGTCACCGTAGACAGTGTCTTTCTCATCAAGCCGTCCAAGAGCCGCCAAGTCAAAATTACCCTTGATCGCTGCTGATCGGATCTTGTCACGCAGTTCAGAGACTGCGTAGATGAAAGGCTTGGCTACCTCCGGGATTTCGATGCCGGACCACCCCATTTGTCCTTCACGGTAGTTCGCATCGAGTCCAAACATCACAAGGATCTCTGTAATCCACTTGCCGATCGCTATCGATGTCTCGTCAGAGACGTATGAAGCCGAGTTGTACGTAGTAACTAGCTCCGAAATGATGCGCATTGCTCGTGGAGTGTCAAATGAGTCGCGCAAGGCCTCGTCAAGCTTCTGTTTTGAGCTCTCAAATTCCTTCTCAAGATCGTCGGATTGGCCGCTCCTCCCGTTCGCGGCATTGCTTTGCCCGCTTGTTGGGTGCATCTGAATATCGCGTACTTTGAGGAAGAAATTGTTGACTTTCTCCTCCCAGGCATCGCTCTCCTGGTTAGCAGCTGACACAGCGTCTGGGGAAATGCTGATCTCCAACCCTTCTTTCCAGGCGCCTAGCAGAAACACCATGCGAAGTGACCTCGGATTGTATAGGCCTTCATCGAGTGCTTCTTTGATGGTCTTGAAGTTCTTCAGGCTCTTACTCATCTTGGCACCCGCAATGCCCAAATGGCCCATGTGCAGGAAATAGTTCACCCATTGCTTGCTATCCTTCCCCGATTCCGCCCAGTACGCTTCTGACTGCGCCAGTTCGTTGTCATGGTGAGGAAACGCCAGGTCGATGCCGCCAGAATGAATGTCGAACTGCTCGCCAAGAATATCTGAGGCCATGGCACTGCACTCGATATGCCAGCCCGGTCTACCCTCGCCCCATGGTGATTCCCAGCTTGGCTCGCCTGCTTTGGACGCTTTCCACAGCGCAAAATCGGCACCACTCTTCTTGAAGCCGGTCTTCTTCGCGGAAAGAGACCCCTCACCATCAGCTTGCAATTCTTGATCATTTCGGTTCCAAGGCTCTAAACGAGCATAGACACCTCCTGTCTGTTCCCAGGCAGTGGTATCGTAGTACACAGAGCCCTCATTCGCATATGCGAATCCATGATCCTGAATGCGCTTAACAAAGTCGACGATCTGAGGCCCATACTCCGTGACTCTGGTCAGTTTGTCTGGGTATAACACGTTCAGTGCTTTCATGTCATCAAAGAATCGTGCTTCGTAACGTTTTGTCAAGTTGGTGAAGATGTCATGGTCTTTGCCCGTCACCGTTGATGCATGCAGAGAGTCGATATAGGGAAGAAGAGCCCCTGATGCCTTCGCTCCGAACTCATCCAACGAGGGTTTCGAAAGAAGCAGTGCCTCGGCAGCTGATGTCGACGTTTTCAGGTGCATTTTGACTTTTGCTTCTTTCTCACCAGGCGGCGAGTTGTCGTTAGCCAGGCTCTTGCCATTGAGCACATGGCCATAGGCTGCCAGCACAGCCTCCGCAAAGTCTTCAGGCGCCAACTCGTGACTCACCATCGGAAGGTTCTTCTGCACATATGCCTGGAACGCCTGCAGTGTTGTCTTACGGACTTCCTCGTCGACTTCTTTGTGTTGATTCAAGAACTGAGACAACAAGTGTTGTTGTCTCGCAGCCAGAATGATTTTGTCGTCCACGTCCGTGATGTTCATGACAAAGAAGACCTGAAACTTGAAGTAGTCGCTCATGATGCGGCGGATGATGTCTTGAGAGACATAGTTCCGCGCATGACCGAGATGGGAATCATCATATACAGTCGGCCCGCACGCATACCAGCCGACTTTCTTTCCCTCTGGATCTATCGGCACAAATGGTGTTTTGCTTCTTGTCAATGAGTTGTATACGCTCAGTCTCGGCAGCCGCGCTCGTACTTGTTCGGATGGCTCTGGAGGAGCGCGCCATTCAGGCTGTGCCGTCGCCATCGCTCGTACTCCGCGACGGATATTGGATAATGCTGGCGCTGCGAGGGATGCCCGAGGCGTGGGACTAATGAGTGGGAATCGTCGTTGGCGAGAGCTGTTCTCGGCGGAGGAAAACGCGCGTGGGTATGGGAGTGGCAGAGGGTTCTTTCCTCTCAGACATCGGACGAGTCTGGCAGTGCTAAGCATCAACAGCGAGCGTGCCGGAGTCACGTCTGAGTCGAAATGCCAGCGAAGCAAAAGAGCACCCGCGAAGATGAGTCGTCTGGAACGGGTCATCTGGGGATCGGCAGCCGACAAAGGGCGCTAGGGAAGGCCCGTTCCTTATTTCAGCCCTACCAGCCTTACCAGCCATCAGTCCTGATTGATGACCGCACGTCCTTCCACTGCGGACTCTCTGCTACTTCGTTCGGGCACATTGAAATGTCATCTCGGCGACAAATAGCCTGCGAATCGCATTGAAAGACTCTCCGGGAGCCTGTTCTGTACCGGTACGCTCGGGAAAGCATGGCGATGTCCGACCCTTTCGAAACGCGAAGCTCTCGCAATATCTTTCAACCCGTTCATCGTTGAGAACAAGGAAAATCGCCAGTGTGTGCGGCAACAATGATACGAAGGTTCAAGGAAGTGCAAAGAGTCAGATTTATGAGGAGCATCATGCAGCATCTTGATACATCTGTTTATCTCCACCAGGCTGCCGTGTTTTACTGTCACCACCTCCATCTCCTCGAATGCGACGATCTGGAAGCGTCTAAGTGTTCTGCACGAGTACTTCCCGAAAATCACGTTCAGACCGAGGCCCCCGCCGCTTGTACTCGAATTCACGTACGGCGAACTATTAAGCTGGCTCCCAAGCAAGCCCGGTCAACATCCTTCCCTTTTCGACTCGGCAATGCCATACCTCGGCGACTGAGGCTCTCGCCGGGACCAATCTCCCACACAGGCGTACTTCTTCTCCGCGGCGTCCATCAAACCGCCTTGCTCGAACCGATAATCATTCCCGAAACATCGTCAAAATTCGAATGCCCGCTCCTCATCATCATACGTCAAGTACTACCGTCAGGAGCAGTCAAAGGTGTCAGCGCAAGTCCATCGCTTTGGGCACTAGCAACGCAGCGGACTAGATGCGGTACTTAGTACCTTTCACATAATAATTAAACAATTCACGCTGTACTTACAATTCCTCAGTTTGCAGATTTCCTGAATTCAGCGAGCTATTTCTCGAGACTGCATCCTCGTAACTGGCCTTTGTATGCAGGGAGGGTCAAGGTACTCCTGCCACTTCTTCTTCTTCTTCTTCGTATCGGTCTTGACGTATCCGTCAAGAGTCACCTCATGCACGTGCTGGATGTACAAGGAGAGACTCAAACCACAGCTTCAGCTACAGGAGACTTAGCAGATCCTCCAGCATAACAGCGCCTTGAAACATATGACTTCGCTCATATTTCCATCCTAGATAATTTTCCGTGGCGGGCACTAAGACGTCGAACAGTTTCAAGTAGTCTGCATGGGAGAAGTTCAGCTCAATTCGCCGCAGGGAATCAACTTCGATGCGTAGTGTACATTTCAGCTTGTACATCATCTCGTTGCAGTCATAGACGCCGCTCAGATCTGCTGGTTCCTGTAAAAGGCTGAGCAGTTTCATGGTATTCTTATGGAAAATGGACGAGACATGGCGATCGGAGATCTCGGTTTAGGTCGAGGATTGAAAATTTAGTTCTAGTGATGGCCCTCGAACGCATTCGTTGCGGCCAGGTACCGGTCCTATCAATGTACTTCGTGCCGTTTTGGTACGCGGACAGCTGCTTCTCACACATCCGCTTGCCAAGGGCGTGCAGCACTACGAGCGTAGTATGGCACTGACCTAAGAATTGAGACGAGCTGTGGACAGCGTTAAGGAAGTCGCTCGACGCACTCCAAAGACAACACAGAGCGCACTCTCATACCTATACTGGAGGAGCTCGGCGTCGCTTTTGTTCAGATTGGAGGCAAAGGCATTATCCCAACTTACCGCCCTAGTCGACTCCTAGGCCTCAGTCTTCGGCCTGGAGCGTGCAAAGGACTCAAACCTCCTCCAAGGATCCACACAATCACTTCTTCACCCACAAGGCCACTAAGAAGTCACTCCGTACTCAATGCACGGCCGTCGTCAATCCTATACTCGGTCGCGTATCCGAGACAGTAGAGTTCCCGGCGATGTGCTCGACGAGCTTGTGCCCTCTCCTCTCGCACACCCGGCTTTCCCCGCGTCTCTCACATCGTCGCCTAGCACAAAGACCCGCATAGTCAACATAGGCGCAACAGCCTCTCCTACCGTTGCTTTTTCCGGCCGGCCCAGGTTTTCGACCATAAGCAGTGCCGGCGCCAAGGGCCAGGAACGTGCTGACCGGTTACGCCATTCGTATAGAGTACTCGATCCGAGACTCGAGTTCGTATAACGCATCTATCCCAGGCCGACTTCCAGGTTTATCAGTCGCTCAGGCGGCGACGGAGGCAATTGCCACGCCAGTGGCGAAGGAAGGATGTATGCGAGTAGTCGTGCGAAAGTCTTCTCGGTTCCTCCGACGCCTTTAACGACGGTGAGTTTGACGAGAAGGGGCTGAGAAGGCAGGCAAGGAGGAAAGAAGCCACTTTGACGTTCTTTGGTTCTGTGAGTATGTGGTTGCTCGAGGAAAGGGGTTGAGCTGAACGTAGGAGATGTCACGTTTGAGCAAGTGAGCCGCAAGACTGTACCTTTGAATCACCTCATGAAGAGAGTGGTAGGAAACCTGCCATTTGTCAAGTGAGAAGAGAAGGACATGTCGACGAAGCCTCCTGAGCTCCGAGGCAGGCGACGAGTTTGGTCAGCGTAATGGATGCAAAAGGCGATGGCCAAAGACCAGACGAAGGTGGATTAACTCGAGACTTGCAGCGTGTCGCATGGTGTGTGGCGGCTGTGTTTGGTGGTGGGACATGGCCTGGGAAATCGAGATGAGATGGAAAGCGTGGCTAGAGATGATCAAGTTGGCATGTGTGGCAGGGCGTGCGGCGTGGTGTGTTACTGTGGGGCTGACCGCGTGCTGTGTCACCTGTTCGGCATGTGCCTGTCGTATGAGGGGGAGAGGGGAACAGATGACGATGGCTTCCAGCCTTCTGTTGGCGATATGTTGGATGTGATGGAAAGATGGCTGGGTGCTGGGTGGGGGATGCTGGGCCGCGTCTCAGGGACTGGTATACCGACCACCCCCATTTTGCCGGGCGACAGATATACAATGCAGGCCTCTCGTCTCTCGCTTTCGCACTCTCTACTGCATCTGCCATCTGCCTCGGTCCACTCGATATTTTCACGGACTGTCACTTGTGAGAATCGGAGGGAAGGAAACTGGAGAGTGGAAGTAGCCTCGGGCCGGCAGCAACAATCTCCAGAGCTCCACCCACCAGCACGACGCGACCTCGGCGCTTCATCCGCCCATCCCGGTCCCCATCCCGGTCCCGGTCCCGGTCCCGGTCCCGGTCGTCGACGGTCGCAGCTCTGTGACGATCGACGTCCTCATTTCAGCCTCGTACTGTACCCTCACAATCTCCCCCTCCGCCCAAGAATCGTAATCATAATCATAATCACCAGAGAGAAGAGTGCACCGCTGCACCCGGTGTGTGGGTGGTTGGCAGTGGAATGCTTGACTGCTGTTCCCGGTAAAACAACACCACTCCACACCACTCATCATCATCACACACTCGCCCTGCTGGCCTGCTACCGTCAAAACTCGACACGCGACACCAACTCGCCCATTCCTTGCACGCACCTACCCACACCCGGTTCACCGCTATGGAACATCCTCGTACCTCCACCACCCACTCCCGGCGACCTCCAACATCTTTCTGCATTCCCCCTGACGCCCACCGCGACAACCACCACTACTCCTCCACCGCATACTACGGCGCTGCTGGCAACCTCGGTCACCCTCACTCCCCCTCTCCCAATACACCCGACATCACACTGGACTACTATCAGGACTGCCGCGACCACGATCCATCCTCTTCCTCGCCCACAAAGGAAGGCATTGCTTCGAGACTGTGCAATTTACCCACAGCTGCAGCATTGACACGCTCCGGCTCTGTGCTTCATAGCCGCGCAAAGTCTTGGACCTCCTACGTCTCCAAGCTGAACACGGGCAACAACAACCAGTCCTCGTCGTCTGACAGGTCGCACAATCGCCAATCTAACATCTTCGGCCATCTCTTCCACGGAGAGTCTGCTCCTGTGCACCTCGGCGTGCCTACATCCCCCACCAAAGAAAACGAAGAATCCGAATTCGTCATGGAGTACAAGCCAGGCTTCACAGAACGACCTAATCCTCGTCATGAACGCAAGACCAGCACCCACATCTCAGCTCCGACCCCAGCTACCAAGGGAGGAAAACTGTCCTGGTTCAACCGCAAGCAGACCCAACCGGCACCTGCGTCAGACGACACCACCAAAGACGAAATTCTCACCATGAACCTCAACACCTCCCTCTTTCCACACGGCCCAGCCGATCCCCTCTCCCCACAAGCCTTCAACGACCTCCTGCTCAACGCCACCAATCTCCTCCATCGCATGCAAACCGCCTACAAAGAAAAGATGGACTACATCGCCTCCATACAACCCGAAATCGACGCGCAAAAGGAGGAGGTGGAAGAAGCCCGCACTCGCTCCGAACACCTGAAACTGCAACTGGAAGACATCGGACGACAACATCAAGAGCAGAAACAGGTGAATCGAGAATTGGTCGATGCAATTGCGGAGCAGAAAATGCAACTTCAAGAAGTCAGAGAACAGAGCAAAACCATCCGCGTCGTTGGGAATGAAGACAATCGTCAGGACGAAGAAGATGAAGACCAACGGAGGCAGAGAAAACGCGGCTCCGCCGGTAGCGACAGCGGCTTCGAATCGGATACCGAAACTTCCTCCCTCTTCAGCACGGGCATGGAAACACCAATGTCCCACCGACAACCGAATTTCTTGCTCACGACACCGGAGAATCATCATTACGACACGAGGCGCTTCTCACAGCAATCGACTGCTTACTCGAAAGCTTCTTCTTCCTCTTCTTCTACTCAACAACAACCACAGAGATTGAATGGAGATGTGTTGGAGAAGACGCGTTTAATGGCGGAGAACGAAGCCTTGAGAATGCGCATTGATCAGATGACGGCGCAATTTCAGGGTGCGATTGATTTCGTCCACGATGTCACGAGGGGCGTCTAGAGTGTTGTTGATTGCCGCTATGATATCACGATACCCATCAACGCATTCGTGCGCGCGGGCGTGCGTTCTCGCATGGAACAGATTATTCTTAGAACGGACTCTTCTTCCGGGTTGAGACTCAGTATGTGACTGGTCTCGTGTCGGTCATTGCTGGCTTGGGAGTCGAGGTGAATCGTACATATCGTTCCCAACAATCACGATGATTTACATCCAAAGAGACATCGTGTATCCCATGCTTTTTCAACTCGATGTGATTCCAAAAAAGCGCCATCTATAACCTTTATCCACGACCGAGGGAAAATTACTCACCCCTATCTACCTACACTCAGGCGCGTCGCTGTCATACGGCTCGAAAATTTTTCGAAGCATGACACACCTTGAGGGCGGTAGTACACATCTCAGCGCAGCGCAGCGCAGCGCAGCGCATCGCATCGCGATCTATTATCAGTAGTATGCCCCGAATCTCCCTCCAAGGAAGGGAGGCAGTCGCGTGGTGAGGCTTAGCGCTCTCCTCCGACGAGGCAGGAGCAATGCTACGTCGCTGCATCAGGCACTGAACAACTGAACAATACATGTACAAGCGCGCGCTTCAGCACCTTGCAACGTCAAGATAGCATAGCATAGCAGCAAAAGGAAAAGGTTGCAAAGGAGAAAAAGAAAAGCAAAGGGACTGGTGTCTGCCTTGCCATACGTCGTTCGCGGGTTACCAGCGTGGGGTATCTGTACTCAGCATCTTCAAAAGTTTTTATAAAGTCAGTCAGTCATCCTGTCCCTCCTTCCCACTCCTTTGCTCTGTTCCGACCCATAGCAGAAAAAAACGCCCATGTATCCGGTTAATCTCGTAATCGTCGTGAATAAGAAGCGGGAGAAGAGGCAGACGGACAAGACCTTTCCCTTCCTTCCTTCCTTCCTTCCTTCCTTCCTTCTTTGGGTCATGCCCCCTCCCGAATAGGCCGCACATGGCGCTCCTCGGTATGGTATTCCAAGTCTTCGCGTGTGGGCGTGAAGAAACCACAGCCGAGAAAGAGACAGTAAAGGTGGGGAAAAGATTCCGCCCACGACTTCCTTTCGCCGTTGCGAGGTAAGGTGTTGTAGTGAAGGGGCTGTGGTTCCGCAGGGGACTTCCGTTCGCCGCCTTTGAAGTCCTGTTGATGTTCCTTCTAAGATTTCCGCTGTCTCTTGCTCGGCGTGCCGGGCTCCTGAAGCTCCCCTGCGTCTGCCTCATCGGCCACCTGAGCCGTGGTGGCAGGACCAGTGCCTTCACTACTCAATCTCTCCACAGTCCCAAGGGCGGGCGCGAGGTGAGTGGTGTCGGTGTTGAGGTTGTCCAGTGAGAAAAGGTCATCTCCTGTGTTCTCGTAACCTTGCCCGGGCGCATACTGGCTCCACCCGTCTGCGGTTGGATCGTTGACAAACTCTTCGAAATCGTATTGTCCTGGGTCGCCCATCACATCGTTGAGTGCGCCTGCATCGTCCGTCCTCAGCCCCGGGATCGAGCCACTGGGAGAGTACGATCCGACTCTATCCACAAGTTGGGCAATGTTGGATTCGAGATCCGTCTGCATGCTCCCCAGGCGATTCATGCTCTCTTGATTGTTCTGGAACTGCTCAAGACTGAACGGTCGGGCTTGCGTTGTCAAGGCATTGTTGTCGGGTGAAGACAAGTTTGGGTGGTTGACCATCAGGCTGTTCAACACTTCATCGCGTTGTTGCGAAGTCAGTGGTGCCTGGGTACCGTTGGCTTGGTTGAACTGACTAAACGCGTCGGTGAAGTCCATAGCAGGAGCAGACCCATTGGATTCTGCTGCACTAGTTGCATTGGCTTGATTGATGAAACTTAGCATCTGCTCATTCTCAGGAGTCTGGTGCAGGAGGTCTGGCGTTGGCGTGTCGTTGTTGACAGGCGGGCTGTCTCCACTCCTGCCTACAGCTACACTCGAGCGCCGCTGGGGAGGTGCGCTTGACGTGCTGTCTCGCTGGGAAGGAGTGCCTGCATTTGGAGGACTAGCAGAATGGCGAGCAGAGCTCGGTTCTGTCACTGCCCTGTCAAGTCGACCAAACGGATCGGCTGCAGCTGCTTCTGAGCCGGTAAGAAGCAATTGTGGCTTCTTAGGAAAGCGCTGGACACGATTGCCGGATTCAGGCGGATTGTCATACTCTTCCACCACGCTGCCGTGTTGCTGCTGGTTGCTATTCTGGTTCATATTGCTGAACATGTTGACCAAGTTCTGTCCAGCGTGACCATCCAAGCTGCGATTGTAGAAGGTAGCCAGGAAAGTGAGGATGGCGTTGATGGACGTCTCGTGCCGGTCATGCAGTTGTTGGAATGCAGTGGCCTGTCGGTAGAATTGGTCATTCTGCTCTTTCAGCTGCTGAATCATGTGAGAAATGAGCTGCTGCTGTTGCTGCAGCTTCTTGATCTCTTGTCGTACAGCAGCCAGCTCCGTTCGAGGCATGGCTGCCAGATCCTGGCCAGCGGCAGCTCCCAGCTCTCCGTGGGGTCTGCTATCGGGTACGGGAGAGAACTGTCGCTCCTCATCGCTGTCAAACCCATCCTTGATGGTGCCATCTCGCTTCCTCTTGGCGTTAGACTTTCCCGTAGGCTTCTGGATCAGCCACAGTAAATCGGGTCGGTTCTTGCGGAAGTAGGGGTGAGAGTACATGCTGGGGGGCTTTACACCTTTCCGAGCCTTCTCCGATTGGCGGAGTGAGCCGTCCGTGATGTTGACAGTCTTATGAAACCCATACATGTTCAATTGCCGGACGAAGGAGGCATAGTTGTTGTGTTTGAACAGTTCGGGGATCAAGGTCCGGGCGAATTCATCTTCGTCCAGGACGATGAACGACCTGCCGTCGTCTGACCATCGAATCAACTCGGTGTTGCCGCTGTCCAGAAAGCTACACACTGTCAGCTTGTGCGGGCCATCATCATTGCATACGGTACCGACCTGCTCAGTTTCTGCACAAACGGGGGAATCTGTTTCCGTTTGCCCTGGGGGTCTCGCTTCGCCAATTCGATCTTCATCTGCAATTCGCGCTCGTCTTCGTCGCCCATTCCAGCCGCGTTACCACCAGACCCACTCCATTGATCTTGCTGTCCGTTCTGCGGCGCTAGTTGCTGATTCTTAGTCCGTCTAATCAGATCCGTAGAAGGAGGTGGAGCAAGGCTGCCGCCGTATGTAGGTGTTTGCGAGGGATTCAAGGATGCCGCAAGGTTGTTTGGGTCTGGGAAGTTCGCATCGGAATAGGACGGGTCGGTAGGGAAGGTATTGGAGAAATCGAAGTTGAAGTCGGAGTTGTCGGGATATGGTTGGAATTGATACGCCGGCTGCGGTGTCATAGGCTGTTGCACCATGGGCGATGGGCCTGGAGCATCGCGTTTGCGCGAGGGAGCGGACTGCTGCATGGTCCGTCAAGACTGTTGCTGGTCGGAACGGAAAGTCTCTGCGCGTTTCCGATGACTCGTTTATGCGCGGTGCTGATTCAGTTGTCGTGAAGCTCTCAAGCGTTGCGTAAAAGCTGTGAGTGAAGATATGGATGCGCGAACTACCTCAGGCGGTCCGGATGCGTAAAGAAGGCAGAAGTGGTGGAGAGGGCGGGAAGGGCGAGCAATATGTACTGGAAGCGTCTTATTTGGTCCCGGCCGGGCAGGAAGAAGTGACTTTCTTCTACTATGCTCCACTCATTGTTGACATTGTCTGTCTTTGAGACCAGCACACACTCGCCTCAATGCATGTGTCGCTTGATCGTGCTCGACTCGTCCCCGCGCCGTTGTTTCTGCTCGTGCAGCGGAGTAGCTGCGGACCTTGTGTGAAGAACGGCTGGGCTGCGCTGCCTCACTCGAGCGACCGTCTCACCCGACCGACGGTTTTCAAGACGGATTTGCTGCTGCGTTTTGGCGAATTGGATCGCTTGGTGGTGAGGGAAGTATCTCGGTCGGTGCGTAGGGGGTGGATGATGGGCGCCGCGGCGGTGGTGGTGGAGGTGGTGGTGGTTGTCAGGCGAGTGGGTGTTGATTTGTGTACGAACTACTACTCGTCGACTTGCGCTCCGCCGCCAAGCCATGATGCAGCGCTGTTCGGCTACTACCGTAATGCCGTCCAAGTACAGGGGTCTGCCAGCGATCTTGCTATACAATAACGATCACCAGCGACATGGCCCATTTAATGCCCTTTTCATGCCGCACAAGGGGTTTTTCTGTCTGCAGAATCTGCGGAGAGCACTATCGGTGGCATGTCAGTTGGCGGTCTGCATGACGAAAATTCTCCCCTCCTCGTGCCCTGCCGCATTGGGGCAATGCGAGTTCCTGCACTCAACATGTAAAGGTACCTCCAGCCTGATCTCCAACACAAAGCGCGGCGGCTCCTATTGCAGCGTCTTGGAAGTTCAGCTTTCGACCAGACTGTTCACAGGTTCAACATGCGGTCAACATGATGATGATGCTCTCTGTCAACCTGTCCCGTATCGGACGCTCCCGTATGGGTCCATCGAAAGACCGCGCATATTCCGAGTCCCTCCCATCCGCGTCACATTCGCCACGCAGCAGACAGCTCTTCGGACCTGCGGAAATGTCCCTCGTCGACTTCTTCCCTGGGCGGAACGCAGCAGACCGTGGCGACAAGTATCATCACAGGAACCCATGCATTTGCCAGGTCTTTTCATGATCCTACCCAAATGCACCCATGCAGGAAACTGTCTCACCTTACCGCGATTAGCCTCGCTGTGAAGACGTAGCCGAAGATATCCCACAACACGTGCGACCCAGATCACCGATCTCATGTGAGGCGAATGCACCAGCAGCTTCCGCTGGCAACATTGCACGCGCTGACAAACGATCACATGTCGATGCAATGCTCATGCCAGGCACGGTAGCGGCATTGATTGATTCGGCTAGACACATGATTGATGGATTAGCTTCAGCCGCATATAAGCACGCATTCTATGCTCCTACGCATGCTTCCATCTGCATTCCACTCAATGGCCGATCATACACCGATCCATCTCAGAATTCTCGCCCTCTGGTTTGGCCTTCTCAACAATCTTTCGCATCTCTGCCATTTTGTCGTCCGTCAGCTCGACGTCTCTGCAGCTCCAATCCTCCACGAGACGACCCGGTTTGCTCGTGCTGACGATTGGTATGAAGCCCTCTCTGGCCCCCGGTGCAACCCCTCATCTGCGCCAGCTCCCTAATCTCACCAACAGTAATTGCCTTGTTCTTACGACAGGTCTCCCCTTGAAACTCCGGTCCGTTCAGCGAAATCATCTGCTGCGAAGTCGTCTGAGGATGTGAAGTCGAACTGATCGACCGCCCAGCAGTTGCTCGAAGAAGCTCAGGCGAGTCAAACACTTTCCTTACTCCATCGGAGCATTGTCAGCCGCACTTCGAAGCAATTCATAGCTTTTTCGCGAACGTTGTGTTTGCGGACAAAGTCTTCAATCAGCTTCTCGTTGATTTTAAAGCCGTAGACGATGGCGGTTTTCCCGAAGGTACATCCTAACTCGACGGCCTTCAGAAGTACTGGCTCGGCTTGCTCGTAGCTCAGGTTTGGAGCCCATGCCTGAGCTCTGGCCCATGGTACCGAAGCCTGGGACCGCAGCTCGTAAGATCGCCAATTTTGAGTGAATTTGAGTGTCTTGAGTGACCTTAGTTATGGCAAATGCTGAGTCTGAAGCGATCGATGTGGGTGCGGATTCCGTGTGTGAGATGTTGCAGATATAATAACAAAGCACCACCGACTTCCACTTCTTAACTCCATTGAATTGTCTGAACAAAGATGAGTAGTAGTCGAACGTCAGCGGCCGACGAAAACGATCTCAAACTGCGGGAAGTCTGTATACCTACATGCTGGGTTCACAGCCTTGGCATCGGCCGAGGGTAAAACTTCGGCTCAGGGTCTCGAGCATGTGTTCTGACGGCTTGAAGCTATCCCGCCGCAATGCAATGTTGGCCACGCGGTCCTGGTATATCACGGATGCTCTCAGCGATAATGGTATCGCAGCTAATGCGACCCAGCGGAGACTGACATTCACCAACGAACACGGACACCGGAGATATCAGACCAACCAATCATCCCAGCATGGGGCCCATACGGCACAGAGCACTCAAGGCATCTATGCCATACCGACCAAGGCAAGCGAAGGCTTTCAAACTTCGACGTGAAGAAGACCACCTCATCATGCGGGGCACCCAGCAATATGAAACGCCACATGGCGTCTCCACCGGTCTTCAAAGATATCGATCGGAAATGGGTCATATTGAGGAGCGTGGGGAACGCGACGTTGGGCGAAATTGGACACGCGCGACGCCAGAGTTGGGAACAACACCGTGCGTATCGGTCGGTTCTTGCTCGCCTTAGAGCCACTCCAAAGCAGTCAACTGACCCTTGGCACAGCCACTTCTTCGACACCCTCGGCATCCTTCCGTCCCGCCAACGTCTCTCCGGAGCCCTCGAACTCTTCCGCCAGGAAAACCACGGCCATCGAAATCATGCCCGGCGTAGCTCCTAATCTCATCTGCTACCCCTTGCCAACAAACGCAGTTCAGTACATGAAGCGGAGGAGAGGGAGCGCTCTTGGTATCGATAAAGATGGGCGCTTATTCTGTATATGTCCCAAACAACCACGGAATTCGATGCTAATGCTTCACAGTCATCCTCATTTCGACGGGCTGGTCCAATATAACTACCAACGTCATTGACAGGACGATATCCGCGGCGCAGCGTGCTGGCGTTCCGCATCCGCACCTCTACGTCAACCACGCGGCAGCAGGTCGTGTGTGGCTCAGAGCGTTCTCGAGCGCCATGGGAAGACGAACTTCGATAGACTGATTGGCATTCCGAAGGCTGGAGATCCTATCCCGATGGTGTTGTTTCACGATGGTATTTTTTCACGACTGATGGCCCGTGGAGAGGTTTTCAGGAAGCTGCAGTAGATTGTGAAGGGGATATGGCGACAGTTTATACTGCAGTGTCGTGGAAGTAAGATACCGGTCACCAATGCCGGGCGAGAAAAGGATGTATATCGCTCGTCCGGAAATGTTGTATCCGGAAGCAAAGGATGCAATGCCGGAGGTTAGATCGTCCAAGACCGAGAAAAGATCCTGATGAGTAGCTGGACCTTGCTGTAGTGCTCGGAGACTCTCCGCGATGCTCGCGTTGACATCATTTCATGTAGCTTGTGGCTCATAGCATTTCAGAACAGCATATGTGTGGAGGGATTCGGCGGTATACTGGGATGCGGTGGTTTCATTGGAGCTGTTCGTATGGGATCACTGGGGCAATCGCAGTCAAACGGCTTGGGAGTCAACCAATCTTCGCGATGAATAGTTCTTGGTCGATTCACCACGTTGGACGTACGGCAGTGCATTATATCGGCAGCGTTCAGGCGCGCCACGCGAGCGGCAGAAGTTACATGATCGACCACGATTGCACTGCAGAGCTGTTAGCATGAGTTGGAATTGTCAAAATATGACTAAACAAATCACCTTCTGCTTCCTACGGTGGCATTCAGAACATGCCTTTGTCGCCGGTTTCTGGGCTTTTCGAGCGACGAGCGTGCCTTTCGCTCATTCCCGTCTCAAAGGGAACGATCAGCAACTTCTGGGGATGCTCGCGATTCCGGAATGACTAAATTAGACCGTACTCAAGAAAATTGCAATGTTTTCTAGAGCCATGAGAGAGGTGAGGTTGACGACCTATGCCACGCTCGGTAAAAGTATCATCCGCTCGATCGTAGCAATGAACCTCGGGCTTTCCTTTGCCTCTCCCCGGGCAGTCGTCTCAATCGCACGCGCATGTCGCAACTCAAGCGTAGTCGTAATTGGTATGTTAATTACGGCACTAGAGCCAAAAAAGATATACAAGGAATCTCCATAGGTATGAAATTTCCCAACATACCGTCTTCCCGCGCATAGGTAAACCTGGCGAAGCTTACTTTTTCCTGGTCCATCGTCTTTCCATTCCTTTCGTATACATTTCGCTCTTTCCTCTCCATGTCGTCTATGGGCAAAACGCCGTGATGCGGTTCATGTTAGTTCTACAATCCCCTCCAAACGCCTACACGCTCAAAGATGGCGCTCCTCAGATGAGGGTGTCATCGTTACCTGCACGCAAGTGGTGATAACCTTTCCAGAGGGTCTGCCGTCCTATGACTTCAGAGAATCTCTCATGCTCTGCGAACTCGCGCTTGTGGGAAGTACGGTCTCCTTGCTCTTGTCCTTTCCTTGCCAAACCTTCGCTCCGGCGTATACAACTCCTGACACGAATCCAACGAAGATGGCAGAGACGGAGGCGAAGGTGACGGGCGCATCGAAGAAAACGAGACCGCTGATAGCAATCGGGAGCTTGTTGAGTGCACCAACCATGGAGTAGGTCGTGGAGGATGTGACACGTACACACCAGGCGCTGGTGTAGGAGATGAGGATGCTGCTGAGACCCGTAAAGATCATTGCCGCGATCATCCACTGCTGCCGTCCAGGAGGGAAGTTGACTGCAAGGTTCGCAGCGGACCAGTCTTCAAGGAGCAGAGAGCAGATAAGGAGGACTGGGATGGAAAGGAGGTTGTTGTAGTACATGGCTGCGTAACATTAGTGATCTCGTCTCAAGCACACCGGTCCGGCTAAACTCACTGTCAAAATCCTTGAAATTGGTCAGCTTTATCCGCTTGCGCATGCCCAAGACGTAACCGGCCGAGCAGAAGCAGTTGAGTGCCATCCAGATGTAGCCTGAGTTCAAGGTAGCGATCTTCTCTGCGGCCTCGCCAGTAATCGCGTCACCAGAGTGCGCCGCAAGTGCGTGGGTAATATCCGCCCAGGCTGCAATGATACTGCTCACCACCATGAGTCCGAAACTCAGGAGCGCCATCGGAGAGACAGTTCCACCAAACCATAGAACCTCCCCGTATGCGATCAGAATGATGGTCAAGTTCTTGAAGATGGTGTAGACAGGAATGCTGAGGAACTGCAGCGCCTTGATCGAGGTATACAGCATGCCGATGAGGAGCATCGAGATCGGAAACCACTTTCGCGCTTCGTCGACGTTGAAGTCTCGGTATGTGATGACGCCCATCGCTTTGGAGGTCGAGATGGCTATTATACACACGATCGCCTGTGCCGCGGTCAGCCTTACGCACGCATGCGAATGGAGTATGTATGGTGTCGCCAACCTGCACGGCCACGAGAAAGAAACTCAGATTCCATCCTGTCCCATTCACACAGTACTTATTCGATACGGTCATGAGGATACTGCTGCCGCAGTATGCGAATATGGACAGCACAGGGTTATTGAGGTTGACGCCGTTGGAAGCAGCCATGGCGGGCGGTGAGGGCTTGAGAGCAGCTTCGAATGTGCCGGTGGGTTGTCTGTCGCCGAGTTCAATGGTATGATCTCTCTTCTTGTCGTCGGCCATGCCCTGCGAGGGCTGCGGAGTGGCTGGAGAGCGCGGAGGTTTCGCGACGTAAGGGGATTCCCACTGCCACGAACGTGACCTCCCGAGGGTTCTGCTGACGCCGACGAAGGTAGTAATTGTGCCGATTCTGTGCGCGATGCGCTGCTTTGGGATGTGGAGGTCGTCGAAGGGAGATGTGACGGAGGGAAAGGAGAATCTCTCAAGTTTGCTGACTCTCCCGTCGAGGTGCAGAGACGTTCCCCAGCAGAATGCGAGCGGTCGCGGCGGGCCGAACTTTCGGCCAATCACAGGCTTAACTGGGCTTAGCAGCAGTGACAGTAATCGCAGTAAGCTGTACGAAGTCTTGCGAGGTGAATTTATTTTCGGAAGAAATCTGGCCCATGTGCACGCACAGCGCATCATTTTATCTCCATGCCGAATCCCGCATTGACTCTTATAGACGACTCGTCATTGCATATGAAGTGAAAGGCCGAGGCACGGCTGCATGTCATCTCCTCATTTGGACTCCCACAAATTGAAGGTTGTTTCAGGTTTTCTGCAGGGCGGGGCCGATCTCGAGACGACATCTCTTTGACCACACAAGAGCACCGACGCACACGACACCGCATCTTGGCACTACGACCCTCCTCAGGACTGACTTGCCTCCGTAATGGCTCCCCTGGATCCGTCCGTTGCCAAGGTACTGGACAGCCATCGCCCAGCTCATGAAGAAGACGACGAAGACGCCCTTATAGCAGAGCTCGAGGAAGAAGACGATGGCGCCCTCTCTGCCATGCGCGAGAGGCGCCTGGAGCAATTGCACGCAGAAGTATCGCGCGCCAAGCTCATGAAAGAGACTTCCCATGGCACCTACATGGAGATCAAGGATGAGAAAGTCCTGATGGACATCACCACTTCAACCAAGCTCTGCGTCGTGCACTTCATGAAACCGGACTTCAATCGCTGCCGTATCATGGACGAGAATCTACGCATACTTGCAGACAAGCACTTCGACACGCGCTTTGTGAGCATCAACGTCGACAACGCCCCGTTCCTGGTGGTTAAGCTTGGCATCAAAGTCTTGCCCTGCGTCATCGCGTTCACAGACGGAGTCAGCGCCGACAGGCTTATTGGCTTCGAAGGCATTGGTCGGAAGCCTGACTCGTTCACTGTGAGTGAACTCGAGGCACGATTGCTCGCCTGTGGCGTACTGGTGCGAGCGAAGATGAACAAGGACGATGACCGGAGACAAGACGTGAGAGAACGCGACAGGGTTGAGGATTACGACGATGATGAGTGGGACTGAGGACTGTGGTATTGCGGATTCCTACGTGCTGTCTAATGTACATGGTCTCGCTGTGCCGAGGACGGCCGAGTCATCACCTATGTCAGTAAGGTGATGGCGACCCTCCGGCCACTCGTAACGACTGCTGCGGCTTCCAACATGGCTCCAACCGAGCTGTCTAGATCTGTCAGACTTCTGAGGCTTGTGAACGCAAAGGCTATCTGATATGGAAGATCCACCCGGCAAAAGTTGACAACCCAAGCCAAAAGTCCCTCTTGTGCAGCGCTGGCTCTTTCGATTCACTTTCCTCCACGGCTGAAGGGACCAGCATCCCAAGAGATCCATTCCTGTCTCTGCAATCCTCATCCGACCAACTCAAATTCTGATCTCTATCGCAAGGCAAGCGCATTCGCTTAACAAGAGGAGGCCGGTTTCCCCTTGCGTATTGCACATTGTGGACGATATTCGGCAGCAAGAACCTCTCTTCCCCAATATCAACACTCGGCAGTTTTCGTACTCGCACCCCGTCTTGCTGAGAGTCGCGACGTATGAAGTTTCGCTTGATGATGCTATTATTTGGATGCAGTTCCGAAGGGACGTGGGCCACGCTTCGCTTGATGATGCTATTATTTGGATGCAGTTCCGAAGGGACGTGGGCCACGCTTCGGTCTCTGGTTTCCTCTTCTTCTTTCAAATAAGGCCCTAACGCAACTTGACGCCGGCGGTCTATCACATCATTCCCGGCCTGCTGGCTGTTTGAGAGATATTGCTTCGGGTCTTTGTAATCCATTGGCAAGGATGTAATTGCTTCGTCTGCTTCATTCCCCTTCGGTCCAAGCAGAGCTCGAGGGCGCGTAGGCGAGCGTGGCTGCAATATCGACTCCTGGTCGACGATCGGTCCATGACACAGACGCTGCCGACGGTCTGAACCCAGAGACTGCTGCTTCTTATTCTCCTCCTCAAACCATGCTTTTGCTCTGTCTCCTGGCGTTTCCGCTAGCTCAGTCTCCGCTCCATCATCGCTTAAGTCGCTGGAAATGGCGCGCGAGTGGTCGCCGTCCGAATGGGCCACTAAAGCTCTTGGCACAACCCGGTCAACGATCGTGTGTTCTGGGGCAACGCTGACCGGATGCTGAAAGCGCAACGCCCCCGACTTCTGCCTTTCCGGCCTCAGCTCGCTGAGCTGTGCCTCCAACAAGTCGGCGTTAAGCCGCCTATTTGCTTCTCTCTGCCATCGATCGAATCCAGGCGGCATACTGAACTCATGATTGGTCGTACTGGAGGAGACGAAGAGATCACGCGGGCAGCAGCACGAGTAGTCTTAACCTGGAGCAGTGCCATAGATCTCGGCGGGCTGTGTTAGCTACACATGGAAATCACCAGACGACCACTGGATTTCTGCGTAAGAAGCTTTGTCATTGCGATTCAAATGCATCAATTTGCATGTGTTCGGTGCATACTTCCGCTAGCATGCAGCACTCCGTCCTACTGGGTCTGCGCCAAGCCTATCATGATCCGGCTATTCGAAGCTATTGCTCGTGTTTGCTCGTGTCGTATCAACCTCCGTCGAAAAGTCATCTTCATGACGGCGCTGCGGTGTGCGGCGTACTGTCATCATCGTTGCACCTCAAGCCCTGATGCTAGATGTCTTGAATTCACTAGGGAAATCTCAACATCGAGAGCAACGACCGCTTCAATAAATGCTCCTTCATTGGTGCCGGAATGACGGCTATGTCAACTGAGCGCCATCAGTAAACTGTTAGATCAGACACGCCAAATGGTCGTTGCAATCCCTACAAAGCAAAGTCCTCATCTCATTCAGTCTGGCTTTCAAGTCCGCTGGTACCTCCTCTCCTTCCTGCGCAACCAAGACATCTTCAATCAGAGGCGCGTGCGTCTAGCACGTGTGTGCATTCTTCTTACACGGCCTCTCCCGAGATAGTTCCTCACAGCGATAAGAGTTGTCGAATGCTTCCTGGAGCGCGATTGTAACAAGAACCAGGGAACTGGTCCCCGCGATGAGTATCTCAGCTTTGGCAATGACTTGCTTTGACAATACCGCATACGTAGATGAAGAATCCCACTGCCATGACATTCTTTGGTACTCCGTTGCTTTCGGATTGGCCGCGAAGAACTATGCGAGGCAGACGTAGACGAGTGGCATAGGGAGGATTATCACGTATCGAGGGCATAGAAGATTGCCTCGTCCGACGTGACGATGAAGTTCAATGGCAATTTTCCGTAGGAGCAGAGGATGTCTGCTGGCTCCCACTCCGTTGCCTCTTCGAAAGCCTCTCTAAGTCACTCTATGGTCACTTTCTGCGATCGTTGTCTGCAAAGGCATACAGATTAACTCAGACGAAGCTGACCTTGTACTGTATAAGGTAGTAAGGCATCTCCGAAGGTTCTCGGCCCGAAGCGACGCCGGCATCGGCGAGTGGACCCTTGTGCTCCAGGAAAGGAAGGAGCTCTGGATACCACACCTCTCACAAAGTATCCCCCAACATGTCAACCAAAGTTCTTGTGTTCGGTGCGGGCGGTGTTGGCTGCATCTATGCGGCTATCCTAGAGAGAGGCGGCGCCACGGTGACCTGTGTCTGCCGGACAAACTACGAGGCTGTCAAAGCGAATGGAATCCTCATCAGATCCGCCAAATGGGGACATATGCGTGCAAGACCGAATACCGTGAAGACTACGCAGGAAGCCACAGCGTATGGACCCTATGACTACGTGCTTGTCAGTTCGAAAGCCTTTCCTGGGACAGCTGGACTCATCCAGGATGCTGTGACACCTGGAATGACAGCGATAGTCCTGGCTCAGAACGGGATCGCAATTGAAGAAGACTATGCGGCATTATACCCAGACAACACCATAACCTCAGGTGTAGTCTATCTGCCAACAACGCAGGTCCAACCAGGCATAGTGGAGCACGGCACACCACTCCAGAGATTCGAGATCGGAACCTTCCCGACAAAGGCATCAGCGGAGGCCAAAACACAAACACAACGGCTGTCCGAGCTGTTCACCGCAGGAGGCGCAGATGCTCCGATTTACGAAGATATCCAGCTGCGAAGATGGAACAAGCTTTCCGTCAATGCTTGCATGAACCCCATCGCGGCGCTCACGCTATGTGATGATGCAAATTATCTACGTTCATCGAAATATGCTTTGGACATGGCGAAAGACGTCATGAGAGAGATAGGCGTGCTGGCTACAGCAGTAGGCTACCCGGATGCTGTCACTGAAGCCGAGATCGAACACCACATGGAGCGGTTCATCGAGAGGTTGACAAGCGGTGGCAAGGAGATGAGTATGTTGGTCGATATCCGCAACGATCGGCCGATCGAGGTTGAAGCCATACTCGGCAATGCAATTCGAAAGGCAGAGGAATTGCAAGTTCTGGTTCCTTACCTGAAGATGCTCTACGTCTTGGCCAAAGCGAGAGATTTCGCGACGTTGAAAAATGACGGCTGGAAGCCAATCAGGACGATAGACTGAAGGTGGTGTTGGACACGAAAACATTTCGAGAGCAATGCCTTCTTCATATCTGCGATTGTATGTGACCAGTCTTCTCGCGCGAGCCCTCGAAGACAATGTGCCCATACTCTGCGAAGCGTTCACTCCCGCATCGCAAAATGACACCGTGCTCTGCGAAGTGCTTTGTATGATGGTATGCATGATGCTTTTCGGTTGAAACCGGTTTCGGACGTGCTGCCAAGAGCGAGATTGAAGTAGTGGATCTGTGTAACAGCGAGCGGTCAAGCTCCTATAACATGCTTTCGGAATCGGCATGGAAATAAGACTAGGGTGGATCATGCACACGATGTGCTGGCTTGCGTGGTGGGGGGTGCGTTGCGATGCGCTTCTCGCTATGGAATCTTTGGGATCAGGCCGTAAGATGGCGTGGCGGATCAGGTGACAGGGAACGTCCATGTCCATGTCCATGGGGAACTATAATAGGGTGTTGCGTGACTAGACTGTTCTTTTATCAGCGAAAAGAACAGACGAGAGCAGCACGAGCAAGACAGTAGAGCAGCGTACAAGATGGCTCCAGTCACAGACTTTCATATCAAAGAGAAGTACACGTACCTGAATGGCTTCGGAAGCTATCATGGGTATGCCCAGTCCCAACGCATTGAAACCGCGACCTGCTCAACTGCTCCAGGTCCGAAGCTCTGCCAGATGCTAGTCCGCTGGTGAACAACTCGCCCCAGAAGCCACCTTATGGCCTCCGCACAGAAAGGATCTCGGGCACAGCATTCACTGCTCCGCGCCATCAGAATCTTCAGACTTTCATGTACCGGATCAGCTCCTCGATAGAACACAGCACATTCATTCCACATGGAGCTGCTCCAAAGCTGCCGACTAATCTTACCCCAAATGCGTACATGTGGCCTTCTTTTTCTTGCGCTGACGATACGGATTGGACTCGTCAGGAATTGTTGGCCGGGAATGGGGATCCCAGTGCAAGGATGGGATGCGCTCTTTGGTTGTTCGCTATAACAAAGGATATGCCTGAGCGCACCGCCTCCTCTTCCCTGGATGGAGATCAGCTCATTATCCCTCAAGCGGGTACGCTCGACATCCAGACCGAACTTGGCAAGCTTCTCGTCCGTCAGAACGAGATTGCTGTGATTCCTCGAGGCATTCGATACCGTGTGACGCTTCCAGCGGGTGCTGCTCGTGGATACGTCTGCGAGCTGTTCCAGAGTCACTTCCAGCTTCCAGAGCTCGGTGCGATTGGTTCTACGGGACTAGCCAACGTTCGGGACTTCCAGATTCCAACGGCGTATTTCGATGGTGAATTGAAAGACGGCGTTGCTCGTGCCCACGATACCGGGGAATGGACGATGCTCTCCAGACTGGGTGGAAGGCTGTGGTCTTGCGCTCAGAACCGAACCCCCTTCGATGTCGTGGCTTGGCACGGTACGAATTATCCGTACAAGTATGACCTGGCCCGTTTCTGTGTGCTGGAGAACGCAGTGTTCGACGAACACGACCCGTCCCTGTTCGTCGTACTGACAGCACCGTCCGGAGATCCGGGTGCTGGCGTGGTAGACTTCGCCATCGTGCCACCAAGGTTATAAGTGGAGCTTAGATCTCTTCAGCCCAAGGAATGTGCTAACAGCTGCCAGATGGAAAGTCACCGAGGATACCCTTCGAATCCCATACTACCACAGAAACGTCTGTCCAGAGTTCTACGGTCCTATCATCTCCGCGCAAGATCCAATGCATCCTCTGAATGCCGCGAGCGAGGGTAATGCATTCTTCCCGTTCTGTGCTGGGCTCAATGGGAACATGGCAACCCATGGTGCCGCCGAGGAAGATTTCCAGAGGAATTCGAACGAAGAGTTGAAGCCGACGAAGACGACGAACGACGGGTATTCGATTTTCCTACTGGAGACCCAGAAGCCGCTGTTCGTCAGTGATTGGGCTGAGGAGGCCGCAAAAGGAAACTCGAGGCCAAAGAAGAGGGGGGATGCCAAGATGTGATGAGCCGATTGAGATTAGTATCTAGCGTAGTAGGTACATGTTATTTCCCTCCCTGCTGCTTTCGGGTGAGGGCATATGTGACGCACACCGTAATCAGATGAGTCACTCCTTCTGTTTGTTGTCCGCCCTTGCAAGGCAAGACACATCTGATGAGTCTATAAATTCCATTTTAGTCTTCCTTCCTCCAATCACAAGGCGACGCAGTTATAGTGCAGTGGTTTAGCACGTATCATTGTGGATGTTAGCAATAACAGAAATACTGATGAGACCCATGTTCGAATCATGGTAACTGCAGCATAGAAACGCTGTCAGCGTTCAATTCTTTTGCTTTTTGCGCTTCGTTTGGAGTACTGGCCTCCCTCATTTGTCGAGCACGTGTCCGTGGAACTTGCGAGTATGAGGAATCAACGAGGACCAGGAGGATCGTTTCGATTTTCCCATCAAGCTCGACTCGTGGCATCGAGCAAGATTTTTTTTGCACAAGGCTATTTTTTCTCTTGTGGGCTTTGGCTCTCGGTCTTCCAGCCGGAATTAGAAGGTGAGCCCATCGTTTGCCAATAGCCGATACAGTCCTCATTCTAATTGAAATTGCTCCCCTTTCTTCTTTTGCTCTCCAAGGGCGCTTGTTACGAGGAATATTGTAAAAGCCAGAGCGCGACGAGCAAGCGATATTACTATTCACGGCAGAATCGATCGGTGGTATCAAAAGGCTCCTTTTGGATGCGAGGAGAAAACGTTTTCAGGATCTTTCTATCGATTTGGGCGGAAAGAGAGAAGAGGAGAGAAAGTTTGATAGCGCTACGAAGCGAGATATCGCGTGCGCCAAGACCTCACGTGACGATCCTGTCGACTGTCCCAGATTCGGAGAAGATCGAGAGTCATTTGAATTGCCTGTGTCATTGTCCTCTGTGCTAGAACTTCTCCATGCTCTCATGCATCATCGTCGATAAAGGAAACCCTTTCTCTCAGCGGCCAGCACAACCGTGGCCGCCTGCAGAACACCACCGAGCGCCGCACCATGCCATGCCATGCCATGCAGAAAATACTCATCCAATACAAAACATAATCGCTCGCTGAAACCTCATAAAATCTCCTTGATCTTTTGCTTCTGTTCCGCCGTCAAGCTTGTGGGAAACTTGATCTTCACGCCAACGATGAAGTCTCCGCGTACACTCGGCGTCTTGCTCTTAGGCATGCCGAGGCCGGGGAACCTTTCGGTCCAATCTGGCTGCGTAGGTCCTGAGCTTCCGACGGACACCTGCTTGCCGTCGATGGTCTGGACTGTCTTCTTCCATCCGGTCAAAGCCTCCTTCAAGTCAATCTCAACGGTGTGTTTGATGTCGTCTCCGTCGCGTGTGAAAAGTGGATGTGGCTTCTCCTTGACGATGAAGTGTAGATCCTGCACACCACCCTCCACTTGGTCGCCCATGTCCGGGTACTTGATCTTACTGCCGGCCTTCAGGCCGCGCTTGATCGGCACCGACAAGATCTTGTCTTCCACACTCTGCTTCATTGTTTGCGCATCGTATGTCTTCCGCTGTACTTTCAACTTCTTCGTCGTGCCGTTGAAAATGTCCTCCAAGCTGACCGGGAGCGGCTTCTCTACCACCGTCGTCTCAACCTCTGGCTCCGGCCTCCTTCGGCTGAAGCCACCGCGTCCACCGGAAGATCGCGGTGTTCCACCCATGCCTCCGAATCCGAAGGCGCCAAGGGGGTCATCGTCATCTGCGCCTCCGCCCATACCTGCTCCACCACCCCTCATGAACTCCGAAAAAATGTCCTTCGGATCACTGAACCCTCCAAAGCCCCGGCCACCAGTGCCCGTACTGAAATGGAACGTCCTCGCTCCGCCCCCACCAGCACCACCTCCAAATCCACCCGGCATACCACCCGGCATTCCACCCGGCATGCCACCCATACCAGCGAATGGATTGCCTCCCATATCGCCCTCCTGCGGCGGAGGACCCGCCTTGCCGGTTATGAAATCGTAGCCATAGTTGTCATAGTTTTTCCGCTTCTCGGGATCTGAGAGGATCTCGTATGCTTCGCTGACTTCTTTGAACTTTTCTGCACCGGCCGGATTCTTGTCTGGGTGGTTCTTGAGAGCGTTCTTGCGATAGGCCTTTTTAATCTCGTCGGCCGTTGCGGTAGCAGGGACGCCGAGGCGGTCATATAGTTTGGTATCTGCAACCATTTTGAGTTTGCAGCAGTCGATCGGATGTGCGAAGAGACCAGAGTGTTGTTGTGAACTCGTAAGGTAGGTGGAGTTCTCTCTTGTCGTGGCTCGCTCGGGTGAATGTGTGCGGCCGATTCAGGCCTCGATGGCCTCACGAGCTCAAGGGAATCGTGATACGTCAATGGTTGAGCGCGTGTGAGCTTTTAGACTCTCGATTTAGACTCGCGATTGGAAAGAAAGAGGCGAATTGAATTGTTGCACAGACTAGCAAGTGGAGGAGAGAACGAGGTCTTGTGGTGATGTCCAAGTCTACGGAATCACAGCGAACCTGCTTCGATGCAGCGGGCCTATCATGTGACGCAATGCGATCGATGCTTCGAGAACTTTCTACCGTAATGCCAGGCTCGCAGTTGAACTCAATGCGCTCAAGACTTGAAGAACAGTATGGCGTCTCACATCATGGTTACGCGATCGTTAGCAGTCCCGAGATACATAATTTCGCATCCAATTCTGTCCTTGGGTGAAGTGAAAGGCGGTCAATGACATGCACGAGGCGCGAGCTTGGAGGGATGCGGCGGTGAAACGATGCCTGCTTCATCGAAGCTTCATGTCTCTTTGTCCTTATGGTCAAAGATGACGGACGAGGTGATATCTACAGATCATATTCCATGCGCCTTTAAGGCCGCTTCAAACGCACGCCAACGCCATCGCTGAAACCAACACACGAGTAGCAACAAGCCATGGAGGCTTTTAGGGTTCGTGCCGGTCGACCAGCTCGTACTCTCCCTGCCGTGTTCTCCGCGCCCAGAATGGTATTCTTTGTCGGATAGATTGGGTCTTCCATCGGGGTACCTCGGAGGGTGTGAGGAAGTACTTTCGGTAGCTCCACCAGCCGAAGAAGATGAGGCCGCCCCCGAGGACGAAGCCCACAATGGTCACGAGAACCCAATTACGAGCCAGCTGTATAGCCTGTTAGCAACCTTGTATGACCCAGTACATGCGCCGCACTTACCCAGAATATCAGCTGCACATCATAGCCGTGCCAGCTGTTGCCCAAATGGTGCGTAAAGAAGCTCCATGGGTGGCTGTTGTACTCTTCAGGAAACAGGATCCTGATACGTCCCCCGTCTGCTCCGTCTCCCACGTTGAATCCGTCGTCACTATAGTGCCTCCAGATGATACTCAAAAACAGAGGCCCTGTACTGGCCATTACAGTGATGTAAGGCAGGAGCCAACTCCGGTCGTAGTTCGCGAGTTCGTCTATTACTCGCTGGAAGAAAGGATGATGCGGCACAGCACCCATGGCATCGTTGCTGACTCCAGTCGGCACCGTCTTTCTCACAAACGCAGGATAGTCCAGGAGTGGCTCCAAACTTCGATTGCACCCATCGTCCAAGTCAATGTATACTCCTCCATAGTAATCCAGCACAAAGTACCGAATCGCATCCGCTCTCTGAATCGGATACCGATAGTTCTGGAAAGTCTCCAGAAATTCCGGATACTCTGCCTCAATGAAATCCACTGACATCTTGTCGGTCCACAATTTGTACTCCCATTCCGGATCTTTGTGCAGCTCCAAACAGCTTGCTTGCGCCTCTTGCCATACAGGCGGGATGCTCGTGTTGATATATGTTTGGTGAATGATTTTCGGTATCAAGTGTTTGCTGCGATCTTGTGGTTCAGAGCCAACAGGCGGCAGTTCGTCTTTTGTGATTGCGTCGTCGATTCCGCTCACGACTAGTAGCTCGAGAAGGGTCCATACTGAGTGTACGAGGAAAGCGACCAGCGCCAGGTTGAAGATGAGGAATAGAACAACGCCGCGTCGCATTGCGATTGCGATTGCGAGCACGCGGAATGCTCTGCGATGATCTTCTTCTTCGTCGCCGTGTTGAGTGTTTACTCCTCCCCCAGTCGACGGTACAAATCGTATGGCTCGTATGCGGGGCGTCGAGAATCAAGCGTCCATGATGACAGTGGCAAAGGAGCGTCGTTGTGGAGCTCGTCGTCGCGAGATATACCGGGGCAGAGGCTGTATTGTATATGTAGAGTCGCAAAAGTGTGGTGTGAGAGGACGGGGTAGGACATGTAAGGCTGTGCACTGGACGGATCTTGGCCCGCGTGGAGGCGCGACAGCCGCCTCCCGGAAGTCGAATGGACCTCGTGGGCCGGGAACCGTCGGCTATACCTTACCTTCTATCCCGTGCCGACCAACGACCATCGCATTTGAGGACCCAAAGTGGAATACATCGCTATTCGGATGTAACAATCGCTGAGAAGAGACACGACCAGAGACCTGCGGGAGAGAGTTATCTCCGGCTGACAGGCGTTCCTGACGACACCGACGACATCCGCAATGACCTGCCGGATGTACGCGTACAGGCACGAGGTGCAGGGCGGCTGACTTTACGTGCCTGACATTCTTGCATATCCATCTCTTCCGACAACTCTGCATCCGGGCTGTCCGTGTAGACTACGGGACGCCGTCACGGTATCCTCCTTCTTCACCTACAGAATGCGCGTATTCACACCGAGACGCGTGCGAGCTCCCCTATTTCCTCGAGGGTAGCGAAGAGGGACGTCCAGTTACTCACGCTCAACACTCTAACACTCTATGGAACGCAACATGGACATCAATGCGACCATTGCAAGAAGCGGGAAGTTATGACGCAAACACCTTAGCTTTCAAGACCGTTTTCATTGCTTTGGAGCACCATCTTACGGGGCCGTCGCCTTGGCGTAGCTCTACAGTTTGGTGGATTATGTGGATCCGGAGACGGGCGATAAAATGGAACAAAAGTCGAGATCAATAGTAGAGAAATTATCTCAGGAAACTAACTTGCTCAAAATACGCCGTTGCGAATCTTCATCAGAATCCTATGGTGTTTAACGAGTTCTTCCTTGGGGTCACGGTTCTGAAATATCTCTGGATCTCAACGCGAATGCAACGACAATATATGCTGGCTGGGCAAAAACCATCGGTTGACCTGGACAGATTCGCGGGTCTCCTCAGAAAGCATCTACTCGCAATCGCGACGCTATGCAAACTTTGAGTCTCCAGGCCATCGTCCAGGCCGAAAGCTATCCGCATCAACGCCTCATGCAGCTTGATCTCGCTGAACGGCGTGCATATGTGCAACGACCGCGGGATACTTCGAAACGAATGTGGACCAGTCTCTATCCAAACCACCGCCGCGCGAGAGGGCAGCGCCGGTGAGGACGTCACGAAGAACATAAACTGCAGGGCCGTGGAGACGTAACGTCTCGTTCATGACTGCGTTGACGTACAGAAGATCCTTCAGGGCTTCGTATGTCGGGCGACCCTTTGGATTTTTTGAACCTTCTGCGCGAGCTTCGCATATACCTCAGGATGTCGGGTAAGCTGGAACATGATCAGGCTGATCGCGATGCCACTTGCATCGTGGGCTGGAAAGAAGGTGTTGAGGATCTGGCTTCACTTGTTCTCTTCAAGGCCGCATCGACATGCTGATCAACGAAAGAAGCACGATATGGCTGATCGATGTTCTTGGTCCCACCTCTGTATCAACGAACAACCCGGAGTGTCTGCGAACGTACTATCCCCAGAAGTGACGCATCGTACGCAGCTATGAAAGCTTCCGCGTTGATCTTGAAAGAATCTCCAGCAACAGTGTCGACATAGTCACCAAACTGGAGATCGATGGAGTAGCCCAAGTACTGGAGTCTGAAGTCAGCGTGATCTCTCTGGCCCATGGAGCGCCAGCACTCTTCGAATGACTTGTCGTTTCCAAGAACAATGGTCGTAGATCTGTCTCGTAGTACATAGAGCTCAATCTGGTTATTAGCCTGATTAAGTGTTGGTCCAAGCGAGCCATGTCCGATATCTCCGCTTTTGTAAAGATTGGCTTCACCAAGCCCCGGGACTTCTTCCAGATCTCTCCATCTGCCGTGAAGATCGCTTCTCCCAACCTAGGCCTCGACGGCATACGGCTTGGACCGACATCAAAGTTCTTGAACTGAGTCGAAAGCATTGACTGAATGCTGACGGGATCACATCACAAATATAGAACGTTTTTACCCTTATGTCGAAAGCTTGTTACGACTCCACGCGGGGTATGCCCATGTCGAAGCATGACAAGACATCATGTCATAGGAAGGGAGAAGCAAGCGGCTTCTTCCAATGTTTCTTCTCGATACATCGCGGCCTGGTTCGTGTTGACTCTATGTCGATATTGGTTGATATTGGTTCAGGCCTCAGGCAGAGTTCATCCGGAAATCGCGGCAAGCCAGCGGGCATTGCGGAACTTCCCAGTCAGCGAGCAACTTCATCTGCTCGCCCTGGAGCAGGCCCTTCACATGTGTTTCTCATGGGCAAGAATTCCACCAAGATGCAACGCCCCCCGTCACGATAATACGGTAAATGCTCAGCGAAGGAGGTTCTGTGTGCGGAACTGTGGAAGAGTGGAGTACGTCATGGTCTCAGTACACCCAGATCTGGCAGATCACCATCTAGATAGGCGACTTACGAATCAAAAGCCCGGGGTCACTGCGGCAGATCCACATGCGGAACGTCGCCGCCGCCGCCGCCAAACAATCATCACCGGGGCTCCCTCCTAGGACCCGAGTATCTTCAGTCAGCAAACCTCCGAGAGCAGTATTTACGAAATTGAGTCCTGGAACAGCAGGTGATCGTTAATTGCATTCACTGCTCGAACAGCCCTGGCATGCCACACCACTAAACTGGAATCTTCAACATCTGATCTAATCGTCGGCAATTTTCGAGTCAAGAAACATCCCTGCCAGCAACGAATCATAGCGTCAAATACATCAGTCTGTGGTCTGAAGGAAAACGTCACGTCGTCATTGACCAGCGAAGTGCCACCCTACCGTTTCGCAACATGTCTCCGGAAAAATGGGAAGCCCCGCAGCCGGAACATCCATCAATATCCTCTGACGAAGAAGCGCGGCCCAAAGAGGAAATCGAAACGCCTCTACGAGGCCCTTCACCGGAGCCTGAGTTGAACGATGTCGACCGAGAAGCGCCGCAAGGCGCGTTAGCCAAGACAGTATCGCTGGAAAAGCAGGTGTCCCTATCGCGAGAGATCCTGGTAGTCGGACTCATTGTGCTGGCTCAATTCACTACGCAAGTCGGTCTTGGTCAGTTACTGTCCATCATTCATGTGATTGGGGATTCGTTCGGCATTACCGATCCTGGCGTTCTGAGCTGGCTGATCGCAGGCTATTCGTTGACCGTCGGCACTTTCATCCTGTTCACGGGTCGATTGGGAGATATCTTCGGATGGAAGAAGATGCTCATCATAGGCTACGTCTGGTTCGCAGTCTGGAGCCTGGTAGCTGGGCTGTCTGTCTACTCGAACCATGTTCTCTTCATCTTCGCGAGAGTCCTGCAAGGCATTGGACCTGCGATTTGTCTTCCCAATGCATTGGCACTGCTCGGAGGTCTCTATTCCACGGGCAAGAGGAAGAACATGGCGTTTGCAGTCTTTGGAGCCTGTGCGCCTGGAGGCTCGATCGTTGGAGCAGCAATGGCGGGCGTGTTTGCGCTGGCCTGGTGGCCTTGGACTTTCTGGTCAATTTCCATTACTCTCTTCATCATCGCGATCGTCGCTGCGTGGGCCATCCCAGACCCCCAAGACCACAAGCCTGGCATCAAAGGAGCTGGCATGATGGGCGGCATCGCCGAGCTCGACTTTTTCGGCGCTATCATTGGAGTCCTCGCCCTTGTGCTCTTCAATTTCTCGTGGAACCAAGCACCAATTGTCGGCTGGCAAGAGCCTTACATCATCGTCACGCTCATCCTCGGCGTTCTGCTTGTCCCCGTCTTCTTTTACTACGAAATCAAAATCGCCGAGCATCCCCTCCTACCCTTCGACGTCTTCACAAGCAGCAATGGCTTCGTCCTTGCTTGTGTAGCATGCGGCTGGGCCAATTTCGGAATCTGGGTCTACTACTTTTGGCAAATCCTCCTCGTCTTGCGTGGTGCTTCACCACTCCTGGCTTCCGCTTACCTCTCTCCTATCCCCGTCAGCGGAGGGATAGCCGCCATCGTCACCGGTCTAGTCCTCCACAAATTGCGCCCAGCATGGGTCATGGTCATCGCACTCTGCTGCTTCCTCACAGGCGTCATACTAGTAGCCACTCTGGATCCACTACAAATCTACTGGGGCCAAATATTCGTCACGTGCCTCGTCGCTCCCTTTGGAATGGACATGTCGTTTCCATCGGCGACGATCGTCGTTTCGGACTCCGTGAAAAAGGAACATCAAGGCGTAGCAGCCAGTCTGGTCAATACGATTGTCAACTACAGTATTTCCCTCGGTCTAGGGTTTGCAGGAACCGTGGAAGTGCATGTCAATAACGGAGGAGCGACTTGGGAGGACACGCTGAAAGGGTACCGAGGGGCCTTGTATATGGGCATCGGTCTTGCGGGCTTGGGGGTGTTTATCGCGATTTGTTTTGTCAGTAACAGCTATTGGGATGACAGGAAAGCTTCGAAGCGACAGGCGCAAGAACAGAATGGGGAGCCTGAGCGAAAGGCATAGCGCAGCCGGTTGTACACGTAATTCATGATCATTGAGAAGCAACAGCAATCCTCATTTCACGCATTCATACATTAAACAGAGTAACGTTCGGAAGCTCCACAACAGTCTATATATTTTCTCTTGACATTCGTGACAAGAGCCTTGTTGAAAGTAGTATAGTGACCTTGTCCAGGCACTTCGTCCTTGTTTCCGTTTCCCTTTCCTTCGAAGCCGTCGCGGAAGCCAGCCAGTAGCTCGCGGCCAGTGCCAAGCCTCGCACGATTGGTGACAATGTGCTTGGGTGAGGCTTCGATACGTTCATCTTCAACAATGCAGATGCTCTCAAAGACCCATTCCCGTATCGAGTCTGGTCAAGATCCCGAAGAAGAAATTCCCCTTAGCCCCTTGGAGACTGGAGGGACACACCTCAAGTTGGGGAGAGGAGTACGATTTGACATCGATGGTATCTGCCGGAAACTTCAGTCTATGCTGAACAATGTAGGGGCACAGTCATTATTAGCGCAAGGCGAGAGTTGACTTCGAGCGGCATAGTTGTTCACGTCTTCGTCTGGTCGCATGCAGTCCACCACCAGGGCTTCAGCTGTGAACTAGATCCGAACTGCTTGAATTCATCACATGTTCTGCCACAATGCAGGCCAGCGTCGTCAGACACATGCATAGATGGCCCTTTTGGATGCCGTAAAGACGTATTCTGCTGAGGAGAAGCGAGCTAGCAAGAGACGAAGCCGCGGATTGGTAATAGAGCAGTATAGCAAGTCTGGTGTTCAACGAACTTGGACCCCTAGCGTTGTCGAGTTTTACGATGCCTTGGTGGTGATTCAACAATCCTCCACCACCCTGTTGGATCTCATCATACAATTGGCAGGCACTTAGTATCACCGTAGCAGCAAAGAAATCGTCGTTGATTACGTTGTCCCGCTGTGAGAGAGCCTGCGAAAGACTTGACAACGCCAACGTGTGTGAAGTAACGGCCTCCCGCAGTAGTCTTCTATCCTTGTGAAGGCTTCCAATCTGGACCAGGCTTAGAGCATCCAAGCCATAGGTCAAGGCAGGTCGAGAGGAGGGCAAGGCCAACAGCAGTGGCATGGAGCCATGATGAGTCGAGGCCAAGGACTTGTCCCGTGAAAGAAGATTCTGGAGGAGTTAAAGGCTCACGGACGTGCTATACAGCTGCACTCAGTTTGCCCTAGGGCTCTGTATCCTCCAGGCGGGACCTCGAACAACTTCATTGTCGAAACGGATGGCTGCCGGACGTGATGACTTCTCGGGCGTTTCTCCAGCAAATACACGGGCAACGGCGGTCGGAGCATTCACTCGTCTGGAAGTGTCCAAGTCTGGTGTCAAGACTTAAAGTCCGGTCGGATAGCCCGGAAGGGTACTCCATGTGTTGCACATCTTTTGCAATGCGGCCACCTCTCGTCACATCTGAGCTTCCTCCTCCGGCAAAGCAGACACCCTCGACTCCGCAGCGGCATTGGCAGCCCGTCTCCATTGGACTGTGGAAAGACGCAGCGATTGCATGGCAGCGATGATATCCATGGTGCAACGACTTTCCATAGAAAACGCTGAAGCCCGCGCTCGAGTTTGTCCAGTTGGTGTGTAGTGCTCGAATCTCGTCTATGCCTCAGGCAGGAGTCTCTTGGCAAGCCAAGCCAAATTGGGCCACTAGCGTACAGTCCACCACAACTCGCAAATTCGGGTTCGCAACTTCCTCATCTTTGGATCTTCAGTTGCAGGAAGCAATATCACGCCGACACTCGCCCTCCACGACCACAGCAATGGCACCAAAGGACGCAGCGAAGTCCAACAAGGGCAGTACGTGACTACACCTGCGCAACGCCGCAATTGCAATGCTACTCCAACCGCATCAGAGCGGCGCCGCACCCTTTTGACCTACGTCTTGAAGAGAGTATACTGACATGGCTGTACAGAGGGCGCAAAGCCCAGCAAGCCGTCCGCTCAGGCATCTGCTGCCGCAAAGGCAACTCTGCGCGGTGTAAGCATCCCAGCGTCATGAGAGGCGTGTCAGAGAACCCATCATTCTGACGGCCTGTTTCTTCATTGCAACAGGTCAACTCGCACAAGACGCACAAGGTCCGCAAGACCACCTCCTTCCACCTCCCGAAGACCCTCCAGCTCTCGCGTGCGCCCAAGTACCCGCGCAAGTCGATCCCACACCAGCCCCGATTCGACGCTGAGAAGGTCATCGTCCATCCGCTCAACACCGAGAGTGCGATGAAGAAGATTGAGGAGAACAACACCCTGGTCTTCATTGTCAACGTCAAGGCGAACAAGAGGCAGATCAAGCAGGCCCTCAAGACCCTGTACGATGTCGACACCGTCAAGATCAACACCCTGATTCGGTAGGCCATCTCATAGCGTTGTGCAAATGGACATTTGCTAATACATCACAGCCCTGACGGCACCAAGAAGGCCTTTGCCCGCCTGACACCTGATGTTGACGCCCTTGACATTGCTGCCACCAAGCTGGCCATTGTCTAAGTGGACTCATTACTCGCGATTGGCTTTGCATTGGGCATTGGCGTTAGAGCGTGTCCCACGGGACAGGGTCGGAAAAACGGAGTTCAGTTCTGCCGCAGAGGGGTGCAGACTACGACCTTTCGCCGTTCAAGGTCAAGACGTAGTCCTTTAGATACTACGAAATGGCCATGCTATCAAGCAAGCCTCGCGCTACCTCGCTCATGTTTCCCTTTCACGGTACTCTCTTCTCGCGACTCACCTTCGACAGGGCGCCAAGGCATCCTGAACGGCATAACATCCCGCTCGAAGAGCTTTCTTTACCCAGATATGCTAGCAGCCACTAAGCTCGCAACTGGTCACACAGTACTACGCTACCGCTACGACTGCATCAAACATCGTGGACTGGATCGTGAGAACGCTGACTTCCGCCTGGTGTCTGGCTGAAATTTCCCAAAGCCTCGCTACGGTGTCCACGCAATTGATCATGCTGAGCGTAGTGTACATCTGTTATACATCGTATATCAAACATCATGGTACCGTGTACAAGAGCTCCCATCCATGCATCTGGCTGCCTCATACCTCCATGCTGGCTCAGCAAAGTCTCCTTCTGGCTCGCTGCTCTTGCTTTCAGAGCTTGAGAAGTGAAGCGAGCTTCCCGTAAATGCCCTAACTCTGGTCCTCTGTTTTTACGTTGTTCTCATCTTCTCCAAATTCCGGATGACGGTCATCTGGCAGTCCATGAATCGGTCGACGCAGTTGCGCATGCAAGGTTCTTCGTTGCGATCAAGGGCGCCGGAGGTGATTTTGGAAGTGACGCATTTTCGGAAGCAGGTGTCTATATGCTGATGATTAGCACTAGCTCCTCTGACAATACAGCCCTTTTACGAATGAGAGGAACAACTCGAAAAGCGTGGCTAAGCGGGGGTGGGGCTCTGCCGTTACTTGGATATTGGCAGAGATCTTCCAATTCAAAATGGTGCTGCAAATGCCTTACCAGTGAGACTGTGTACGGTTCCTTGGATTTGCGCCCTCTGGGATTCGTTCTGGACGAATTGATTGAGCTCGTTCCTATCAGCTGGGGAGAGGTTCTTCAGACCGTCGGCGGCCTCTGGGCTAATGCTGAGTTGATCCATGTCGGAGTGAGTTATTGGAATTGTGGTTGATATCAAAGTGGTTGATATCAAGACTCGAGAGAATCACCGAAACGTTTGCCGGGTTGCCTCTCTGAGGTTGCCTGAGGCATGAGATCCGGGGGAACATGATTGGACGGAGGGGCGGGAACAACCTCTTAGCACTGCAGACCCTTCGCTGAAGGTCAACTTTTGCCTGCTCAACGCCGACGGCGAGAGCTTCACCTGCAGAAACCGCTCCCTCCTCGCCCCAAACCACAACCTCACCTCACCACCACTTACATTTCAACCACTTCGGCTCCAGCGACGCTATCGATCGCACTTCTCTATTGGGCCGAACCCGCGTCGCAGAGTCTGCAAGCAACAAGATGGCCGAGCCCATCAAGAACAATCGCGCCGCCGCGCCTGCTCCGTCCGTAAACCCTCTGCTCTATTGCTTCTCACACACCTGAAACACCTGGCACCCTCTTCATCCCCGCATAGTGGAGACCGCGTCAGATCAAGACTGACAATATGGATCCCAGAACGCCGCAGAACACGCCTGCCAACAACGCTCCAATCTCGTCACACCAACAAGCCCCAAACTTGGCCAGTCTGAAGGAGGGTGAGTGGCAACCACACGCCGCTTGAGGAAAGTTATCAGCTGACTGAGAGGGGTCATACAGAGGACCTTGAGCGAGCTGCCGCAGCCAGCATCTTCGCGCAGAACCCACGCCTGGTCTCCATGATGCAGAACAAGCTCTCCTCCCTCGTGGGCAAGTCGTCTGGATACGTCGAGTCTCTGCCAGCGCCAGTACGGAAACGTGTCGCAGGCCTGAAGGGCGTGCAGAAGGAGCACTCCAAGCTCGAGGCGGAGTTCCAAGAGGAGGTTCTGGAGCTGGAGAAGAAGTTCTTTGCCAAGTTCACCCCACTCTACGAGAAGCGCGCCAAGATCATCAATGGTGCCGCTGAGCCTACCGAGGACGAGGTCAAGGCTGGCGAGGAAGATGAGGAAGAGGACGAGGAGGCCGAGGCTGAGAAGGCGGAAGCTGACAAGAACGCATCCGACGCTGATACGAAGGGCATTCCGGAGTTCTGGTTGAGCGCAATGAAGAACTCTTCGCTTCAAGAGACCATCACCCCTCGGGATGAGGAGGCACTCAAGTTCTTGACCGACATCCGCATGGAGTACCTCGACCGCCCTGGCTTCCGCCTGATCTTCGAATTTGCCGAGAATCCCTTCTTCACCAACAAGACCATCACCAAGACATACTTCTACCAGGAGGAGAATGGCTACGGCGGCGATTTCATCTACGACCACGCTGAGGGCGACAAGATCGACTGGAAGACTGGCCAGGACCTGACAGTCAAGGTGGAGAGCAAGAAGCAGAGAAATAAGAGTACGTGCGGACAGAAAAGAAAAAACTCGAAACTGGTCAAGTTTCACGACGACTTTCAGTTAAGCTAACTTATGCTACAGACACCAAGCAGACCCGTATCGTCAAGAAGACGATCCCAACGCCTTCATTCTTCGACTTCTTCAACCCTGCCAAGCCACCAGAGGAGGACGATGATGAGATTGACGAGGATATCGAGGCCAAGCTCGAGCTCGACTACCAGCTCGGTGAGGATATCAAGGAGAAGCTCATCCCACGTGCCATCGACTGGTTCACTGGTGAGGCACTGCAATTCGAGCAAGGTCTCGATGACTTCGACGAGGACGACTTCGAGGACGAGGATGACGAAGATGAGGATGAGGACGAGCGCGACGACGACGACGAAGATGAAGATGAGGATGAGGTGAGTCGAATTACAAGCGTTTCTTGCAAGAGCTAGAATTTACTAATGCCCCAGTAGGAGGATGGCTCAAAACCCAAGCAAGAGGCCGCCGAGTGCAAGCAGAGCTAAGCTGAAGCTCTCTCGCACGTGATCTCAACCCGCTCACCGCCCTTGCTTATCCGAATACCCGCAACGGAATCTTCCTTCCCAACGGCACCAGCATCCCAACGTCGGCATCGGCGTGATAGACCATGATCGACCGCGACACAGTCCACGTCACATTTGCAGGCGGCTTGTACATTGAACCCCCGGACCCCTCATCCACCCGCCTCAACTGCATCGACGACGGCATCACAACCCATTACGCTCCCTTTTTAATGACGACGACTGCCCACCCGACACTATCGACTGATTTTCTGCAACTGGCACAAAAAAGCATTCCAAACGGCGTTTCCCCTCGTGATTTTCTCGGTCCTCCCTCCATCGTAAGCGGCAGTGGCCCGACCGAAATGCGAAGTTGAAGCGAAACTACCCTCTCAGCTCTTTTTCAGTGTGGGATCGGAAGGAAGGCGCACTACGGCTAGCGAACGAGTGCAAGTGCAAGATCAATGATGCTGCTTGCTGTGTTGGGAGGCTACATGCCTGTCTGTCTGCTGTTCTTGTTTCCCCCTGCACGAGTGAGCGAATGCGATGGAATGCGATGCAATGAGATGGGGAGATAGTGCTTTCAATGCCTGCTGGGAACTTTTGTCTGTGCTTTTCCAGTACTCCGTTTGGTTCCTCGCGCTTGTCAGTCGATTCGTTGTGGCCTTGTGAGCGCACTGACTACTAACTTTGTATGGAGTGCTTGCTCTGCCCTGGACAATGGATTGTGAACTAAGACGAGTCGAAGGAGGTCCTCTGTGATGATGAGACATAAGAGAAAGCCTCTGGAGATGAAGTCGACTGTCGAACGGTGTGAGAGGAATATCCTTTCGTTCTGAATTGCTTACGAAGTGTAGGAGAATAGCAGTGTGTATGCACCTGCTTGGTGTCGTCCATCCCGAACATGCCTGGTGCAGACTGCTTGCAAGCTCATAAGGTACGAGCTCGGTGAGAAATTGCTGTGTTGGGTAGTTGCGCTCTCGTCTTATATGATGTTGTGTGGGGATGGATGATTTGGCCCCGAGGGGCAGAGGGCTGCGAACCCGGTAGTCGGTAGCAGTGGCTTTTCGGGAGATGAAACATGTCAACCGCATTGATGGGAATAGGGCGAGGCTCTGTGTGGCCATGTCAGGATTCCAGTGCCTTGGCGGTCGTCCTGCTGGGCTTCCCGGCGATAAGGTAGCTGGACGGAGCGTGAAAGCGGTGCTTAGTAGGCGATACGGTTCGACGAAGCGTCGTGGGAGGTATCTTGATTATTGGAGCTGTCTGCTTGACGCGGTTGTCTACTGACGAGGTCCTCGAGCTTGCGTTGGCGTAGATGATGAGCCAGGTCTGCATTGGGAGATGGCCTGACGTGGTGGTATATCTCAGGCATCTCCACAGTGGTGGTACAGGGGACGCGGTGCTCTGGAGCTGCAGATATAGGAGGTCATCATGGAGCAGCAGGTCGTGCGTTGGGGATCTGTGTAAGCGATGGACCTACCTAACGTCGATGCCTGTGGTCTGCATCGTCACAGGTGCATCGTCACAGGTGAAGTCTGCAAGCTCGCGGTGCCGCGGTGCTGAGAAGCATCGATTGGAGGATGCATGTAGATGATGGCAAAGAGCCTCTAGATCTGCAATATGCCTATGTTGCAAGCTTCCACGTCGTCGGGTGCAAGATGAAACACCGGAACAGCGTATCTGGGATCGTCCAGTAGAGAGTGTTGCTCAACCCGCTGGTGGCATTGGACAGGAGTTCATGTCCGCGGATAGGTGGTGGAGGGCTACGTATGATACGGTCACATCTTTCGCAACGTCGAAACGACATTACTTGCAGAAGAACTGCGGAATATTGAAGCGAGTATCCCTCTCCTCTCCGAAGGCGGGTCGGCACCGCGCGCACGGATCACTTGTGTTGAAGTGAATGGTGGCTGGCCGACTCACGAGGCTTTCTGCGCTTCGATATTGCCCACTGGGCCTGGACGGCCGAGGTAAAATGTCGGCTTTGGGACAATGGAGTGGTCGGCAGATTGCAGGAGCTGGGACTGGTTAATGGACGAGGTGATATACTACTATATACCACCATCTGCCGCCGCAGCCGGGCTCGCTTGCGTGGAGTGTGGAAGTTGCGGTGGGGGAGTAGCGAGGAATGTATTGAATATATATTGAGGCGAGAGAGGCGATCTGATCTGCTGTGAGGAACATTGAAAGGGAGAAAGAAGGAGACGTGAGGTCGAGGTGCCACTGCCACCACCCCTGCGTCGATCTTGTCCGTAATGCCACAATGCCGCCGAAAACTTCTACAACTTCCACTGCAACTTCCACTTCCACCTCCTCATCATCCTCGAATGTCACTGCACCTGCACCATCACCTGGATGGGAACGCGACTATCACGCCTACCTGAGCCGTCTGCGCTCCGCTCATGCCAATTGGGTCGGCCATGAGACGACCCCTTCCTCATGCAACTTCGCATCCGAGCAGGCAGACCAGCTGAACCACGCAATTCACCCGCGTCCATCATCTGAACCTCCTCCGTCAACCACATCACCTCGCGGCGGACAGCGTTCATCACGTGGCAGCAGGAGAATCCAGTCGAGAGATTCGCAACAAGAAGCCGAGCCGGAAGCCTCATCATCAGCTGATCCTGAGCCAACATGGGAACGACAATCAGGAACTCCAAGAAGAAGCCAGCGCTCAGGACCGGGCGCCCGCCCACCGCAGCCAAGCCCAAGCGCAGCATCTCCTCCAAAGCCACTCAAAAGACCATCGTCACCTTCCACAAGTACGCCCCTCCACCAAAGACCCAGAAACCAGCATTGAGACCCTTGCTGATCCTTCCCTTCTTGATCCGCAGCCTCTCCAAAGAGCTCCAAAAGGCCAAGACCAGAGATGACAAGGAGCGAGTCTCCGCCATCGAGAATCAGATCGACCAACTCGGCGGAATCAAGGCCTATCAGGAAGCCAGCATTCAGGGACAAGCCGTAGATCGCGGAGGCGACACGTCGATTGTCTTGTTGAACTGGTTGAAGCCAGTACAGCAAGATCTTGCACAGCTGGACTCCAAGTTCAAGCTGTTGGAGGTGGGCGCGCTCTCCACCAAGAATGCCTGCTCGAAGTCGGGCCTCTTCGATGTTACCCGTATCGATCTGAACTCCCAGGGCCCTGGGATCGAGCAGCAGGACTTCATGGAGCGACCTCTGCCGCCTTCCTCGGAGGAGCAATTCGACATCATCTCATTGTCATTGGTGGTCAACTTTGTTCCCGATGCGACGACCAGAGGGGAGATGCTGAAATATACGACCCACTTTCTCCGCTCACGTCCATCACCACCGGCGATTCTCACGGATTATAGGGCTTTACTCTTCTTGGTCCTTCCCGCTCCTTGCACCTTGCATTCCCGCTACTTCAACGAGGAGAGACTCGCCCTCATCATGGCAGAGCTTGGATACGCCATGGTCAACAGGAAGGAGACGAGAAAGCTTGTCTATTCTCTCTGGCAGCTGTGCGACAAACCCCCTTCTAAGATGCAGAATTTCCCAAAGGTCAAGGTCAGAGACGGCGCGAAACTTAACAACTTTCACATCGTGCTCGACAGAGACTGAGATTTCCGAGTGACAGAGAATTGCGACTCGCCCAAATTTTCGAAATGCATTTGGATTTCAGACATCATGCGATACCCAAGCGACGGCGTTGGCGGGCGTTGACTATTATGCTGTACGCCGATCTGTAACATGTAGTGATAGTTGATGTAATGAGTAGATACTCGGCGAACAACATCTTCGACCGCACTGCCAAGTCTCGATTGGGCGTAACATTGTAAAGGATTGTTCATGCCTGAGGCACCAACGCCAAGGCCATGCACCGCCCTGCTGGCCTATCTCCGCTTCCGCAACGCATCTTTCATTGTTCGTATGCAGCAACGTTGAATCGTCGGCGGAGCTCGAAGTTGATATGCACACACGCGATATGCAGGCACGCGATATGCACGCGCGCCGAGCGGCCAAGCTTGACTCCCGGGAAGGGCAAGCGTCTTCACTTGAGAGCAACAGCCAATTCTGTACATGATCGAGTTTCCGCCTGAGAGGTGTGCTGCGCTGAGCAGTCATCAGAAGGCATTCCCTTCACTCCTTTGGTCTCATCATGGCGATATCAAGCCTTCTTGTGACCCTTGCACTAGTCGTCAAGAGCATCCATGCCTCGCCAACCAATTCCAGCGCCGTTCCACTGGCTACGGTTCTGAATGGAACTTATGCTGGGCTCTACCTACCCACTTTCAATCAGGATGTCTTTCTTGGCATGCCTTATGCGCAGGATACCGGTGGACCGAACCGCTTTCGAATCCCTCAAGCCGTCAATGAGAAGTGGGACGGAATTCGAGATGCGAAGAATTACAGTATGGCCTGTCCGGATATCTCCCCGGAGGATTGGGTTTATGGTGTCGGGGAGGATTGTCTGAGTATTAATGTCGTGAGACCGGCTGGGGTGGATCTGAAGGAGGGGGAGAGGTTGCCTGTGGCTGTTTGGATTCATGGTAAGTCCATTGATCGAGTGGTAGGGGATGTGCTGATGTCGTGGTGTAGGTGGAAGCTATCAGACTGGGACAAGCAGTCTGCAGAATCACAATCTGTCGTATATAGTGGATAGATCTGTGGAGATTGGAAAACCCATCTTGGCGACGAGTATTAATTATCGAAAAGGAGGCTGGGGAATGATGTATAGTAGGGAAATACAGGTGACTACTTCCCTTCTCCGAGCTCTGTAGTATGCCAGCGACTGAAGATCATCATAGGGTTCCGGTAATACCAATCTCTCCCTTCGAGATATGCGAAAGGCTCTAGCTTGGATCTCAGAGAACATCCACGCTTTCGGCGGCAACAGTTCGCAAGTGACAATCTGGGGCGAATCAGCCGGATCTTTCGCGATCGGCCAACTACTCATGACCTATGGCGGTCGCTCCGACAATCTCTTCCACGGCTTCATTCAGGAATCGGGCAGTGCGGCTACGGCTTGGTATAACGGCTCGGATTGGTATCAACCCATCTACGACAAAATTGTCAACCAGGTCGACTGTACCGACGCCATCGACACGCTGGAATGTCTGCGCACAGTCCCCTATGAGGATCTGTATCCCTTCATGAACTCCTCCACCGTCGCCGGCCCAGGCTTCTACCCGACTGTAGACGGAGACATCATCCCCAACTATCCCACCATCCTCCTCGCCGAAAACCGCTTCGCGCACATTCCCCACCTCTACGGCACGAATTCCGACGAGGGCACGGCCAACGCCCCCTCGGACAACATCATCAACACAGACGACGACCTCCGCTGGTACCTCCGCACCCAGACGGGCTTCAACTTCCCGAATTCCACCATCGAAACGCTCTTGACCCTCTACCCGGACGACCCCGCCCTGGGAATCCCCCTGAACACCGGCCCCGAGCGCTTCGCAGCCCATGGCGCCCAGTATAAACGCATCGCGGCCATCCTGGGCGATGTCTTCTACCACGCGCCGCGCCTCGCGGACGCCAGGGCGTATTCCGCCTCCGGCGATCGGACGTACATCTACCGCTTCAACACGCGTCCATTTTCCGGCACGACGCCGGCCTGGCAGGGCGTGGCGCATTTCAGCGAAGTGGCGTTTGTTTTCAATAATCCGACGGATATCGGTCCTTTTTTGGGGGGTTATGAAGCTCTTGGGAAGACGATGAGCGCGCTGTGGATTTCTTTCATTCGTGCGGGGGATCCTAATGGGGTGGGATTGCCCTTGTGGCCGGAATATGGATATGGATATGGCAATGGGGATGGGAGTGGGAAGGGGAAGGATCTGGTGTTGCAGACGGAGGCGCAAGGGGGCTGTGTGGTGGAAGAGGATGTGTGGCGGTTGGAAGGGCGGGAGTTTTTGAGTCGGTGGGCGAGGAGGCGGCATGTGTAAGGTAGAGAGAGTAGTGTAGCGATTTCATCAAATGGGTGGGTGGATGGAAGGGAAGGAAAAAATCTAGTTTTTACCGTTTTGGATTTATCGACACTTATTTCCGTCCGATCCCGGCTGCTCTGCTCTTCGTGACTTGTGGTGGTGGTGGTCATTGTCGGACACGAACACAGCATATCGACGTTTTTTTCTATTTTCTTGTGAGTAGCCGTTGCCACGCTCCGTGCGCTGCGCTTGAAAAGGTCACAGACGATTCACAGGGAGATGTCGTCGGAACCAACCGGGTCACGCACATGCCACATGGGCGGCGGTATGTGTAACCCAGGACACGCGCAAGAAGCAAAAGCAAGAAAAAGCCCGAGGCGTTTCGTTTACCGTCTGAAACAAGCCACAGAGAATCCATTCATTCATTCATTCATTCATTCATCAGGTAGTACCGAACGCCCCCCCCCCGCCCCCGACGGGTGTGGCAAGTGGTTGAGACACTCTCCTTCTTCAAGATCCTAGGTGTGCTACTCGAGTCGGGGGAAAAAAGTAGTTCGAAGATGACGATGATTATGCTAGAAGAGGATTCCAAATTCCAAATTCAAAGCCCTCCTCTCCGTCATGTTTGGGCGATAGGTAATCTTGCTTGGTATATATATACAAACATTCATTCACATTTCAGTCCGTCTGTCTTCCATCCAGCTCTGGTGGAGGATATTGGGTAGGGTAGGGTATGGTAGATAGGATAGATGGATGGATAGATTTGCTCGCAGCGGCTGCATAGAATTGAAAAAAAAAAAAAAAAAAAAAAAAAAAACCTTTTTTTTCTTCTCCCTTTCTCTTCGCTTCGCTTCGCTTGCCTCGCTTTCCACGTTCTTCCTCATGCGGTATGACCGCCACAAAGCCCCCTTTTGATAAAAGTGAAAACGAGAAGAGAGATGAGAAATGCCACAATGATGATTCAATGCGTAGATACGAGATATCGAGAAAGAAAGAAAAGCACTTCGCTTCTTCGATTACCCTCCCAAAAAAAATATATATATATATGCCCCTTTCGTTCGGTATCGCTGCAAATGCAAAATTTTTTCCCCTTTCATTCCCAAATCCAAATCCAAGTCCGGAACAAGCCATTCATCCGTCCCTCCCTCCCTGCCTGCCTGCCTCCATCATCATCATCATCGTCATCATCTAGAGCAATCTCCTCGCCGGTCGAAAGTTCAAATTACGCCTGTGCTTAGCCGCCGTAGCATTGCAAGCGGTGGGGACGAAGATGCCCAGATCGTACAGCCAAGCACCGCTGTTGAATTCGGAGTAGACGGTTTCGATGAGCCAGGGCTCGTCGTTGCCGCTTCCGGCGTAGATGGTCTCCATGACGACGATGCCCGTGACGGGTTCTTCGGGGACGACGGTGCCCGGGGCGGAAGTGCGCCAGCGCATCGTGACGGTGTCGCAGTTGTGCCAGGTGTTGAGGATCTCGAAGGGGATGGCGGGCTGCGAGCCCTGGCCGGCCATGAAGGAGGCCAGGGAGGTGAAAGTGGCCGCTCCGAGGGCTTGCGGGCCGTTGGGGCAGCCCGAGTTGATCAGCTCGGCTACCGAGTCGGAGTAGTCGGTGAAGTCGGTGCAGAGGGCCTGTTCCGCGAGCTCGGGGGTGTATGACCGGATGAGTGCGGCGAAGTTGTTGGCGACGCGCGAGGCGGCGGAGTCGGTGAGGCAGGGTGCTCCGTCCGCTAAAGCTCCGAGGGCGAAGGTGCCGATGAGGGTGAAGAGGGATGCTGCACGCATGGTTGCTTGTTGCGTTGTGAAGTTCTCGTGGGACCGGATGTGCTGTAGAGACAGACCTTGATGGGTGACGGAGAGGCAGCACAGATCTTCAGTGAGAGCGTGAACCGGTGGGTTGAGGAAGGGCGGACGGTTGCTCAGGAGATGGCGCACAGGAGGGCACCGACAGCAGGTTTATGTATAGTGATTACTAGGCGGAAGGGTGTGGTCCATCCCTCGTCGTATGGGAATGTGCTTTGGGGCGCCACAAACAAGGCATCAAGTAAGGCTGCTTGCCGTTTGCTGCATGAAGTGGTGGCATTGATATTGACGTGCGGACGGCAGAGTGGATATCCCATGGGCACGGGGCAAGCGACTGCAACCTATGCAAGGATGTCAGTCGAGAGGGCTTCCAGCAGCCGGTGGAGGTCAGATCTACCTGAGGCTACATACAGCAGCACACCTCTCAGCATTTTCAGCCGTACGCCGCCTGCGTGCGCCTGCGAAGCAGCAGCCCTACCGTACCGACTTCCCACATGCCCTGTGGCACTCTTTCTGAAGCAAGCAGCACACAGGCTTGACAGGGCGCGCGGCTGGCGACAGCGTGGAGGAAATTGGCCCAGTCTCATGTGACGACGGACGTCAAATTTGGGTATATGCCATGCATCAGAACCCATGCATCATGTGTGACGAGCAGTCCAGCAGACTGTGGGTCACTCTTGATAGCGCATGGAAGCGAGCAAGGGCACGGCATGGCAGCTGTTTGTCTGTCATTTGGCAGGCACCTCGGTCTCGCAGGAACATCATCGACGGCGCATGAAAATGGCTCGCCAACCACCGGACATGTACCTGACATGTCCGGAGTATTGATTTGGGGGGTGCCGTGTCCATAAGCACACAAGCGAAGCAGGGCCATGTGCATCTCCCAGATCCGGATCCAGCAGATAGTAGAGCGAAATTCCGTCAGTCATCGGCATGCCGAAGAGGAAGAAGGGGTGAGTGAGGTCAGCAGCCATGGCAACCCACAACCTGTGAACGGCTGACGATAAGCAGGCAGGGCAAATCAATTGGGCACAAGGGGGGCTGTTGTATGTCGTCGCACAGCATCGCCGTCCGCCCGCCATACCACAATACCACACATACAGACAGATGATTCCAGATCTGCAGCGAGGCTTGTCACTCTGTGCACTGATCGCCGGTAGATTAATATTGCACATCTACTGTGTGTGCTGTATCCAGGAGAATGTCCGTCCCTGGTTGAGGTGAGACCGGTCGAAGCGCGTGGCGGTGCAGCGGCAAACGCCCGATCTGAGCAAGCAAGCAATCATAACGACGACTACCGCATACCACAGGACTTGGCGTGCAGTCCTACAACCGAATACTGGATGACTGGAGATGTGAGATCGGATGAATGATGGGCGATGGATGGAGATTTCCCGCACAATGATTTAGTGCAAAACTAACTCTATGCAGACCGGACTGACTTTCGGCTGCTCCCGTGCAGATGAAGGATGAAGGACAGGACGGTAGGACGGACTCGGGCATTCTCGCATTCGAATTCGCAATCGGCAGCCAGCGTTCGGAAGAGAACCGACTAAGTGGTGGGCCTGCCTGCAGAATGCTGGTACGAAAGGCACGCGGGGCTGTGACATACGGTGACTACGTGCGCATAGATCTATCGTGTATGCCGATGGTGCTGTGTTGTGATGTGGGTGTGGAAGGGAATGTGTGATGGATGGATGCGAGTGCAAGCTGCTGGATGGAGCGAGAAAGCAAGCGCGGCTCGGTGTGTGAAGCAACTCCCCGCAAAGCTGGGAAAGTAAGGTATTGAGAGCGAGAAAATTACGCTCCCAACCCGATCGATGGGATGCTCCCCTCTTCATCAGAGCAATCAATGCCGAGTTGACTTTGCACTTCTCCAGTTTTCTTTTTGAGACAGACAGAGAAGAGGAAGTTGCAGAGTAGATTAGGAATTCTTCGCTGTCGTTTCGTTACCTCGTGATCGATAGATAGTATCTATCCATGTTGCTAATTTCTCATCTCCCAAATTTTTCCCCAGTAGGAAGGAAAGGAGCCTAAAGCTGTAAATGACGCTGGAAACGCTCTCCAATCTTGCAACCAGTCGTGTCCTAGAAAGAAGAAGAAGAAGAAAAAAACGTCATTCTACCCCAGCTCCCGTCGTCGGTCGCTCCGTTCATTTGAACATCCCGTGCACAAATCCGCAAAGAAGCATGGGTATCACCGCGATAAACCAGAATAGCCACACCAACCACACTGCCAAGTACACGCGCGCCATATTCGCCCAGGTCGCGTAGTAGCCTGCTGCTTCCTTCTCCGCCGGCGTCGTGGGCGGTTGCGTCCGCAGAGCAGCGGCGAGCTGGAGGGCCACTTGGTTGTTGATCTTGTCCCAGGTCGTGTTGAGCGCTTGCTCGCGAGCGTTGACGATCATGGCTTGACGCAACGCGTGGTCCGTCGCGAGTCGCTTCGAGTACTTGACAAAGGTGTCCAGGTCGTGCGGGTCGACAAGGTAGCCGGACTTGCCGTGCTTCACGGTCTCCGAAGGGCCACCCTCGTCACGAGCGATGACTGGCACGCCGGAGGCCATGGATTCGAGCACCACCAGTCCAAAAGTCTCGGTGATGGAGCAGTGGAGGAAGACGTCCGCGGCTGCATACGCACGGGCGAGTGCAGTACCACGCAACATCCCCGTGAAGATGACCCGTTCCTGTAGGTTCCTGAAGTACCCGCGCACCTCCTTCTCCACGGCAGGGTTCTTGTTTCCGCCGACGATCAGCAGCTTGAATTTCACGCCCGTCTCCTTCAGCCTCTCGGCGGCCTGCGCAAGGAACTCGAAGCCTTTCTCCGGAGCTATACGAGAAATGCAGCAGAAGATGATTTCGCCATCCGGCGCCAACTCCTCGCGATAAGACTCGTCGCGGCGGCTCGGGTTGAAGAGCTCCGTATCGACGCCACGACCCAGCTGGATCATCTTGGAAGATGGAGCTCCCGCGTCTTCCATATACTTTCGCACATACGCAGACGGATAGAAGATGGTGTGCACGGCCTTGGCGTTGAACAGGAAGCCCTGGACAATCTTGAGTAGCCAGACGCCATAGCGGTCAAGCGGAGGTGGGAAGAGGATGCTTGCGTAGGCGGCGAGATCGGTTTGAAAGTTGAGTAAAGTCGGCGGCGGGTTGTCCAGCTGCCTCAGTTGGACCAAGAATTGATAACCGACGGAAGCGGGACTGGCGAGGTAGAGAATGTCGGGCTTGAAAGTGGTGTCGTAGACCTTGCCCAGTCGAAATGGGTAGGCAACTGTGAGGTCTGGGTTGTAGGGTAATGGAAAGCCCTGCAGTCGATATTCTGGGTTTGTACGATTGGATCGTGCCAGCTCCACCTTTCTTCGCGCATCCTCACTGCGGGTGCGGTTGAACAGGGGCGGCTTCGGCTGCTGTGTGTGGGGATGCAAGAGTGGCTCGCTCTGGTGTCGGATGGCCTCATCGCGGTCGAAGTGCCAAGCCCAGGCACCACCGATCGCTCGTGAGCCCAGCGCCGCCGACTTGGCTTCTATGGAGCGCAGCCAGTCTTTGTTGACTATGGGTTGACGCTCCGGTTTCGCCTCGCCGTGATTGATGGGCTGGCCCTTATAGTAGGGGGCACAGGTGGCGACATGGACTCCATGATTTCGGAGGTAGTCGACCAGACTCTGCGTGGTCCTGCTGACTCCGTTGACGGGGCCGAGCGACTCTGTGGCGAGCAGGACCTTCTTGCCGATGAGGTCGGTGGGAAAATCGGCATCGGCAGGCGTTGGTGGTCTGTGGCTGTGGTCTTCTCGGATCTGTTGCGCTGCCGCCATGTCGGCTTACGGTTCGTCGACGGCGGGGTATCGTTGATCCGGTAGGGCTGGGACGAGTCTGCGAGCTGGCTCTTGGCGGCGGGGAGGGTGCTTCTGCTAGAGCATGCTCGTCCGACCACAACAACACGGCGGCGAGGAATGCGAGGAGGTGATGGAGGACTTTATGATGGAGGGCAGCGATCAGCGGCGGCAGTCATCGGTGCAGATGGGTGGATGAATCCTGCGCGGAATGACAGACAGACAGACAGACAGACAGACAGACAGACAGGCTGGGGGCGCGCGACGGCAGTAGATGTATCGAGGGGCGCATTGCAGTGGTGGCATGTGATGGGCAGTCTGGCGCTGGTTCGGGGGGAAGGCGGGATCACTGAGCGCGCCGGGACAGAGCACGAGGGCCTTTGCACGGGGTGCTGTTGGCTGATTCTCATCATACCACCGATATACATTGGTAACCACACACTGCACCCACTGCACCCATCCCATCCCTCGAGCCAGCGGCTGCTTCTACTCTCACCTCGACCAGACCAGACATGGACGTCCAAGCACTAGCGACACGTGTGGATCCTGATTGGCTGAACGCCGCGCTCGGGATAGCTGTAGCTCTGGTACCTCATCTCACATGCCCTGCCCTGCCTTGTCCTGCCATGCGCCTACACGATGCATCGCATCTACCGTTCCAAACCCGATTCTTATTTCTTCCTTCACTCCCTCTCGCCGCCATGCTGTTGCCGCCGCGCGGCGCGACGCGACGCGACCCGACCATAGCGACTACTCCCATCCTCACCGCCGTCGCCCCATTCCTTCGTAGCCCACCTACCTACCTGCCTGCCCTCGAGCCCCTCCGAGCAGAGCTGTCTGATAAGACATTCCTACTCCTACATCACTCCTATACCACTGCACCATGAACCTTCCTCCGACCAGCACTTGCTCGCACGAAGCAGCCTCACCCCTCATGGCCGCCTTCACAGACGCCACTCCGTCCCTTGGCCCATCAACCGCCAGCACCGTCGATTCCTCCTCTGACGGCCCCGCTACTCCGTCCGACAAGTCGCCCTTCTTGTCGGCAGACGTCTACTCGCTCTCGCCGCCCATCGACGCCCTCACCCTCGCCCTCCCCCACAGACCCGCCACTCCCACCCAGCGATCGCCTTTAGCCGTCCTCCCACACATTCTGAACCCGGAAACTGCAGCCAACGTCCCCATCCGAAAGGTTTGCTGTATCGGAGCTGGCTACGTCGGTAAGCCATCTCCCGCGACTCACGTGATCCGTTCATTGCGATGCTGATGTGCGTGCGCTAGGTGGTCCCACGGCGGCTGTCATCGCCCTGCACAATCCGGATGTTCGCGTCACTGTCGTCGATCGGGATGAGAAGCGCATCAATGCGTGGAAGGGCAGGCATTTGCCCATTCATGAGCCGGGCCTGGTAGATGTCGTGCGACTTGCAAGAGACGGCGGCAGTCAAGCCAAGAGTGAGAACGGGGCCAGATCCGGCCGCCAGCCGAATCTGTTCTTCTCCACTGCATGCACAGAGACGATCGCCGAGGCCGATATGGTGCTGATTAGCGTCAACACCAACACCAAGAAGCGAGGCGTTGGTGCTGGTCGCGCGACCGATATGACTGCGTTGGAAGGTGCGGTCCGCGACGTAGCCATTCATGCCAAAGCCGGCACCATATTGGTGGAGAAGAGCACCGTGCCTTGCAAGACTGGCCAATTGATCAAGGACATAGTAAGTGGAAATCGCAGCCATTGCATCGGAGCTGGCAGCTCACACTCTTCCAGATGGAGGCCCACAGACCTGGCCTTGTTTTTCCCGTCCTTTCCAATCCCGAATTCTTGTCAGAAGGGACCGCAATCCGCGATTTGATGCATCCCGATCGCGTCGTCATTGGTTGCGAATCCACCATCTCAGGCCATCGCGCCGCTGCAGCCCTCGCAAACTTGTACGCCGCTTGGGTGCCACGATCAAGGATAGCACCCATCAATATTTGGTCATCCGAGCTTTGCAAGCTTGCGGCCAATGCCATGCTCGCGCAGCGTATCAGCAGCATCAACTCCATCTCGGCAATCTGCGAACGGACCGGTGCAGATGTCGGTGAAATCGCCAAATCTGTCGGCATGGATCCGCGCATTGGACCTCACTTCCTCAAGGCTGGTCTTGGATTCGGTGGCTCTTGCTTCCGGAAAGATATCGCCAGCTTAACATATCTCGCGGAGTCGCTTGGTCTGCCAGAAGTTGCAGAGTACTGGCAACAGGTCCTGACCATGAACAACTTCCAGCGAGATCGATTCGCAAGACATGTGATTGCAACCCTGAACAACTCGCTGCGGGGCAAGAAGATCACCATTCTTGGGTACGCCTTCAAGAAGAACACGGGCGACGCGCGAGAGTCACCCGCTCTGGATGTCATTCGTATCCTCCTCGACGAGGGCCCTCGCAGCATCGCCATCTTCGACCCGCTGTGTAGCGAAGCTGACATTAAGCGTGAACTGAGCGTCCTCGAAGTCGACACCGCCTTCGCCAAGCCCGACGGACCTGTTGAGATACTCTCCGATCCCTATGAGGCATGCAAGGACAGCAGCGCAGTGCTCGTCTTGACCGACTGGGATATGTTCAAAGCCTCACTTCCGGGGCGCGCACAGGGCAAGCCCATCGAGACACCAAATCCTCTTCAAGGATCGACACCTGCAGATGTACTGCAGCTCACCCCCAGACAGACTCGTGAGTTCGCGAAGCCCGCCCAACCGGAGGCAGGATCTTCATCGCTGCCGGCTGAGCTGGCTGCCAAACTTATCCCCGAGCCCGTCTGCCCCTCTAACTGCAAGGAGTGCGCAGACGCGGCTTCGAAAGGGCAGTCTGGCGAGAGAGATGTCACCACTCCCCTGAATTGGGCCAACATCTCTCGCTCTGTCCGGGAACCGAGATGGGTCTTCGACGGGAGGGGCATTCTCGACGCTCGTGCGATGATTAGCATGGGCTTCCGCCTCGAGACTCTTGGACGCGCGAGCCTGTACTGATTGCAATCTGCTGCATTGGAAGACATTTACGAGGTGGATGAGGTATGAGTTGGACGCATAGCGTGGCGTTTGAAGGCTGGTGCCGTGTGGTCGTTGTTATAGTATTCCAATATACCCTCACGGTCATGACCGTCATAGAGCTTTGTGCGAAAGTCGCCGTACAGCAAATACAGTTTGATTCTTGCGAGCTGCTCCTCGATGTCGAACTTCTTTGAGATGCCCACGCATTGGAAAATTGAAGGGAAGATTCTCCGCCATGTGATTCGCCAAGCCCGACGTCGGCTCCAGCTATGGTCCGTGCGCATCCCTCAATCTCTACCGCACTTGGATCCATCTCCTCCTACTACCACCCATCAACACTTCTGCAAACATCGCCAACACCATTCCATGTGCCAGCATGCAATCCGCCGACCATGTTCCATCTCCGGCCCTCACTTCTCACCTCCGTCATCACATGTTTCTGCTGCACCCTGACAGCCGGCCGGTGCGCTCAATAGAGGTCTCAGTTCCGCTATTGAGAAGTCCTATTGACGACTGTTTTGGGTCGGCGACGCAGACTTGCTGCCAAGGCCAACTCGATCAAAGGGCACGATATGGTCTTGTTAGCAGCACCAACGGTAGCTGTATGGACGCTTTTGGGCGCCTTTGATGGTGAGATCATGTTCCTCTCACTCTCACTCTGTCACAAGATAGGCGCATCTGCAGCTCATCACTGGATCTATATGGAATACGTCGACCCCACCGGCGATGTTGCCTTCGCTGTCTATTGAAGACACGGTCTTATTGGCCTTCCTCCTTATTGATGCGGTTCTCGTTCTATTCTGCCTATTGAAGCTGCTCAATGCAGGTAGATTCTCCTCAAGTGCTGGAACGTCGCTCTTCCGACTTGCTCCACGAACTTCGACTCTTTCTTGCTTTCTTGTCATCATTGCTCTTCTTTACACACGAGGTCAGTATCCGGGCATCGTCGACGATCCACCACCTCTGGAACTTGAAGCAGATATCGCAGAAGAACACGCGGCGGCAGCAGCGGTCAACGTTAGCCGGCTGGCTACCAGCTAAGCACAACACAGAGCAATAGCATTGCGAATGCTGCCAACATGGTCAAAGTCATTGCAACCAGCTACCCGGGCGATGGCCACAGTTACCCTCTGGCCGTCGTCTTGGGCTTCTTCAGCTTGCTCGTGGTTCTTCTCAACCTACCGCCGCTCGTTCAACACTACCGCAATCGCAATATCGGTGCGACAGCGCTCGTGGCAGGTGTCATTCTCGCCAACTTCCAGAATTTACTCAATGCCATCATCTGGCCGAACGACGACTACGACAATTGGTTCAATGGCGCCGGACTTTGCGACATCGAGGTCAAGCTTCAGATGTTCCGACAAGTTCTCTTCCCGGCTTCGGTCGCCTGCATCTTGCGAGCACTGGCGAATGTCATGAATACCGATCGAGCTGCCTGGATATCTACGACGGCACAGAAGAAGCGTCAGCTTGTCATCGACCTCCTCTGCGTGGTCGGCGCACCTTCGTTGCAAATGATACTCCACATCATCGTACAGCCTCTTCGATACTATCTCTACGGTATCATCGGGTGCCAAGCTGTCACCGATGGCAGCTGGCTTGCGTTCCTCCTGCTTCTGCTCCCTCCGCTGCTGTGGACTGTAGTAGACGCGTACTATGCGAGTGAGTCATACAACCCACTGCCTACTTCCTTCAAGTGACTGACAATTCCGTAGTACTCATCGTCGTCCGCCTCATCCGATACCGCCTCACCTTCAACACTATCCTCGCAAACAGCAGTACCAATAAATCTCGCTTTGTCCGCCTCTACCTGCTCGCTACGGTCTGGGTCCTTGGAACGCTTCCGGTTGAGGCATTCACACTTTACATGAACGACATTGGCCACCTCCTCCCCTTTCAATGGTCTATGACACATCCGTCTTTCGAACTCTGGAACACCGCCATGTACGTGCCCAGCCACGGCAAGATTGTTTTCGCAGACCGCATCATCTACGTCGCCGGCGGCTTCGTCATCTTCCTTCTTTTCGGCTGGGGCAAAGATGCCGTGAAATTGTACCGCGACGCTCTACTGGCTCTCGGCTTCGGCAAGATCTTTCCATCTCTCAGACCAGACTATGAGCGACATGGATCTTTCGCGGCTACTGTGAGCACCATCAGCAGCAAGGCGAAGATGATGTTCCACAAGAACAAGAAGGAATCATGGAGTCCGACTTCCACGAACTTCTCGGCGACGGAGAGCATGGGTACTGCTAGTACACCTTCGCCGAAGCAGATGGCCTTCTTGGATAGCATTCGCGAAAATCGTCGGGAAGATCATCAGCTTGACAGCACGGCGGCATCCGCTGGAAAGGAGACGAAGCCTTCATGTCCTTTTTGCCGCTTCACCCCACTTTTCCGTGGCAAGAAGAAAACCCAGCAACACGACAATTATCACCATGGTGAGGATAGCCCATTCGCTCTGGGAACTCTATCGACTTCGCCGAGTAATCTCAACACGACGGTCTCGGCTGAGCCGATTTCTCTTACTTCGAACCATGCGCGCTCCAAGAGCGATGTCGTGGTGAGGACGGAGGTGAGGCAGGCTAGTGAGACGGCGGACACTATTGCTGCTGGCGTTGAGGCGGCGAGGATCTATGAGGGCGTCTGATAAGACAAATGAGACAGCTTCGTGGACACACACATACATATACCAGACTTTGTAATTTCGATGCGCCGAGCGAGCAGAGTATACGGTGTCTACAATTACAGCCTTTCTTTCTCTTTTTCCAAGCTGATATAGTCCTTTCAACTGTACCGTATGTACGTATAATTCCTCCTCCCCACAGGCAAAGCGGGTCTGCGCTCTGCCCTCATCGCCGACCTCGGATCCCCCTCGGATTCTATGGACCATTCACTGCACCACTTCGCTTCGTCGCGTACGTACACCCCCGCACCTACCTCTCTCGCCCTCTACCAAGACCACTTCCCATTGATTGAACGACCAGAAAGTCCCCACAATATCGACAGAAAAATACTCTTCCCATATCAGCAAAAAAAAAAAAAAGACCCCCATTCATCCATCCTCCATTATCATAATAATGCCCCTGCAATCCGATCTCCAACTCAATCATGACAAATTCAACCCCGAGAACATCTCGCCTCAAACGAGGGAATTCAATGATAATCTCATCCGAGTCATGAACAGTGGGCCGAAATGGTATGAGGTAGGTTCGTGATAACACAGATCTATCTATACATCCCAGTCCCCAAAACAAACAAACAAACCTCTCTTCCCCCGTCAATCACTTCTTCCCCTTCAAATTTTATATATATAGAAATCTTGCCCCCCGGGGCCGTTGCTTTTTCTTCTTCTTCTTCCCTCCCTCCCCCTTTTAACAGCCAGCCAGCCAGCCAAACCCCTCCACTGATATCATGCTAGGTCGGGCCCGAGAAGTATCGTCAAATGCGCTGGAACGGGGAGACGCCGCTTCCCCAACCGACGGTCCTGGAAAGCGGCACGAATGCGAGTCTGCCCTCGCGGGAGACGGGGAGGGAAATCTCCATCCGGGTGTTTGAACCTGAAAATGATGATCAAGGGAAAGGAAGAAAGGCAAAAGGGGTGTTTTACCACATCCACGGTGGGGGGTGGGTTCTGCAGAGTGAGCATTATCAGGTACGTATGTGTGTGTGTTTGTTGATGGATTACGAAAGTCATAAGGCCTGCCTGCCTGCCTGCCTGTCTGTCTTCTTGCTATTTTCTTGTCGAGATTTTTGGACTGAATTGTTTTGGTCAGGATCTGATGCTGAAATACTACGCCGACCACGCGAATCTGACCGTCGTTTCGGTGGGTTACAGACTCGCGCCGGAACACCCCTATCCCGCCGGGAATGAGGATTGTTTCGATGTGGCGGAGTATCTCGTGGAACATGCGGAGAGAGAGTATGGAGGGCCGCTGTGAGTCCCTCTCCCTCCCCCTTTCCTTTTTCCCTTTCCCCCTCTTCTCAAAATCCGCGCATGACTGACGACGGCGATGTTGGCAAAGGTTGTTCATAGGCGGCGATTCCGCGGGCGCTCACCTCTCCGTCGTCACGACCTACCACCTCCTGCAAGCCCGCCCTGATTTCGCCTTCAAAGGCCTCGTGCTCAATTTCGGAGCATATGATATCAGTGGTTTCCTACCGCAGGCACACCATTTCGATCTGCCGCTTGTTTTGACCTTGGATATCATGCAACGGTTCATATGTCCCTCGCTATCTCCTCGAAGTGGAATATTCAGAAGGTGCTGACGAGTGTTGGTAGATACATCGACGCCTATTTACCCGGGAAATCGCCAGCGGAGAGGAGGGATCCGATGATCTCGCCGCTGTATATGGATCTGAGCAAGTTGAAGGTACGTTTCCATGATTTCTGGGAATCGAATTGTTCTGCATACCTATGCTCCTATGCTGACGAGCCCTGATAAGCTGCCTCCTGCTCTGTTCAGTTGCGGCACTCTCGATCCGCTTCTCGATGATAGTGTGATGATGTCGGCAAAGTGGTCGATGAGTGGCGCCGAGAGTATACTAAAGGTGTATGCGGGTGGCCCTCATGGATTCACATTCTTCGTGAGTCCGTGTCGTATCTCCGCTTGGATGCTTCCAACTGATGAGCGCCGCAGCCAATTGGTGGAACCGAGACAACGGAGCAGAATCTCAAGGATATCGCGACGTTCATGAATGAGCGAAGCTGAGCTGCTCATTGATGACGGAAGGGGACTGTTCGATCATGATGTATTGCTTTTTCAATCATCGTCGCTGTCACTTCCATAGCCTACAAGTGGTCCAGCGGGCTTAGCGGCGGCTTGCTTTTCTGTCGTTGAAGGTCCTGCCTTGAAGCCTTGCAGAGCCACGAGTGTCGAAGCACCAAGCAGACCACCATTTGAAGCTGGTTGTTGGTTGTTCCCGATCTGCAATGGCTGTGCATCTTCATCGTCAGAGTTTGGCTCGGTGTCTCCGCCCCCAGCGTTGGCTTTCTCCTGTGCACCCTCAAGGAGTTTTTGTTCACCTCCAGACTCGATGCGAGCTTTCTCAGAGGCGTACCAGACATTGTCTGGTGCATCGTATCCCTGTAAGCCGAAGCTTCCTTCGATCTTCCTTCGCTTCCGCTCTGCCTCCGGATCGGCGCCTTCGTATCTTCTGCCTTCCAATTCTGCGACGTAGCTAGCCGGTAACGCTCTTCGGATTGCCTCAGCAGCCTGCTCCTCAATCAACCGCGCCTCCCGTTTTTGCGCCGCTGGGTTGGGATCCACCGTTGCCCATCGCACGTTCAGTGTCTCGTTGTGGTCCAAGCTCTGGTGTGCCATCGCCTCCTTGGCGAACTCACTATTCGCCAGATGCACATAGGTGACGAACGCGACGCCTCTACTGGGAAGCACACGTATTCTCTCAACCTGTCCCCATTCTTGGAAGTGTCGCGCCACAACTTCCTCGATGTCATCCGTCACATGTATCCGTCCCACGTAGAGCGTCCTGTTGACGCGCATAAATGATCCCACGCCCCCCATATCGTCTCTGTAATCGCTGAACTTGTCGCGTCCAAAGCAGTCGACATTCGAAGGGAAGATGTCTCCAAGTCCGCCCTCCTTGCCGATTCTGCTATTCGGTAGCCGATGCAGGTATTCGCAGTCTTGACCCTTGGGACATAGTCCCCTGGCGAAGAACAGGCAGAAATAGCTGCCGGGGATTTTGTCTGCTCTGGTGTATCCACTGTCCAAGGCGACGTTACATCGACCTTTCGCTTGATGTTTAGACGACAGCGCGTCTTCACGGTCGCCGCCCGACCACTTGTTGTACCAGATATTGAAGATGGTGCCAGTCTGAGGAGGTGGCTCGGACTTGAAGGTCGCGGGATCTTGTTGCGGTCGTGCTGGGCGGCGCTTGCGCTTGATGATCTTGGTCTTCTTCACTTTCTGTACCGTGCCATCGCTGTTCGTCTTGGTGAGGGCGGTTTCCGTGGCTGGCGCCGTGGTGTCTTCGAAGGCCACTGCGGGCACGTTGTCCGTTTCGACGTCGGCCATGTTGAGTATGAATCGGTGTGTTGTAGTCTGCAGGAGCACTTCGAGATCCAATTTTTTGAGGTCGATACGTGCGCCACAGTCACGTGTGGATCAGCCACCAACGGCACCGGCAGAACGAATATCCGCCCCGGCTCTCTTCGACACGACCAACGCGTCCGCCTTCAATTCGATTCACTTCCCTTGCAACAACACCAACATGTGAGCAAAATCAGCAGCGCCATGCAGCACTTTCGCTTTGGAGACCATGGCCCATTTCAAGGTAAACACGCGACCCTCAAGAGGCCGCGTGAAATAACCGAATTCTCTTTCGACGAGTCGCATGTCCTACACACTTTGGATAGCAGAAGCTTGCGATATTACTACCCGCCCTTTTTCAAGACGCCTCACAACCCGCATGAACCAGGAATATCTCTGTCGAAGGGCTTTCAATCCTTTAAAAGGCACGAAGAACAAGAAGACACGCATCTGAATCCGCTTATCGAGACCGTCATTCAGTACGAAGAAAAGACGAAGACTAAATTGGATCCGACTATTCTTACTTGGCGTGGAATGATGACCAAAATCCTCTCTGCGCCGTTCGACAGGTTTGGCGAGTTTAAGATGAACGCCACCTATTTCGACGCACGTCTGGATCCCGCCTGCATTGCCAAAACCTGCACTAACTCATCCGACAGGGAACAATCTACATCGAAGAGAATTTTGCCGCAAAAATGGCTGAAGGAGACTTGGCTAAACGTGACTTCAACTACCACGGAAAGACACAGGAAGAAATGACGTATTGGGGATACAAATTCGAAACGCTCTCGACCATACCGCGGGCGTGGGATGATTGCAGCCGCGACGAAATCGAGAATCGCGAGTCGGACGTTGTCAGCAACCACGCCCAATACTGCTCTGTAGTTCGTACAGGAGTCGGAAAGCACAACATCATCATTGGCGGTGAAGTCGACGCAGTCATGGGTTGCAAGCCTGACCATCCCGCCGACCAAATTCCCTACGTCGAGCTGAAGACAAGCGAGGATTTCAGTCCTGATGACCGAAAGTCAGCGGTCAAATTTGAGAGAAAGATGTGCCGCTTTTGGGCGCAGTCCTACCTACTCGGCGTCCCGACGATCGTGGTCGGCTTTCGCAGCAAGAACGGTATCTTGCAGCGGATCGAGGAGTGGAATACCCTGGACATCCCGAAAATGGTCAATCAGAACGGACAGACCTGGAATGCTTGGGTCTGCCTCAACTTTGCGTCACAGTTCCTCGACTTTCTCAAGGAGCACGTCACGAGTGACGGTTGTTGGACCGTAGAGCGCCGAAAGGGAAACGCCGAAATAACGATGTACAGGATCAACGACGAGTACAGCAGAGACATTGTCCCGCCTAAGTTCAGGAAGCACCGAGAGGAGTTCAGCTTCGAGAAGAGCATTTTCGACGAGACTTGAAGAGACTTTGTCCGGACTGCCGCGAAGCAAGGCCGTAAAACGAAATGCTTGAGCTTCAAGATCAACCTTTCCTGCGCCTACTGCAAGAGAGACAACATATCAGAAACGGTATGCTTTTCAAGGTCATCGATCATCCGAATCACTTCGTTCGCCTTCTGTTCCCCATACACTGGCACCGTCAGGCTCCTAAACTTGGCGTCTACCTTGTCCCGGGTAAATGGGTGCCGGACCTCTCCAAGTGGGAATTCCATTTGTACTTTGTCCATGCTTCCACTAGTCCACCCAACAGCGAGGATTCCTGCAAAACCAGACATGTCTGCATCTGTCTCGACTATTATGCGATCCGAAAGAGCAGCGATTCCTGGATCGTTCAATTTGTGATACGCCTGGATTCCAGTGTTGGCGCCATAGAGGAGTGCATTTGCAACTTGGAAATATACCGAAAATTGCGCATCGACAGTGGTCTGCGGATGGACCTTGTTAGGGGTATGCTTGCCCACTAACAGGTAGTTAGTGGGGCTCATGGTCACCCTGATGCCTTGAATATCTTCAGGTGTGATAGCGCGGGAGCTTTGAAGATTGCCGGCCATTTCGATGAAGACATGCGTCATGCGACAAGCTGGGAATGGTTTGAGGCTTGAGGTACGCCAGATCCACTCATGACCCAGGTCACGCACAAGACGCTCGAGGTCCTTCGGCTCTCGTGGACTATACGCCTTCAAGAAGCCCATTTCGCCTTCAATGATCTTGGTAGCACCAACGACGCCTGCCTCAGCCAGGCCAACACACATATAGGCGTCATGTACAGCAAACCCAGGATGAAGCCGTTTGTTCCAGGAGCCATTGTCCAAGTACTGCATAGAACCTGCTGCTCTGCTTCCAGCCAATCCAAAGGCCATCCCAACGGTCTCGGCTGAGAGCTTTTTCAATACTGCGATTGTCGCTACTGCGCCAAAGACACCCGCTGTGGCGGTATTGTGGAAGCCGCGGTGATACGATTCAAATCCTAATTCGCGACCTATGCGGCACACTGTCTCATAGCCAACGCAGATCGCAAGCATGAACCGTTCACTAGTCGCCTCGCCACTCAAAAGCTCAGCTTGCGTTAAAGCCGCTGAGATCGCCGTCACGCCAGCATGGAGAGTCTGAGACGATCAGCCAACGGTGTCTTTAGCCAAAGACGAGAAGAAATACGTACGCTTTCCGCATGTGTATCGTCAAAGTCCAAGGAATGCGCGAAGGCTGAGTTGAGGAGCGCGGCGTACTGCGGGAGCATATGCGGTTTGCCTTTACCAATCACTGTGCTGTTGCCTGTGTTACCTTGGCCTTGAAGCGCGACGATTGCCTTGTAAATCGGGTCTGTGGACTCTGCATTGTCCAATGCGCCGGCTGCGACTCCAATGAAATCGATCAAAACTTCCTTGACCTTGTTACGAAGTTCTGGAGTGAGCTGGTCGGTGGTGGCGGTTGCTGCAAACTGAGCCAAAGCTTTCGTATGCATCTTCTTGATGGTCTTTGCCGTGATTTTCTAGTTAAGAGAGGGGGCACATTGGCATCAGCGCCGAGTTCTACTCTAAGACCGACGTGTTGACATGTTTCGAGATAGACAGGCGACAGGGAACCGCGAGTTTACGAGACTCCGACAACGGCACTACATGTATACACTTGAACCCCTCATCGGACGGCGCACATCCTTGGCAACATGATCGAGCAAGATCCATCGACCAGCACTTCGACTGGATTCGCATCTCGAAAAAGCAATCAAGGAAGGCTTTACTGTTTAGAAATACTGTTTAGAAAAGGGAGGAAGAGAAGAGGTGGAGTCAAAGTCTGCGATCCACTAATCCTCCGCCTCTTGCGACTATTGGTAAGCACCGAACCTGTGCATGTGTTGCAACGCTTCTACCATGCCGAATTGCGCGATCACCAGTAACTCTCAGGTGGAGACGTCTCGTCGTCAGCGTCTTGTTCAGCTGGCTATGCGTGTCCGCCAACGTGCGTTGCTTGAACGACTCCGGCGTGACCCCAAGACAGGTCAACAGCGAAGGCCGCTCATCGTACATTCGAGAAGCGATTTCGCCATCATTGCTTCTCGCCGCAACAATTTCCGGGGGAGCAGGCGCTCCCTTCTCAATGTTACCCTTCTCGTAGGCCGGGATAGTAGCCATGGCGAGGAGATGGCCTGCTAGTCGACAGGGCTGGAATGGGCGTGATGGTGACGTCCAATGCCTTGACCAAGAGGACATGTCGCGTAAGTGCAAGTCAAGGCACGCGCCTAGCTCGCGAGGATGGCACACTGATACAATCGAGGAATGCAAACCGCTCGTGCCTTACGAGGCTGACTTCCGCTGTCATAGCATAGCAACATTCTCGTACGAGTTGACTTGCAGATGTTTCTAGCCATGCATAACTCTACACAAGATTCGACGATTATTCAGTCCGCCTGGTCCTCGAGAGTATGCGTATTCAGCATGGCATGAGGAGTGATTTGATTGAAAACGACCTTCCCTCGGATCGTCCAGGAGTAGAGAACTCCAAGACTTGAAGTTTCGCGAAGGCCGGAGAGGAGCGACTAGCGCCGGAATGAGTTGGTCTGATCCAACGGTGTCTTCGCAGATCGAAATACTGTCTTGACGGCTGGTGAGCCTGATTTTGGCCTATGCGAGTCGCTGTGGTCCTGTTTCTCGAGATGGTCGGGAAGACGAGAGCGTTCCACTGGGGAAGGACGCTGTACATTTACATCCGAGGCTTCGTGCGGCGCAACCGGATCGCCAAACGCAGCGATCAATGAGTCTGACTACGCCAAGTTGTCCCATCGCCGCTGTCGAATTTTCTTGAGAGACAGTCCAATGATTGCTGAATAGGAAGGTAAGGTAGCACCAGAGTGAGCGTGGAGTTAGTAAGCCAGCTGAGAAAGTCGGCATCATTGGCGCCGACATAGGGGGATATATCCGAAGATGCATGCACAGCGTCAGTACGAGGCGCCCGATCAAGATCTCTTGCAAAGCCATCCGACTCGACCATTCTCACCGAGAAAGCAGTTCGGTAGCATCATAGGTCAAAAAGAAACCAAGGAGGCACCAATCCAAAACGTACTGCAAATCTCATTTGCTCCCCTCGCCACTCGACTCGAAAATGGCCTCCAGCAGGAGGAACATCCTCATCTCAGGCATGGGCCGCTTCATCTCCGCCGACGCAGAAGCTTTCCAGAAATTCGGCCCTTCGCACCTCAATCAACAGCAACTCAACGCCGACATCGCTCAAGCGACCGAAGCAGGCTACGACTGCGACACGGAAGACATCAACCCCAACGATGCGCAAGACAGCCTCAAGCGCGTGAGAGACCGCCTGAAGAGTAAGCGGTACGACGCGTATATCATCGGATACGGCATCAGAGGGAAGAAGGATCACACGGCCTTGTATGAGAGAGTTGTCAACCTGGCAGTCGAAGTGAGCCCCACGACGAGGTTCGGGTTCAGCACGGCACCGGATACGGTGTTCGAGACGATCAAGAGGGTTCTGCCGGCGGAGAGTTGAATTTGGAGAGGAGCTGAGGTGCTCGTCGAAGCCGTGTATCGGTAGTCTAGGCAGGTATCGCGTCTCGAAGCAGACAAATAAGCAAGTGTGACGAAGAGAGCTCGTCGCCGGGATTCGTGTGGCGCATGCTGCGGTTGATGCATGGCGGTGCTTCCATTTGTGCAATTGTTGGCTCAGCAAGCGAGTCCTGTCTCGTCAGCAAGTAACATGTTGTATAGCCCCGAAGACATTCACTTCGCCTTGCATGTGATTCTGAAGCGCGCGAAGGACCAGGTGTGTCTGCCACTGCTCATCAATTGATTGATTGAATCGATTGATGAGTGGCTGGGAAATGACATCTGGCCCGAAGCGGCCTAGCGCAAACTCTGCTGATTGGGCCGCCCTCGGGCGCAACGCAGCGACCGCCCAAACATCCTGAACACCATCCGCTTTGCACAGCGACCGCAGCAGCCCGACGAGCACCAAGAATCCATCAACCACCACCCCGTTCCATCAGCATCATCTCGACTCGCCCATCATCACCCCGACACACTCACGTCCACACAGTTCCATGCTCTTTGACACCCATATTCCCTATCTTCGCTGATTCTGACGCCCTTTCCTCGGGCGTCGCGCCGACTGCTGCAAATTTTGCAGTTGCGACCGTGGCCACGACTTTTGACCACCCCGCCAGATTTCTTCACCACCGCCCATGTCCACGCGATCCGCAAATAACAGAAATGTACGGCAACGCAAGCTTAATACGAAGCAGCCGCTGCGTGTGATAAGAGAGAGCGATCTCGATGACATCGCCGATCATGAGACCCAACAGAGCATCCCTCAGGTCGAGACGGGTGTTGAGAAGGGCGAGGAAGTCGTAAGTACTTGCCTTGCCGTTGACTCACCTGCGCTTCACTGCATCGCCACGTTGCTAATGCATCTGCCTCTAGGAATACCACTTGCAAGCCATCATCAAGGGCTCGCATCAGAGTTACATCCCGACTCCAGATGCCGTCAAGGCCAGAGGTGTCAAGTATGACGAGCTGTACGCGAAGAGCTTCTCGCAGCCCGCAACATATATCCGGTTTAGTTCCACCGTGGAGGATACCATCGGTACACCGTATTGCATGAACGAAGATGACGCCAAGTTCCTCGAGCAGCTGAACGATGGCAAAGATGTCAACGGCCAACCTCTCAAAGACAAATCCGCACAATGCTCCGAGGACACCTTCGAGGAAGTGATGGATTTCTTCGAAGAGACGAGCCAGCGTATCCAGCCCTTTGCAAACGTCGACAGTGCTCCCGTCCTGACTCTTGACGAAATGCTGCAAAATAAGCAGGAGGACCTTTCCGGTGGCGCGGAGAAGTTCCTGAAGCCGCTTTACCAATACTGGGTGTCGAAGAAAGGTAGCCGTCCGCTGATGCCCGCCATCAAGGTGAAGGTTCTTGACACGACATCGGAGGCAGACGACGCAGATCCCTATGTCTGCTTCCGAAGACGCGAAGTTCGGCAGACCCGCAAGACCAGAGGAAGAGACGCCCAGGTCGTCGAGAAGCTCAAGAAATTGCGCATCGAGCTCGAGATGGCTCGAAACCTCGTGGCATCTGTTCGTGAGCGTGAACATCTCAACGGCCAGAACCTCAAGCTTAGCCGCACGGTCTTTGAGCAGCGCAAATCACTCAAAGAAGTCAAGGTTGCTAAGAACATTGTCGGTGAGAAGGGAGAAGACGAAGAGCTCTTGGTTAACCAAAAGCCTGTCGTTAAGCCCAAAAGGCCAGAAGGTTCCGGGCAACGTCCGACCATCCGCCTTCGCTCCATTGGCGAGCGTTCTGCTCCAGAGAATGATTTTCCAGGTGGCTTGCTTGCCGATGTCCAAGCTGATGCAGACTCATTTGTCCAACAGGCCATCGAGAGCAGGAAAGAGCAGCACCGGCGATGGAACCAGCAATGGAGTGACGAGACTTGGGGTCCTCTCACACCACCGCCAGATGCTGCAGATCAGCCGCCCAGATGGGCTGCACTTCCAAACGAAGCTGCTGGGTACCCAACTCCACCTCCGTCACTGCCTTCTAGAAGTTCGCAGGACAGGGATGGAGATGTTGAGATGGAAGATAGGAAACCCCCGCTCGATCTCGATACCGTAGCGGGCGCCGAACCTCAGTTCACGTTCTTCGTGCCTCCACCGCATTCGATAGAGCATTACTTCGGGGAAAACCAGCCTTTCGAAATGGTAACGCAAGAAAGCAAACCGGTAGCTCGTCTTCGTTGGGGTCGCGGGGGCCGTTTGCATCTGGAGGCGAGGAGGCCTAAGCGGGTGGGCAGGATCAGCCAAGGAGTAGTGTCTGATTCGGATAGCGATGATGAGGAGCCGGAGTATTTTCGGGTGTCTGACAGTAAATCCTTCGACTATCGTTGTGCGATGAACAGTCGCGCACGACCTGAGGGACAACGGCCCAGCGGAGACCAGACCGCGATAGTGGCAGCCCAGCAGGCACAACAGCAGCAACAGGCAGCGGCGGTGGCCGTTCATCAGCAACAGCAGGTCACCGCGGGCAGTGCTGGATGACTGTTCGATGCTCCACTCTCCCGTGGCTTGGCGAAGGCTTTTGGGTGATGGCTTGGTGATGGCCCGTTATTGTACGCTCTCCATTGATCCGATGCGCCATGTTAGATAAGGATAGCGATGATACCCGCAAAACTGCTTGTACTACTATCGCCTCGACCTATCTTTCGCCGTACAGTAACAGCGTGTTGAGCAATGTTCATTTCTTCGTTGGCTTTCGTATGTCGGCTGCTTCGTCTTCCAGCGTATCGGCCGCTCTCTTCTTGAGGTGCTTACTGGCAGGGGTGAGGCGCTCTATGGCTTCGCGAAGCACCTGCTTCTCACCTTCGATGACTTGCACTGCCATGTCGAAATGGAGCTTGTTTTCCACGGATGGTGCTGGCTCCGTGGGCGTTCGATACATCGCATATCGATGGACGAGGACGCTTCGAAGAAAAGCCTTGGCTTCAGCGGCGAGGTCTGTGTTGGGTAGCTTGTCCTTCTTCATGAGCTTCTCGAAGTCGGCTTTCGGAGCGGCCAATGCATTGAGTAACACGCAGAGCTCATCTGAAAACTGTCCCTCTTCGCTTCCTGCACGAGAAACGTCGTATCCGTCGTCAATGACTCCTTGCTGGTCCAGGTATTTCCATCTCTCGTTGAGTTCTTTCGTCGGCAATTTCAGCTGGTTCTGGGCTTGCTCTTTGATCATATCCGATGGTATCTCGACGACGTCGTACTTAGCGTACTTGTCAGTCACGTAGCCGTATCGCCTAAGCAAATCCGCTCTTGGTAGGTTGCCGAAGTCGTTGAACAGCTCTTCGCCTGACTTGACGGGCTTGATGACCTTCATGACAACTTTGTCATCCTCGTAGAAAAGCTTGGCATTGTTCCGGTCCGCATCGGCATTTAGCATGTCAGCCATGGGCACCATGCCCTTCGGCAATATTTCTTGCTCTTCCTCGTCTTCTTCCCAGCCGTCTTCTTCATTCTTGGTCTGATCTGAGGGCTTCTCGAGATCGAATGCATATGCCATGATTGTGCTTCCCATTCTGTGACAAAGCGCCATCAGCTCTGGTGTAGACCGAGCATTGGACAGTTGTAGAGATGCCGCTATTTGTGCGATAGTCGGTATCAACTGCTCTTCGAATGTAGAATCTGCTCCGTCTTTGCCAATCTTGTTCACGACCGTGCTGCCCTCAAGGTACTCCAATTCTGTGTCGTTCCAGAACATTAACGTGTCGAAATTTTCGGGCAGGATGTCGAAATACGGCTTCCACGGAGAGTCTGAGCCTTTGAGATATTCAAGCACCATGCCCACGATAAGGGACAGCCATGGGTCATCATTGCCCTTGAGGATTTCTTTCCGAATGTTCTCCGGAATCGTTGTTGTCTCCAGGGTCAAAATCGATGAACGGGGTATGCTGAACAGCTCTTCGTCTTCGGCCAGGTCTTCCGTGGCAACTATGTTGCTGGTCAGAGCATCTCATCATATGATCGATTGTCACATTCGTGAAAAAGAGCCGTACCGACACCTCTGCCAGCATTCTGAGCGCGCAGGTCCGCCAGTTGGATCTTGTTCGAAATGGTCGCTCCTCTGTGTTGCAGCCAGTTGACGAAGGCGTCTGATTTGGCTCGAAAGTCGTCGTCGTCGCTGGTGTCCATCCGCTCCATGGCAGCGCAGCAATATGCGGGTGTGCGTTAACGGTGGGTTGAAGAAGGAAGAGCTAGACTCGGCATTTCAGTGGGATTCATGTAACGTGAACGGGCTTTCCCGCCCGTGGCCGCCCGCGCTCGGACCCTGAAAGTCGAAATGCTGACTACATCATTACAGAATCGCTTTTACAACATGAAGGTGTCCTGTGCCTTCAATCACAGCATCTTTCCACAAGAACTAAAATTTCTAGCAGAATTCTAGATCAGGATGCGTCGGACAATTTGGGTATCTGCGAAGACCCTGTAGTTCCATACTGCGCGATAATCCCACCTAGAGCCATGCCAAAAAGGCTTCCACTCAGCCACTTCCAATATAATGAAGACCCCCTTCTACGGCTTGAACAGCATCAGAGGATCTTTCCACACGCTTTTAAATCTGCTCGGGTCCTCCTCACCTGGCGCTACTACACGATCATCGTCCGTCCGGAACGCTGTCGATAGTCTTCGCTCTGTCTCCTTCTTAGATTTGGCTTGAACGTGCCACCACTCACCCTCTTCGAGAAGGGGTACCCCAAGATTATGAGCACAGTCTTGGCACAATTAGGTATCAGCTCACTCAGCCGCTCGAGGCGCATACCACCTGAATTTCACGTCCATCCTGAGCACTGTGTCGGCCTACGCTCTGCCAGGGTCGGTGAATCATCTCGATGGTCTACACCGGTAGCTCGGTCAATTTAGAGAAGAGCATTTCTTGATATTCGCGAGGGTTCCGGTTCGATATTTAGATAGAACACTGAAGGAAGTGTAGTAGTCGAGATGTTTGCTTAAGTAAGCGTCGCTCTAGCCGCACAGCGGAGCTGAAGCTCCGCCCCACGTCACACCACACGTGATCCTGAGCTCCGTCGATAACCAACTCCTCCTCCGTCCTCCAAGGTCGCATGTGGCCGTAACCCACAACCTAAAACACCTCGACAATGCCCTCCTCTCTGGAATCTCTCGACTCACAAATTTCCTCCCTCCTCTCGGATTGGTCTATCACCACCACCATTCTCGCACTCCTCCTCGCTGGAACGCTCTTCTACCCACTACTCCTCAATTCCGAACCGGACACACATCCCCTCCTTCTCGCCCGCCAATCAAGCGCTTCGCCCGTGCGTAACAAGGGCGAATCGGCTGTCTATCGATCACCCGAAACGCCTCACGGCTACCCATTACGAACGGGATTGAACGTGAAGGACGCCGGAGCTCCAAGATGGAGTCCTGGGAAAGATGGCGATCTGAGAGATGTGTGGAGGGAAGTGCAGAGGGGTGGTAGTCAAGGCGCGGATGGCAAGGAAGTGTCAGCAGGGTTGATCATGAGTGTTTTTGGAAAGGAAGAGATTGTGGAGCATGATATCGGAGAGATGAGCAAGGAGATCAATATTATTGGGGCGCATCTGAAGAAGAGTGGTGCGAAGGCAGTTGCCATCTACTTACCTAACAGCGTGGAATACTTGCAGACCTTATTTGGTGGGTGTGAAGGCGACGCGGCACTTGAAGAATGCGCTGACATGGATGCACAGCTTGTGCGTTCTATGGGCTTTCGCCAGTCCTGCTACCTTTCAACCTTCCTCACCCGAAGCTCTACGAGCTTTTGAAAGCCACTGGTGCAGATGGACTGGTCTGCCAAGCTGGAACGGTGCCTCTGGACGACCTTGCAGAAGAAGTGAAGAGCTTGAGATCACTGATTTGGGTCGTTGAGAGAACAAGCAGACACATGGACTGGAACGGCGTGCCGGAAGGTGCCGAAGGGCGCCTCTCCGTAGGTGTGTGGCACGATGTGGTGGACGAGAGTATGAAGAATGCAAGCGCCGAGGTTCCAAGCAACGAGAGCGGAGACACCCCACGCGAGCTCATTACTGTCTGGCAGTCTACCACTCTGACTTCAAAGCCGGAGATTGTGTCATTCAGTCAAGAGAACATTGTTGCAGCAGTTGGAGCACTTATCTCGGCCATTCCATTACGGCAGCGTTTCAGCTCAGCGGACCTGATCCTCCCTGCGGACAGCTTCACGCATACCTATGTTCTTAGCCAGACTCTGGCTGCACTCTTCACACACGCAAGCCTCGCTATTAACAGCGTCGCAGCGCCCGGGATCGATCTTGAGCTGGCTCGACGGGGAGTTGCGCCGACCGTTATCATCGCAAGCGCTGAAACACTGGCGCAGCTGCATCAGAAGGAGACTGCCGGAATCAGCTCCGGCCTCCAAAGAATTGGCAAGTACACACAGGATCAGACGGTATCGGCTGGCCGTATGCCCACGGACGGGATCCTTTTCAAGCTGCTTGCGCCTTCATCGGCCAACACGCAACCTGGAAAGCTCCGATTGATTCTGACGTCGGAACGTCTTGGTGCCGGATCGCCGGCTTTGTCTTCAACGATGCTCTCCGACTTGCGCATCTTCACTCGTAGCCGCATCATCTATGCGCTGACAACAGCTAAGGTTGCTGGTGCCGTCGCGCAGACCAACGTCTTTGATTATCGACGCGATGACGGCACTGAGCATTCGCATTTCGGCATACCTCTGAGCAGTGTGGAAGTGAAGCTGCTCAGCAGCGGGAACGACGAGGCGGTGGCTGCGCAGGAGCCCAAGGGCGCGCTCTGGGTCGGCGGACCAGCCGTGAGCGGTAGCGAAGTCAAGCTCCCCGTACAAGGTCGGATACGGGAAGACTGTACACTCGCTTTCGCGTGAGGCGCGTGGTGATACACAGTCAGGTACGACACTGTATACAGACCTGCCGAATTGTAGTGCTGTGAAATATGAAGCGATCGTAAGGTATGGCATTGCCAGAAAGAGTAGCTGGAATCCCTCTTATAGCAAATGCTTCCTGAGGCGCCATTTTAGCGTCGATCGATACAACGGTGGAGATGACCTGCTCCCCGAAGCTGCATAATGGCTTTTGGTACAGATTTCATACAGTAGCTCGTCTCACAAGCGCAACGTCTCTTCCTGCGGTGAAGCCAAAATGGTCGGAAGGCCGGAGGTTCCGCCGGTACCGCGGACCCGGTAGTGTGACGGCCACATAATGTCTGTGCCAAGACAGAACGCAGACGGTTTCAGTGCGAAGACATGTCGGCGGAGCAGATGTTGGTTGTGGCGGGAAAGGGCCCCGAGCAAGATGTAAGGCCTAACAGCGGTGCCACGCTGCTGACAAGGGTCGGGATATACTCCGAAGGCGTTGGCGGTGGTGGTGCATGATGAAGGATGAAGAGAGAACCTGGAAGGCAAAGAGGGATCATAGGGAGATTGGATTGGCGGGCATTGCGAAAGAAGATGGTCCAGGTCTCTCGTGCCAGAAGGGTGTTTTCGAAGTCTATTACGCCACCCTTCAGGACTAGAGGCAGAAACCAGAAGACCCGCAATGTCAACCTCAGCGGCGTGGGCAAACTTCACCTCCCGCCCTCCACAGCCGGCCAGACGAAACACACGACCGTCACGACTCCGGACCGCATACCGCTGACTATTCCACACGCTGACACCTGCTCTACGCCATCCAATCTGTATCGTATCTGCCGCGGCGACCATCGCCATCGTTCTCGACACGGCCGAGGCAGCGCGGAAGGCGGTAGAAGCTGCATCGAAGATATGAGAAAGATCCTGGTTGCGGGAGGTATACACGTGAAATAACCTTGCCACAGCTGGCGAGGAGCCTCATCCGTCTCCTGCTGAGCGGCGCCGCGTGAAGAGCCGAACGAAGAAACCTCGCGGGCTCCCCCCAAGGCACAAGCACTGGTGTCCGGGTAGCGCACCACTCCGCCACCCCAGACGAGACAATCACAAGAAACACCCTTACACACGTCTGCCGCCATCGATAGACAAGTCAACCAGAGGATAAACCCCCCTTCCTGCACCACATCAAGGGTTGGCTGCCTTTCTTGGCCGTCCCCTCGCAGAAATCCGTCAAGATTGAGAGCCTCATCTATGGTATGCATGTCACCACAATTTCCTTCCAGCCCGTCTTCTTTCTGGTAGCCCGCTCGCTAACCTTGACGCAGGAGCGAACCTCGAGATGGTTCGCATAGATACCATCCGCGAGTCCAACGCCCAAGGCGCACAGCTGCAGGACTTGGTCGTCGTCTTCGTGGGTGGTACCGGCGGCGTGGGCGAGAGCACGGCAAAAGAGCTGTTCATACGGACAACGCGGCCGCGCGCCTACATCGTTGGAAGGTTTGTCTCCTCCATCTCCTTTCTTCCCTCGCTCACAGCAGCCTCAATCCACTGACCTCTACGCACAGGAGCCAAGACAAAGGCAAGCGAGTCTGCAATGAACTCCAAGAGCTCAACCCAGACGGCAAGGCCTTCTTCATTGAAAAGGATATCAGCCTCATGCGCAATGTCGACGAGCTCTGCGCCGAGCTGATGCAGCGCGAATCCAAAATTCACTGCCTATTCCTGACAGCTGGCTTCATGACGCTGCGCGGCCGGAGCGAGACAGCCGAAGGCATCGATCGCAAGATGGCAGTCAACTATTACTCCCGAATGCGCTGCATCATGGGTCTCATGCCTCTCCTCACAGCAGCCTCCAACGACAACGAACTCTCGCGCGTCATCACCGTCCTCGCCGCCGGGTCGGAAGGGGAAATCCGAGTCGATGATCTGGAACTTCGACACAACTTCACCCTACACGCGTGTCTCGCGCACTGCGTCGTCATGACCGACTTCTGCATCGAAGAGTTCGCCAAACGCTTTCCAGGCACCTCCTTCAGCCACTCCTACCCAGGCACAGTCAAGACCGGAATCGCAAATGAGCTGAGTGGGCCCGTACGACTTGCGGTCAAGGTCCTGTACGCCGTGATGACGCCATGGATATTGAACGTACAAGAGTCCGGCGAGCGTCACTTCTTTCAAATGACCAGCTCCTGCTACCCTTCACGCAACGGCTCCGCGGGCATCCCCGTCCCCAAAGGATTCTCAGCCTTTCGCGGGTCGGATCACCGTCCGGGCAGCGGCGCCTACCTCCTCGATTGGGACGGCAAATCCGCCGGCGACGAGAGCTTTCTCCAGAAATACCGCGAAATGAACCTGGGGCCGAAGATCTGGGAGCACACCATGCAGATCTTTGAGAGGGCGGACCAGATGTCACGGAAGGATTCGAAGCGCCCTGCGGAGGGCGAGGCGGAGGGCGCAGGACGTTCAATACCCAACCCCATCGGCTGGAGGCCTGCTTCCTAGGAGAGATTTCAATATATGTATACACCTTGGTGGATTCTTTTGCGTACAGTCAGTTTCGAGCGAGGCGCTGGAGGACATGGGTTTCTTTTATTTTGGACTTGCTATACACTCTTGAGAGAGACTGGGGAGCGGTACATCTCTGCTCAACCGACGAGGCGGGATTGCAGATTAGAAAGAACAAAGATCCCTACGCGCGTACATGCTACTACGTACATGGCATACGAGAATACAATTCCGTGCGAGTGTTGCTTAAGGTACATTTCAGACCGATGTCCCACACCTTCCCGTTCCTGCCCAGATCCCCCTTCTGCTAACTTAACCCAGGCGACGCTCAACCACCCCTTCTTCCTAATCCACCCGCCCACGACTCAGCGTCCGGATCACGAAGCTCCGCCGCCAACTTGCCGCATCTTTTCCGAAACCGGTTATCATGACATCCAAATCTTCCGGAAAGCGCGCGATCAGATAGCCCCGAGCGCGACTACCATGCATGCCATACCCGGAATGTCCATCCACCTCGAACTGCTCTGAGAACGTTTTGTGTCGTGGGAAAAGTTGGGAGAATTGTTTTGCTTTGCAGGCGAGAAATTGTGAACATGCCTCGCTGACAGGTAAGCTAAGTAAGTTTCGTGGAGAGCGAAAGAAGACGGACGATCTGACATGCTATCCTATCCTATTCTAAGCGTAACAAGCGATCGAAAACGCAGCTTAAAAAAGTAAGTAAGTGTATCGTATCCTCAGTCATGAAGACGTGCATGCAGATCACTACTCCCAGAGAGAGAAAAATGTAGTTCACACCACCCCTTCAGCAGCAAAAGCCGTCGTCATCAGACTCCTTTCAGCTCCGCAGACACTGCCAGTAATAGAGATTCTGCCTCACGCATTTCAACCCACTCGCGCAAGTCTTGATTTGGGATCCCAGGCCGTCACATTGCTGATAGAGACCTGCCTCTCCTCCCGTCCCAGGCGGAAGACCCGATGCAGACGGAGCTGCAGTTCCCGTCCCAATAGCAGCGGCAGCAGTCGAAGTCCCATTCAAAGCAGAGGCAGACGCAGACGGAACAAGAGCACTCGCGGTACTACTAGAGCCACTACCACCAGCCGTAGCAATACTCCCCCCACCATTCCGCGCGCCCAGAGCAAGAATCCTCTCACTAGCACGTTCCGCCAAACTGACAATCAGAGCACTCGGGTTCGTCGACACCATGCCAGGAAAAACCGAAGCGTCGACGACGAACAGATTCGCCGTCCCATAGACTTTCGTATCCGTATCGACGACCGCGGAGCCGTTATTTTCGAGCCCGGAAGCCGTGCCCATTCTACACGTCCCCAGCCAGTGGTTTGCCGTCCGCGCCGACGTCGTCAGGGGATATGTGCCGAGGAACTCGTCGAGGGAGGTATTCGCGGCCGGGAAGACGATCTGGATCTGCGGATCCGCGGCGAGGGCTTTCTGGAGGGTTTCGATGCCGCTCTTGACGGCCGCGAGGTCGTTTGCGTCGGAGAGGTAGGGCACTCGGGACACGACCATGTTGAGGTCTTCGGAGATGGTGGCGCGGCCTCGACTCACGGCTCCGCGGCCGAGGTATTGCGAGAGGACCATGGATTTGTTGTTCGTGACCCCGTGCCCGCTCTCGACGCGGGCCGTCCACTGGAGCTGGCGCGTGATTCCGTCGGCGCCTGGGATTTCCTGCCAGAAGACGGCGGCGAGGTTTGGCGCGGATTGCGCGAGGATGCCGGAGCGATGGTCGAGGTATTTGGTCTTGTCGGCTGGGATGGGGGAATCGTAAGCTGCGTAGAAGTCGTAGAAGGAGACGTTGGGGTGGGTGATGACGATCTCGGTGTTGACGTGGTCGTCCAGGTTTTCGCCGACGGGGAGGTGGATCCATTGGGAGCTGTTGATCATCTTGTCACCCTCAGCAGTCTGGACGATTTCGAGCTGATCTTGTGGCCCGATTCCGGAGCGGAAGAGAATCTTGGGTGTACCGAATGCTCCGGCGGAGAGGATGACTTTTCCCGTAGTAGACGTGACATTTATCGTACCGCATTCGCCGCCGTCCAGGAAGGCTTCAACTTCGATCCCGGTGATGGTGCTGCCATCACGCACCACACGGTTGACAGTCGTGTTGGTGATGAGCTTGAAATTGCTCCTCTGGCTTGCCGAGACAAGATACGTAGCCATCGGTCCTCCACGCTCTCCATGGCTGAACATATGATTCGGCCTCGAGAAAGTGTAATTCTTCTGTGCTGGTACATCGTCCGCAGTCACATTCTTCCATCCAGAAGCAGCCAGCGCACCAGCAACAACCTCGTACCCTTGCGGTTTGTAGATAATGCCATCCATAGAAGGAGTCTGCGTGAACGGGATTCTTTCAAATACACGATCGATTGCAGGTTGCATGTCCGCAGCTTTCCAGCCTTCGGGGAAATTGTAGTCGAAGTCTTCCGGGTTGGCTCTCCACCAGAGACCTGCATTGACAGCGGTTCCACCGCCGAGGACACAGCCTGCCATTACGTCTAAGTCGGAACAGGCGATACCTTCGGAGTCGACCCAGATTTCGTTGTCTAGGCCCGGGACATCGAAGCGGGAGAGATTGGTGCCGACGAGCCAGTCTGGCTTGAGAGTACCGCCCCAGCGGCCAGAAGATGGAGGACCTCGTTCAACGAGAAGGACGCTGGCGCCGTTTTCCGAGAGCTTGTCTGCGAGCGGGATACCTCCAGCTCCTGCGCCCACAACAATATAGTCATACGTCTGGCTGACCACTGTACTGTTGCTAGCACATGCCGCGGAGGTAGCTGCAGCTGTTGAAGACGCCACAGAGCCCGTCCCGGTCGCAGTAGCAGTGGCAGTACCATTACCAGCTGGAAACGGCGCACTGCTAGAAGCAGGCGCAGCAGTAGCAGTAGCGAGAGAAACCCAAGAAGTATACGCGGTATTCCTCGCACTAGCGGCCGTGACAGCAAAGATGCCATCCTCGGCATGCTGCTTGATCCCCGTATCCGCCTCGCTGGGATTTGTAGGTGCATTTGTAGCTTGCACCCATCCGATGAGTTGTGCAGCAGCAGAAGTCGTAGCAGGAACCTGACTTCCAGAAACACCACCATCTTCCCATCTCCAGCAATTCTCACAGCGATACGTTAGGGAGAAATGCGTATCGTTGACAGCGGAATCGATGACAGAAAGTGAAGCGTTGCCAGTGTAGACATCCGGTTCCACGTACCCAGAGGCGTAGCGAAAGGAAGACATGACGCTCTCGCCGTCGACCCAGGCAAGGAGAAGCAGGGAGCTCGTCATACTGCTAGTGTGACTGACTCCGAACCAAGTCCCGCTTTTAGGCCTCGTAGCTACCATTCGTCCAATGTACTCGTCAGTGTATTTCTCCTGTGCAGCGGCAGGCAGTGCCATGCCGAATTGACCGCCTCCAGTCCCGACGCCAGTGCTAAGGGTAGCTTGCCAGAAGGTAATGCCATTGTCGTCTGTATAGGATCCGAAAGTCTGAGCCAGTGTCGTAGCCGCATATGCCAGCAGGGAGAAAGCCGAGAAGAGCTTCATGGTTGTTCAGAAAAGATGAAACCTCGCCAGGAGGTCTTTCGTAGTGCGCCGCCCGAGCAGACCGAATGTGTAAAACGAGTGACTTCAGGTCGACAAGCAACTTGAGGAAAAGAACGAATGGACGCTCGTCAAGAGCAAATCGAGAGGAACAGAACTGCGAGAGTCCTACAAAGCAATCAACATCAGCAAGAAAGAAACCAAGCAGTAGAACTCACAGCTTATTATATCTCCCCCAGACCTAGTTGGACCGCCTATAAATCGCTCGCACATGTCCGCTTTGGATCAAATAAATTAATTCCGTCCGTCGCTAAGCATACATCTCTCATGCCGCCGGTCTCCACAAATTTGTAAGCTCCTCGAACAGTGCACGCAAATAAAAAGCTTGGGTGACGTCCCCGACGTGCATCAAGTAGATTAGACCAGACGCCGGTCTCTGCCAAGCTCTCGCGTAACCGATCTGTAACAATATCAGCCAGACGTAGATAGAGTGGTATTCTCCCGTCGACCAAAGAGAAGCGCCGAGATGGTAAGAAGGGTAGGCGCTCTGAAGTTTCAATGGAAGAAGAATGTTTTCGATTCTCGAGGTTTGAACTGCTCTTTCTCTGCTCTTTGAGCAACTGCCGTAGAATTACATGGCCTTTTGGTCTGCATATGCATTACGTTCCTCGCATTGGGTTGAAGGCCGAAAATGTCTCGTCATCGGATATTCAGGTTGTTCATCATAAACGCCAGTTCGGGTCTCCTCCTGTGCTATTCTCGAAGAGGATGGGTATGCCTTTCCTGCGCCAGTCCATGTTACCGAAACGCCCCGATGCTGCTTGTGTGGGTCATCAATATATCAGTCATCTCGTGTCCTTACTCGTCGTCCTCGACTTCAAGCTGTTCAGGATGCCTGGGACTTGATTAGTACGCATCGGGGGCCATAACACGCGAATACTTACCCAAGCAGACTCTTGATGTCCTTCATCTCATAATGTTTCTTGCGCATCTCCTCGAACTTCTTGTGCTTCTCATACTCCTGAGGGCTCATGTCTTCTTCCTTCTCTCCATGCCTGCCTTGGTCCTCGACGGCCGGGTCCTTCTCCACCTGAACTCTCTTCTCGCCATCACTCTCGCGGCGTGTTAGAGGGTCCATTTCAGGCTCACCGAGATCCAAGCCTGGAATCTCGGTGTCCCTGGCGCGAGCACCCGACGACTTACGTTGGGCAGGTTTCGGCTTGTTCATCTCCAGCTCGTCTACAGCCAACTCTTGAGCGTTGATGTTAGCAATCTCCTCCTCGTCCTCGACAGGGTCGTAGTTTCGAGCGTATGGGGTCTTGGGCTCGTCGATCTTCATCTTGCCTCCCATCTGGCCCTCGTTCAGGTACAGGTTGGCTTCGTCCCATTTCAACCTCATACCGCCATCCTCGTGCACGCCGTTTGCCGCAGCTCCGCTGTTCTCGATCTGAGACGATTGACGCCGGCTGATGCTTCTGCGAGCATTGCTGCTATTCCGACGATGTCCGTTGCCTGCGTTGATCTCCGTGTTCATCTGGGTGATCTCCTTCTCCGAAAGCTCCCGCGGGGGCATGCCTGGTCTCGCAGAAGCCTCCGTCTGGCCGTCATGATTGCCAAAGCTCGCGGTAGGCTCTGGGGCTTCGGAGGTCGGGCTGATGCGGCCGTCGCCGTCGGGCGAGGTCTGTTGGTACGAGCCAGAATTCTTCAGGATCCCTGCGAGCGTCACAAGTCAGCCACTGCCGGTTCTGTTTACCGGGGATTGGTGGGATAGCTGCGTACCCCTTGGCCTCTTAGGCACGGGAGAGGGCGATTGCTGGTTGGTCGAAGTCTGTGCCATGTTGGCTTGGCGGATGGAGTGCAAGATGGATGATGGGAAGACGGAAGGGTATAATAAGGGCGGGCGTTTGGCAGGTCGGGTAGCTGTCTCGTGATAGATATTGCACGTGAAGGGTGTCTTGGATGCAGGAACCGATCCTGTGGAACCCAGGCAACCTGGCAGGCCGGTCAGAAGACGCTGGCGGTGGGTGTGTGGGTGGGTGTTGATTGCGGTGTCGACAGTGCGGTGGTGGGTGGTGTGGTGGTGCGGACGGCGGGTTGGCGATTGCGGAGTAGTTGTAGTGGGTGGTGGAAGCCGATGGGCCAGCAAAAGCACGCAGTGGGCAAGCCCATTCGAGCGAGCTACCTTACAGTGTGAGCATCTGCAGCGATTCGGCTGGCTTGGATTCTGCTTGTCGCCGAAACGACGGACGGGTACAGTAACGGTAACGTCACCGCCCGCCCACCACCCACCACCCACTACTAACCCACCTTCCTCTTTACGCTTTACGCCGGACCCTGGTTGGCTCGGCTCGGCCGTTGCCGTTGCCGTTGCCGTGCTGGCCCGAGCAACGGCGTCTGGGCGTCCTCCTCGACTTTCACTTCGTCCCTCATCAACATCTCGTCTTCACATGCAAATGGAACGATCGCGTTCTTCCCGCCTGCCAAGACTTCGCTCATCCCCTCATTTCATGTCCGCAATGCACCTTCAGCCTACGTGTGACCGCCAGGGGATCAAATGACTCCATGCAGTCGGAGACAAGCGTAATCCGGAGCAAAGGAGCCAATGGTGCATGCAGCATACCTCTATGCGCAGCGCAAACTTTTCGAGCCGAAACAGCCCGTTACATATCCGCAGCACTTCCCAAAGCGCTCCACTGCTTCAACACTGCCGACGTGGACTGCAGTCAGACGAGAAACCTGCCGAACAACGTGGTCTTACAGGGGCACTTCTCTAGTTCGCCGCCATGCGTTGGCAACCATAGCTTCGTCGCTTGCATTTGCTTCGATCACACCTACGTCCGCGATGCCTACGCTAGTTAGATGAGAACGCGGTCGACATTGGGAATGGTACATTCGCTAGCCGCGGCACGCGAGCAACTTCCTCGCTTGCACCTGCAATTAATCCGCCAGTCCCCGAACAAGCCTGCCTGGCTTCACGTGCTCGGCAGCGGCCCATAAGACCAACACCCTCACCCTGCGGGTTGGTATGCCCAATGATACCCATTCGAGACACACGGAGCGGTCCTCTCCGCACCCAGAGCGCTCTGCGCATCGCCAGAAGGAGCCCGCTGACATTTCAATCGAGGATCACTTGAGGATGCTGTCTGCGAAGCCCCGAAGCTTACCGCGGAGTCCTCCCTTGCCTTGTTCTACTCCGCCTTGAGCCCCTGGAGGCGGCGGTGGAGATGGACGGTCATAGGTTTGACCCTGCGCAGCGTCCGGACGAGCTGGCACTGGAGGAGCACCGGAATTGCTAGCAGCACTCTTGCCGCCCACAGTGACAGTGAACAAAGCTGGATCGCCAGCATTAACTTTGCCAGACTGGTCATCACCTCCCTCTGGCTGCACGTCGTCGTATGCGAAAGCATATCCCTTGCGATCGATATTACACTCGTGGACCAATCTAGCATAATGATTCGTGGGATCTTGCCGGTAGAATGTATCCGGGTTGCTTGGGTGCTCTTCACACTGGCACAGAGATGAGCGCACGAATCCCGCAGCAAGTCTGGGAATGATTGCATTCCGTGTCGGCGAAGGACCTGTCGTGAAAGGACCACTGTTGCAACCAAAGATGTCCGCGGTATTGGGTTTTTCGAACTCCTCATCTCCAATCTTCAGCTTTCCACTTCTATCCACACAGCCTTGGAGCACACCAGGACCTGCCTGAGTATCGATCTTCATCTTGGCGCCCGACCTGTACTTCTCCCAGACCTCGTCCACATGAGGCTCGTAATATCCTTCGAAGCTGGCACCGACCGCCCCTCCATGCGTAGCGTTCAAGATTCTTAAGTTCCTCCCGTTGCGGTTCACGACGAGCTTGTCCCATGGCCTGCCATCTTTCTGCGCTTGCGCGGCCAAACTCTGAGCCATTTGGTCGAGTCCATCAGGTGCCATTCCTGCTACATGCTGGACTTCTCCTGATTGCTGCTGCAGCGTAATCGCGATTGGAATTCGGGGCACAAAATCCACATAGCTGATATTGGCATACAGTTGAGCATCGTTGAGCGTGAACTCTGCGAACCCAAAGGACACTTCGGCATTTGGATCGCTCGGGTTGAGCACAGAAGGCTCGACCAAGGCGCTTGCCTCCGGAGAAGGATTTAGCAAAAACGTGAGCTGGCCTTCCGCGATCCATATTCTGCCACCTGCGATCTGAGGAATCGTGACATCGACTGTGTTTCCTGGCGGTCCGAGCGGAATAGCACAGTCTTCCGCTAGAGGCGACCCGATGGTGTCGGTCTTCCCCGGGAAGTACAGATCCTTTCCATTGGCTTTCAGCAAGCAGCGTTGGTTGTTGTGCTGAATGGCTATGCCCGTGATGTACGCGTGCAAGTCGTCAAGGTCTGAGTCATTTCTGAGGGCGATTTGCAGATTATTTGGCATGATGAGCAGAGTCGATCAATCTTTCTCCGTCGTTGAGATGTGCCTAGGAGGAGAAGTTGAGAAAGAGCTCTAGTGCTAAGCGCCGGACGGGAACCCTGTTTGCTTGGTACCACTTTGATGACCTGATCGACTGGTGTTTGAATTTTACAACTGTGACCAGTTCGCTGACAAGCGTTTGACTGCTGACGTGGCTCAGGGTTGCATTGCAGACGCAGGACGCGTGCTTGTGTGACCTTGTTGTCAAGAAAACATGGCATTGATGAACTTGGGCAGATGCACGATCGGACCCAGCCATGACGTCAGAGTCCGGCTGCCGGCCAAGGCAGGCTCAACTCCCGAACGCAGCTGGCACATGCAAATGCCAAGACCAACTCTCCTTCTCCCATTCACTTGCGGGCCCGCTCACATCACTGGAGCCTTACTGCAACTGGAGCCACTCCTGTCTCAAGTCAGATACGACCTGCTGCAGCGTATACGGCTCTCTTCCAAGCAACTTCGTCACGGTCTCCGTCGGCTCGGCCCCTTCGCCGTTCCCAACTCGAACATCCAACTCGGCCAGGTACTCCGCCTGGGGCTCTGGACATTCGTATTCTAACAGCTTATGTTTCAGTTCTTGTTTGCTTAGTTCAACGTGCTTTATCTTGCGACCAAGCGTTTGTGAGAAGATGTCCGCAACCTGGAGGGTAATCAGCAAGATCATTAACCATTTCATCGGATGGTGGATCCACTGACCTGTGCGTAGCTCAGGGAGTCCCCGCCAGTAATGACATAGTCAGTATTATGCGATTGCTCATCTACAAGCATGCGATGCGCCACAGAAGCAATGTCCCTGGCCGAGATAAAAGGCACCGTCCCTTTTCCAGCCGCCGTGTATATCTTGCCTTCATCCCTAATACAGGGCGAATGATATGGCTCGGCAAAGTTCTCTGCACCAGCACCAGAATTAGCGTTGCACTACAGCACCGAATCAAAGTCCTACCCATAAAGAAATGCGGCCTCAGAACGGCCCACTCGATCCCCTCCCTTGCAGCCATGCCCCTCAAAGCAGCATGCGTCGGCCCCATCACACAAGCATCACCTTCTCCGACCTCCCACGCCGAGAGCAGAACAAACCGCTTCACGCCTTTGAGATATGCGAACCTCACAAAGGGCATGACCTGTTCTCGCGCATCCTGAAGATCGGGTGAGACGAGGTAAGTTGCGGTGATGGGTGAAATTCGGGCTTGCATGTGGGCAAACGGCAATCCCCATGTCGTTTCATCCAGCCAGTCGAAGCGAACCGTAGGGTATTTGGCATCTGGACTCGGGCGACGAGAAGCGATAAGAATGGCATGGGTGGGAGTGAGGAGGTTAGCCAGGTGTGAAGCTGTCTTGCCGCTGGAACCTGTGATGAAGATGGTCATTGTTTCTTCGTACTTTTTCTGAAAGTGATGGACTTCAGATGGATCTACTCTTTGATATTATCTATGCTAGCAACGTCATAGCATGCATCTGTTGGCCCAGTGAACGGGAGAAGTACGCATGTCACAACATCGGTGTACTAGGTCTGACTGATGAGCTGTCATCAGGGATGTCTGTAACCCAAAAGGCGCTGTACCTACATCGCGCTAAGGACTCTCCTAACCAAATCAGGAAGGAAGCTGCAGTGTAGATTTTGGACCTCGAATGCGACGACTCCATCGGCGTCGAGTGGGATGTAGAATTTAGACCCTTCGATCTGGACTTCTGTCGGCCTTATTTTTCATTTACCGTTTCGTTGCCACAGCGTTCGGGTCGTCGTTTTGCTCATTTGTGGTGCTCTCTTCAGGCGATATGTGGTCAGAACTGGACTGCAAAGGCTGAGACTCTGGAATAACATCATCGTTCGGCATTTCTGCTGGTGCTGAGGGACTTTCGTGAGCCTTGCTGGCAATCAAAAGTTCGTCCCCTCGAGCTCTTGCCCACTCTCTCGTCTTGGCCACGTCTACGCCATCGGCTAACTAAAACCTTTCGGTTGTCATTGAACAGCTGGTAGCTGACTGGTTCAGGATGTGCTAGGTGTCGTCAAGTCTAGCCGTTTTGCGATCATCACGAAAGCCGCCCATGCGAATAAGCCGCCGCATAGGAAAGTCAAAAATAGTGCGGGTATAGCGTATCGCCAGTCCCAGCTTACGCCAGGCTCATATCGTGTTGCAGGCATCAGCGCGAGATCGCTATCAGGAGTCGAGAGCGTACTTTCGACACCAATCACGGCGTTCGCTATGAGGTCTGTCCACATGTGACTGTGAACCATTGCCGCAGTCTCAGCACTTGCCGATAGCTTCGACCATTTCAAGATGTTAGCCAATTGTCTACACCAGCGTAGCCCTGTGCGTAGAGGTCGCTAGGTGAGCTGCTGTATATTTGGGTCAGTGCCTTAGTATCTTCTAGGCACCAGCGGAGACTCGCGAGGAAAGCTCAGGGAGGAGATCTTTACTTAATCCAATTGATGGAAGTGACTTTTTAGCGACTAGTAAGGTTATCGCTGTTGCTCCCGATGTCATTCAATTCGCCTGGCAGACCGTATGTGGTACAGGACACAAGCTTGTGAGTGCTTCGCCTCCAGCCGTGGAAAGGCATCACTCTGCCAACGAGTCCGGTGGGTTCCAATGCTATGTTACTGTAACGAATATTACTCAGCGAAATTCATGCAAGCACATCTGCTGATAGTCAGTAGATGGCGAGTGTCGATGAGGTGAAATCGAGCTGATGGAGTTGGTGAGAGAAAAACTCGGAGGGCAATATACACATCGGCCCATTGTTCTTCCGTACCGTCTCCTTCCACATCTCTTACAATTCGCACCACCTGAAGTTCTTCACCCTGTTCATCCATCCTGACATCAACCTGCATCGACGCATATTTTGTGTCTGACGATCTACCAGAGCTGTAACTCTTGATAAGAGAAAGTCTGGCGCTTCACGATGCAGGTAATACTGTGATGGCGGCCAACGATGCTTGCGGAGGTAATCAAGACCCATCGGGTCTGGTACGGGTCCCAGAGCATGTTTAATGAGGGACGATGCCTCTGCTCCAATGCTCAAGACCGCTTCCTGCTCTCTTCCCCATCGACTTGCTTCCTGACACTTCAAGATGAACTCACTTCTCCAAAGGCTTCGCATCCAAGAGGATCCTAACCGGCCTGTACCCAAGGAAGCCTACGGATGGCGGGTGTACGCACAAGCATTATGCGCAGCAGGAGTGAGTTACAAGCACGAAGTCATTCAGTGTGAGCACGAAGTCATTCGGTTTAAGCGTTGACGAGCGTGAAAGGGCGCTTCTCTGGTCGGCTATGACCATGCATACATCGGCGGCACCTCTACACTTTCAAGCTTCCAGCACGCATTCGGCATCGACCCCAGGAACAAGGCAGCACTCCTCGCTAACATAATGTCTACAATGATCGCAGGATGCGCTCTCGGCAGCGTGATGGGCTACATCCTTGCAGAGAAGCTCGGCCGCAAGAAAGCCCTCCTCTTTGCCAGCATCGTCACATCCATTGGCGGCATGATCCAGATGTTCAAAGGTCACATCGGGCTTCTCTACGCTGGACGTATCATCTCTGGCGTCGCTATCGGAACCGTGATAGGTACGATACCTGTCTACATCAGCGAGATTGCGCCACCAACCATTCGTGGACGGTTGGCAGGCATGGAAATGTGCGTAGCATTACTGACGCAGCTTCTCGGATACTGGATCAACTATGCCGTCGAGAGGACCATTTCTCCAAAGCTTGATACTCAATGGCGCATACCAGTCGCCATACAATTCGTGCCTCCCGGTATTCTATTGCTGTCCCTTCCTTTTATGATCGAGTCCCCACGTTGGCTGGTTCATCAAGGACGGCACCAGCAAGCTCTCGAATCCCTGGCATGGATTCGGAATCTCGCCCAAGATCACGAATACGTTCAGTGGGAGCTCAGTGAAATCCAGAAAAGTGCAGCTTCGTCACTGCAAGGGACTTTCAAACAAAACACAGCTGCATCGTGGAAGGAACTCAGACAACCTGGAACGCGGAGGAGACTGGTACTCGCCACGACGTGCAAAATTTTGCACTCTATCAATGGGTATGTTCGGCTACCGCAACGCTCACGCTACCTTGCTGACTGTTGCCCACAGAATGACTCTCCTGTCTCTATACGGACCGCTGTTGCTCGTAAAGGTCGGTTTCGTCAAGAAGTCAGAAGCTCTCTTCTTCACAGGATTCTATGGCGTTGTAAAGGTTGTCGTGACGGCAATTTTCACGTTGTTCTTAATCGACTCTTGGGGCCGTAGAAAGACAGTATTGACAGGAACTGTCTTCGTCTTCGTTGCGCAATTCTACCTAGGAACCTTCTCTGGGGTGTCAAAGTCTTTTGAGCATACACCGCCAAGAGATGCCGCACTCTGGCTGGCTTTAGTGGCAATTTACGTCTGGGTGAGTTGATTTGTTGCCAACAGCTGGCTTTCTACCGATACTGACATTTTCATCCACAGACCGCCGCTTATGCCGCCGCTTGGGCCTGGTTTCCCAGCGTCTTCGCCTCCGAAATCTTCCCAACCCATCTTCGCGCAATGGCGCTCATGTGCATCAACGTCGTCGGCTGGATCATGCATTTCGTGGTGGCGTACAGCACCCCGTACATGATCGAACACCTCAAGTGGGGAACATTCATTTTCTTTGGGTGCCTGGGTGTTCTCAGTACGGTAGTGGTCTTCGTTTGGGTTCCGGAGACGAGTTCGATCCCCTTGGAGAAGACGGGTCTCTTATTCGAGGGTTCAAAGTGGGCGAGAAAGGCGAGGAAAGATGCGGAGAGGAAATTGGAAGAGGAGGCAAGGAAGGGCTCTTCTAGTTCGACTGGCTCTGTGGAATTGGAGGGCACGGAGACGGTCGTTGTTGGTGAGAAGAAGGATCAGCGGGGCGATACTGTCTGAATTGGGTATTTGAGATGTGAGGTCTAGATCGAAGGGGCACGACTGATAATGGGTGATCGTCGTTGGATCTGCGAATCGTCTTAATGGGTTGGGATCAAATGAGTTCATATCGCCTAGGCTGCAGTCCCTAGCATTGCGTCGCTTGTACTCGATAGAAGATGAATACCGGGTATACACGTAGGTTTAGATTCTATTTCATATAGTCAGTCACTGTGTCGTTGGTCGTCAGATTAAGCACATGCCTAGAAGCCAGTTAGATGTTTGACTGACTCAAGCTCTGGCCCTTCGAAGCTCATTTTCGTTTTCAACCTCATTTACACTCCCACCTGCACCAGACCAGATTCACCTTCACAACTTTCACAAACATCGCGAATCCAGCGACTACGGACGACCGTCAACGACAACCGCATCAGCCAATAACAACACCGATGCATCCAAGCCAGGCTCAGCGGTGCACTCCGAAGTTGATGCATCCAAGCCAAGCTTAGCGGTGCACTCCGAAGGTGATGCGGTCCTTGGCACAAAGCGTGAGAGACCACGCCTTGCTGTTGAGGAGCTGGAGACAATTCTCGTGATTCATCAGAAGGCATGACGCTTCTGAAGGGGGGCATATCGACGAGCCCCACAAATGTTGAGAAGGAGACAAGGGTCGGAGGCGAGCCAATGGGTTGGACAAAGAGAGGCCATTGGGAGAGGCCTCCGCACTCGAGTGACCTGTACCAAGCTTTCTATTCTATTTCTTCTTGTTCCTGCTCTTGCCACCTCGTCCCATAGCTCTTCTTTCCGCTGCCCTCTCCTTCCTGGCCCTGGTCTTGCGCCACGCCGCAAAACGGTCACCAGGCTTGAACGGCGTAACAGCTTGTGCTCTCCTTGATGTCTCCGCAGCTCGTCCAATTTCCCAATTAGCCTGTCGGTACATGCCTCCAGGCCTCAGATGCAGTTTGATCTCTTGTTTGTCCTTCTTCTCTCCCTTGATGATCTTCACGCCGCGAAACTCGTTGGGCTCTTCGCGAACCTCCGTGCCGCTACCGTCCGTTGTTAGATCTGCTGCAGCGATCTGCGATTGTGTTTTAGGCACTTGGTAGGCCAGCATGCCGAGTCTCCTTCTTCGAATTTCATGAGGGGATTGAGGGAGAGTTTGGTTTTGCTCGAAGACAATGCCGATGAATTTTCTCTTCGGGTGCCGAGCTGGGTCGCGGTAGTATGTTACGTATCCCGGTGCGCCCGCGTGTATTGTGTGATCGCGTCCCTGAGAGTCAGTCAGCGATGAGTTGCCTCAGCCATTGTCGCTCCGTCCTACCATGAAGCAATTATCTCCAGGAAACCAAAGTGTTCCTCTCTGCCTGTAGATGATATTGCCCGTCACCACGTATTCACCACCCGTCTTCTTGGCTCCCAATCGCTTGCCAGGTCCATCTGCTGCGCCGTTGGCTCGCCCTTGTGCTTGATGCGAGGCGTGTCGTTTCGCTATTGTCCCGACTGAGGGCTGTGAGATGCGGAACGACGCGAGTGCTGAGTCCAGAGCAGATAATGCCGCCACTGAAGGCGCGTGCCGTGTTAGTCGTGATGCCATGTGGTGTGTGTGATGTGCGTGTGAGAGAGCAAAGAGCAGTACAAGTGAGGTCGCTCTGCTCGCATCAAGTCTTGGCAAGGGCGATCCGAGCACCCCCGTGCTCCTGCTCCGCGCGACTTCAATGGAGACGACACCGCATCATACTCCGAATCTACTCCCTTGGAAATCAACAGGCAACAACATAACCCGCGAAACATATTGAGTGTACGACAAATCACCCAGAGCGCAATCAGCCCCGATACAAAGACTCCTGCCGTATCAGAAGAAACACCTATCGTACAACCTCCCCTCGACAAGCGACTCGAAACAGTCAGATCGGGCCTCGTGCCCGTAAAACATCCCCAAAATGGCGTCCGCAATTTTCTTCCTCGATCTCAAGGGCAAGACGCTCCTCGCTCGAAACTACCGCGGAGACATTCCCATGAGCGCAGTCGAAAAGTTTCCCATCCTACTCAGCGAAGCCGAAGAAGAATCCAGCAGCGTGCCGCCTTGCTTCAGCGACGATGGAATAAACTACCTCTATATCCGACACAATAATCTTTACCTACTTGCTTTGACGAAGCGAAACAGCAACGCGGCGGAAATCCTCCTGTTCCTACACCGGATAGTTGAGGTATTCACAGAATACTTCAAAGAGCTGGAGGAGGAATCGATTCGAGACAACTTCGTCGTCATCTACGAACTGCTGGACGAGATGATGGACTTTGGCTATCCACAAACAACAGAGAGCAAGATCTTGCAGGAGTACATCACACAGGAATCGCATAAGCTAGAAGTGCAAGCGCGACCGCCGATCGCAGTCACGAATGCTGTGTCGTGGAGAAGCGAAGGCATTCGATATCGCAAGAACGAGGTCTTCCTGGACGTTGTAGAGTCTCTCAATCTGCTCGTCAGTAGCACGGGCAATGTTTTGCGGTCTGAGATTTTGGGTGCTATCAAGATGAAGTGTTATCTCTCAGGTATGCCCGAGCTGCGACTAGGACTCAACGACAAGGTCATGTTCGAGACCACTGGCCGCGCAACGAGGGGAAAAGCAGTCGAGATGGAGGATGTAAAGTTCCACCAGTGTGTCAGGCTGTCGCGATTCGAGAACGACAGGACAATCTCGTTCATTCCGCCGGACGGAGAATTCGAGCTCATGTCATACCGCCTGAACACGCAGGTCAAGCCTTTGATTTGGGTGGAGTGTATTGTGGAGACACATTCCGGGAGCCGGATTGAGTACATGTTGAAGGTAAGTTACGGCTCGTTGATGATGGGAATGAAGACGGATGCTAATTATTGCAGGCACGTGCCCAATTCAAGCGCCGCAGCACAGCCAACAACGTGGAAATCTCCATTCCCGTACCCGACGATGCAGACACGCCCCGATTCCGGACAAATATCGGCTCTGTCCATTATGCCCCCGAAACCTCCTCCATTGTATGGAAGATAAAGCAATTCGGCGGCAGCAAGGAGTTCCTCATGCGCGCCGAGCTAGGACTTCCGTCCGTAAAAGGAGACGAGGAGCGAGGAGGTGGAATGATGGGAGGTTTCGGTGGATCGATGGGTGGAGTTGGAGGTGTGGGAGGCAAGGCAAAGAGGCCGATTAACGTCAAGTTTGAAATTCCGTATTTCACGACCAGTGGAATTCAAGTGCGGTATTTGAAGATTATCGAGCCGAAGGTGAGTGCTATCAAATACTGTATGTCGACTTGTGACTTCATGCTAACAACCCTGCAGCTCCAATACCCTTCATTGCCCTGGGTGCGGTACATCACTCAGAGTGGTGATATCGCGGTTCGATTACCGGACGTGCAATGAGAGCGCAATGTCGGTGCTAGAGATAATGATACCATGGACGAAGGAGTACGGCGTACAAAACTTTGCCAAAAGTAGAAAACTTCCTGCGAAAGACAGCGCATGCAAATTGAAGTCCATGAGCATGATTTATTGAAGCACTCATTCTGGCAACTTTACTGGCTTTGGTAATCTGTCAATATTGCCTCGTTTTCACTGACCTCCATTCGATCGACAGGCTCTCGACTGTCGTAGCACACGCCAATTCAACGACCTTGTACCATGTGAGAATGTGACTCTCAGTGATGGCCGCAAGAGCTGCCTCTTACCAGTTCAATGGACCGCTGGATTCAATCTGCGAAAGGCGCATGTTTTCTATCTCGGCACCCCAGGGAGTCCGGGCATGGTCCTGACTAGATTCCTAGAAAGCTCGTTCGTGAGACTGCGTAAGAATACCTCCTAGCAGAGGCCCAGCCAGTGTTGAGACGCCTTTCTACTGCGTCCGCAAACGCTGTAAAGATCGGTCTTCTACGCAGCGGCGTTGCCTGCACAAAAATCAAGAACCCATCCAGAAAGTATTCCCGGCAGATCTCAATCCAGCCACGGCGGCCCTTCCTACCACAAACATCCTGGAAGTCCTTGCATGCAGCTTCTCCTTAAGATCACCCACCGAGCCCAGGAGGGAGAATTGCGATTCACAGGCAAGCAGGAAGACTCACGAGCTTGACGGGAAGGAACTGATACGCTTTTGGCAGACGTGAGTTGGAAAGCGTCTGCAGGGGATGGACTGCTGTGGCTATGAGGTTCATGTCGATGCTGCTGAGAGGATGAGAAGAGCTGCTATCGTCGACGTGAGGGATCAAGCTTGATTGCCCATCTCAATGGCCAGTGTGAGTGACAAGTCCTAGCTTCATTCTGTCAAGCTCCTTTGGAGGCAGTGAATAATGAGGCTTCAACGATCGAATGTGAAAAGGATCATTTTGTCCCGATTTGTTATGCAAATGACCGCTGATAGAAAAGATGTAGACGTAGATATCGTCGTGGCAGTGACGACAAGGGAGTAAGAAATGTTGTGCCCACCCATAAGCTCTCCTGATCAATACGTTGCCGGACCCAGCCGCTTTCGTTCATACCACCAGCTTTCCACCATCTTCTTGATCCTGTTGTAGGTACGCTCATCCTCCAACGTACAGCGTCGATGGTAAGGATCCCAAAAGTCAGCCAATGCCCATTCGCTGTCGACTTCGACTTCGACCTCGACCAGGTCCTCGTCGGGGAGGAGTAGCCAACGCCCATCACACCCGTCAGAATCGGGCTCCAAGAGTAAGATAGGTTGCGTGATCAATATGTACTCGTAAGGGATTCGGAAGAGCTTCATGCGTCTCCACGATGCCCCTTCGCGGAGAGCAGCCCGTTGCTTGTCTTCTTGCAAGCAGTAAACATGTGACTGTTGGCGAAGGTGTCCCCCATTTGGGTCAATGGTAAAGGCGACAAGCCTCACGTCGCCGGAATCATTGCAGGGCTGCGTCATGTACCGCCAGGAGGACGTTCCACGGAAGAACTCGAAGAGCCACCAGAGGGGACGAAGATAGGCAGAGTCCTCGTGGCTTTCCTCGCTATTCAGATACTCAGCCTCTTCGGACTTCGGGTCTGCAAATTCCAGAAACATGAGCCGTCGCAGCTTGATGGAGCCCTTGATGGTGTTGGAGAAGTCCGTGTTGACGCGTTGGAGGATGAACAGAGACAGTGCAGGGCCATACTGCTGCTGCGTGCTTTCGCCAATGTGGACTTCTTGCAGTGCCATCTTGACGAGGATGTCTTCCAGCAGTTCCGGTACGGCGAAGACTTTGGCCGCGGCCATGGTTGGTAGTCGGTGGTTGATGAGGTCAAGAGTTGTGTAGGTCGTCGCTGTTGCTGGATTAAGTGTGTGTCGTATGTCGTTGCTGCTCGATATGTCGAGAAAGAAGTCGGCTGCCTTAGAGTATTGAAGCCATGGCGTGTGCATGTGAATCTGGGCACGGAGCCATGTGCATAATGTGAAAACTCACGCAAGCTTCAGGTGCCCTGACCTCGCTGTTCGACCTTCCACTGAAGCCGCTCCAAGCCCAGCATCTGCTCGAGACCGATCGTCGTATCGTTCCTAGCATCTGACAGCACTTCACTGCCAGCACTCGGAGGGCTCATAACCTGCCCTGTGCAGCCCATCGGCGGCATACTGAGCCTCTCACTCGTCGTCTCGACTTCCTCATTCGAGATCGACGGAATCTTGGCAATCCGCATCTGATGGCCCGGAACTTCACACTCTTCCATCAGAGTCGGAAACATCTTGACGACAAAAGCCTTCAATGCCAGCAGTGAAGCACAGATGATGCCGACATTGGCTTCGATGACGGACCAGATGATGGACCAGATACCAGACATGATGTAATCGCCTTGCTCGGCAGCGACAAGGACGGTAGTGAGGCGGCTGACGCTGACAGCGCACACGACGAAGCCAAGAAGGAAGACCAGCAGAGTGGCAAGTTTCTGCCTTCGAGGCAGGTGCAATCCCGCTATGGCCGGTAGGGGGAGAAGCAAGGTAAAGAAGTCCAAGCCAATGTTGACCGCGCCGACAGAGACCCAGTATGTTTGCGCATCTCTGCAGTGGCCTGGGAGTTGCACGTTCCATAACTTCGCAGCGGGCTTGCAGAGGAAGACGCCGCCGAAGACTCCCCAGCATGTGGTTGGCAGGAGGCAGAATAACAGAAGCCAGCAGCACATACGGGTGGTGCGTCCGTTGAAGACTCGTAGGTACTGCGTCAAGATGGAGGCCTTCGTGATGCTGACGGTGACGGCCCAGATGCTGTTGCAGGTGACGATGAGCTTGGCGACCATGATAGTATCGACAGCGCCGTTGGCAGTGCTGTAATTGCCGATGCCCATGTGTACTTCGGCTCCGATCAAACCGCACATGGTCCAGGAGAGAGCCTGATGTGCTAGCTTAGCATTTGCGTCGAGAAGCAAACAATTGCGAATACCCACTAGGGAAAGCAAGATGACCCAATCGTCCAGCCCAATATTCCTCACCAGATTGCACCTCGTATACCACCTCAGAGCCACGACAGTCGTAGCCAGAACACCAAACGCAATGGCTGGACCGAGAGCTCTCCAACCCACATCTCCAGCGCCGAGATGTACCGTGACCGGCGGAGGGGAATTCAAAGCCATGGCATCGTCGACGTCTTCCCTGAAACTCCTCCTCGCAAGCGATAGAACAGCCATTCTTGCAACACAGCAACGGCCTCAAGCCTCGTGTGGCAAAGCTCCAGCCATAAAGAAGTACTAGAGGCCTGCATCTTCACATCTCAGCCTGGCCAAACAGCTGGCCACTCCCCGCGAGGGCAAAGCAGATATGGCCGATCCATAACTAGACCGGTTGGACGCGAGCAGGAGAGATCTCGAACGGTAGCGTGTGCTTCATAGTGGGGCTCCATTTCCATTGCTTGCGGGCGTGAAGCGCATTACGACGGATCTGAAAGGTGTTGCTCGACCCAAGATGGCGGGAAACTTCCTTCGGATCCGTGGCTCAGCGAGAGGGCACAAAGGAGCGTAGCGATCGGCGAGGAAGGGTTCTTGTCATGTGCTGTGTGCTTGCTGAGAAGCGTGATCAGGATACTGGAGTCATCATCATCTTAAGCATTAAGCAAACGAGATGGATAACGATAATCTGCGTTGAGGCTGTCTTGTTGCTCCTTGGGTTCGCGTCGTGGCGTTCGGCGTGTTGGCTCTCCCTGAAGTGATAAATGGTAAGCAAAATCGGAGAACCCGGGCGAGGCTGATGGGAAGTCGCTTCCTCGGTGTCGCACTCGCGAACTTCCTTTGTTGCAGCGAAACCACCTTCCTCGCGATGTCGTGTCACAGAGTCGCTTTCTCACGGCTGTAAGACGATCCACGTTCCTGTCATGAAGCTGGCATGTCACCCGTGCGGAAACGAAGCGACATTACAATATCACCCGAAGCGCCATCATGATTGGCTCCTCGCATTCCTCTCTGGCCTCTTGGAGCCATTGGAGATGCTCTGGAAAAGAGCCATCTTCGTTTCCAGGTAGGCCTGCACGACGGGATCCATGTCGTCTGCTGGCATGTTCCCTAGCCGAGTGGCCGTTGCGGGTATTGAGGCGCTCCAGGACTCGATTGCGGAGCGCTGGGAAGCCGCGAGGTATCGATGGTATGAGGCCTCGCTGGATGCCTGATGAGATGACATTCTGGGAGGATCTGAAGCGCAAGCTTTCTGATGGTCCGCTCCGCTACGGCTCGTCGTTCTTGTCGACTTGCGTGTGTCGTCCAGGTCTGTTCTTGTCTTGGATGTCGCTGTTGATGCCGTGTAGGCCATGCTACTCCTGGAAGAGGACATGATATATATATATATATATATATATATATATCTCGATCCTCCAAATCTCCTTGAGCAACGGAATGTTTGGAATCTCCCCAGATGTCGTTGGGCTCCGTTTCCAAGCCAAGCGTACGTCTACTGGCTGCTGATATGCCGTTAGTTAACAAAGGAAAAGGGAGCGCTGTTCCACCGCACGCCTCACCGCCGATTCCTTCGGAAAAGAAGCAAATTGCGCGGCGGCCGGAGTAAGCTGTTGCTCCTGCTTCACGCCTCATGCACCACAAGTCGCCACGATTGCAAATACCACGACACCTTTGGATGTCAAATCATCTTGACCAAAGAGAGAAGCGCAAGTGTGTGGGAAAGGCGCATGTGGGGCCATACTATCCATGATAAGACCTGCTAGTAGGTGATATGACTTGACAAATCATCCAGCGCAGAGGAAGGAGATCCTGCAGTCGTCAGCAGGTAGTTTAGTAGCAGGCGAGAACGAGTCAGGATATTCCAAGTATTCCGAATCGTCTGTCAGCATCTAGCTGGTAGAGAATAGCCGAAAGAGCGCAATGGTAATTTTGCGTGCTTGCTTTGCTGCTGCTGCTGTTCATGTCTCGTGCATGAAAGCCGAGAGAAGACGAAGAAGATTTGGAATATTCGTCTTCCTCCCGAACCATGCCCGAATCGCACTGCATCATCAAGATTTCTGCCCCAACAGTGAGCGTGTGATAGGACATCGATAAGAGCCTCAATTCACTTTCAGGCGGGGCTCCGATACAGAGTAGTAGTAGTAGTAGTAGTAGTAGTAGTATACGTATGTCCACACGTAGATGCCTCGCGACGACCTTCCCCTCCACCGCCAAATGTGCCAAACTGTATCTGATCCATCCCCAAGCTAAGGACGACACATGGCCGCCATCATCCTTGGCTTGGCGCACGCACTCCAATCACATGCAGCCTGCCGACGCTAAGCCGCACATTGCTTCTTTCATATCTGTCACGCTCGGTCATGCAGTGTCACGCAATCCTACACGCACACATCCCTTTTGGCTGAACAAGTCGTCCTTGTACATTCTCCCGGAGCTCGGTCTCTATTACCTTCACGCAAACGTAATCTTCCATCCCGATCCAATCTGTACACTCGGATCCCTCACCACCGCCCACGCTGCCTTGCCCTCCTCCTTGCCATGGTAGTCCATTGGCACTTTCCGGGCGTCAGTGCTCTTACCGCTCTGTTCCTCGCCCACCTCCACCTCGGTCTTGTCTTTCCATGTCTCGGGAGCGCCGACGACAATGACCTTCTCCACACGCACCTTCTCCATCGACTTCAGGTATTCCTTCGTCTTCTTACCCGGAGCAGTCGCCAAGTCCTCGCTCATGAGAGTGGAGGTGGAGCCGAGGTATTGGAATTTGCGATGGATGTATGCGCCTTCCTCGTAATCGAAGCTCTCGCCGTCATCAAGGTACAATGTACCCTCTGCATCACCCGAGTTGCCCAGTGTGATGACGAGCGTGATGGGGTCGTACTTCATCAGTCCGGAGCTCCTTCTCGGTCGGTCGCGACGTGGAATGATGTGTCCACCGCGCATCAGCAAAGGAATCGTCTCCAACGGAGACGACAGTGCAACCTCGCCCGGTCCCTCATACGTCCAGAAGTCGAAGTAGTCGTAGTATTTCTCCTTGTCAGCCAGGTACACAAGCGTGCCCGGCTGATCTTTCTTGGTGACAGGCTTGGCAAGCAGCCCGAAGCTGCCCAGATATAGTTGATCGTCAATGCCGAAGCCCTTCTCGTCGCCTGGGAAGACGTAGTAATTCGGACGGACGATCGGCGCTCCCGTCACGTGGCTCTCGTGGAAAGCCGTGTACCACGCCGGCAGCAGACTGTAACGCAGACGAACGGCTTGCGTGATGATCTCCGTATAAGGCTCGCCTGCCAGATACGGCTCCCGACGCCGAGTGTCAATGTGCGCGTGTGCGCGCATGAACGGGTAGAAGATGCCGGCCTGATACCACCGCGTGAGCAGGTCCTTATCAGGGTTTCCAAAGAAGCCACCAATGTCAGCACCCGCAAATGGAAAGCCGCTGATCCCCATACTCAACACCATTGGAATCGATGCTTCCAAATGCGCCCAGTCAGCCTGGTTGTCACCTGTCCACATGGCGCCCAGTCTCTGACTTCCGGAGTAGAAGGAACGCGTCAGGATGAACGGCCGCACGTTGTGCTTCTCCTCTTCCTTGTCACGAGCAAGGAGACCTTCGTACGTGGCGTTGATGAACGTCATGCCATTGATGTTGTGGACGTCCCTGTGCTCCCAGCCACCATGATGCACATTGTCCTTGGGCATCGTGGTTTCAGGACCGTTGAATACAGACGGCTCGTTCATGTCATTCCAAATGAAGGTGTTCTTCGCCGTTCCGGTGAACTTGCTATATTTGAAAAGTCCAGCCCACCACTTGCGAGCAGCCGGACTGAAACAGTCCACCCAGTAGCTGCTGCCCGGCCAGCACCAACCTTCGTAGATGTTACCATCCTTGTTCTTGACGGCAAGATCCTTCGACTTGAGCTCATCCACGACGGGATACCCGCCTTCATTCTTGATGTGAGGGTCAATAATCGCAACGAGCTTCCGCTCATGCTCGTCCAGCTGCTTCTGCATTCCGATCGGATCACGGAAGGTCATCGAATCCCAGGTGAAGTACTTCTTGCCGTCAGTGTATTCCACATCGAGCCAGATGACATCGTATGGGATCCGGCTCCTGTCAAACTTGCGGTCGACATCCTTGACATCCTCATCGGTGACGTAGTTCCATCTGCACTGGTGGTATGCGATGGAGAACTGCTGTGGAAGCTGTTGTGTGCCCGTGAGCTCTGTGTAAGCTCCGATGACATCCTGTGGCGAGGGTCCAAGGAAGACAAACACATCGAGCAGACCAGACTCGCTGACGAAGTGAGTATCAGTTGTCTTCGTTCCAGTAATGCCAAGACTGAGTGGGTTTGGCGAAGTCGTGGATTTGACAATGTCGACCCAGGTCTCGGCGCCATTGAGCCAGAAGACACCGACGGTTGAATCCTTCTTGTGTGCTTGAAGGAACGGGATGGCGCCGTACAAGGTCATTGGACTGTCCATCTCGTACTCGAACACGTCGCTGTTGTACAGTCTGTACGGGTCATTGTACTTGTTCTCGCCTTCGCCGCGAGTTTCACGGAGTGCCAGAGGACCAGCGTGCTCCGCAAGACCGTAGACATGGTCGTAGCCCGGAAAGCTGATGTCCAGAGCCACAGCCTCAGGTCCACGCGGCTTGGTGTCTGTGTTTCCACCAAAAGACTCATCCCACCAAGTGCTCTCGTCCTCTCCAGCTTCTTCTTTCTTCTCCGCTTCGGCGTCCTCAGCTGATGCATCGCCCTCTGGTGCCTTTTTCTCGATCTGCTTCCGCCAGTGCTCAACGTTCATCAAGCCTCGCTCGTTGAGCTTGATCTGAGTCTCCCCGTCTCGTTTGAAATCGATGGCAAGCGGAGAATGGCGAATGACGGCTTCGAACTTGCTCTGTGGTCCATACTTGATCCTGGTAGTGCCCTTCTCAGAGTCCTTGTCCACCGCGGCGCCTGTACTGAGGGTTGTACCTCCAACAATGGCCCATTTCTCCGCCTCATTGTACCGTTCTTTCCTAACCTTGCTGTCGTGTCTCAATTCGATCTTTCCCTGTTGCCGTCTCTCTTCATCAACCGTGACACGAGCGACCCCCGACTCGTAGAATGCAACCTTGATTGGCAATCGAACAATCTCGTCCGTATCCAAAAGCTTTTTGTATACAACGCCCGTCAAGATACCATTGCTGAATTTGATCGTTGATCGTTCGAGGGTGTAGGGCGCTTCCCATTGGGCGGTCTTCAAGGCGGTCTCGGCGTATGCCCGATGCCTTTTACAGAATCCAGACTGATCGCAGGTCTTGAAGTTCTCATGCTTTACCGTCGCTTCGGGTGTGTTAGCCGCGGCTTCGTGGGCCTGTTTCTTGACGGGAGTCTAATCGTTGGCATTGGATCGTAGAGCAACTCACCGGCCGGCGTGACGAGGAAGCATAGTGCTAATAGCAACAGCAAGAAACTCATCCATCCTCTGGACGAGCCTTTGAGGTCCCTCATCGTTCCCCCAAGCTGCCTTGTCCTTTGCGTGGCAGCAGCATGTAATGTGTCCTTCTATGCAACGATCGACGTGGAAAATAAACACGTCGATGGCTTTGGTGATGCCGGAGCTTGGAAACTCGGGCCAGAAGTCGTGACGATGGGGAATCACTCCTGCCCGGCCACAAGCTGGCAGTTCCCTGCGAAGAGCAAAGTTGCGGGTGATGAAGAATTGTGCACTACCACATTATCAATCGCGAGATTCAGAGAGTATTCCAAGAGCACACGAGAGATCGGCGTAACAGAAGACAGCCAACATCGTCAGCGAGCTCTCCCACGACTAAGAGGACGTTCAGTAGCTGCCCCTGCATTCTAAGCGAGCGGTCCCGCAGCCTCCCCCACCAAGCTCCAAAAAAGTTATGAGCGACAACTCACCGCCGATACCTGAACATCTCCAAACACATCAACGCCAAAGACCGATCCCATTTGGCCAGTCCCCAGTCCAAGAAACCAGAAGAATCAGACGACATGTCTAACGAGCAGACGTAAATACCTCGCCCCTCTCGATCACAGCAGACGGAGCAGTACTGATGAGCGAAATAGCTTCATCGCTATCAAGCCAGACGGTGTCCAGGTACGATCGTTCACACTCGACAGACAAAGGCAATGCGAGAGATGGATCAATTGACGGGTGCTACAGCGTGGCATCGTCGGCGAGATCATCAGCCGTTTCGAGAAGCGTGGGTATGTTGGCATTGGGCACACAAACACTGCGAGTCTACCGTCTCACCGACCACCAGCTTCAAGCTTGTCGCCATCAAGCTCGTCACTGCCTCCAAGGAGCACCTCGAGAAGCACTACGAGGACCTGAGCTCCAAGCCTTTCTTCCCAGGTCTCGTTGCCTGTACGTTGCGATAGCCTCTAATACGAAGGAACGACTTGCAGTGGCTGACACCACCATAGACATGGGCAGCGGCCCCATCTGCGCCATGGTCTGGGAGGGCCGTGATGCCGTCAAGACTGGCCGTGTCATCCTCGGCGCTACCAACCCACTCGCCTCTCAGCCAGGTACCATCCGTGGTGACTTCGCTATCGTAAGTCTGACCAGATGCTATGCCAGAAGTAGCCACCTAACCCCATCTTGTACAGGACGTCGGCCGCAACGTCTGCCACGGCTCCGACGCCGTCGAGTCTGCCCAGAAGGAGATCGCTCTCTGGTTCGACAAGAGCGAGATCCAGAGCTGGAAGTCCGCCCAGCACGACTGGATCTACGAGAAATAGATGCATGAACGCTCCATGATATGATGTGGCATGAGCAGCACAAAAGCAGGCGTATGATGGGATAGATCAGGGGTCTCGATATGCCGCATAGCCTACGTTGCGCATTGGGAACGGCGATCTAGCCTCGTGCCAGATGAAACGACGGAAAATGGAAAGCTCTAAATTGGGCATGCTTCTCTCGTGCATGGTGAATCGGGCCCGAAACGTGAACCCTGCGACGTAGACATGCTTTTCCATACAACATCCTTCGTCTATGCCCACGCTCAATTTTGCTCCTCCAGGCATGCTTTGGGTACTTAATTGTGTGTCGTACTTAATACGAGGGTGACCCCCGCTTGTAATCTTGTCAACGTTCACGTTCCTGACTAACTTCGAACTTGAGGTACATGTCGACTCGTCGCTGGTCGATCGTCGAGCCTCAATGGACCTGCAACCTCGTCGGCTCGTAGGATGTTACGAGCCTATCACGGACGACGTCTATAAGGTGCCCTCTGTCCTGGGCCATTGCGCGAGGTCGCTACATGACCACCCACGATGATGTCTTCGGATATGACGAAGTCAAAATTATTAGCCGATGACGGGATGCTTTCAGCTGGCACCTCGCCAATGCCAAACTTGGACTTCAACACCCACTTCAACCATCCCACCTGCAACACGACCAGCAAACAGAACAAAGCTCTGCTGCAACACGGACCCGCGTACATCATCAGCTTGAACCGGCTGGCCTTTAATTCGACATCTGGTCTTCCCGACGCCACTCCATCTTCAGCTTGCGGCATCTGAGAGTCCCATACCGCGAAGCATACATCGCCATATACGATATCAAACTGCGCAAGGCTACTTGATGTTCGGATGACAGAGATCATGAAGACTGTGTGTAGACAGCTCTCTTGCTTGTCCGAACCACAGTCGTGAGAGCAGGCACGAAAATGGCCGAAGAAGACGCGGAGCGACAACCGGTAAACAAACCTGGCACGTCATGCCTGGGCTGCCGAAGACGGAAATTGAAATGCACCCGAGAGACAGAGGGATGTCAGAACTGTGTGAAGGCCGACTTGCCATGCGTCTACCCGACACCAGAAGTCGGCGTCAAGCGAAAACGCGGACCCTACAAGAAGGATAAACCGGCTCGTCAACGACATTTGGAGGACCTCGTTCGATATCTCGAGCCCAAAAACTCGAGTTCAGAAGCCAATGTCCAGCAAGATACCGGTAGCTCTGGGCAGTCGGCGTCACCGGCTAATGTTGGACAGACGCCGCCAGCTCCCAGCGATCGACCCTCATTCGGCCGTCCCTCTCTACACTCTGCGAACTCTGAAGACCTGGTGAAGGACGCATTGATAGCACTGACGAAGTCCTCGGTATCAGAGCACGAATCGCGCCAAGACGATGGAGTCTTTCTCTCTCATAATTACGCTTTGCAGCAAGGCAGTGAGTTCAACGTCCCGCATCCTCCTATCCGACGAATATTGGAGTACTGGCAAATCTTCGTTACCCGGGTGGACCCCATGACCAAGGTGATACACGCCCCATCATTCGGCAAGAGGCTCTTCAGCGTCATAGACAATCTAGGCACCATACCATCATCCACGGAAGCCATGTTGTTCAGTATCTACTATGCAGCCGTGAGCAGCTGCACTGCGCGCGAATGTCGAATACAATTTGGAGAAAGCCAGGCTACTCTAATGAGTCGATACGGGCGGAATATCGAAGCTGCTTTAGGAGAGAACCACGAGGTGCCTGCTTTGGAAGCATTGCAGGCGCTCGTACTGTACTTGGTAGGTGCCGGCTTGCAAGTCTCCAGTGGATGTCACTGACAGGCGCAGATCTGCATCCGTCGACAGCATGATGGTACCAATGCACGAACACTGTGGCAGCTGGGAGTCAGATCTGCGCAGATGGTTGGTGCACATGAGGATCCAGAGGGCAAGTATCCACCGTTCGAAGCAGAGATGCGTCGACGCGCATGGTGCCATCTCCACGGCCTTGAGAATAGCGCAGCCGAAGCGGTACAGTCTCGCGGCAAGAGCATTATGTCGACCTCAAACGTCAAATTGCCCTCCAATCTGAACGACGACGACCTATATCCAGATATGACGGAGGCTCCTCGGGCCAGAATTGGCATAACTGACATGACATTCCCCACATTGAGGTTTGAAATTCACCGACTTGTATCTGCGCTCGTTGCAATGCGCCGGCAGCAGAGCTCTAGTTGGAATCATGGCAATACATTGAGAGAATCTCAGATGATGTATCTAGATCAGGCCAAGGCGAGATTCTGTGAACAGTACACTAACCACATGGATCCCTCACGACCCTACGACTGGATGTGCTTGATGTTCGTGGAGGGCATGCTGGTAGGTCGGCGTCTCAGTCAGGATCCTCCATCCTCACTAACACTGCCATAGATCAAAGCGCAACTGGTCATCGATTTTCCTCTTGGAACAACACCGACCAAGACGATGCCAGCTGACGAGCGAATGTGCCTTCTAAAGTCTTCAGTGGGCATCATCTCCATCACTCGCCATTTGTCGGTAGATGATCGGATCAGTGGCTGGCTCTGGTATTTCCGTGGTTTTGTACAATGGCATTCCCTAGCAATTGTCGTTGCGGAACTGAGCTGGAACGCGAACCCCGAATTTGCAGACTTTGCATGGCAAGTACTGGATCCCATCTTCGCCGACTGGGATCGACTGTACAGAATGAAGCGCGACGAGCCCGCTTGGGTGCATGTCAACTCCATGATTGAGCGAGCTAGACACCTGAGACGACAAAGGCCCAAGCAGTCGCATGTACAGAAGAGGAACAAGCCTAACAATGCTGCGAAGGCAAGACCTTCGACTGGAATCTTTCCCGACCCTACACTCATGGGAAACACATCAGCTGCAGCCCCGAGCTTCGAACCCTCAGACGCCTCAGCAGCTCAGGGGCTGGCGGCTCTGGCAGCTACAGAGGGCTCATTGACACACGACACCTCAGGCGCACCATCGTACCATGTTCCAACCCCGGAGAGCATTGTACAGGGCCCGCCACCTTCACAGTACTCTCATACCACGCCCATGATGAACTTCGATATCAACTTCGCGCCGTCCGCAGAGAATTTCGACAGCGTTGATTTTGGCGCATTTGATGCGGTTTTTGGGAGTGCAAGCTGGGACAGTATTGAGCTTTTGGATCATGTTAATGCGCAATTGGAAGAGGTGGAGAGACATGGGAGAGCTCATGATGAGATGGGGAGGGGATGAATAGGGGCTGAGATTGAGTCAGCAGAATCCCATGCTCTATGGAAGGCACGCACAGTGAGTGAGGTCCGTGCGTCTTAAAGCTAACCACTCAATCTCACATGCGGCTCCGACTCTCATGAACTGCACGACACGAGCCGTTCGAAAGAAGACGACCACCTGCGTGTCGCGTATCTCACTTTCAAGGCACAAGGCATCTTGTCTCAGCCACGTAACAACAAAAAGGGCACACCTGAAAGCAACATACCCAGGTCGACGACTGTCTCAGCCACCATCAAACGCGGAACTCATTCCCACCCAGTTACAACCAACAATCATGACCAAGCCAATCTCCGTTCCACCTCAAAAGGAGAGCGGTGATGACGGCGGCAATGGCTTCTTGTCCGCCCTCATGAGCTCAGAGAGGTCTCGACGGCAGTCCACAATGTCCACCCAGTCAAGATACCTTCCGTCATGGTCCTCTTCGTCATGCAAGTCTTTCAGCCCCAGAAAGAGGACTCGAGCCGAAGAAGAGGAATCCGTAGCGCGGCTTATCTTCTCCGTCAAGAGATCTCGCAGCGCCTCTTGGTCTCTGAATGATGGCGAGGAATTGCTTATGAGCGGGGCTTTGGATGCTGAGGATGAGAGGTGTGAGGTGGAGGGGTGTGTTGTGCGAATCCAGAATGATGCGGCGCCCATCGACTCCAAAGATGACACTTCTAACGCCGAGGATGGAAAGAATTCTGAGCGCCTGAAGCGCCATCCCGAAGAAGCGGAGGGTCCTTCAATCTCGGCGGAGAGCCTAGCTGAGCCAAGGTACGAAGACGAGAACAGCGAGGATACGAAGGCCGCCGAAGAGAGCTCAAGCTCAAATGTGGACACGGGCGAATGGAAGTGCCGTGACCTGGAGGGCGAGAGTGACTACGAGGATGAAGACCAAGACAGCGAGGACGACGACGAAGCAGTCCACCGCGGCTATGATGATGACGTCCGATATGGACGTGCTACAAGCTCAGGATGGCTGTAGTCACATTCGACCCTGACATGCCGAAGTCCTACAGCCTTGGTCGTCGGCTTGGAGGCTCTTTCAAACACGGACGGACGGACGGCCGTCAGCAGGCCGTTCCATGGTGCTCTCGCGAGCTCCCAGTGTATGCAAGCGACGACTGAGACGATTGTTTTGAAGCGTGGTGCAAACTTTCTTTCGGTTTTGATTTTGGTCCCGTAGTAGCAGAGCGAGCATTCGAAAACGACAAGAGTCTCTGCGGTGTTACTGTGATACCCAAACATTGCCCTCAAAGAGTGGTGGCCCTCATAATCCAGTGTACCTCCTTCTCTCACTCTTGATCAGACGGCGAGGTCACTGCTCCAAGCAACTTTTCGGAGCCCTGCATGTCCTTGAGCTGTTTCAAAGGAGTTGCACCTATTTCCACTCACTCACAAGTTTCATATAGGATAACGACGGAGTTCAACCGTGAATGGCGAAGAAGAGAAACATTGCAGGGCCGTGAACGTGCCGCTCCCTTCTTGATTTACTGCTTCCTATCTTGATCTTTGCCTCGTGCTGTCGCTTTGTATTGATCTGCTTTCCGTCCATTCAGTTCTGCATCCTGCGGCCGTAAAGAGCTGTCACAAAGCAGAGTCCGCCGGCAATGTGAACAAGTAACAAGCATAAGTCTCAGCTCTATTTGCTCCGCTTGTAGATCTTTCGCAAGAACTCTTCGAAGATCTCCTTCTTCAGACCTTCACTCTCGTCCATCTTCGCAATCTTCTCCCGGATCTCGGCAACACGCTCCTCTTCGTACTTGGCATACACCTTATCGAGCTCCATCTCGTTGAACACCTTCTTGACCTCGTCCTCCGCCTTGCTATCCTTCTTCCCGTAGTTCTGCTCTAGGACTTTTCGCTGCTCTGGTGTTGCGATCTTTAATGCCTGGTTGATCAACCAACTGCACTTGTTGTCCTGGATGTCTGTTCCAATCTTGCCCAGCACCGCGGGGTCAGCGAAGTTGTCGAGGTAGTCGTCTTGTACTTGAAAGTACTCGCCCATGGGAATAAGGATGTCTTCTGCTTGCTTCAGATTCTTCGGCGAAGCGAAGCCGGCAAAGTATAGAGCGAGGGCGACGGGGAGGTAAAAGCTGTAGTAGGCGGTCTTGTAGATGACAATGAACGTGTACTTCTCCATGCTGAAGTTGTCCAGGTCCACATGTTCTTCTGGCGCTGTGAGCAGATCGCATGCTTGTCCCAATTCTGTCTGGAATGTCACCTCATGGAACAGCTCCAGCAAATCCACGTAGTATTTCTCTTGACGGAAGTATTTCTTCAGGAGCAAGTAGATTGCAGACTCGAGCAAGAAAGCGTCGTTGATGGCGATCATTCCAACGTTGGGCATGAGGTACCAGCATGGGTTGCCGCGACGCGTCTTGCTGCTGTCCATGATATCGTCGCTGACAAGGAAGAAAGCCTGAAGCAGCTCGATCATCCACCCTAGCGACGCAGATTTGAAGTACTCATCGTCGCTGAGCTTGCGACCGAGGAGTAGTTGTGTGGTGTCGACGACTGAGAGACCGCGGTTGCATTTTCCACCTACGGTGTTGTGGTTGAGGGACTATAGAGACTGGGTGATCAGTCAATCGACGCTTTGTGCGGACATCCAAGCTTGTGATTGTCGCGTACCTGATCATACCACCTCAAAGCTTGCTCTGGGAGTTTGTACTTCTGGCTGTGTTCTTTCAGGTCCTCAACAAGCTTCGGCCAGACCGCCTCGAACTCCTTGAGTGTTGTAGGCATTTTGTTTATGGCACGGCGCGGGGTGTCCACCCGAGCGACGGAGGAGTTTCGTTGCGTTCGGAAGAAGTTGTTCCTGGGCAATTGAAGCCTACCAAACTGTCGAAGGTGTTGATGTAAGCAGCGGTAGCGAACGGTGGGCGCAATGTTGGTCAATGGGTCGAGTACAACACAACAAAGTCGTACGTTTGGACTCGGACTTTTCCAGAAAGCTTGCGATGGTACCTGCATCCTCGCTTACATAAGTAGGTAAGTCCGTGCATACCGAAGATGCACCTAACACGCGCAAGAAGTCGCGTCTTCTGTTGATGAACAACTTCTTAACCAGACACCGCGATCTCCACCAAATATCTCCCGGGTGTGAATTTGGGGCTATCAAAATGGCCCTCTCAAGCGATCAACACGCCGAGCTGCAGGCTCAGCTCCAACAGGCCATCACAGCCTGCAACGAGAGGTGCCTGTATTTTGCCGCTAAATGGTGAGCATGTGATCTCAAGCTCATATCAGCGGAAGCCTAACGGTACATGTCCAGGACTGCAGAGCTCTTGAACTCATTCGCGGAGCCTGAGGAGAAGTTGGACACCTCTGACACTGAAGCCGATGAAGATGAATTTGAAGCGCTGCCACCGCGAAAGAATGCCGACAAGAAGGAAGCTCGACTGGAGGCCAAAGAGCTGCCTCGATATCTCATGGCCAAATCGTTTTTCGACTGTCGAGAATTTGATCGATGTGCTGCCGTCTTCTTGCCCACGCAAGTCGCCCATAGCACTCCATCATACCAGGTATCGTCACCGTCCACCGTCAGCTCCGCGCCATCCAAACACAAGCGGAATCTTTCGACACCGTCTACGAAAGCATCAAGACCAAAGTATCAGCCGCTACCAAAGAATATGAGCCAAAAATCTCTCTTTCTCGCTCTGTATGCTCGATACTTGTCTGGCGAAAAGCGAAGGAACGAAGACTCTGAGACGATTCTTGGGCCTCATGATGGACCGGCTACTGCTAACAAAGAAGTCTCCAGCATTGCCAATATGCTTGAAGAATATTTCGACGCTCGTGGTGGCCTGAAAAACATGAGCAATTCGCAAGGATGGCTGGATTACCTCTATGGCATCATCTTGATCAAGTCCAAATCCGAAGCCCTCGCGAAGCAATGGCTACTTCGCAGCGTCAATATCAACCCATACAACTGGTCAGCATGGCTTGAGCTAGCGTCTCTTGTAGAGTCCCAAGATGACCTACAACAGATAGGTCAACACTTGCCTCGCAGTATGTTGGCCTTCTTCTTTCACATCCATTGCAGCCAAGAGCTCTTTCTGCAGGAACCTCAAGTATACAGCACGCTCGAGCAGATGCAGGCTATTTTCCCAGACTCGGCATACCTCCAACAGCAGAAGGCGCTCTTACTGTATCACGCACGAGATCACGACCAGGCAATGGAGATCTTCGATGGCTTGATACGGAGTAATCCATACCGACTAGATGGCATGGAAATATACAGCAATCTTCTGTATGTTCTTCCGAATCGACCGAAGCTCGCAACACTCGCTGCCATGGCGAGTGAGACGGACAAGTTCAGACCAGAGACAAATTGCATTCTGGGCAATTACTACAGCTTGATATCCGAGCATGAGAAGGCAGTCCTCCATTTCCGACGTGCACTGGCGTTGGACCGCAGCTTTCACGCCGCCTGGACTTTGATGGGTCACGAGTACATCGAGCTCAAGAACACCCAAGCCGCAATTGAGTCATACCGACGAGCAGTCGATACTAACCGTAGAGACTACCGCGCTTGGTACGGTCTCGGTCAAGGCTATGAGATGCTGGAATGCTACAGTTACAGCTTATTCTACTACCAACGAGCAGCCGCACTTTGTGGTGGAGACCCAAAAATGTGGGCAGCTGTCGCGAACGCTTACAGTAAATGCGGCAAGAACCATAACGCTATTCAGGCTTTTAAGCGCGCTTTGATCGTCGGCAGCCAAATCGACCAGAGCTCGAGCTTCAGCACGTCGAACTCCGATCCCCTCGCTCAGGCCGTTGGTGGGGCTCTGGATCCGCAGATTCTGTTTGAGATTGCGAATCTGTATAACTTCGAGGGCAGTGAAGAAGAAGCTGCTGCTTACATGGAGCTCACGCTTGCTCAAGAGGAGGGGCCTGATGAAGGTGATGAGGGTCTTGGCGTTACGCAGATTACGAGCAAAGCAAGACTGTGGCTAGCGAAGTACTGCTACAGATGTGGTGACTGGCAACGGACAATGGAGCTCGCAAATGAACTTTGTCAGGACGGCGTTGACGTCGAGGATGCAAAGGCGTTGGTCAAGGATGTGAGGAGCAGGATGAACTTGCAGGTTCAGGAGGAGTCGATGTTGAACGGGGATCATTGAGAGGAACCCGGTGCGTATGTCCCTCGCGTTTGAGGTAATATAACCGACAGCTTAAATCGACGTGATGTACTCCAGTATATCTCTGTTTGGGATTTGTAATTCCCCTCCACGAGATGTTTCAAACGTTCAGACACTCAAGTGCTGTACGGAATTTTAGTGCGATTTGAGCCAGCCTGTTCAGGAGCTCCGACTGGGATGCAAGCAGGATTGGAGATCAATTGGGCTTTGATCATGCAGCTCGCAGTCAAGCTTCATATGCTGTTGAAGCCCAATGAGATCGAGAATAGATAAGATACTCGCTGGCTACGGCAGCATTTCTGAACACTCATGTCGATCTGGGCTGGTCTCGATAAAAATGCCTTCCAAGCGAGCGTACAACAACTCTTCGCGAAGGAAACCGGTCGGAATCTGTCAAATTCGACTTTCAAGCCTTCTCAGCTACCACACGAGCAAAGAAATGTTTGCCAATGGATGCCGTACGAGACAAGGTACACGATATCCAAGGACTTTGCTTTCCTAGCAGCTTGCGAGGCTTCTGCAGAGCGAGTCTCGGCAGCGACATTCTCTCGGAGTGTCGATACTAGCCGGACTGTTCTTAGCATCGCAGCAAATGAAGGTATTGAGAAACGTGTCGAAGAGACCTTCGATATTCTGGTAGCCACCTTGAGACGCTGTGCTAGTAGAGGCGAGTCTTGAAGAAGCGCTTTTGCAATTGCTCGGGTATTGATCGGACCCAGGCATCTCCGAAAGAGACTGTGGTAGACTGTGCCTCCAACAAGTCATCAGGCTTCACAAGAACCGTATTCTAGGCCGCTTGGGCGCAGAGGGATACATCCTCCCACGACATGCACGACTTGGAAAACCGATTGAAGTGGAGGCCCAGCTTCATCGTGCATTGTCACAGCTCAACTTCGCAAAGGGTGACGGAAGGAAAGTATCCATACTTGTCGCACAGATCGAGCGCCTCGCGAACACATTCGACTCACTTCACAAACGAAAGAGTGAAGATGATGTATACACTCTATTGGAACATATCTCGAAGGAGGCACACGACGTATTCATTGATGGCTCCACCTTCTCATTACATGCAAGACTGCGCAAAATGGGCATAGCTGCCGAGATAGTCCCAGGTCGAGCAGCGCGCCAATTACGCGCGATCGGCAACTACTGGAGGATATGTCAATACCTTGCCAGAGCGTCAAGAACGCACCAAAGAGCGTTCGAAACGCTGGAGTTGCATACAGTTCGTTTCGGATCCAAGAAAGACATCGTTCACGCGGAGGTTCAACTGCTACTATTTCATGAGACGAGCAAGGACATCGTCAGGCCTGAAATCATGCCCGCCAGCAAAAAGACATGCTTCCTGTGTCACACCTTCTTCGAAAGCTTTGGTCAGTACGCTCTCGTGGAGACTCATGGCCAAGTACCTCAGAGGTGGTCCCTGCCGGATGATGAGAGGCTTGACGCTCGACTTCGAGTGAAGCTGAACCAAGCGCTGAAGAGGACGTCGAGTGTCGTTCAAGGCCCGCTCAAGAAGGGCAAGAAGAAGAAAATTCAGTCGAATCCAATGGGTGGACCCCTGAATCCTGCCCAGAGCGTTGTCAGTTCGATTTTGGACGAGCTACGAACTCCCTCCATCTCCACGATCCGGCCTGAAGCTAGTGTGATCGAGATCATCTCAATGGCCCGAGGAAAAGATGTCGCCGCGGAGATATGTGCTCCACCTTCGATTGACTCGGAATTCAGGTCTCATAAATCGTTCGAGAAGACGGTGTCAAGAGAGGCGCGGACGGCCGAAGTCCTAGACTGCGTGGAGGAGTCAGCCTATTGCACTACTCCGCGGAGTTTGCTGGAGTGTGTTGGAGCAGAGAAGGCATCGGCTCAGAAAATCAAAGCGCGACGCGACAGCGTAGCACCCTTCAATACTTCTTCGCAACAACTTGTACATGGCGAACGTGCAATATCTCAGCTAGACCTGGATTGGCTTTCCTTGTACGTCACCGAAGCGTCCCTCCAAGCAAACGAGCCTACGACACGGCTTTGCAATGCTATCTGCCGACCTGTTCCCGTCAGCGCCCGGCCAGACATAATAATAACTGTAGATGTCACCGGATTGACCTCGCAGGATGGGCTTACGATCGAGAAACCAACGGGGGCCGAGTACTTTGATATACGTATGCGTCTCGAGGGTCACGAGGATGTCTATGTACGACTCGAATGGACCGAATGATATTGGGATAGTGTCGAGGGGAAGAAACAGGCCCCCGCGCTGCTTGCAGATTCAAGAGAAGGAGTCAATCTCGGCTGATGAGTTGCAATACCCAGCACTCGATGAGACGCACACAGCCGTCGCGGTTGATCATGCAGGACATAATTCTGCAACCCCATCAACGAACTCGGCTCAGCTTCAGGCCCAATTCCTTTTCCTCTTGCTTCTTTCGCCTTTCCATCTCAGCAAGTGCTGCCTTTGCGATGGACTGCAGCCGCGCCCTCTCCTCATCTGAGACTGTGTCAGACTTGATTGTGTCTTTATTTCGTCGTTTGATCCCTGGCATTCGTTAGCCTACAAGTCAACTTCGGGCAGTATGTTGCAGCTCGCCTTTCGAGGGCTTGTCCTTTGCCTCATTAGAACCAGAAACACCATCCCGGTTACGCTCCCCAGCTGCCATACTGATTCAACTGTCTTGGCGATGTTGGTGCTGTAGACTATTACAAACTCTCGGGATTGTGTGAGAAGGGGAGTGATGTTGACCAAAAGCAAATGTGGAGGTTTGCCGCTTCTACACACCACACTTGTCCAGGCAAGCAGACTTAGTATGTTTCCAGCAAGTGAAGTTAGGTTCATGTGCTTCTTCTCTGTTCTCGCGGGGATGGCTACGTTTTCTAGTCGTGAAAACACGTGATTTCACATGCTGCACACTCAAAGTCTTGGCGCCACCAAAATTCGAGCTCGCAAGTTGACACGCAAGTGTCTCTGTAACCAAGACTTAGTGGGAAAGATGCAGCACCTTTGCTCAAGTTTCAATTTGCAGAATCGCTGCACGTTCTTGCACGCCATCCCTTCGGTCTCTAATCGCTGGTATCTCATCAAAACAAAAGCACCCTTAAGTCTGACGTTGCCAGACCGCTTGAGATGTCATACGAAGTGGTAATCTAGCGCGAGAGCATATTTTCCACCGGCCTTCAAGCCCTCTAAGCTTCTTTGTGTTAGTTCCTTCGTCATTATTCACTATGATCCCTAATACTTCTTCGCTGCATACGCTCCCGCTCCCGCTCCCGCAGCAGCCTTTCCCTCTCTCATCTACGCCGTTGCATATTGTTAAGCTCCGGCAGCACTGCCCTCTCCCCCTTCAAGTACGAAGTCCTGTCTCACGACCTTGTAAAAGTCCTCGCATGCTCCGGTCGACATCAGCTTCTTCGCCATGCGGGCTAGTCGAAAGGCCCAAGTCGTTCTCGCCATCAACGCAAAGTCCACAGAATGAGACATGCCCACTGACGAGGGCCAGTCCTAGCCAATCAGTATCAAGGGCCCCAGTGCATGTGCAGTGCGAGCGAACCGAGCGGTGGGAATCGAGTCATTGAATTGAAGGAGATTCTGGCGTGGACAAGGAAATCATCGTCGAGTGCAAACAAGGGCTGTTGATGTCTTCTAATGGCTTGTGGGACAGGGAGCCGACCTTTAACAGCCGATGTCAACTTGCCGAGCCAGTCCTTGCGGATGCAATCGCATTTGGTACCATGGAGGTTGTGCACTTCTTGTTTTCGCGAGGAGCAGATTTCTCTTGTCCCAGGTTGTTACACTGTGCCGTTGATTGGAAAATTCGGGCCGAAGACGTCGCAATCGTCGAAAGCCTGGCAAGGGCAGGACGTGAAGTCAATGCACGCCGTTATTGGAAGACCGGGGGCTATTTTGATCGCTGTTCTCCACGTAGCTTGCGACGAGAGTAATGATCCTGTCGCCAAGATACTCCACAAGTCTGGAGCGGATCCTAACGATGACATGGGGAAAGCTGGTTGCGCCGACGGGCCTAGAATAGCACAGGCGAATCGTGGTCAAGGCTGTGCGATCTGTTGCTCATAATAGCTGCTGAGGCTCGAGGTGTCTATTCGCCCACATCTTGAGCAGCTCTAGCCAGGCCGTCGATTCGTGTCGCCCTTGCGGAGGCTGCCGGAGTAGGTTAGTACGATGTTGATGACTCCCGGAGACTGCGTCCGAGCAGATTGAGCATAACGAGATATGAGGTATCTTCGTGGAAATAAGATATCTTCGTAGAAATGTCCTCGTAGAAGGAATGCTCGTGCTGTCTCGAGGGTGTGGTGGAGCCGGGAAGGATTGCATGTTGATCCTTGGCCGCCAAGCGGCCCGCGTGAAAGGTGAAAGCCAACCTCACCTCCCAACACCTCCTCATCTCACCACCCTAAATATTTCAGTGAGCGTCGCTATTCCGGCCGCTTCTCGCGTGCACCTTTAGAAACAACCTCGAAAGCTTCCCTCCGAGCCTTGAAGATTCGTGGGAATTGTCCTGATCGCCTCAGACAAGAGCCCATCCCGTCGAGTAGAAGTACGACCGTCATGAACATTTGGGTGCGAAGGATATGCCATCGAAGAGAGGAGAAGCCAGTGGGATGAATGGGGCATGTGGCCGCCATAGAGTGGTTGTGCATACAATATGAGCTTTCATCGCGCCTGAAAGAGATGAATGCCTTCGAAGAGCGCGTAAAACTCGCCCGAGATTAGCTGGTGCACCACCAGACAGGGCAATGCAATAGCGGCGCTGGGGTAATGGGTGATCAGTGCGATGCAGAGTCAGAAGAACGGATATCCAGAGGGATTGTGCGTGCGCGTCAGTGGTGCTTGCCAGTATGTGCACCAGCGCAAAGCATACCAATGGCCTGGCGCGATGCGAAGAGCTTCCTCCTGATCCGGCCTCCGGCACTGGCCATGCCGTCTGCATGTCTAGGCTCGCATGGGAGTTTCGAAGGAGTGTATTGCTCACAAGGCCACATGATCAATATGCTTTTCCGCCTCGCAGCGATGTCACGGCGTCCATGGATTCCAGTGCTGTAACGTGGTCAAGAATATCAAGCCGCATGGACCGACAAATTGCGCCGAAGCAACCGAAGCGAGCATTGGAAGGAGAAGCCAGCCTTGCTTCGGAAAGCTGGTCACCCACGCCCGGACATAACCCGGGCTTGAGCACTTACTTATGCCGAGCTTCAAAGCTATTTAATGGTAAATTCGACTTCTGCTTGCATCGTGGCGGAAGGGAGTACTGAAACGGACCAATTAGACGCAGCCCCAACCGTAGACGCCAGTCCACCCGTATGGGGGGGTCTCACTGCGCAGCTTGATCATGATCTCGATGAATGAGCATCTCTTCAAAGAATCTTGATCCGTGGACGTCGCATCGATCGTGGACCATTATCCGCTTTTTTTTTTCATCTTTTTGTTTGGCAGCACGTTCAGCATTCGAGTCTCGCTACAAATATCGACACATCATTCCTTTTCGCTCCTCGCACGTGTTTTCCAATTTTTGACGAAAAACAAATCTAGCGGAGGAAATTGTTCTGCTCGTACCTGAGCGACTTTTCGCGCCGGCGCACATGAGCCGACAGTTTGCGATACTTTTTGGCTGGCTTCGCGGCATTTCTCGCCTGCTGTTCGCGCAATTGGCTTCGGATTTTTGGACCACTCGAACCTGCGATCCGCCACTTTAGACAAAGATGAATTCAATTCCGAAAGCTGGCAAAGCAAGGACTATATTGGGCGACACGCATCTTTCGCGCTAGCATCTTACTCCACCAGAATGGTCTCCGGCTCTAATGCCTCGACTTGGTGCGCAAATCATGTGAATGTCACGTGACCGCTAAGTTCCTCCATGTTTGGTGCCCGAGGCTCGAATTCTCCAAAGTATCACATTTTTCTCGCCATTCTCGCGCATGCTGCGAGTCCATCTGCCAGTCCATAAGTTACCAAGTCGATATTATACATTACACCATCCTGAAGCAAACCCGTATGCAAACCGAAAACAGTTGCTAGCGCAATGAATTCCTCCAACATCACCTCTCGAACCAGAGAACCCTCAGCGGTGCCTTCGAACGCGCGACGAATTGCACCGGGACATGGACTAGCCTCTTGAAGCACGTTCCGCAAACCTGCCATGGTCGCATTTCGGAGAACGTGCATGAGGCACATGTCGGCTCCCTTCCATAACTGGATGAGATTGCCCTGCGCCTCAGATGAGGCCTGTTTGAAGGCGTCGCGCTCTTTCTTGCCTTCTTCCGGCATCCATCGGAGCTCCGAGGAGAAGTCTAGTCGGGTACGACGTTAGAGCTAGTAGAGAAGTAGTTGGAAGGGTTCGGTCGTGCAGCCGGGAAGCTTGAGCGTTTTGGTCTTGATTTTGATGAACCGCGAGGTCAGAGCCTTGTGGAAGTACAGAGAGGCATCGCGCAAGAGGGCTCGTTGAACGGAAAACTTGCCTCAATCTTCCAAGTCGAGCGTGATAAGAACGTCATCGGAGGTAAAGATGCGCGCGATCTTTGCGGCGTTATTTATGTCTCGGACTGTTCAGAGGTCGGTCGATGTTCTTCCAAAGGTTCGTAAATGTGTGGCGACTCGATTTGTTGTTTCGAGTCACTTTTTCTGGCTCCGTGTGAGAGTTGCTTGTAAGTAGTCGCGTGGAAGGGTGATGGCCTGCGTTGCAAGGGCGCTTTTGACACAACCAGAGAGCATTGCCGTTTTACTTTTGGTTCCAATATGAATGCCTATTACCTCCATGTAGCTCGCTGCAGATGCCCGGCCTAGCTACGTATTGAACAGCCAGCTAGGGTAAAGGTCAAAAGGTCTTTCTTGCCGAAATGACATGCTCTGTGTCAAGGATTAGTATCTAAGGGGCATAGCGTACCTGCTACTGAAGTGAGAAACGAAAATCAACCCAATTCCAATAATAATCCCTTTGTCTAAGCGAATCTATCCGCCTGCCGTACTAAAGCCCCATAGCAAGAAAGCAAAACCGCGTTCACAAAGTCCGCCGCCCATAAACATTATGTAGTCCCCAATTGAAGAATTTGCCGCCGTCCAGAATCAGAAGCTGCCGCACTTTGGCAGAGCAGCAGGTATAACGCAGAGCTAAGGTTTCCAAGACATCACGCCCAGCTACAATGGTGCCCAGAAGTGTCCGGTTGCCTTCTGGAGTCCCTACCACCAGTAGTCTATCGTGGGCTCTGGTACTAGGAATTCCCAAAAAGGCCTAACAAGAATGTCACACGCGTCCATATCTGGTGCACCCGCAGCGTAGTCTTCGAAAAGGCCTGGAATAGCTGCGAATGCGTCGAGTTCGGCGGCGGAATAAAATGTACCCAGTCGTCCGCCGTTAGTGGCCACCCGCGCCTCCCACATCATCATCGCTCGCATGCGGGATCCTTCCGCAGTCTCTTCCCAAGCTACACGAGCAGTCTCTGGCGAAAGCTTGACGTTGAGATCATCGGAATCAAGGACGCGTAGCAAAGCGCGCATCGCCTCGTTCTGCAATCGTGGCATGAGCCACATATCCGCCGCGATCCAAAGCCGGACGAGCTTGATTTGCAAGTCTTTCGCAGCCTGCACGAAAGCGTCGTACTGCTTTCGAAGATCGTTGTCGGTCGCAGGTTTCGGTCTCATGCAGCCCGGCATTTCTGACAACTCTTTGACGAAGTCTGGGAATTTGCTGTGACTCACCCAGTAGATGAGAAACTCCACGTCGGAGGTCGTGCAGCCGGGTAGCTTCAGCTCCTTCTTGCCCGTCTCCATGAAACCTCCTGTCAGTGCTTTCTTCAAGTAGTCTGAGAGGCCGCAAAGAATAGCGCGCTGGACGGTGTACTTGTTACCATCGTCTAGAGAGAGCTTTATCATCTCGTCGTTCTTGTAAGCGTCGGCGTGTTGGATGATTTCGTTCATGGCTGCGGTTGTCCGATATAGTTCTTTGGGTGGATATAGTCCTTTGGATGGATATAGTTCTTTGGGTGGATATAGTTCTTCGGGTCGATATAGTTCTTTGGTGGGATATAGTTCTTTGGGTAGAGATTGCGTCGAGGTTGAAGTAGTGTTGATTGATGTGAAAGAGTTGCGTTTCGTGCGTGTGTGCGGGTGTGCGGGTGCGCCGTTGTATATGCAAAGAAGCCTTGAGGTATGCGGTGGTGTGCCGAGAGCAGAAGCGTTGGTCCGTAATATAAACCCCGGTGGGCAATGTGTTGTATATAATTCACTTGTGGCGTTCGACGATTCCTCTTCACGCCATGCGGAAAATGCATTCACGTCTCTCGATAAGACCGTTGCTTCTCAGTCCGACTTGATGGGCCAGTTCCATAGTGGCCAGTCCCATAGTGGCCAGGATCGCGAGAAGAGCGCCGCGAAGCACACGGAGATGGTCAAATTGACAATGGCCTTGTGACCGGCACTTGGCCAGGCATTTTCCCGCTTCGTTCGTCCTTCTTTGTCCCTTGGACTCACTCCTCATTTCCCCAAACAACCACGGTCCCATCCCCACCCGCACTGGCCCACATCTTTCTGAATGGATTCCATGCAACAGCACTCACCACATCCCTCTTGGTCGTCTCACCTCCTCTTTCTCCCTCTTCCCTATGCCATAATCTCCTCACAACCTCCCCACTCAAGACATCCCAAACCACAACCTTCCCATTCTCACTCCCACTGACCGCAATCCCATCCCCCATCGCGAAACAACTCCTCACCCTATACGTCTCATTTCGAAACCCACCCTCCTCTTCATCCCGAAAAGTCTGCAGACACTTCCCCGTCCCCCGATCCATAAACCTCGCGCACGAATCCAGAGAAGAAGCAAGATACCCCTCTCCATCCCGACTCGGCATCACACTCGTCACTCCAGTGCCAGGAGCCACGACATCCATCTCCAACACTCCCATCGCGAGATCATAAACCCTCACCCGTCCATCCACACTGCCCGCAAAAATCTCAGACCCCCGGACCGCCACACTCGAGACCGCATCCTTCGCCTCCGAAAACGTCATGATGGGCCTGTCAGAGCGCGACTTGCAATCCCAAATCTTCACCGTCCCATCGAAACTCCCACTCACCACGACTGCGCCCTCCGCGCCCTCGCCGCCGAAAGCAACGGCATTCACCCTCCCCGCATGCCCATTGAACCTCCTCAGAGTCTGCGCGGTGGCCACGTCCCAGAGGAAAACCGTCTTGTCCCCTCCTACGGATACGAAGCGAGAATTGTCTTCGCTCACGTCCAGATCGAGCACTTCGTATCCGTGTGCGGCATAGGTCTGGATCAATCGCTTGGTGGACGGGTTGAAGAGTCGGATGTTTCGGTCTTGGCAGCCGGTGAGAATGTACTGGCCTGTGCCGGCGGAGAAGGTCACGGCGTGTACGGGGCCTTTATGCTCTGTAAGTCGGGCGATGGGCGTTGTGGGGAAACTCTTGGCCGATGAGGAGGCCATGTTCTGGTTGGCGGAGACTTGATGTTGATGAGATGAAGGGTCCCTGTCGAGCTAGTGCTCAAGTACAAAGCCCGACTTTGAGTCGGGCGCATTCGTAACGTAGTATAGTGACCTATGAAATATTAGAAGTGTCTTGTAGTCCTATCCGTGGGGTAGCGAGGAAAGGCGATAGATATATATTCGCGAGGTTAGTAAAGGGAGAAGTAGAGACGCGTTACCTTGTTTGCTAAACAAGCTCGCTTCGCATGACTACTCGCTGAACATTATTAGGGTCACATGTAGGTCCTTTTTCCTGCACCAATCAGAGAAGGCCTTGGCGTGGCTTGGCAGGGTCCAAAAAACAGCTGAAGGTCGGGCAATGAGGTTGAAAGTCGATGCCAATAAGATGGAAGCTTTCGCCTTCTCGCTGTCAGGCGGAATGCATGCAACGTCGAATGCCCGCACGTGGGTGCGCAATTGCATATGCAGGAAGTCATTTTGGAAGTGGAAGACTCAATTATCACAGTCAGGGCAGAGACGTGGGGACAAAAAATTACAACATGTGAATACTGCTTGCTTTCGATTAAGTACATTCCTACAGCTTGATTTCCATATGCCTTTTGTTGAGCTAGCAATGCTCAGCACCTGCCAGCTTCCACACAGCACCAACGCTCGCTCCCATTGTCTCCATAGAAAATAAACACAATGAAAGCATACGTATCGAGGTATCTTCGCACGCAACAAGACAGTCTCCAGTCCCATCACTCTCCCAATGCCTGGCTCCCTTGGATGCGAGCGGGACATGTGCTGTCGTCGCAACTGTCCTGCCGTGGCCTGGTCGGTTCTTGCTTCGATCGCAGTTTTGGCGGAGTTCCAGATCATCACATCTAGCGTCTGCCGGTTCGGGACATGCTGCCTTGCAGGCCTTCGACTTCCGCTTCAAGCTGCTTGATGACGGCGTGACTTTGCTCCAAGTCCTTGTTGAGGCGGTCACGCTCGGAAATGAGCTTCTGCTCCCACTGTCTGAAACGCTGCTCTTCCACCTTGACCTGCTCGGTGAATCGCTTCCTGAGCTGCTCCTCTTCCTCCTTGAACTTGGGGTTATCAAGCTTCCTGGGTCTCGCTTCGCCGAACTTCCGCGTCTCCATCTGCTGTGCGCGGTAGGCCTCGTAGTGGATCTCCTCGGTGGTGTGGATCAGGTCAAGCATGTGGGTGCGGATTAGGATGGCGCGCAGCTTCTTGAAGTCGCAGTGCTCCTCGTTCTCGACCTCGGCAACACCCCACGCATACTGGCGTCCCTTGACGGTGCGGCCGTCGGGAGTGCTGACATCGCGCTCGGATCCTATCACGGAGAACGGCATGGCAGAAATCAGACTACGAGCGTGCTGCAAGCCGGCCTCGTCGTCTTCCTCGAGCGGTGGGGTGTATATCTTGATGCCTTGAGCTTCGATGACGTTTCGGATCTAAGAATTATCAGCACTTCTGCGCTTGCTCGCGAAGTAAGAAGACGGCAAGACTTACGCGGTGCTTGAACTTGGCAAGGTCGGCTTGAGAGAGGGTATCCGCCTTGGCAACGACTGGGATCAAGTTCACTCGTGAGCACAGGCGCTTCATGACCTCAATGTCCAATGGCTTCAGGGTGTGACCGGTTGGGCGGATGAAGTACAGGCAGGCGTGTACCCTCAGGTCAATCTTCTCGGTTCTCTTTGGCTGCTGCTCCTGAAGCATGTAGCTCTCGTGCTGGTCATCCAAGAACTCAATGATGGGCTGCCAGCTATCTCGGTTGTTCACGTAGTCGCCAAAGCCAGGAGTGTCGATGACGGTCAAGCGGACCTTGAAGAACTTCTCCTCCAACTCGGCCTTGGTGATCTCGATCTCAACGGTCTTGTCGACCTGCTTAGCATGACGTCGGCGGTGGTCGGCGTAGTTCTTGATGGTGGTGCTGAAGAGGGTGTTTATGAAGGTCGTCTTTCCAAGACCAGACTCGCCTGCAACCATGATGGTGAAAGCTGCACCGCGCTTGGCTACGATCTTGTGGCGCTGGTTTGGAAGCTACGCGGAGTGTCAACTGCTGTCCATGTATGGTATATAATCTTCCTCGACGGGTTGACATACATTGGCAATGCCAATCGGCGACGCTGCTTCGGCCATGACGGAGACGTTGGAATCTTTTGGTGAGAGAGGGAGAGGAGTCGGCTTGGAGGATGACAATGCGGCGGAAACGAGGACGGCGGAGTCGCGGTGGGAGTCTGGAGAGGGGCGCATGTTAGTGAGGATGTCGTCGTGGTCACCGCCGCGATTGGCGCAATGTCAATGGGTCGATAATGTTTCTGCTGGCCAACGCGCGTGCACCGTGGGTATTGCGCGGCGCCTGCAGGCGAGGGAGAGTGTTGTGCGTACCAAGTCAGAAGACGAAGGAGACTTACAAGCGAGCGGCGGGAGGGAATTGGCGGATGTTGCCTATTGCTGCAGGCGTGATGCAGACGCTGGATGCCGTATGGTCCTGCTGTATCGTATCGAAGGTGGGAGTTTGAGAGGAAGGAAAGCTGGAGTCTCCTTTCCCTGTCCAGGGTGTGCAGGGACGCTCTTGCCGAAATCGATTGGCTTGTGCTTCGTCCCGCCAGCCAATCGGAACACTCGAGCCGCCGCTAGCGTCCCTGGGGTACTTGAGCCGCATTCGGGGTCGCCTTCGTGAAATTTTGGCATGGCTTCTCCATACAACAACGGAGACGGACTTCTGATGGCGACATGGATGCGATCTTGATTTGAACCAAGGCGCATAGCCATCATGAAGACTGAGTTCAAGGTGCGTGGTCCGGCGATGACCCGTTTTGGCACCCACTGACATTGACCACAAGCACAGTTCTCGAACCTCTTGGGTACCGTATACCGGAAAGGCAACCTCGTCTACACCGACGATGGCACATGCTTGTTGTCGCCGGTGGGCAACCGAGTTACGGTGTTCGACCTGATCAACAACAAGTCGCATACTCTCCCCTTTGCGCACAGACAAAACATCTCCCGGATAGCACTACATCCCAACGGCCAACTACTGCTCACAATAGATGAGCAAGGATATGCCATTCTCTCTCACTTTCAGCGGCGGATAGCCCTCTATCACTTCTCGCTCAAAAGTCCGGTCTCGGCGCTTGCCTTCTCCCCAAGCGGCAAGCATTTTGCAGTGGCTCTTGGCCGTAAGCTCGAAGTCTGGAAGACCCCGTCCACCCCTGGGTCCAGCGACGACGCCGACGGAGGACTCGAGTTTGCGCCGTTCGTACGATATCGACAATATGGCGGCCATCATGATACCGTTCAAAGCATTGAATGGAGTAGTGACTCTCGCTTCTTCCTCACGGCAAGCAAAGACTTGACCGCGCGCATATGGAGCTTGGATCCAGAACAAGGCTTCACACCAACAGTCTTAGCCGGTCATCGCACAGCTGTCCACAATGCTTGGTTCAGTAAGGACCAAGAAACAATATGGACGGTATCGAAAGATGGTGCGCTATTTCAGTGGCAGTATCTACCGCCCCTCGATACCGATCCGGACGAGGTCGATGCGGAAGACGAGCGGTGGCGCATAAATCAGAGACATTATTTCTTCCAGGATCAAGCCCATCTTACAACTGCCGCTTTTCATCCTTCGTCTAACCTGCTTGTAACGGGCTTCTCCAATGGCCTGTTCATGCTCCACGAGCTACCGACTTTCTCCGAAATCCACAAGCTCTCGATCTCTGCATCGAACGTGGATACCGTCTCGATAAACCAGTCCGGTGAATGGCTGGCCTTTGGGTCTTCTGCACTTGGGCAACTGCTTGTGTGGGAATGGCAAAGCGAGTCATACATCCTCAAGCAGCAAGGTCATTTCGACAGCATGAATGCACTTACTTATTCTCCTTCGGGCGACAAGATCATTACTTGCGCAGACGATGGAAAGATCAAAGTCTGGGACACAACATCGGGATTCTGCATCGTCACTTTTACAGAGCACACATCAGGTGTGACAGCCTGCGAGTTTGCGAAGCGAGGCAATGTGCTCTTCACAGCTTCTCTTGACGGCAGTATTAGGGCCTTCGATCTCATCCGATATAGGTGTTTCCGAACATTTACCGCGCCCAAGCGACTCAGCTTTAGCTCCATAGCGGTGGATCCAAGTGGCGAGGTCGTTGCAGCTGGATCGTTAGATGATTTCGACATCCATATTTGGAGTGTACAGACTGGCCAGCTTCTCGACCAGCTAAATGGCCACGAAGGGCCAGTATCAAGCCTAGCATTTGCACCAAATGGAGGGAATCTTGTCTCGGGAAGTTGGGACAATACGGTGCGAATATGGTCTGTGTTTGGGCGCACACAGACTTCAGAGCCCATCCAGCTGCAAGCTGATGTTTTGGCTGTGAGCGTGCGACCTGACGGTAGACAAATAGCAGCTTCTACCCTGGACGGACAACTGACTTTCTGGAACCTTAGCGAGGCAACACAAGAGGGTGGCATGGACGGCCGGCGAGATGTTAGTGGAGGTCGTAAAGCCACCGATCGCCGAACTGCTGCCAATGTTGCTGGCACGAAGAGTTTTGGCGCAATAGCATACAGCACGGACGGCTCAGTGTTGATTGCAGGAGGCAACAGCAAGTACATCTGTCTGTATGCGGTGGAGACTGGTGTGCTGCTGCGGAAGTTCACTGTGAGCGTCAACTTGAGCCTGCAAGGCACACAGGAATTTCTCAACTCTCGGCTGCTTACTGAAGCGGGTCCGAGAGCTCTATTAGATGAGCAAGGCGAGGGCTCTGACTTGGAGGACCGCATGGACAAGAGTTTACCTGGTGCCAAACGTGGCGATGCCGCCCAGCGTAAGACGGGCCCCGAAGTGCGCGTACCGGGCATCGCATTCTCACCAACTGGACGAGGGTTCTGCGCTGCGAGTACAGAAGGCTTGCTTCTGTACTCTCTAGATGCCGGTGCGACATTCGATCCCTTCGATCTGGACGTGGATGTCACCCCTGAAAGCACTCTCGAAACATTGAAGCGCGGCGAGTGGTTGAAAGCGATGGTCATGGCGTTCCGACTGAACGACGAAAGGCTCGTACGGCAAGTCTACCGTGCTGTCGCCGTCTCCGACATTGGCCTCGTCGTCCGTGATCTGCCGCAAGTCTACCTCGATCGATTACTCCGTTTCGCTGCGAAGGAATCCGACCAAAGTCCACACCTGGAATACAATCTTCTCTGGTTGGAAAGTCTGCTGAATCAGCATGGTCGTCTACTCAAACAGCAGCAGGGAGAGTATGCCGAAGTGGTGAGAATGCTGCAAAAGGCCATTGGGAGAATACAAGGGGAGATTCTGAAGGTTGCGAATCAGAATGAGCATACGATTGACTACCTACTCGCGCAACCGAGGAAGGATGACGGCGGAAAGCTGCGTCTTAAAGCTATGACGAATGGTTCGACTGGAGAAGCGGATGAAGACGAGGACATGGAGGACGACGATGAGGACGACGGAGAAGGTGGGTGGATCGGGCTGGAAGACTAAGAAGTTCCGTTGAACATCCTCGCAAGTGTGTATTGTAGTACAGAAGAACAGCAGCACATCGTGCAAGGAGCCCTGCCGGCGTAGCTCAACTCGCTCCAGGTTTCCTGACCTTATCACTTTGGGAGCTCCACCCATTGACGTGCCCATGACCTGCTGTGACGTCGACTTTTGTCCTCTCCTCACGCCTCCACACAAAAAGATTCACTTGCGAAGCTCTTTCCTCCACTAGCTTCAACCTTACATCATCGAACCGCAAGAACACGAGTCTCAGCTATGGCCGAAATCACAAGAAACCAGAAGAAGAAGATCGTCTCCGTCATTGGATCCCTCAACATCGACTTCATCACTCGAACGCTGAGAATCCCCGAAGCCGGGGAGACGTTTGCTGCTCGGAGTTTCGATACGGGGTTTGGAGGGAAAGGGGCGAACCAGGCTGTTGCAGGTAAATGCATTCTCTGAACACTTCTCTCGTCGTCGTTCGATGAGAAAACGGAAAGACAAAGATCAACTAAATTGTGGAATTGTGTAGCCGCTCGACTAGCGGGCGAGGATGTCTCGGTTCGTATGATGGGACAGGTTGGCGATGATGGGTTTGGGAATGACTATTTTGAAGCGCTGGGACGGGAGGGGATTGAGAGTTCTGGTGTAAGTGCATATTTTTTCTTTTTGGGTTCAGGAGGTGTGTTTGTGTGAAAGAAGCAAACTAATCATTTTGGGGTCCAGGTGAGGGAATTGAAAGGCCAAAAGACTGGGGTTACGAATATAATTGTGGAAGAGGCGAGTGGGGAGAACCGGATTCTGTTTGTTGCGAATGCGAATGATGCGTATCCTGAAGAGTATGGTCCGGATTGGGATCTTCTGGTGGCGGAGGAGGAAGGAGGAGGAGGGGAGGTTGTGGTTTTCCAGCTGGAGATTCCGATGGAGGTGGTGAGTATGGAACTGTCCATGTCTTGTCTGGATGTCTGGAACTGATATGCTTGTGTTAGGTCCTTCACAATATGCGGAAAGCTAGAGAAGCTGGTAAACATGTCATTCTCAATCCTGCGCCAGCAGCTCCTTTACCGGAAAGCGCTTTTGAGCAGATCGACACGCTGGTCATGAACGAGAGCGAAACCGCCATCCTGGCCGGGCCACAACATCAGCCGAAGGACCAAAGCAACGAGACTCTCATCGCCCTGGCCAAGAAGTTCCTCTCATGGGGCGTTCGAGACGCGGTCGTCATTACTCTGGGCGAGAAGGGTCTAGTCTACGCTACATCGTCCGGATCCGAAGGCCATCTCAATGCGTACAAGGCGAAAGTGGTCGACACCACCGCGGCAGGAGACACTTTCGTAGGAGGCTACGCCGTCCAACGCGTGCGGAATCTAGCAAGCGGCTTCGACTACACCCAAGCCCTGCAATTCGCAACGCTCGCCGCGTCGAAAACGGTCGAGAAAGAGGGAGCAATGGCTGCTATCCCCTACCTTCGACAACTACAAGTCGGAGCCATCACGGATAAGCGCACCATCGCAGCAGCGGAATCCAAAAAGTAGAAGAAAACCTCCAACTTGCAAATCGAAATCAAAAACTTAGATACTTCGTTGCTACACTACCCCATCCCTACCTCACCTCTGCGCAGCATCGAAAATCACAGCACAGTACCCACACTCCCCACCACACCACCCTCCCAAATTCACCGGCATCACATACCGCTGATAGACACAACCCTGCACATTATAAAAACAATTACTGCCCCAGGTATAGCATCGCGGACAGTAGATATGATTCCAGTTCGCGGGTCTCGGCAGCACCGACAGGCTCCCATCGATGTGGAATTCGCTGGCTGTAGCGGGATAACGGGAAGCGGGAGGTGCGCGGCCACGGATCTCGCCTGCGCGCGCTGCGCGCCAGAGGAGTTCGTCGAAGGAGATGAGCTTATCGGGTGAGGGCGGTGCGGCGGCGACGGCGGTTTGTTCGTCTGCGATGAGGGTTTGCAGGAGGGCTACCTCTGCGGGGTCGTAGCCGTCGTCTTCTTCTTCTTCTTCTTCTTCTTCTTCTTCTTCCTTCTCCTTCTCCTTCTCCTGCTCCTCCTGTGTAGGGACAGGGGCAGAGTTTGGATCTGTTCCTTCGGCTGGTGTGGGCTTCGCTTGGTCGAGTGGATCGACAAAAAGGTCTTCGAGGTTGTCGGCTTCCGACTGTGTTTGGTCGACGAGAGCAGGAGTTTCCCCGGCGAAGGACGACGATGATGTCTGCTCCGGTTCTGCCTCTTCAGAGAGAGGTTCGAGTTTGACTTGGGGAATACCGGAGGGATAAGCAGCAGGGGAAAGCTCCTCCTGCTTGACCTGGACGCATTTCGAAGCTCGCTTGGCTTTCTTCACAGGCCCAGAAACATGACTTTCCTCATCAGCCGGAGCACTTCTCTTCTTGGTGGGCTTTGCAGTCGGCTGCGTCAATTTAGCCTTCTTCGCGGGCAGAGGAGATGCTTCTCCGTCAGGAGAAGCTGCTCGCTTCTTGCTCGTCTTGCTCGTCTTGCTCGCTGGGGCTTCCTTTTCGCTTGGAGCGTTGCGTTGCTCATCCGCCCGCGCAACAACGCTGTCAGACGTCTTCTTCGTACCTGCCATTTCGTTACTGAGGAAGCAGAATTCAGTGGGAATGCTTGATTTGTTTTTCTTTTTTTCTTTCTTGTCTCACGAGACCGGCTCGTATGTTAGCAGGATGCAGAACACTCAAGGGAAAACAGAGAAAATGCAAGGAAATGTAGATGCTGCTACCAGAGCCCAGGAAGATCGGTGTACGAAATAGAAAGGAACGTTCGAGGGAAGAGTTGCTTGAGATGTCTCTCAATCTGCCCCGAGACGCGCGACAAAGAAACGTTGTCCCAGAATAGCAGGCAAAGGGTTGAGAAAAGGACAAAGGCCATCGAGACAATCGTCATCAAAGTCACTCGAGATGTCTTATCGACGTCCCTTGTTTCCAGTGGCAAGTCGCGAAGCGCTTCATCTTAAATTATCCAATTTTTAGCAACCTTTGAAAGGTCAACTAGTGATACCGCCTTGCCATCCAAGTGGCGGGAGTAGGAGTGGAAGTTAAAGGCGAGCCCGCCATTCCGCCCGACTGTCGTTGTAGTTGTTGATGTACATTTCGCCGCCATGTTGGCATATCGCGATGCCATGTGAGCTGTACATTCCCTTTCAAGATCCATCATTGCTCAACGCCAAACACCCTGCTAATTCTCCCGCGTCAATGCGAGTCGTCTTCCTAGGTAATACATGATTATGAGTCCGTTGGCTGGTCGATGGCATTTGGTGTCCATTCGTTGCCAACGTATCTGAACCAGTTTGGTCTACAGTCCTCTTTCTGCAAAAAGGGCTGACCATCGTAGAACTGGCCCGCAGTACACTTGCTACACTTGGGTGAGTTGGGACAGTTAAAGAACGGAATGTGCCGATAGCCAATGTCCTTGAACCAGTGAATCTTGCTGACGTCTTCAAACAAGCCAAGTGCGATGGAGTGGACCGGGGCATCGCCCCAGCGCTCGTAGAAAAAGCCTCCAGCCCGGTCGAGGTGCTCAAAATAGGCCTCGTATACTGGCGAGCGCCAGAAGTTCATGTCCGCGATCTCAAAGTTTGACCAGAAATGGCATGTGCTGTAGCCTCCGGCAATGTGGTGGTGCTCCGGTCTTCGCTCTCGGTCTGTCAACCAGCCCATGGCGTTGTTCTTTGGGAGCGGCGCCGTGTTGCTGGCGAGAAACTTGATTGTCTCCGGCCAGAGTGTTGGGATTGACTGCGGCGAGTCGTAGATGTTGATGGTGAAGCCATAGGTCTTGTTGTGGTCGCGCATGTAGCGGAAGACGTCGTAGTCGACGTCGCAGTAGAAGTTGACGTGCGGCTCGACACGCCAGTAGTATTGCATGTCCTTCAACGCCGGATGCTTGTAGAAAAAACCGCTGTTCCATCTGCACATCTGATGGTACGACTTCATTCTTGCGTATTGGATGTTCTGCTCCTCCAAGATCTTTGCGCTCTCTTCCATCAAGTCCATGTTGATCCACGACGGAATCTCCCAATGCTCCTTGGGAATCAGCTCGTATCTGCATTCAGCCTTTGTGTTGGCCTGTGTCGCTCTCTTGAACTCTTCCGTAAACGGCTCATCGTTGAAGAAGGTCCAGGGGTAGTTGAACTTGTGGTTCCACGTCCGCTCCAACTCTTGCATGCTACCCACAATCTGCTCCAATTCGCTGTTCCGGACCAGAGACAGTAATGTGGCGTTGATGCGATCGGATTTGGGGTTGTTGGGAGCGTAGTTGTCGCCATTTACTCGATGGAGTGGTTCGGGAGGCTCGCCAGTTGCTGATCTCCGAGTCAGTCTCCCGGTCAGTCTCCATTATGATGCGCTCTTTGCGACGCGGTGCTTGTGCGTACGATCTAAGTTGGGATCTCGAACCATATCATCGATCTTCTCCCTCCCGCCAGGTGCCGATATGATCTTGGGACTCCGCATGATCTGAAATACCAGGAAGACAAATAGGAGCATTGTCCCTCCCGCGAGCATCTTGATGGGTTTGGGCATCTTGCCGGAAGGAGATTTGCCCTTGACGCCGGGCAGCGTGTCGTATGAAAAGCTGTCTCGTTTCTTCTCCATCGTCCAAAGGAGAGATGAGGATATCGCCCATGTCGCCCGCACAAGCCGGGACTCTCCCAAAATAAAGCCTGAGGCAAACTTCGGCCTGAGCCCCGGCGCGGTCCGGAAGCTTCCAGTTAATAATCCCTTTCCGTATTCCAACAACATCGCGTCTTGTCTCCGCGTCGTCTTCGCGTTAGCAGATCATCGACAACAGAATTCGAAGATTACACCCACGATGCGATCTGGATGCAGACATGGCTCACGCTGCGACTCTCAGCAGACTTGCCGAGAGCTTGGTCACAGCAATCACCGGCCAGACCACCGGTGATGCCGCCTTCCGCAGGTTGAAAGATCAGACACTGCGAGGCCTGAAGGACCAAAGTCATGCCCGCACCAATCAATTCGCCGTCAAGGACACTTTCGATGGTCTCGTGGAGAAGTTCATCGTTCTGAACCGCGAAGATCTGGCAGTGGCACTGGCTGAGCGCCTCGAGGAACTCCCCACCAAATCGAAATGGATGCCCGAGATATCATCATTGCTGCTCGAGCTCAGCGATCGGCCAGTGAATAACACGAAGCTGAAAGATGTCTTCAATGCGAACGTGCCCGAGTTCTCGGCGCCTGAGCTGACGTGGAGCGACATCATTGCCGACGACCCTCTCGATGACCCCGACATGTGGGATGTCGTCGAGCGTGGCTATCATTCCAGCGGCGACGACGAGTTCAACCCAGACGTAGACTCGGAGCCTACCGTCTCAACCAAGGCCACGTCTGTACATGGAGATGATCCCGTTGCCATTGCCAGGATGCACCTCATGCAACCCAAGGAGACCACGATTCAAGATTTGACGTCAGCGAGAAGTCGTTGGGAGGCCTTTCAAGACCAAGAAGATGGAATAGAGCCTTCGGAGCTGCTTCTTGTGCGCGAGATCTTGTCAATGTTGCATGGACTACCCACCGACCTGTTCCTGCTGGAAGAACACTCGGGACAAGTTCGCGTCTCGACACAAGTCCGCCTGCGCAACACCAGCCACTCCAGCATCATGAGCCTTCTGAACACTGCTGCTAGAGCCGGTACTTCGATCAATCTGCTCCGAAAGTGGAAGTCGGCCGAACAAAGAGTGACCTACATGCAAGCAGTGGTCTCCGCTGTAGACACACTCTGCTCGCGATTCGGGAAGCAGCTCGCAGCGCTGGAGGAGCAGTTCAGACGTCCGGACAAAGATCGCGTGGTAAGCGCAAACGAAACACTCACCCAGGTCTTGAGCTATGCGACACCTTTGGCTCACTTGTCGACTCTCATCCAACGATGCTCTAACGCATCACAGGGTCGCAGTCCGTTCGCATTGATGGATCTACTGTACGAGGAGGCAAACATTGCTCAGATGTCAGGATCTCAGCACACGTTCGAATTGCTGGCAGACGTCTTACTGGCTGGATTAGAGGCATACCTGCGTCCTGTCGCAGCCTGGATACAACTTGGTACCCTAAGCCCAAGATCTCAAGATGTCTTCTTCGTGAAGGAATCCAACCAACATTGTGAAGCGGGTAATCTTTGGCACGGTCAGTACGAGATGCGTATCAGTGGTGACGGCAACGCATTAGCGCCCGTTTGCGTATTACCAGTCGCCCACGACATATTCGTGATCGGCAAGAGCAAGTCCTTCCGTAAGCGTCTGGGCGATTCGAGCGATCTGTCGATACACACCCACCCCTTAGATGGTGAAGTCTCTCTTCTCAATGGCGTTCGGCAGTCTGTGCACCAAGATTCTCTGGTTCCGTTCTCACAGACCTTGATCGATGTCCTGGAGCAGTGGATTTTATCAGTTGGTAGAGAGGATACTACTTTCGTCACTTCAGCACTGCTACGAGACCATGGACTGGACAGCACTCTGACTGCTATTCCATATGTGTTCTTTTCAAAAGACGGAGCTTCATTTCAGGACTTCGCTGATGCTGTCTTCGACCGCCTTGCCAAGCGTCAGGTCGCGAACCTTTCAATCGATCAGTTCCTGTTCACCGAGTTGGCTCAGACCACGTTAGGAAGTCCATCACAGGTACTTGCGGAAAATCTCAGTGTCAGCATCCGTGAAGAAGATTCATCTATCACAGCCTCCACAGTGCGCAGACTGGAATCGGTACGACTTGGACATCATCTTTCTTGGCCGGTACAAAATATCACGCGATCGGAGAGCCTAGAGACTCTCTCCATGATATTTGCGCTGCTTCTTCAAACCAGCTACACCGCCAGCAAGTTAAGCTCCAGCTGCTTTGATCTCCGATCGGCAAACGCAGGTACTGCGGGTGTGCTTGCGCTTCGACAACATCTACTCTGTTTCGCAAACATAGTGCAAGATCATATCACCACTGCAACGAATGTACTACACGGAGAGATGCAAAAGCAGATGGCTCTTGCTGCCGACATCGACTCAATGGTTGCAATCTGGTCTCTTTATGAGAAGCGGCTGAAGATAACACTCCTCCTATCGCCCAAACTGGAGCCTATGCGGGAGGCTGTTGTCTGCATCTTGGAGTTGGGAGATGCACTGACCGAAAATTGCGGCCCTCGAAGTGTTGCGCATCTCCGGGCGCAGCTACAGAAGCAGTTGGCCTTCCTCATTGCCGGAATTCGCAGCGTCAGTCGAGCTGGAGGCGACCTTTCCCTTGAAATCTTGGCAGAAAGACTAGATTGGGGTGCCGGCTGATGGGAAAAGGTGTTGATGTTATCCACTTGAAATGAACAATGCATCTCCACGCAATACGATTGGGCTCCCCTGCCAGCTCTTGATAACGGAGGCCACCGGAGCGCCGAATTGATACCTCTAGCTACGAAGCAAACTGTTCGACGCGTGAGAAGAGTGCAGAACACTCGAGGATACCAATCTCAGGTGTATCCCATACGAGACTACCTTACCTTGGCTCTGACTGGTCCAGCAGTTGCACCCGGAGAAAGGCCTCCTGGTCCTCCCGCCATGGGCGCCGCTCGTTCAATTAGCTGCAAAGACCTATCACTCAAGGCAGTCGTGGCTTAACTGCTTCATTCTGCATCATCACGAATACTTGGAGCAAGCGTATATCGCATCCTGCACACATCGTACGCGTTGCAACAGATCAATGATCGAGCAAGTCCGCGGAAGCAAAACGAAGAAGCATGAGGTTGAATCTCGACTCCGTCTTTCGACGGGAAGCACTGGATAAGTGACTGTGTTCGTTCAATTGCAGAATCGTACAACGTGTCCGCTCAACAATCATGGATGCTAAAATACGCCTTGCAGCGAACGCCTGCGCTCCTGAGGAAAAACCGGATATCCAAAGTGAATGTGAACAAAACATCTCCTTGCTAAATCACCTCTTCCGGGTCGACCAGCTCGCCACCCTCCGAATGGTAGTCGTACGCCTAAGAACCATTACCCTCGACTTTTTCACGGACTCTTCCGAAGTAAATCCCGACAAACTCGAACAAGGCGAAGTAGAAGCGGAAGAAAACGGCGTTTCCGTCCCAGGAAACGAAACCTGCGCAACTTTCATCGCCGGCTCTTTACTGAAGGCATCCGTCGGCAGAGCATACTCCATCGTCGGCGCAACAGGCTGTTCTTGCTTATTACACGCCATAGCCATGAATCTCGCCATTTCGTAGAGACTATTACGATGTGTGGGCACGTGATGTGTTCCAAGGAAATGAATCGTAGTGGCGTCTTCGAAGGCTTCTGCTAGTCTGGCGGATTGTTCGGCGCTGACCATCGTATCGAATTCCGCAAAGAGGTGCAGCGATGGGGTGTGGATCTTGGAGCTGTAGAAGCCGGAATAATATTTGAGGGAACCCTGGAAACCGCAGCAGGAGATTGCGAATTTGAAGGGGGATTGTGGTGAGGGTAGGAGGAACGGGGAGCCTTGTGTCGCGAGTCCGATCCTCCGTTCTGCGGAATTCTCACACCAGCTCGCGAGCATCATGCCGATCGTAGCGCCTTGCGAGAAGCCGACGATTCCATCAAACGGCCCTTCTTCCGTGATGTATTTGGCGAGGTATTCGAGCGCGGGAAAGAGGTGTTCGTGGCGTTGCTCGAAACTCTGAGGCGTCCAGTACCAGGCATATGTCTCGACGTCTTCGGGGTCGGTGGAATCGTAGCGGACGTCCGGGATCATCTTCAGCGGGCCGTCGGGACAGAACCATTCGACGCCGTCGAAGCGGCTGAGCAGGTCGACGGAGAGGGATTCGTTGACGTAGCTGCTCAGCTGTTTCGTCTTCATCGCGATGCGCAGGTAGTCGCCGCTCTGACCGAAGCCTGATGAGGAAATGTCAGGGGATATGTGGTACGTCGCGGAATCTTTCCAAGGAAGAATACGAACCGTGAAGAGCGAGAACTCGCATCTTCCTCCGCGACACCGGCGCCGCCTTCTCCAATATCTTCTCTGCCATGTGGTGTTGAGCATCGTCGTTTGTCCCATCCGCCAGGTTGAAACCCGCGGCATAGAAAGAGTTGTGCATCATAGTGGCGGGAAGCTTATAGATATGAAAAAGGGGGGAATGGAATGAGTCTGGCAGGCAACGCACAGCAGTTATACTATCGATATGAGGGACTAACGTGAATCCCTGAACGATTGCTCGTGCTACGCGATGATGGCACACAAGCAGTATTTGGCTGTAAATGCACGATGAGGAGGAGTTGCGCGACCTGCTCCTGATGACATGAGTGGGTTATCTTTATGTCTCCCAGCTGTGCGTCACATTTCAATGTCCCGTAGATGACCCCGACGATGTCACGTCAAGCTACGCTGCAGAGGCCGAATCCGTCTCCTCCAGTCCATACCCTCATGAGCTGCGCCCTATGCTTGGCCCGAGACCCGCAGCACTTTGGCTTCGTTGCTCCTCCCCCTCGGGGCCGCAGTGTGTGTAACGAGCGTCGGTGGGCTCAGACAGCTTGATCGATGCAGTTGGTCGACGTCGCCAGCTCCTGGAGACAATTGTGGATCCTGTCTTAGGCTAGCCACGAGACATGGCAGTATGTGTCTTACTTTTTGGCCAAGTTCGGGCTGGATGACGGCGGCGATCGGCTGATTTACTGCGTGGCTCGCAGCTTGAAAGAATCGATATGATTTTGGCGCAGACGTCGGCGAGACTTTTTCGAAATGGGCTTCATCAGTGGTGGATGGGGCTCTATAGTTGAGCATTCCTGGCCCCCTGTCTGCCGGAAGAAGGCGGCGGGCTATAAACGACGCCGGAATGGTGTGTTTACGGGGCATCGAGCGCTCTCAAGACGACGGCCATGTCGAGGAAAATGTCGGCAGTCGTTCTGGAAAGGAAAAGAAGCAAGAATCCAAGAAGGCTTGTGAAAGCACAAAGGCCAAGCACGTTTGTGACGATGCTCGGTTTCACGTGGAATTCGGCGCGCTTGAAACGCGGGGGTGATAAACGTGGGTCGACGATCAGTCGAGAAAGAATTCCATATCATCCAAAGTCGGTAGCGAGGGGGTCATCCAACACATCATAGTCGAGATCACGACCGCTCTCTCGCGATTCCTTCCAACTCATATTCGAGAGTAGCTGCCTCCATCGATCGTGCATGCGGTGTGCCATCCTGGATATAATCCGATTTCTGAGGCAAGACGTATCCGGAGAGACACGTCAGGATCGCATTGATGTCGTGGAAGACCCAGTTCTTTTGCTTTTTCTTCTTCATCCGTCTCTCGTCATCGAAATCTATGTGACCGAATCTGGTCCATTCCGTTGCCGTTTGCGTTTTCTCGATATGGTAGTGCAATGCATGAAAGGGTAATACACCCGGAGTGTCCATGTAGTAGGATATTTCTTTCCGACCCTTAGAGCGTACCAAAGATTTCAAAGAATCAGACGTGTGTTCATCATGCTTATACTTCTTAGTCCACATGCTTTCCACCCTCGAGCCATCGAGCTGGAGGCCGGGAAACACCGGTAGGGCAGCCTGAAAGGTCATGTATTCTCAATCAAGCAGCGGCAACGGAGAATTGACGACGCGGACATGTCGAAGCGTGGTCAGTCTGCTGGCCGGCCGCTGGCTCAAGACAGGTAGGTGACATGAGGATGCCAGCCGTTGCCGATCTCCTGGTCAAAGGTGCGGCATACCAGCTTGAGAGACACCACCTCATCATGGAAGACACTTGCCACGTTGTGGAAGAAGATCTCAAGGCGAAGCCCAGGTGGCAGTCCTAAGAGAGAGGGGGGAGGTGAGCCCATGATGGATCTAGTGGCAAGAGTGGAGGATATGGTGTCGAAGGCGCCTCGAGAGCATTCCTATCTGGGCAAAACAGAGGGAGATCCTAGCATGTGAAGAAGATCGGCCGCGCAAGGATGAAGTCAGAAGGCAGGTAAAGCTGCTGATAGAGTTATTGATGCTTGGCAACATGCTTCCGCTATACCTCGATTAAAACGAAACCGTGTCAGTCATTCATTGAGCCTGAATACTTCTCCTTGTAACAAATCGCCAGCAGAAGCCATGTGGTGGTCTCGACCAAGCCTGGTCAATGAGCCTAGCGGTCCAAGAGAGGGTACAGATCACCGCCCAAGGAACTTGCTGTCCAGTCGCAATCAAAGAAAGGAATCCTTTTCCGACCGTCATCAGTCGAATAACCCTCGCGAAGATCACGCACCAAAAAATGATGCTATTGAAAACCCAACCACCAAACCGTGCACAGCGTGTGACAGGATCTGCACAATGACCTTTTTCGGTTTCGAAGAGGCGACATCCCGTTCATCGGGTCAGGGTTGACAAGAGATCCAGGGAAGCAGTGCAGAAAGTGGAGAAGAAGGAGAAGGAAGAATTTGTCTCGGGAGGTGAGAGAGAAACAGCAGCAACAAAGTATCAGTGTGAAGGGGCGGGAGGGATTGATACAGGTAGTGATGTAGTCTTGATGACACTATTGATTGAGCCATGCGGTGCATGCATGCAGCCTCGTGGACCTAGACGAATCCAAATAAATGTATTGGTTTTTAGGGGCCCGCTAATAAGCCCTGGAAGCGTTCCCTCAGAGATCGGTAACCAATCGCAACGGGAGAAGTACCACGAACGGGCTTTGCAGAGTGCGAGCAGAGCCATCTTGCAAGAAGATATCCGCGGCGACAGGGAAGAGCATTTGCAAGGCGTGAAAGTTTTGATGGTAGGGAGCGGAGAACTGAGGAGGAGGAAAAGAAGAAGAAGCTGTTCGGGCCTATGTGTCGCGTATACAAACCACTGGGGACCAGTGTGAGCTCCTCATCAGTTTCTCCAAGCCTATTGTCGATATGGACCGGTACCCAGCTGAAGTTCTTGTGGCAAGCATGCCGACCGCACCCCGATGGCAGAAGCGGTTGGCAGCTCGCGCAGAGCTGAGCATCGCGAATTGCCCCGACGCAGGGCCAGGAGCAGAATCCTCATGCGCCGCTTCTGACTCGATTTCGGTCTCAGGTTCGTCCCTAGCTTCAATCCCAACCTCGACTTCGTCCACCGAGACGTGTCTACCAAGTGCGATTCCCGAGCGGCTGCAGGAACGAAGACAGGCCGGAAAACTTCTCTTCATCGATCCGGAGCCAAGCGTGGACGGAACTACTTCTCCACCGAGCACGATTTCTGTCGAACTCGCGGGTAGCTTTCTCGGTTTTCCTTGCCCTCCAACGCCGGGAACTGCAGTAAACGCCAGACGATCTCTTGCTCCCGCCGGTAGTCGTCCGCCTGTGCTGGTTGTTGCGGGCCTGGACTTCACGACACCTGCGGACACCGGGATTCAGAAGCGACCACGACGCAGCTCAAGCGCAGATAGTGCATTGCCCCCCCTTCCTAAGCCTCATCCACGTCAGACGCAGGTCGACTTTCCACGGGGCGAATTGAATGAATTGATCCAGGAGAAACAATCTCAACACGAGGACTCCGAGTTCGAAGCAGAGTCTGACCCGGGCTCAGGAACCACAGCAGGCTCGGACTCTGTCATCCGGAATTCAAACGATCGTCTCTCGCGCGTCTTGGCTAATCGACATCTTCTGCGGGTTCCTCAGCTATCAGGAGTGATATTATCGAAACCTCATGATACAAAGCGCAATCCACTTCGTACTGGATCTGCCGGATCCATGGCCACTTCAAAAGCGGTTTCGCGGGAATGGAAGAGGAGGCAACGGGCGCCTTTGAGCTCCCAGCTCGACCTCTGGATGTAAGCCCGCCATGCTGCTCGTCGCACTCTGAGCTGATACTGATCTTGGAATGAAGCGACGACCTCCACGAATGAGTCTCTCATAGCAAAGGGTATTGCGGCCCGATCGAAGTATCCAGGCTGTCCTCCCACACCGAAGGCGTTTCCTGCTGGCTGATCGGTTCGCCCACCTTGTTTAGAGCCCAGACTAGGTATGGCTGCCAGCGCTCGTCCAGCTCCTGGTATATGGCTTCCGCCAACTGTCGCCCGAGACCTTCCATGGACCACAGCCGCCCGAACTGATGGACAGCAACTGCATAGTGTCCGAGTATGAGCAGAGCCATCGGATCGCGTCGTTTCAGGAGGGCAATGAAGTCACCCACGTCACCCTCTACCATCACTGCCCAGCTACATACGATGCTCAGCTGTCGCTTGCCCGGTGTCATGGCCATAACCGCGGCCAAAGCCCAGATTCCTTTTTGATACGCTCTGTGACGCATGATGGAATCCTCGTCCGACGGGTTCGGGAGATAGATGGCCACACATCGTCGCAAGGCTTCCAGGGCACTCCTAAAGTCGTGGTCGAGGCTGGTGAAGTCCGACTCTTGTGGACTCAATTGGAGAAGAACGGAGCGAAAGCGGCCGTCGTAGAGCCATTCTCTCCCTTCAATGGCAATGGCAGTGCAGCCAACGAGAGCATCGAAGACATCGATCAACTGACAGACGACGTTTTGGGGGTCGTCGTGATTGCCCTGGAGCATGGCGTAGCAGAGACAGCTGAGAAGGAGGGAGAAGGCGAAGAGGGCGTCGCAATTCTGCTGGTTGATGTCCTGCAGCAGTGGAATGTAAAGGGTCAGAGCATGCTGCTGATGATACCGGGCGATGCTCATCAAGCTCTCCTTCTCTCGGTCTGGACGGTCATGTCGGATATGAAGGGCTGCGAGCGCAAGAATTCCGTGCAGCAAGAAGCGGTTGGAGAAGGCCATCTGAGGAACGTGCCGGCGCCAGAGCTCGACTTCGTGGGCGTTGGGAGCCAGCGTCTCGCAGGTGAAGGCGGTGAAATGGTGCAGAAGCTCCAAATCTCGCATCGGGAAGATTGGCTCCGGGGACTCTGCATGTGTCGAGGCAAGAAACGGGGGCAGAGAGAGCGCCTGGCTATAGACCTGGCCATAGACCTGGCTATAAGAGCATTCGCGATTGCCGCGCTTGCAGTTGCGGCACACGGGCTTCTCCTCGTCGCAGCGTACCCGGCGAGCCTTGCACGTGCTGCAGCCATGGCGAGTCTTCTTGTGCGGCCTTCGCGAGGGCATTTTTGGGAGAGCCGGTGGAGTGAAATTTCGGTATTGTCTTGTTCTTGTGTCCAATGGAATGATTGCTCTCAAGACATGTCTGCGTCCGGTCTTCCCTGCTTCAGTCTCCTGGGACGCGTCGAATGCGGGAACGATGCGCTGGAACGCTTGAAGTGGTATATGAATACCGGGAGGACTGCAACGACGAGCGATACATTTTGATTTTTGGGCGGAAGAGACGGAGGTTGATGACGACGGAAGAAAGCGTGCCTTATCTTACTAAGGTAGGTATGGCCTGATGTGCATATCGGATTCTCATGGCACAGACGGAGCTTCTCTGCTTCCGATTCCGTGGAATGCCAAGAAAGTATAAACCGCACTATACTCTAAAAGTCATCATTCTTCACCTTCACATGCTACCGGCTTGATAAACTCTCGATGGAACGGACGGGTGTTTGATGGTTTGCATACCTCCGTTTGGATCTATGCACTCGAATATGATACCATCCACGAACCAAGACCCCAGAAGACTGCCAAGACAGCTAAACGCAGACGTACCACACGCCGCAAGGCTCCCTCTCCCTTGCCCTCTCCCTCTCCCTCTCCCTCTAAAGCGCGGAATCAGTAACATTAACCGCAACATCCCTAACCACACACCCCTCCCTCCCACCAACCCACCGCCCCTCCAACATCCTCTGCAAAACCTCCAAAGCCCTGGCATCGCCATTGCTCTCCTCGGCAAGGTGTCCCCCAAGCCCATTCCTCTCGTACACAACCTCCGCCCCGCCCTGACAATACCTCTCCACCAAGGCATCCGCATCCTCCACCGGCGAAATCTCATCATGCACAGCTTTGTAGATATACATCGGTGCTGTTGGGATGCCGTGATAGCCTAGACTCGCGTCCCGAGCGAGCGGCTGGGCGATTGCCGGGGCGGAGAGAATCGATCCGTTGCGAGGGAGAGGGAGGAAGTAATTGTACATGTCCTGGTAAGCGAAGGCGACGAAAGCTTCACTGATCGACATGTTCCGCACCGAGAGGAAAGTGCTGGCGTTGTAGGGTCCTGAAGGGCGGAGTTGCGAGGCGAGGTATGCTTCCACTTGGGGATGTTGGGTGGCGAGACCGACGAGACCGGCGGGGATGAGAGCCGCGAAGGTGGAATTCCGGGCTACGTTGGGGAGGGCGTTCGTGATGTTGGGCAGAATGCCGCCCAGAGCTGCACCGGCGAGGATGTCTCCCAGTTCGGGCGCGTACTGGACTTGGAGTTCGAGGGCGAAGCCGGAGGCGAAGGAGCCGCCGCTGTAACCCCAGAGGGCAACTTTGGGCTGGCTGCGATTCGTGAAACTGTGGCCGAGGACCGCACGGATGGAATCTAGAGTCGCATGTCCGGCCTGAACGCCGCAGACGAAAGACGCCTTCGGGCCTTCAAAGTCCGGGACATTGACGTACCAGCCTCGCGAGAGGGAAGCTTGGATGTCCGTGTCCACCAATGCAAGGTCGCCTCCACTGGCGTAAAGAAGCGTCGAGGGTCCCGCGTCGACGTCCGGGGTATTATATGGGATCTGATAGGAGAGGAGAGCGCTGGTGTTGGTGTTGGCGTTCTTCTTGGGGACGAAGAGAGTGGTCCAGGCATAGGACGGCTCGTAATGGGTGTCCGTGGTGCGGAACAGGATGTTGTAGACCGACGAGGCATTGGCAAAAGACGCGGTGAGGTTTCCCGGTGCATTGCGGATGCGGAGTATCTCTCCAGGAGCGGCGTGCTGGTAATCTGGCGGTGTCGCGTAGAATGGGTCTTGACTGGGTGGGAGAGGCGTCAACTGTGTAGCCGCAGTTGCAATGAGTCCGGATAGCAAGACGAGAAGTCGAGGGGCCATCTTTGCGGTAGTGCCTGGGGAATGAATGGTTGTACAAGATGCAATCCGCCTGCCTTGGGGGACATGTTAGATGGTATACTTATAGAGTAAGTAGCCGGCTCGTGCATTCCTTCGTAGTAGGTAGCAAAAATAATAAGGATAATAGCATACCGCTGCTCAATCCACCGCATTTGTGGTCTAACCTCAAGTGGACTGGTGGAAAGGCCGGGGCCCTTGTGCAAACCATCGGCTTTGAAAGCATACTGGATCTCGCGTTTCGTTTCTGGACATAGACGGAGATGCGATGAGAATCTCCGTCAGCTATGCAGCAAGCGGGTTCCACAGCATGTCGAAGTGCATACGTTGCTCGTCAGTCAGAAGAGGATTCCTCCGTGCAGGATCGAATCCTCCGCTGTCTTCGCTGTCTTCGCTCGTCTCGGAAAGAGGCTAGCCTCACTGAGGCTTGTTTGCGAAGAAGGAAAAAGCCCACAGCGGGACTCGCACTCAGCCCCTGTAATCCACTACTCGGTATACTACTACTGACGCCCAATAATAATGGACCACCTCGCAATGCACGCCGGATTCGGTAAGCGCCTGCACTTTCTTACTGCTCGCTACTACTTCTATGTATGTCAGCCATGTATGTCTATGACGAGCTGCAGTGAGATGCCTCAATGATCAGGGGGTCTGTCCCTTTCCACCGCAGAAGCTCACCACTGCCCACTTGCCGCTCCACGCCCATTTTCTCGCGCCACTGTTACCACCTCCTCCTTCCACGGCTCGCAGTCGCTCGTCTTCTCCCTTTGGCAGTCCCACAACAACGTCGGCTTTGCACGTCCTCAGTGCCAGTACGTTGATTCCAGATCCAGGGCCTAGAGGGCCAAGCGCTTCGGGGAAAGGCGTGGTAGGATCCCACATCACGTCTCCCGTCAATTTGCGGTAGTTTAGGTCGCCTTTGAAGATGACCAGTTCGCTCTCCTTCAAATCCTCGTACAGCTTGGGCGCAGTCTTGGGGAGACGCCAATAGCTCCCTCCCTCAGTCCAGAAGACATTGGGTCGGAGGACGATCTTACCCTCAGCGTACAGCTGACTCCAGTTCTGGAAGAGCGTCTGCAGACTCTCTGCATCCGCCTCATTTAATGCTTGAGGTTTCACTCCCTGCGCTTGCTCTTCCTCCGACGGCGATTCGTAGAAAGTCTTAGCATTGACCAGCACGTTCAGGAGATCGCCGAAGTCTTTCGGAATCACATCTGAGACAAACCAAGGAATGTTCTTTGGATGGAGCACGATCTGAGTAGCCAAATCCGCTTGCAGAAGGTAGCCGGCCAGCACGAGATCGACAAATAGCTCAAATCCAGCGTTGTCGAGTACGATGTCGACTCGTCGCTCCTTGGCACCAGAGGCCTTGGCTTTCTTCAATGTAGCAAACGCTGATGCGAAATCATTCACGATGATCTTGTCTTCGTTGGCCTTGCGGGCATTGGCACCCTGCAACTTCTGAATATCATCGTAGCTCAGGTTCGTGAGCAGTGACAGATCGGTGGCATTTCCCCACAGGCAGATCTCGCACATCTCGACGAAAAGCAGCTTCTCGGCATTTTCGCGCTCCTCAGCACTTGCTGAAGCGATGGCCGACTGGTTCGACTGGAATTGCTTTGTCAAGTCGTTGTATCGGTGGGCAAGCTCGATGACAGCCGGCCTCGATGAGCGAAAGGTCGAAGTCTTCTGTTTTGAAAAGACATCGTAGTTCTTCCAGTGTTTGGAGTTTGCGAAGAGAGTCGCCATGCGTCTGTAGAGATAGCACTCTGCGTAGAGCCATGCCACATCATGCCACTTGGGGTGACCACGCTGCTCGAGTTCTTTGTTGTAGCCGGGGATATCTGAGCCGCCATCATCAGACAGCGGGCTGCCTATGGTCAGTATCTCAAACACCACAGCCCTTGGATGTTGACATACCTCAGCTGTCGATTATGCTGGAGCTCGTATTTGAGCGTAGCAAGGCCTTGGGTGATCTGCTTGCCCTCCTCCGCCTTCTCACCGGATTCCTGGGAGGTCGCTCGATGGACATCGTCAATGGCTTGTGTCTGCGAGAATTGTAAGTCTCCGTGTGCGTGCGGTTTCCGATCAGGCTCTACCAATATTGTTGGCCACCTCTCCCTCGCCGACACATACGCAAAGGAATTCGGGTCGCTTGTGCTTGACGGCGCTTGAAAATTGTCAGCCACGGCTTCGACGCCAGTCTCTCGTCGGAATCGCTTACCAACTTTCGGGTCGAGTTCCATGTTCGTTGATGCTGGCTGGTGAGTTGGAGGTGGAATGGGAGCAAGCTCAAAAGATTTATTCAACGTCGAAGCCCGAACGTCACTGCCAGGATCGGGAAGCCGAGCTCGGCAAAATTGCTTAGCTCAGCGGGCGGGCTTGAGAGCTGGAGCCTCGCTGGAATTGATGAGGATTACAGCTGAAAACCTACATACGCCGTCCTGATTCCCCCACAGGCAGCACTGTTCGAATGTCCAAATTCTCGGGCCCAATAGACCTCAACTGCTCGCCCGCACAGAGCGCCGCTGCTTGTAAAACCCTCTTCATCTCATCCCTGGTTAACCCTACCTCATCCGCTCCTTTGCATCCCGCGACATCCTCCAACACATGGAACACGACACGGGCTGCAGTCACTGCAAGGTACCTCATCTGTCGGACCGAGTCCATCCTCAGAACGAAGCCTCTCCCGGGCATGCGGTCCGTCTCATCGTACTGGTGAGAGTCCTCCCCTGTCGCCTTTGCATCTTCATCACTCCCCACCGATTCTGGGAAAACCAATCCCCGCCGAATGAAATGTATCGAGAACCGCCAATAGACACCTTCTAGCCAGATCCAGGTCAGGTTGCGAATGAAGTTCTCACTTGCGCCATCGATCCAGTACAGGCACTGGAGCTTGAAGTCATCGTTCCAGGCCGGCATTTTGAGAATGTAGCCACGCAAGTAAGCTGGCAAGAGCTCTGCTCTGACTTGCCTGCAGACGGCCATCAAATGCGTGACGTGCTGCGCTGCTGCAGACCGTCGTGACAATTCGTATGGTGCTGCAGCCCACAGCACCCGCATTCTGCTGCGTCCGCCATTGCGTTGAACTTTACTGTTGCCAATGCTGTCGTCCGCAAGGGCTGAATAGATCTGAAGTCTCAATTCGGGTGGTAGTGACAGCAAGCGCGAGATGCTTTGCTCAGCTGCAGTGTAGCTCCCATCTTCCGACTTTTCTCCTGGTGCGAGTGGCACAGAAAGAGAGGAGAGGTCAACTAGATCATCAATTTTGGCGACTGCAGCCTCCGCGTGCGTAACTCCAGACTTTCCGACGTATCCTGGCTCACGGTCTCCTGGCATGTTCAAAGTTGGGGTGTGCAGGATGGTTCCGATTTTACAAGGGCTTCCCAATGCGGTGGGCGGAACCTGACCACTTAATATGCGTGGGTTGGTCAAGGTGGAGTTTCTCTCGTGGTTGGTCGACCAGTGCTTAGTGTCGGCGTAGTAAAGGTATCAACTCGTGAACATTATTCATTATCTCGGTATCTTTTCCACCTAACCCAACCTTCATTCCGCGCATTCGTCACGCTTCTTCGGCCTCACCGCAACGCATTGTAGTCCGCCTCGGGAAATGCCACATGTCCACTGAGACTGGTCGGGATGCCCGTCGGACTGAGCGCAGAGGGTGCAAAATTGCCATCGTACGTCGGCGGACTCGCGAATTGTGCACTTCCTTGGTGGCTCAGTCTACGGCCGGGGTGCGCCATGCCGTCTGCGTGATGGCGAGAGTCTGACTCTGAGTTGCGATGCAAGAGGGCCTCCGAATCATCTCCCGCAGTCTGCTGGCCATAGGTCAGGCGGTCATCGCTGGTAGTATGCAGCTGTTCGTCGATGTTGGCGGACCATGGATCTTTGCTCGGATCGTCGGTGCCTAGCGCGTCTGTCGAACCATGGTTCTTCATGCCGACACTCGGAACGACGCCGGTCTTGCGGTATTGAATTATGGCACGGACAGCGAGGTAGCTGGTGACGGCAAATAGGAGGAAGACGATGATGCCGAAGCCGACTGTGGCTTTGCTGACTTTACACTTGGTCTCACTTCCGTACCCGAATGAAGCGCAAGTGCCGTCTTTCTTGGTTGTGGTGTCTTCTCTCTTAGTGCTCTTGTCTGTGCCATCGCTGCTGGAATCCGTCTTGCCTTTGGCGATTCCGTCGGCATTCCATACGGCCACGGCTATCGAGGCAGCGAACCAGAGAATAGCGAAGAGGATATCGATGGTCGCGATGGCCCAGACGTTGTTGAAGCGCCAGGCACGACTCCACATGGGGACCATGACGAGATAGATGATAGCAGGGAAAGTGAGGAAACACTGGACATTTGTCAGTACCCCATCACGCTTGCAATGGTCGGAGTCGGCGTACGAGTGCAAAGTAGAAGCCGGTCTGCGCTCCGAAGCTTCCGCTCTTCGTCATGACAGCGAGCGTCAGGCATCCGGCGACGAAAATGAGCAGAGCCTGGAACAGGTGTATTGCAGCTTTGGTGCGCTGGGTCTTCGTTTGTGGAATCTGCATGGTGGGTGGTGGATGTTGCCTGGCTGAGGAGTGGTATGTGAGGAGAGAATGGCCGGCGAGGGTGAGGGTGAGGATGGAGTATGGAGTACCGAGAAGGAGAGAGTGGTCATGTATGATGTATACTCATGGAGGTCTGGGGGTCTCAGACACGCGCTCCGTCCGGTAGTTGAGACAGCAACGCGTGGAGCAAGGATCGTGCTCTATATTTTTGAAGCTTGCGCGTTCTGCCACAGCCCCTACACTGCCGCTGCGAGGCTGAGAATGGGCGTGCACGTAACGGAAGGGCTCGTCGTGTGGTAGCCAATGAGCGAGCACGTTTTGTGGTCGATACGTAGAGTACAAGGTGCGCTTTTGCATCAATTTTGCCGTAGTTAATCTGTGTAGGTGTTAGTGAAACGCTGTGTTGTTTCCTCGCAAACTCAAACTGCTGTATAGCAACCGGATCTGCAGGTACCGGCCCGAACCGACGTCTTACATAACCCCCTCCTTGGCATCGTCTTCTCCCTCCTTGCCTCCTCCCTCGCTTCTCCATCGACTTCGAAGTCGACATCGACATCCACTCCGTTAGGATTCTTACGAATAGTTTGACTGGCTCGGATCGATCTCAATACGTTCGGCTCGGTCGAGAATCCCGAATATATCGCGACAAGGCATGCGAAACACCTGTAATCGCAAGAGCTCGAGGCGCTCCGAACCCGAGTCTCATGTGATACCCGGCCAGAACGAGGAAACTAGCTCCATTCAATATTCACCTGCCACTTCAGGGTCGCTGCCTTTATCAGCGCTGTGACAACCGCAATAAACGTGGCTTGACTTGGTCGATGCGCAAATCGGGCTGCATAGGAACAGCACTCCAACTTACCTTCCGCGCTTATTTCAAGAATAATGTGTACCATATGTAGATAGTTAATAATCCTGTACTTTGAAAGCATTGCGTTCTACCACCGGCTTCTTGGATGCTTGGACCGCGGTACATGCATGATCGCAAAGTCTGCAGATGTAAAGCATCTGACAATCGGATCCGTGCGCACATTACACGCACCTCCGATGGCTACAGCCCGACAGTCTACTCAGAGTGCAGACTCCTGAAGTTTTATGCATCAGGTCTCACAGCTCTCTTCCCCTCCACATTTCGCCCACTCCTCCCACGAATTTCATTCTCCTTCTCCATTTCTTCCGCATTCTTTCTCCTCGCCGCCAGATTCCGCAGTCTTCTCTTCTCGTACTCATCTTCACTCCAATGCTTATAGAGCTCTTCCAAGTTTGGGATTCGTCCTCGTCTCATGGCTTGCTCCCATGGACTTGATTTACTCCATCCTGAGCTTTCCTTCTCAGAATTTTGGCCAGCTGATGATGCACCCTCCTGAACTCCTCCTTTCCTCGGCTTGGTTGTCATACTCTGGAGATCTCCCACAGCACGTTCCTGTTCATTGCCCTCTTTCTCCTGTTCCCGCTCCTCCCTAGCATCCTCCCAAGCCTCCTCGCCATCCTCCAACTCCTTCACCCTCCCATCCAATTTCCTCAAATGGCCGCTCAGTTCCCGATACCCCTCCAAAAGCACCTGAACAAGCCTCTCGAGAGCCTCGACCCGTCCATGTAACACCTGATGTAACCTCGATGAATTCCTTATGAACTCATCCAATTTCTCATCCTGACTCAGTAACGCCTCGCTCGGGAAGGGCAATCTCGATTTTTCAGGTTTGGGTCTGGACTGTGCTTTCAGGCTGGCTATGCGTTCGAAGTGTTGGTAAGGGGTTGGGGGATCATGTTTTTGTGAAGGAGTAGCGGTTGCTCTCTCGCGGTCATTGCCGGGGTTGTAGAATCTTCGTGGTCTTTGGTGCTTTGGTAGTGAGGATTGGGAATTGGAGTAGGAGGAACCGCTGGCGCTGGTGGTGGTGCTGCTCCAATGGGCAGGCGATGATGGATTCCCCAAGTATTCAGAGATTGTGATGCTCGGCACTCTGGAGCTGCTTGGGGGTCGCGGGCGTTTCAGGGGAGGGGCTTCATTTCCTTCTCTGTCCAATGTGGGCCCGAATTGTGCGAACGTAAGTTCGTCGTCTGGCAGTGGTGGCGACCTTCGTGGAGTCTTGAATTTGTGCTTTCGCCGGTGCGCTTCAGGAAACATGCTGAACGAAGTAGGGGGAGGGAATCCAAGCAGGAGCCTGAGAGAGACAAGTTCAAGGCCTCGGGTCGATTGACGAAGCCGACATCAGGGGATAAAAGACACTAAAAATTTGGGTTTCAGTCACCGCTGTCGAAGATCGATCAGTGATCAGTGTTACAGCGATCTTCTTCACGGTGAGTTGCCCTCTTGCAAACTTCATCCTCCAGGCATCGGCCTGCAACGCTCTTCGGCTTCGCGTCTTCGCATGCCTTCACTGCTGCTCTGGCCTCATTCCATTCCCGCCGATCTTCCTCGCGGATAACGACACGTCCACCATCTTGCACCAGCTTTCTCATTCTCTTCTCTACGTCGATCAAGACTCTTCGTGCATCTTCTCTTGTAGTCTCAACGAAAGTGGCTCGCTCAGCATCCCATTTCTTCTGAAGCCGTCGCAAAGCCCAGACTAAGCCCAGCGCGGCGATGGCACCGGCTTCGTAGAGCGCTACGCCCCCAGATGCAATAAAGAGCCATCCTCCAAGTGCGCCAGAGCCGCCGATGGTACTGAGAGATGCAAGAAGTAAAGTCTGAGCTTTGCGATGCATTGCAGGGACAAGCTGATGTAGCATCTGCTGTCGCGCCAGATGTATCGTCTGCGGCCAGGGTGGGTCAAAAATCGCGTTGAGCCCAGTTCGCTCTTCTACTTTTGCAAGCATTGGCGGTAGCTGCATCAGCTCCGCAACCGTGCCATACCTCGATAATGTAGCACCGTCAATTTTGGTTGCTTTATAATCTTCAATTTCCCTTTTCAGCATTTTGGTAACTGGATCATGAGTGGCTCCCTCTTGCCCCATTCCTGGTACAGGTGGGGACTCTTTCTTCAGCTCGTCCACGCTTGCAAAGCCGGCTTCAAGAACTCTTCCGCTCAAGAATGCCAGATTCTGTTCCGCCTCCACCAGCCAGCCTCTTCGCAGCACGTCGGCGGCAGAAATGGAGACTTCGTCAATGCGGTAAAACAAACGCCACCAGACTGTTCTCCGCCAGGTGGGCGAGATCAGAGCAGCGCTAAGATTCATTTGCAAGTCACGGTGGGCTTCTTCAGACCAAGTCGCTATAGCTGAATGGAGAGTTGATCGCTTGGTGTCAGGAACTGTCTGGGAAGCTGATGAAGCTTCCGCGGCGGACGCTGCGCTTGAGATGGCGTCCTCTGCACGGGAAAGCACTGAGCTCAGCATTTCATCGAGAGCAGGCTTCAGGCCATGGTGGAACCCATTCGTGGCTGCTGCAGCAGAAAGCCAGTTCGAGATCGAAGCTACGCGGCTCTCCTGCCATTTCTCACTGTAAATCGCGCCGTTCGCATTGCTAGATCGAAACAAACCAAGTGCTTGGTCGGCGAGTTCGATATTGACAGCGCTCCCGTACACACTCTCGTCGTATGCACGATTCTTGGCAACCTGCAGTGGTAGATTGAGCGCCGCGCTGATGAGTCTGCCGTCGGCCAGAGCGGCGGGTAAGCGGCCATACTCCAGGGCTCCAGTCACTCCATCGGCGACTATCAAAGCTCTGTGTACAGGATAGCGCACAAAACCAACCCGACCACCACTGGAATTCGGCATTGTGATTGGCGGTACTAGGATGCTTTCCTCCAGCTCTTTTGCACTCTCAGCGGTACCAGGTGGAGTATACCCTGTAGCATTAAGTCCCGTGACCAATATCTCCATGTTCCACCTTCGCAGCCGCGGAGAGGAAATCCTCAACTCTTGAACTGGTGGTGTAGAGCTGGGCTGCACGCCGCTCTCTGTGATGTCCTCTCCATAGCGTATCAAGACACTTCTTCCGTCGCTCTCATTCAGTAACAACTTCTCCCATGCCTCCTCTTCGCCCAATTCATCAGCGAGTAAGACTCTGGCCAGCTTCCGCGCCGCGCGTACTCCGTTGCCTCCTAGTCCTAGGAAGGCTATTCGAACGACCGGATCAGCGCTCTCTAGACTTCGTAGCGCGAGTTGGAGACGCGACAGGTCAACATAGCCGCTGGCTTTGTCCTGTAGTAGCTGCAATCGCTGGTGGAGTTCGCGGAGCTCGGGCGGGACTGTTGAGGGCGCATTGATGGCGGTCGTAGAAGCTAGGGAGTCATTGGTTGCGTAACTACGACTTCTCGGTAGCTGCAATTGCGTTCTGTAAGGTGGTCTCTCGGTTTTCGATATGATATAGCTCCTCGTCGTCTGATGTTGGCTGGCTTTGAGGATCGTCGTTTGAGGCCTCTCATTAGTCACGCTGCCTTTAAGCAGACATGACGGACAGACATAAGGCTCAGCCTTGATTGCCCGTAGAGCGTGTGAAGATATCAGCGTACGAGAAGGCATTGCCAGGCGCAATGCTGGGAATGTTCACGAAAAGCGTGCAGTGAGCTCACGTGTGGTGTTTCACCAGCTGCCGATCGAGCTCTGTTCGGCTCAAGCTCGGAGAATTGGGTCTCAGTAGACCTAGCTGCGCCTAACAACTCTTTCTCCTATCTACATAGAATCCACTAATCTGTCTACATTTTCCCAATCCAAGCGAGGCAACTCTCTTGGGAAAATGAAGCATCTCACTCTCTCATCCACGGCCATCTCATGGAAGAGGTGCAACTCCGTGCCGTCGCACACCCCAACTCGCTCTTATTCCCGCCCTAGCCTTGAATTGCAGGCCATTCCTCGTCTTCTAATCTCCCCCTTGGTCCCAAGTCCGAGGGCTGACGGCTAAATATGTCCGGTGTCATCCATCTCTCTTTGAAAAGAGCGAATGTGGGTGACATTCTGTGTGGTCCTCACTGCCTCAATATGTGGTAACATGGCTTCTTTTCGGGGCGGTAAGGATTTCGAATCGCATGCGCGGCGTCAGATGCGCGGCAGGAGATGGTGAGTTCTACTCATCAGACGTCAGGGCTTACTGTCTGTCAATCAGAGTCAGGATCGATCGTGGCATTTCGGATATGAAAACTTACTTAACAACCCTGGCTGCTGCCCCCGAAGTGGACTATTGGCCTTGCAACACTTACTCAGTCTTCACTCGACGCAACTTCAGTCACGAAACAGTCGTGTCAAACTCGACACTCTCGCTCCGACCAGGCTGGGTGCCGTCCAAGGAGCAACAAACAACATGACTGCGCTGGGAGATGGAACTGGTCCAGCGCGCCTGGCACACGATCAAATCATCGTTCACATTACAGCGTCTGATACGCAGAAAACCTCCGAAGAAGAGCGCACTACAAATCGTCTCAACTTCGGAATCCACCACGGACTTAATGCCAGCTGGTGCACAAGAGCCGCAAGCACGAGCTGAGAACGCGGATGATGTGCAGGAGCGGCCGACCATCCAGAAAGCCATTCAAGAATATGCAGAACGATTTCTAGAGGTCAGCAACTCCACATACATCCAGCCCCTGAGGATCTTCGTTGGTTGACATGAGATCAGGCTTGCGAAGGCAACATACTGGGCAACGTCTCGTCCACAATCATTCGTTTTGTCAAGACACCTGGTCTGCCGCCCTACTACCATTTCAAATGCTACATTATCCTCGCCGCAGCCAGGGAAGAAGAAACGGCAGAAGCGAATGTTGCAGTAGGGAAACATTACATTGCCAAAGCGCGAGAAGCGCACGTCCGGGGAAAAGAACTATACGTACACGATCCGAGGGATAAGCTTACGCTTGAGGCACTTCGGAAATGCATCGACGAAGAGTGGGCTGCACTGAGAGCATATGAGAAGAACGAAGTGTACAGACCTGAAGACCAGGAAGACAATTGGCCGCTGAACTTAAGATTTGAAGAAGAGCAATGGTGGATCAACCCAGAACAACACATTTAGACTGCAACATAACTCTGATCGATTGGTTTGTGCCGGTCGATCCACACAGAGGTACAACGAACGCGCCTACTGCAGCGCGCAATCCCGAACAGGTGCTCGGATGTGATACCAATTTTTCCTGCGGACCGACACTGACCGACCATTAACTTCTGGAAGGTACATACCCATCTTCACATGCCAAATTCGATTGCTGCGACCCAAATCTTTTCGCTATCGGAAATTTCTGATGCGGGTTTATGATGCAAATGCTGAAGTACATGTACCTTCTATTCCGAGGCCTTCGTCGAGATCGATCGCGTCGTCATATCATTTATTTCTCACTAATTTGGCCTCAAAAAGCCCCCCCGAAAAGAAGTCTGCAAATTATCATCTTGCATAAACGACATTGTCACGCGCGAAAAAAGACGGAAAAAAATTGGTGCCCTCAAGAGGAGTCGAACCTCTGACCTCATCATTACTAGTGATGCGCTCTACCACTCTGTTTTTATTGTTAGCGACAGGCCCAGACCCGAGTTTGTGTTATTGTTTGAACTTACGAGCTATAAGGGCGTTTTGTGTCATGTGATATGTTTAAGAAAATTTTTGTTCGTATATATCTCCTCATGCTAGTGAGGCCGACGACGGACCGAGAGTGTACATAGCAAATCGATTGGTTCTACCTATCTACTGTTCCTTTTGTTTTGCACAGAGCAAATTTGTGGTATGGCGAAGAGCAAATCACATGCCTTTTCACATTGCCTTCGGGGAGCATCGAGGTCGAGTCATAACCATTATTTCCAATACAATATAAGCTGTTCAGATGCAGCTATATGGTTCTGTGCAGTTCCAGAGACCAAGACACGCCATGACACCATACAAAAGGCATCGCTATAACGTGTGTTCGAGAAGATTCAAAACATAACATGTCAACCCCTTCGATCTTCGTCTCGTCTGCATTCCCTCGTTCAATCCTCCTTAAGACACGCCATTCGCTCCTGCAGCATTTCCATTCACTCCACCAGTATTACCCTTTCGCTTTGCCTGCTCCTCTTTCTGCAACTTGATACTCCTCTCCTTCAGATCCTCACAATAGTCCACCACTCGCGCCTGTAAAGCTTCTCCGAATTTCTTCTTCATCGAATTGGCTCCCAGCCCACTAAACGTAATCCACGTTCTGTATTTGCACGTCTTGCCGTCTTGCGATTCCTCAATCTCGTTGACGCGTTCCGTCTTCAGTATGAACGACGGGGCCAGCAAATTCGCATTATCCAAGCACCATCGTATCCTCGTAACATTGCCCCCAGACTCATGGCTCTTATGGCCGTCATTTACATGTTTCAACGGTTCGAGATGTCGACAGACTTCTTTGCTGGACTGGCGTTCTTCGCGTGTCATTTGGACCGTGAAGGTCATGAAGGTTCCCTGTTCCATTTTCAAGGTTCTGGAATGGGGATGTGGATGTTTCGTCACGAGTACGTCGGGCGTAAAGGTGTTCCATTCCCGCCAGTCGTGGATGTCTATTATGGCGTTGTAAGGGTGGACGGGAGGGGTAGGGATGTCGATTTCTGCGTAGACGGACCATTTACCGCCGTCGGGAATGGTGGGTGTTATTCTGGGGCCCAGGTTGACGTTCGAGCGGAAGTGGTGGTCTTGGTAGCTGGGACCTGTATTTGGAATGGCTTTCGGACTGGGTGCCATGCTGCGATGTATTGAGAGCGTTGAACGATGGTCGTGGGTAGAAGGTGGACTTGGTCCTCGCGTTGTGGTCGATGCTTCAATGGACAGACATTGAAGTGATCTTAGAGACTGAGCAGAGGCTGGGTCAGCCGGGTCTATCAGGGCAACGACGTCAATTGCAGGGGACCTCGTTGATCCAAGTTGGCTGTCACAGCTGTCTTGGATATTCACTTCACGGCCCCTGCTCTTCGGATCTCGGCTGGATCGCCCACCAGGTTTGAGCTAATCCCCACAATCACATGGCCGCCGCTTAGCTAAGACCTGACCTTCCTCCACTTCCATGTTGGCCTGCAGTCCTGATTTCTTATTGACAACATCATCCATCTCGAACACCGCACCACATCTCTACCCACACACATCTGCGACATGGCGTCGCCGCCGGCCGGCTCACCGCCAAGCTCCACGCCTCTCGCCCTTCCCCGCCAACGTCCAGGTGCTCCCGGTGGACTCTCACTTGCACTGCCCAAGAGTCGAAAACCCTCTCTCGCACCCTCCACGGGCTCGGCGCATCCCCTGCGGCAGACCTCCTTCCCGCCGCCCGACAGTCTGGAAGCCCAGCATCAGGCGGCAGAAGACCACGCGCTGCGCGAATTCTCTCCGGGTGACGGCGAAGACCTAGACGACATTAGCGATACCGAGATCACCAGCGCCGTGAGCGGCCCAACCGGAGATGCGGCTTTCGTGGGCCAGAAGCGCAAACGTGGCGGCGAGAAGAAAGGTCGGGGGAGACATACGAAGAGCCAGAGCGTGCGCATGGGAAGCGCGAGCGTTGTGAACGGGGATGATGGAAGATCGACCACCGCAGGGAAGAGGGGAGGGACTGCAGGCGCGGCTTCATTAGTAAATGGCGAGGCGGAAGATGATGAGGATGACGAGGATGAGGGCGATGTCGGCGTTAATGCCGCTGATGGAGCTTTCAATGCCCAAACATTGGAGCAGGATAACCAGCGACGATACCTGTTCCGTGAGGCCGTGAACCAGGACCATCAGGACAGATATGATGCCTACAATCGGGTCAAACTAAAGAACTCCGATGTGAAGAGGCTGGTCAACCAGACACTATCGCAGAGTGTGCCGCCGAACGTTATTGCCGTCGTGCAGGCGTACACCAAGATGTTTGCTGGGATGCTGATTGAGGGTGCGCGGGAGGTGCAGACTGAGTGGATGGCTGCGTACCCAAAGCGGCCAGACGATGGAGACTGCAGGGCCTATAAGAGGCTGAAACTCATGCAAGAGGAAGCGGAGGAGGAGGAGGAAGAAGAAGAAGACAAAGTGGAGGAGATTGAAGAAGGCGAGAAGGATAAGCAAGCCCCAAAAGAGAATGGTGAGAAGATACCCAACGGCCAGCCGTCGTCGCCCGAAGACGTCAAGCCCGTCAATCTCGATGCTATCGCGGAGAGCGATCCCAGCAGACCTTCGAGTAGCTCGAAGACCCAAGACACTTCACAGACGCAGCCGGACAGCCAGACAAATGGACAGCCGAACGGCACATCGCAAAGCCAAACCAACGGCGAGAAGAAAACGGAAGTCGACGAGGATGTGCTCGAAGACCTTGACTATGCTCAGCCTGGGGCATGGGGCTTATCAAAGTACGTGGATGAGTGCGACCGAGGACCTCTGCTACCCGATCACCTGCGAGAGTCGTTACGGCGTTACAAGAAATCACGTGGCGGTGGTACGGTTGGCTTTACTGCTATCAGTCTGGAGAGGCCCGAGGTCGCAGCTCCCAGGATGGGAGGGAAGCGGTTGTTCAGATAAGGGCGTCGTCGACTGGTATACATTCTTTCATAGTGACCACGAGAGATGTCCAAGACACTCAATTAATATCGTGTTGATGCCATTCATCATTCACCAGAACTGTGCTATACACGCTCGTACGAATATGCACATATCCCTTTCATACACTGCAAACCGACCATTTGTACAAGACGACCCGTAAAGCTCCTTGCTGAAAGCCATCACCATCTCGTCTCACGTTCTTCGAGTCTCCAGCACCTCACCAATTCCCCCTCCGGCCAACCTCCTCCCGACAGTCACTGCCTTTCCGTAAACACAATATCCACATCCCCCAAATCCACCGTAAAATGATCTTTCGTCTCCTTCAACAACCTCGTCCCATCCTCTCCCGGTGCCAGCTTCACATCATACGTCATCACCAATCGCGTCGTCAGCGTCCGGAGTTCCATGAGCGCGAGATTCTTGCCGATGCAACCAAAGGGGCCCATGGAGAAAGGGGCAAAGGCGTCTTTATGTTTGACTTTGGATTCTTGGGAGTACCAGCGTTCGGGGATGAAGGAGTCTGCTTCGGCGTAGATGGATTCATCTGTTTTGAAGAAAATTGGGAAACAGGTTAGCTCTTTTGTGGTGGTGAGGGGTGGAGATGGCGGCATACCTCGTCCCATGACATATTGCGGTGTGATGAAGGTGACGTTGCCTGGAATCCAGGTGTCGCCGACTTTCATGCCTTCGGGGGGAGTGAGTCTGTTGACGCCGGAGGGGACCGGTGGGTGGAGACGGAGGGCCTCGTTGATGCAACCGTTCAGATGCTCGCAGCCGCGGACATCACTTTCTTGCCATACGCCCTTGGCGAGGATCGGTTCGAGTTCTGCGCGTAGCTTGCGGACCTGTTCCGGGCTCTGAGCAAGGTAGTAGAACAGAGAAGTGAGGGTTGCGGCTGTCGTGTCACTGCCCGCCACGATGATCAATCGAGCGTCGGCCTGCAACATGATGTCCTGTTCTGGATTTGGCACGTCCTTGTATGCTTTGAGTAGCCAGCCCATGATGTCTGAGTCCCGCTTCTTCTCTCCGGCATTCTTCACTCGCCAGGTCAGTTCGTTGGCACAGAAGTTGACGAACTTCTGGTAGCCCGCAGACAATCCAGGAATCTGGGTCAACATCCGGAAGAACCAGCCTGGTAAGCGGTATGCAAGTGGTTGCATTCCTTCATCCAACATCTTCAACTCGAGCGGCTTCTCGCCCTTGTCCAACATGCCGTAGTCCCTGCCGAACGCTAGAAGCCCCATCGCGTCGAAGGAGAACAGATTGAACCATTTGGTGACATTGACCGGCTTGCCACTGTGTTTGCCAATCTGTTCGATCAGCTTCGTGTTAAACTTTTGAATCTCGGTCTCGTAGTCCCGGAGAGCTTTCTCGGAGAAAGCAGGAGCCCATACTCTTCGTCGTCGATCGTGCAGACCCTTGTCGCGGGATGTGTGCATCGAGGTCAATGGCTTGTCATTGTCGTACCAGATCGCCTTGGTGACTCGAGACTTGTTCCCGTAGGCAGCTTCCATGGCATCGGGATCGATGATGGATATGTCGTTGGATCCAATACGGACGAACTTGCCATACTTCTTGTGTGCCGCTTGCAGCCAATAGTAACCATCTGAGTTGCCGAGCTGAGATGAAAGCCATAGATTCGAAATTCTAGCTTGAAATGGTCCCGGAATTCGGTTCAATGGATTGAGGAACAGTCTGAAGAACAGGCAGTTACCATAGGCTCCGACCAGGAACGAAGCAGCTATTGCCGAGCTCAACACCGCAGCCGCTGGCACATCAGATGAGTAGCCCTTGACCAGTCCAACAGCCAGTCCAATGTAGGCGGCCAGAAAGGTGAACAAGTAGGTAAATGCATACATGTGCGTCTCGAACCGATGAAAGTAGGCCCAGAAGATAGCCGTGCCCGCGGCAAAAGCCGCCAAGCTGGCTGTCGCTGGGGAAATCTCGCTCCCTGTGCTGGACGACATACTGAATGTTGACTTGACGGAGGCAGAACTCTGTCTCCATCCTTCGGGATACAACGAGGGTTTAAATCCAATGCATCTGGAGCACCCCGCCGTCGTGAATCCGGGGCCCCGCACTCGCCCTGGCCTCGCTCTATTCCCATTCGAGCTTTGCCCGTGCTTGCCGATCCTTCTGGGAAACCTTAGACTTGCCGCCCGAAACCCTAATTCCGTTCCCCTTGCGAGCAATACCACAATACGACAGTGACGTCTGGTCCATCAGCATGGAACCGTCCGCCTTGGTCGAGGCTGTTGATGAAAGGCGCATCGCGGGCCCAATGGATCACCACGAGTGGTAGTCGAGCTTCAAGGACGTGATGCCGGCCGAAGGGACCCGAGACAGATTGTGAGCCTGGCCGAAGAGAACTCTTCCAGTGCAATCAACCTGATAATGTGCTACTGTCCTGCGTTGAAGATCGGCGTTGCTTAAGCTGTACAACTGCAGTGTTTCAGCAACGCAATTGCCATTCCAGGACTACCTCGCGTTCGATAAGCGTTGGGCGGAAGGTTGTTGCGTGACGAGTTGCCTCGTTTGTCCTCATCAAGTCCGGATGATCTCTTTGCCTTGTTGTTGTGACTTTACGGGTGCGTCTTTCTCGACATCAGTTGTCCAGTGGCTTGATAAGGCTATCGAGTGATGTGCTTTTTGTCCCATTCCACCTTGGACTGCACGGAAATAACGATGAGTGTACTTGGACCCATGAATATCCGTCACTGGACCGGCTAAAGCGGCTGTTTGGGCGTTCTTGTCTCAGAAGCCGCTTGGGTGTGTTCTTGACCTTATAGTAAGCAGATGATAGTGCTGCAGGAAGTCGGACGAAAGGAGGAAGCGAGGTCACGTCGCCGTTGAAGTTGAGGCCTGTCCACGGCTTCTCTCGGACAACAATGTTCGAGCCCCAGGCACTGCCTAGGTTAGGTATTAATAACATCTCCTAGGTTGCGATCTGAATATTTGCCTCACCTCCTACATGCCCTCGGCGACATACCAACACAGCCTCTCACGTCTCGCAAATAATTCGCCGACACCGTACCTTTCGAATGCCATACCGCTGACGGAACTCGTCCCGAAGCGCTCGCATGCCGCTTTTATCACGGTGGGAGTTGCGTGCGATATGTGATTCATAGGAAGTTTGCCAAGGCTATTCGTGATTGGTTCAATTCCAAACCAGGAGATATCTGAATTCCTGCCTGATCTCGATATTCTCCTAACGCCGTTAACATGTCGACGTCGCACGCATTGCGTTGCGAATTATTGAACCAATAAGACGGAGGTCAACCACTGTATAACACGACACCAGGAGCCCAAGAAGAGCTCAAGCCGGATTCTGACGGGCGATTCTATGATTCCGGGCCGCACTCAGCTTGCATGGCCTGACAATCATCCGTGAACATGAACGTTTGTTGTTCCCTACCACTTGCTTCAAGACCGCACTGCCCTAGGAGCCTTCTTCCTCGCAGCCATCTTGTTCGTGGGATTTTCTCGCAAGTTGTGCCCGACCTCAACTTGGCACGAGTCGGATACATCTCTGGTATATACAGCATGGGCTCGTGCTTCTGGTTTCTTTATTGTCGGTGTCATCACGAGGTATACGGGTGACTACAAATACTAGAGCCTTCTCTTCGGAATGCCACTCACGACCCTCGGCGTGGCGCTCACGATCGCTTTCTCGCCAGCCGGACGTCAACGTTGGCAGCATCATCATGTGCCAACTCTTCATCGCGTACCCGTCATCAACACCAGCGAGGATGCTACAAAAAGAAGAATCGCCATCGACCAATTCAACCCTACCAATCCCGACATCGATACAACGTATCAGAACCATCCTGTGCTCCAAGATCCCTGCTGGTCATTCCAGCCCGAGACGCAGACGCCTCGCCCTCGCCCTCGCCCTCGCCCTCCTCAATCACTTCCTCCCTCTTTCCACTCGACGACGAAGAAGAAGAAGTCTCCACCTTCGCCCCACCAATCGTAAAGGCGTGATCCGTAGAAGCCCTCCTGCCACTCCCCGGAACCGGAGGACTGATGTGCCCTTCTGGGATCGAACATCGTCGATCACGGGGGAGTTGGAAGTGTAGTTTTTCCAGAATCGTGTCCCCGACGCTGGGTTTGTGGCGGGATGCTGGTTTGCCTTTGTTGAGGGGAGCCGAATCGCTTCTGCCTGGGAGGACGTGTCTTTCGCCCGTCTCGTCTCCCGTGCCGCCGTCGCCGAAGAGTTCGTAGTCGATCGGTCTTTCCCCTGCTTGGCTTGTGGGTGATGCCGCGTGTTGGAGTGGTTGTGCTTGGGCTTCTGCTGAGGCTTCTGGCATGGTGCTGAGCTTCTGTGCTGTTTGAGGTAGAGGGAGTGACTATATTCTCGCAATCCAGATGTGTGTGCCTATGGGCTTTTGATCAAGAGGGTTGCTGTTTCTGGTTCAATTGTGGGTTCGAGGAAGTAGAGATGGCTAGTTGCCAGGTATATCTTGACGATATAAGTCGGCGCTTCCCCCGACACGCTCTGCATTCCACGGGACCTGATGGCGTGAGTAGGTGGTACAGAGCAGTCCAATTACACAGCTGTCGTCGATTACCAAGGTGGCGAGCCACACTGCTTTGGGGGTTATCAGTGGAGTCATACGGTCTCGTGATGCAGCCCTGCAGACATCCTGGTCCTTTCTTGACGCGGCGAGAGCCGTAGCCTCTCACCAGCATGATGCAGCAAGCGCAACGGGGAAGATATGCGGTGAACGGTATTTAGCCCACGTCCTGAGAGCAAACGGAATGAGCTCATTCTCCAAAAAGCAAAGAGTTGACATCGTTTTGATTCCAATATCCCAACTGCGCCAAAACCACGCACATCTGGAATATTCTGCAAATTTCAATAGACACGTCACCAAGACCCGCGGTTCACCATGAAATAATTGTCCTCAGACAGACGCTGTCTCTGTTTCCCAGTCTCATCGGTACGATAGCCACAAAAGTCGCAACCTTGTCTGGGTGTAGACTCATGGTCGTGACCGTGCTGCTCCGAGCAATCTGACATGAGCCTGGAGAGCAGCGACGGCCGACGTTGATGGTATCTCTGGTGGTCTGGCCCCCCCAGTCAGCAACAATTGAACTGGACAATACTTCGGGATCTGAGACGGACCTTGCGGTTGTTCTGAAATCCACGTGGCGGGAATCGCCTCGTTGCTGTGTTCCTCTTCTAACTTGATCTTCTGAATGGGAGAGCCAGAACCTCTCCTCGCACGAGCCGTGGGCAGCAGGGAACCCGATTCTGCCTGTGCCAATTTCTCGTCGGTAGTACGTCCGCGAGGCTCTTCGGAACCATCAATGGCGTTTTCGTCGCGGGCAGCAGGTCGAATTTCATCAGCAGGGCTTGTCTTGGGTATGGTAATCTGCTGCGGATTCTTGGTTTCGTTGTTCATTGCGGCGGCGTATGGATCGTAGATCATAGTTGTGCTTGCACACTTGCAATTGACGACGGGTGGGTCCCCCACAAGAGACTCCAGCCTTTTTGTAGTATCCGGCCATTCTCTGCGGAAGCTTGGCCTGTCCCGGGGAATTTAGGAGATGTGTGGGCAGCTCACCTGATATCTCTCCTAGATATGCGTCATTCTGCACCCTCTCCAAAACGGCCATGCAAGTCGACAAACCGGTCTTGCGAAGCTGAGGTGCTACGCCAATACATACCTACGGCGATTATTAGGGGACTGCTACGAATAGCGGTGGCTTCAATTGCTGGAGCCTGCCTGCTGAGCGGACATCGATCCGGTCGGACAGGATTCCGTCATGTGTGGCCTCGTTTCCCGGTAGAAGACGTGGCATGCATTTCCAAGGTCGTCGCTTACCTCTCCGATCGACAATTCCGCTCGTAGTCTGCAAGCAGATTATCATATGTGATGTAGATGTGTCTTCAGTTTCGAAGAAAGAAACAGATACCCGAGTTGATACGGTTGAAATCGGCGCTAGCGCCAATTCGACCGCCCGAGTGAATAACCGGTTCCCCGAGCGAGCCGAGCACTCTGTATACATCCATCCCAGTCTTCTTCTACTTTCACATCCTCACGACCATCCACCCAAACAGACAGAGAACCAACACCTCGACCAACAAGCCTTACCTTACTCTTGCTTCTCTCAGTAATGTCTCTTCCGTGGCCCGATGGCGACAACCAGTGAGCTCAGCCCGCACGTCCTCGTGCCGCACTCCGTAAGCGACGATCGCGTCCACAAACTCCGTCATAGGAGCGTAAACAAGGCATGTGATGTACACGGCAATTTCAAATCGACAGATACATGAGATTCGTCCTCATCAAGCGACGGGATCCCTTCTCTCCTTCTGTTGTTGTCGTTTCATTCCTACTCACCACCGACAAACCAAGACAAAAACAACCCGACCATGGCTTCAGCAGACCAAAAAGGTACCTCCCCCCCCCCTCCACACACCCTCCCGCACTGACACACACAACCCCCAGGCCTCCTCTCCCCCATCGGCGACCCGGTAGGCAAAGTCCTCGACTTCGGCCTCGGCAACACCGTGGGCAAAGTCACCTCCAAAGTCGGCGACCCCCCGGGGGAAGCCCTCACTTCCGCCAAAAAAGTCGGCAAGAACGAAGTCGCATATTCGGAAAAGGATCGACCGAGAGAGGAGTTGGGCGGGGAACCGATCGGTGGGCAACCGCAGACGGCGGAGAATCCGCTTGGGTTGTGAGGAGATACTATGTGAGGGATTGGTGTGAAGTGAGGCGTGGTGGATGAGGCGTTGAGAGTAAGAACGATCTGACGACAGATGGGTTTTGGCATTTTTGAGGATGTTTGGGGACGTTTGGCAAGAGATGTTTACAAGTGTTGAGAGAATACGAAACCAGTGTGTTTTTTTGACAGTTGGCAAGAACATTGCTCGCGGCTTGCTTCTCGGCACTGTCCATTGAGAGCCCATAGTAGTGCTTCACTTGCACATACGTACGAACATACTCGTAGTGGTAGGTGACTCTTGGAGAGAGCCACTCGGCCATATCCCGGTCATCTTTGGACTGGTTGACATTATCGGTGACAGCAAGAAGTTGAGGGCGGGTGATGCTAATGCAATCATTAGTCCTCAACATCAAAGCAGCCTTTGCCAGAAGTCGGACTCACTCGTTGGCGAAGGACTCTCTCCTCAAGACATGCCAATTCCTGGCGCCAAACACCCAAGCAGTCCCAACGCAACAATATGATCGACATCGACGTCCGAAGCAGCGGTCCAGGTCACGCCATCACAATCGCTGTATCAGGTTCCGAAGGTCGATTCGCACGCGTTATCGGTGACGACACCAGAGCCACCACGCTGTAGAACGTATTCTTTCGTGTTGCAATTGCCGCTGATGGGTGTCCCAAGTCTTGAAGTAGTCGCGCTCGTACGCCGGGCTGTTGGAACCTGCCTCAACGGTAATCTCACTCTAGTACGAACGAACGGTAGAGGCCGCGATGGGTGATGGGAGGTTGCCTCTGCGGACGTGTTCGTCGACTGGGGCGGCAACAGGGCTGCTCGCAGCGGTGAGGACGGCGAGGATAGACGTGAGGTCCATGTTAAACGCTTCTTCGAGCTCTTGAGTCGTTCTCAGAAACACCACCGCAAGCCGCGAAATGTAGGATCTAATGACATTCCAGGACCTGCACTCGTAGCCACCATACCATATTTGACGGCGAGGCGAAATGTTTGGTTGGCTGTCAAACCCAAAGTAGCTGTTCTGCGTTGCGATAGCAGATGAACCCCCGTGGCCGACGGGACATCTGGGCGGCTCAGCTCTCGTGCCAAGAATCGTATAGTAGCAGCGTTCACGAGCACACCAGTTCTCCAGCCTATCGCTGCTCAATATTTGAACTGGGTGGAATATGCAGGGTCCACGGAAGGCAAGGGCTGCTGGCTCGAAACGACAAGTTCGGGATTGAGAAACATATCCCACTCGAAGGGGAAGTCCAGATTCGCCCAGTCGACGTTCGGCGCATCCGACAGAGTGCTGCTTGGGCCGGCAGACGGATGGTCTGTGAACGGTGGTGTCTCCGGCACGGCATTCAAAGCCTCCAGTTCCTTCTGCTTGCGCTTCCGTGCCATGGTGATCAGTGCTGTTGCCTGGTTGTACGCTTCGCGACACATGTGTGTATCGTAGGCTTGTGCAATGTTGTGCATGAGCTGCATTACCTCCTGGATATGGGCGAGGCTACTAGGCGTGCCGACCGATATTATGACACATAGGAACTGGAACGGACTGCATATGACATTCCACCAAGGCGTTTTGCTTGCCAGTAGCTTGGTAGAGGCGGTCAAAGCCGATTTTCCAATTCCAATGACGGTGTCGGCGCGGTCTTTGGCATCCGTCAAACTCATCAGCCACAGCCTGCGGTAGATGGCGAAAGCAAGGTCGGCCTTGAGCATTGCGATGAAGTGCGATTCAGTCTGCATTGCGTCGATCTTGGAAAGCGCAGCTCCTAGGGCTGCAGGCGGGTCAGGCTCACGGTCACGGTCGACGAAGTCGTTCGGAAGCAGATCAGCCAGCTCAACGAACTGGTGAGCGTGAGTGCCGTGTTCTGCCGCGAACTTTTTGGTTGTTACGACGTCGAAATTCACCCTCGTTCGGCCATACTCAAAAGACAAGATGGTGTTCAGCGCACGAGCGATCCAGAAAAGCCGCCTCCTCGCCTTGACCAGTTTGTGATCAGCCGTTGTGGGAGGATACACGACAGCGATTGTCTGGATTTCCTTATGCAGGCCACTAGCCTCCACTTGATGCATTGCGATACAGCTGGAGATCCAAGAACCGTGCGGTCGGCAAGTCAAACGCAGGTAGAGTGTTCTCAGGATCCAGCCAGCGACATGATTCGGAGTTGGTGCGTTGCTGATGCTTCTCTGAACGAGGATTCTGCGTGCGTCCACGAAGAATTGCTCCTCATTCAGGTGTGGCGTGGGTGAGAAGAAGGAGCCCAGGGCAGCTACTCCGAAGGCGACGGAATCGATATCTCGATCCTTGGTCCCAGCAGGATCACTGAAGCGGGCAGAGACCTGCTCCAAGAACTCTGCCTCGTCCAGCAGGCCGAATTCGGGCTTGACAATGCGAAAGTACACACTCGCCAGGGATTGCATGTCCTGCCACGAGATCTGGCTTGTGAGTTCTGGTAATGGCTCCACAGGCTCAGCACGTATTCCCAGATGCCAGGCGAACGAATGTAGTCTTGGGATACTGTCCGATTCCAGATCCATGCCGAGGATGCGAGGGAAGGCGAGGGCAGAGTTGGCTCTCACGAAGCGAGTCTTGACGGGGTCGAGGATTCCGCGGTGATGGAAACGAGCACCGGGTGCGGTGAGCGGGTGCTTCTGTAACTGGATGATGCTCGGCGGCGTCTTTCCAATGGCTTGTGGCGGCGGAGGCTCGTGGACCACGTCTGCATTATTGTTCTGTGCGACCGAGGACCTTCGTTTCGCACTGTGGGCGTATTGGCATTGATACTCATAGCGCACGCAGGTAGCGCACGGTAGCTTGCCGTCACTGTTCCAAATCGTATGGTCAGAAAGCGAACATATCGATTGCGGGCCAAGATGGAATGCTTATGTACCATTTTCGCTTTCGTTGCCGACATGGAGTGCAGGCAGCTCGACTCCGCTGTCTGCCTTGTGGGGCCTCAGGCGTCTCTTCGTCGTCGGGACTCAACGAGCGCTTGGTGCCTGCTGTGCCATTTTCCGCCGCCATGACCGGTATTAGTATTCATCGGTTGTTCGTTATTTTAGTGGAGTGGAGGTGATGAGGAAGGTCGGGTATCGCGGTGCGCAGAGAGAGCGAGAGCGGCAAGAGCGGGGCCCATGTTCTAGGTTCTACTCTCAGTAGTCATCTCCTCCTCCCCAGCCTACCTACCTAGTACCTTTTACGGCGCCGAATCTCCATACCTGGGTCCTGACTTCACAGCAAAAGCAGCATGCCTATGAATTGAGTCCTCGGAGAACTGAGACTATCATTCTCAGTCCTGGAGCTTTCACCAAAGGGACGAGTCATTCCGAACATGCGGCGAGACCGGGTATTTCCGAAATCACGAGAGCGTATGAAAAGGGTACTTGTACGGGAATGAGTGAGCAAGCAAGCGATGAAGGGGGCGCACTGCATGAGCGAGGAAATTTTACAGGGGACTGGGGCTGAAAAGCACGCTCAAAAGTGTCGCTATGATTTGATTGCATTTGCATCTCGTGGCTAGCTGCTAGAGTGGTGGCTTCCAGAGCTCACTTTCCCTTTCCGTTTCCGTTTCCGTTTCCGTTTCTGCGCTTTTTATACCGAGGTAGCATCTCGTTCCTCCCTGTTGTTTCATCCCGTCGTTTCGTATCTTGTAAGCCTACATGCACATCATCATTTCCGGGTGCTACGCCAAATCCAGAGCCTTCGCTTTCCTTACTTTTTAAACATCAGTGCCGTCGACTACCATGCCCTTCTTCCAAGTGTAGCACATCTTGCGGGCAACCTCTTCGGCAGAGTCGTCGGAGACTAAAGCTCCGACCATGTAGAGAGCGCCGTCCATGCCACAGGTGACGCCGCTGGTGGTGAGCACACGCAACCCACCCAAGCGCAGATTGGCACGCTTGAGGACGCTCTCACGACGCGAGTTGCTCATCTTGAGACTCATGCTTCCCTTGCGGGCCGTCGAGGGACGATGACCGTTCGGGAACTGAGTCACGCCGTTACCGTTCTCGGCGATCGGAGAGATGGCTCCCGCCGAGCTTTTGCGGCGCTTGTGTTCCTTCAGCTCCTTCCTACTCATAATGTATGGGTTGTCATCCCCATTCTCGCCCAGGTCGAAGCGAAGGTTGTTGACGACGTAGCGCTCCTCGACGACATCACAGCGGTCGGCCATGTCACGCTGGGCGGCATTGGAGCAGATGATCTCGAACTTGGTGACGTGGTCGGGATGGGTGGTGGCCGTAAGACCGCTGAGGATGCCCGTCTCACCCAGAAGGAGAGAGCCGGTGCAGACCGACATGAGGGTACGCTCGCGAGATGGGTTCTTCTTCTGGAGCTCAGTAAAGGCTTTGATCATCTGCATTGGCTGGGCCTTGGCCTTGATGAGAGCTTCGACATTGCCGCCGGGAATGACGAGCACATCGATCTCCGACAGACGCTTCATAGCCTCTTCGTACGATAGATGAGCGCGCAGCGAGGCACCCTGAGCAGTGACCACTTGCTCCTGCGGTCCCGCGAAGATAGTGCGGAAGGCTTTGGTGTCTGAAGTCCTGCATTAGAGGCAAGTGTTCGTACAACAAACTCGCGTGGTGCTGACCTGGGTTCTTGGGATCATGCTGGGCCATCCCAAAGACCTCCAATGGGCCAATGGCATCCATGGAGTCCATGTTGTCGTGCAGGGTGATGAGGACCTTGAGAGGCTCAATGGGGCCCTCATCAACGATTGCACTCATCTTGCCGGTATTGCTGGTTAGAAAGTTTGGTGTGGTGTTGGTATTTGGTGGTGTATGAAGGAGGATTCAGGAGAAGGAAGTGAGCTGAAAGAGCGAAGAAGTATCTTGGAGGGTGAAGGGTGGTGTGAGGGGTGCGTCGATGTGTGGCCTGTCCAGTCACCCCGTGAGGTATGCCAGTCTCGCGTGACCTCAGACGCCAGAACGCGGCCAAAGCTTCCAAGCTCTCCCCGCATTCTGGGGTAAGGGACCCCGCTAATGCATCATGCGGCTAGGGCCGTCCGGCATTGAAATGTCGAGCACGTGAGGCCGTCACCGATGATGTGCCGTCGAAGAGCAGGCCAATTGCGAATGGTCATGCCGTTGTCTCCTTCAGGGCAGCGACATGGCTTCACGCGCGACCAGCAGATCTCTAACCCTTCTAAATCGCCTGAGAGATCGTAAGGAAACCATCATCCATGATTTATATAACTATTGATACGCTGTCCCAGCGCGCTCCCTTCCCTTTCGTATCGATGGACGCTGATGACTAAATCTACTACTTAGCCCACTCTGCACTCTCCTCTGAACAAACCCTTCCTGTTCCGAACTCTTGATCATCCTGCTGCGTCTGATTCTTGCTTCGAGTGCGGCGACATCGTCAATGTCGCTCTCACTTGAGATTCTTGGCTGCAGCACTACATCCTCATATAGTGTTATCTGCGATCGTAGTGGGCTTTTCTTGAGTGTTGCAGTGCTCGTAGAGCTCGAGCTTCTGCTCGATAGAACGGGCCGAGGTGCTTCTCCGCTAATGCTGCGGCTGTAGATACTGGAGAGCGAGTTGGAGGAAACATTGTTGTCGCGGTTTAGTACGGCAAGGTTGCCGATCGTTAAGACTGGTGAGGGAGGAACGACGCGGACGCTTGTCTGACTCGCGTTCGGACGGACGGCGTAAGCTCGTGCTGGTGACTTTGGTGGTGGGTGGACTGCTTTGTGCATGGCACTTTGCGTCCGGTACTTTGCTGGAAAGTAGGCAGGCAAAGGCGGTAGAGGCGAAGTAGGCGCCGGCGGCATCGACATTGTGACTTGCGAGCGAATCGATGACAGGGATGATCGTGGACGGAGGAGAGATGGTGTAGATCTGTTGGTCCCGTATATACCGAGACCGTGGGGTTTTCCGTCATCCGCAGGCAAGAGGTTCGAAGTAGATTCGGACCATCGCGTGGCAATGCTGAGGGATGAGAGCGACGTGGATGAGCGACACTTCAATGTCATATCAGAGAAGAGTCGTCGGTCGTGCGACGTTCGATAGGGGAGAAACAGAGGCAATAGATCGTCCTCTCGGATGAAGCCCAACAAATGACACCTGAATGGGTCGTTCACTTTGTGGAGCAGGATGAAAAGAGCGCTGCAGGCGATGCTTTTCAAGTCAGTCGAAAGCATTCGAAATTGTTGCACAATGCACTCACAGTGCGACCCAGCTCATGACAAGACCAATCCGGTTGACGGTGCATGTTGTGCCCCGATCAAGAGACGACACAGTCGAGTTGTTGGTCTCAGAGCTCCCAGAGCATAATGGTTGCCTTGCCGTGGTGAACACGATGCTAAGCATCACAGTAACGCCCCAGATGAACGTCAAACCCTCAAGTGTTCGCGTCGCAAGATTCTGATACGAGTCCACTTTTTCACCTTGCATTCGATTTCGCGCGTTTCTTCGAAGTCTGGTCGTCGCATTCTGAAGGCAGACGTAAGATAGTGAGACAATGCTCTGTGCTAGGTGTCAGTCGGATTCGGAACGCTCAGTATGATGACTAGTCCGTACCGCTACAAGAAGTAAGGCAATAGAAGGGATGTCGCTCTGAGGGACAGCTTCGACGCCGAGTATGTAGGATGTACTCGCAGCAACATAGAGGGCGCTCCAGAGCAGTAGATGTTGGCTAACAACAATGGCGACGCATCCAGGTGTCTTCGACCACGACTTGTTGGATCTTGAGGTTCCGGTTCTCGACGAAGCTCGCTTCTCTGGAAGATTATTGTATGCCATGGCGGACGCTATTCCTCTTCAACGGAGCGAGCTACTTGTGATGGTGTTGATTGCCGTGTCTCGCAGGACGGATAGCAGAGGGGATCTTTCATCGATTCCGTTACCAGCCATCACGCGCGAGCGCGTCACGCCGATAGTGGCGTGGAAGAGCATGCATGAAATACATTCCAGTGCTCGGCCGCGACTGTGCTCGGAATGTGGTATGCAAGACCACCGCTAAATTCCAAGCCAATGATCAGCGAGTAATAATTTCAAAGAGCAAGCGTTTGAATGTCATAAAACTGAGGGGAGGGAGAATAAGTCCATATCCATCACCTTCGCCCGAGATTGTTCTTAGCATGTGAAGAAGTTCTCGTTTCCCTCGTTGATCGAGCCTGACGGAGGGAGCGGCTCGAATGACTCAGCCAACACAGCCAAGGCAGGTGGATAAATCAAGCATGATCGATGTGACGCAAAAGCCATGAGTCTCGTCTAATCCGCATGGTGGCACACTAGGTCTTGGTCTTGCGATAGCACCACATATATCGCCGTCACTTCGGAAGTTGTCAAAGCACGTGGTGTTGCGCTCAAGTCGAAGTGTGCGAGGTTATGGAACGGCGCGTGAAATGAGCTCTGAATCTCCATCGCTCCATGGAAAACCAGACAATTTGAACGGGCTCCCGAACATCAAGGCTCAACGAGGAGGTGCCCTCCGATTGCTCGAGGAAGCGTACCGCCGATTTAGCAAGCCATCCGAGTCCCGTTCGTCGCGTTTCCAAACGAAGAATACCATGGCTCCTGTAATGTTGGAGCTGCGACGGCTAAGAGCAGGAGGATGGAAGGTGGCCGTTATGTATTTTTCAAGGTTGGTGTATGTGAAGGAGCTCGTCGCGTGTGATTTGATTTGGATGTAGAAGTACGGGCCAAGCGCCAAACTTGCTGACAAAGCCATCATGCCTGAGGCAGAAATGTGTTGGCACATCTTCGGACAACACGTCGCAATCTTCCTTCAAGACCAACACATGAATATCACATCCACTGCGGAAAGCCATATATTATTCCGGATAATCGTTAACAGCTGCCGACGCCTTGATTTGGTCCTGTATATAATCGACCAACCCGACGGGCACAGAGCTGCGATAGTGGCCATGCCCAGAATTCCAGTGCTGAATCCTTCTCAATATGCGTTACTCGGGGTAGCGTAGTCACATTAGCAGAGAGTATATTCGCTAATGAAAGCTCAATCTGCCCTCGTCGCAAGGTGTGACGCCTTGTGGATTGGAAGCCTGCAGCCCACCCTATCACTGTTCGTTGGTGTTCTTTCCGGCCCGTTCTACGATGCTGGATACTTCAAGGCTTTAACTATCATTGGCAATATCTCTGTCGTCTTTGGATCGATCATAACCAGTCTCTGTACCCAATACTGGCAGGCCATGCTAGCAAAGAGGATTACTTGCGGCATTGGGTATGGGATGTTGTTCACTCCCGGAGTCTCGATCATACCGCAGTACTTTGTGAAACAGAGAGTGCTCGCAAGCGGGCTGGCCGCGACTGGTAGTGGATTCGATATCTCGGATCCACACACATCACTGCAATGTTTTCTCTGAGAACGGATTGCAGGCGGTTTAGTATATCCAATCATCTTCCGACGCCTTCAGCCTCAGCTTGGCTTTGCTTGGATCGTCCGCATGATCGCCTTGCTGACTCTGTTCCTCTCGGAGTGATATCCATTGTGATCATGCGATCCAGGAACACCTGCTCTGGAAAATTCAGACGACCAATCGACCTTCACGCACTAGCCGAGGTCCCGTTCCTGTTCAACACCATTGGTCTCTTCTTTGCTTTTGCTGGCCTTTACGTCCCATACTACTATGTTGGCACTTACGCACTACACGAAGGCATCCCAAATCCGAATCTGGCATTCTACCTCGTGTCAATCATGAACGCGGTATCCATCGCCGGACGCATAATTTCCAATTTCTTGGCGGATAAGGCAGGACCATTCAATGTGCTCATACCATGCAGCATCATCGCTGGAATACTCTGTCTTTGCAGGGTTGCAGTCTATACCGCCGCCGGACCCATTTTTTTCTCGATGCTCCACGGATTCTTCTCTGGTAGCTTCCTTTCACTTCCTCCGACTACGCTAGCTGCTTTGACGAAGGATATGAGTATGCCCGGGACCCGATCTGGAATTGACTATGCCATCGCTTGCTTTGGAGTTCTGATTGGTACTCCAATCTGCGGCGCGATTTTGAGCAACAATGGAGGCTTCTTGGGTTTGCACATCTTTGGAGGGTGCTGCGTTCTTGCTGTGGCTACTTGCATTGGTGTTTCGCGAGTTGCGAAGGCTGGACGGATCTTCGGCATGATATGAGCAACGCTTTCCCTCCGGAGATGATGTTCACTGGACGAAGCCTGAGCTCTGATACTGGTGCATCCGGATGGCGGTCAGGTGTCAGTGTCAAGTGAATTGATACCCTGGTCATTTGTCGCTTCCGCATTGAACCGGACACGAACTCCAACCACCCTTCTCCTCGATTCAGTCGGACAGGAGCTGACAGGTAGGGATCTAGGCACCGTGTACTCCTTCAGTTTTCGAAGATGTCGTTCTCTCATGCGCTTCACACTCCCCAGGTTCTCCGCCTTTTAACCCTTGGCACAACCCCATTCAAGCCTTGGGCCCTTGCTCACTCCGCGCCGCACCAATAGACATGACGTGACTGCCAATGTTATGATGGTCTCATGATTTGAAGGATTCGAAGCCATAAAGTCAGTGGTTCTCCCATTCCGTTCGTCCTGGGTGTTCGCGAGCGTCATCTCTCTCCTTGTGAACAGTACACCGCTGACGGCTACTACCATATGCAAGCTCCATAGAGAGAGGTAGATCGGACATCGTCATGGAAGGTCAACCAGACAGCATCGCTCGCGACTTCCACCATGGCGACAGCACAGATGACGCCCGCGACGTAACGATCGATGGGAAGCATCAGTATATTGACGAGAATGACCCAGAAGCTGCACTCCAGACGATCAAGACCTCTGGGACCGGAAGCGTGACCATCTCGTCGGATCTGTTCGAAAGACTCTACCTGCAGCCAAAAGTCGCCGGACCACCGTTGAAACATCCATTGCAGAAGCTTTTCGGAAACCCAACGCCGTTGTAAGTGGCCCCATTGCAATTGTATCGAGTATTGCTGATCTCTGTCCAGAGCTATCATAGGCTTCGAGATGAGCCTCATGCCAATCACGATGCAATTGATGGAATGGAGAGGCTCAGGAGGACTTGGAGCCTCCGACAAGTGAGTCCAGGGCGTCCAGACCTTCTGTAATGCAAGGCTAATTCGGCTTCCACAGCGCACAAGTCATCTTCTTCGGTGGTGTTTTGATGTGGATTGGCGGGTTCCTAGAATTCTTGCTCGGCAACACATTTCCCTTTCTGGTGTTCATGAGTTTTGGTATGTCATGAAGATCAATGAGCTCGGTTGCCACACGCGCATTCGATGACTGACCTTGCATCCAGGTAGCTTCTACTGCAGCTATGGAACGACTTTGGTGTCAGCCTTCGACTCGTTCGCGCACTTCTCCCCCGATCCCGAGAATGATCCTTTCGCAGGCCTCAAGTCGCCCGAGTTCAATGCCAGCTACGGTATGGAAACCTCTACTTGTTGCCCGCTGACACTGCAAAGCTGATCCGCTGAATTCCTCATTTGAAGGTCTGTTCTGGGTCAGCTTCACCGTCTTGATGTTCGTGTTCTTTGTGTGCACGTTCCGCACGAACATCATCTACGTCTTGCTGTTCGCCTGCATCACGCCTGGATGCGGTTGCATTGCCGGCGCCTTCCTCAATCTCGCGGCGGGCAAGTTAGATCGCGCTCATGACTGCCAAGTGGTAAGCCTCGTCCCGCTCATGACACGTTGGCCGACTCCGAACAATGCTAACATGCTTGTTCTAGGCTGCTGGTGCTCTCCTCTTCGCCGCCACATCGATCGGATGGTATTTGTTTGCTGCCCTGATATTCCCGTCGGTGGACTTCCCTATCCCCGTTCCGCTCGGGGACCTGCAGCATCTCGTACCGGGCCTGTCTGAGCTTGCCACTGGCCAGAGGCAGAGACGTCCGTTGTTCAAGAGGAAGAGTTATGGTGAAGCCGAGGACGCTGTCTGAGTCTGGAGTCCATATGGTTATCGGTAAGGAAGGCCAGATCTGGCATTGGAAGTTTGAACGCTGTCCATGAACAATATTCGAATTCATCGAGAGGTAAAGATTGTAGCACGATTTTAATGGCGATGAATACCACTTGACCCCGACCAGGCCATGTTTGCTTTCATGTGGTCTATAACTCCTTGTATCCGACCCGCTTGATATGCTCGCGACCTGACGAGTCCCTGAAATAATGAGCAATGGAGATTGATGGTCTGCTTTGACTGATGCCCTTATCACCTGGGCAGAGAATATGATAGAGGAATCCCTGTCGAGCTGGTGTTTAGGTATAGCCCCCCTTTGAGTCGGGCTTATCCGCAACGTAGTATAGTGACTTGAGAAATATTAGACGTGTCTAAAAGTCCTATCCGCGGCTTCCGAATAATACTGGCCTATCGAAGAGACGTAGACGGCGCGGAAAGAGGATAGCTATAGGTTCGCGAGGCCAGCTATCCGTTCGCGAGGTTGGCTTTACGTTCGGGAGATTTGTAAAGGGAGGAAGAAGAGGTCATTCGGAAGGCGTATAGACGCGGTACTTTATCCATGAAACATTAGGTCACGTATAGGTTCTTTTTTCTGCACAAATCACAGATAGCCTTGGCGTGGCTTGGCAGGGTCCGGGCTGGACAATTATGTAAGCTGACGGCGGTCGCTCCCGCACTGACCTCCTCTCCCTTTTGCAATCCTTCGTTAGCACAAGTTGTTCGTTCGAAAGCGACAATCACCCGCCCAAAAACGCAACACTGAAGTGAAGGAGGAGCACCAAGGACGAATTCAGAAGATCATGATCAGAAAGATAACCCGGGACTCCGTCTAATGCTGCCCAAACAAGGAGGAAATGGTCTCATATATACATCTCGCGTGACCGACACGATTCCGAATTCATCACCGAGCGAGCCATGGCTGTGATGGAGTACCGCGTCCGGCACGCCCCACCTCGGAATGATCCGGCGTCCAATCCAACGACTCGACATCTAGGCGGTGATGAGCTTGCCCTCAGCGTTGAGCTCGATCGGTACTGGCGCAATGATCTCAACCTATCAAGGGGTTAGCACCGCGCTGGGAGGATCGGAGATGGATGTATACTCACGTTGGACTCAGTGGCGTTCTCTGGGGCGACGGAGAAAGTGACACCTGGTGCAAGGACAAAGCAGTCGAAGATGGCGTCCTGGCCGTTGACACTGAAGTCGACAGTGGCGGAGTCGTCGACCTTGGTCGCGTCAGAGATGTTGTATGGAACACCGACGCAGACGGCAGTCTCGTTGGCGCTGGCGTCCTTGTAAATCTCTGCGGTGATGCCGTCAAGGAAAGCGGCACGGATCTGTGTGGTTGTCAGCAACTGGGAATGGGCCAAAGCATGGCTGGATAGTTGCGTACCTCGTCCCAAGTGACGTTCTCGGCAATGTTCACGTTGCCCGAGATGTCGGTGGTCTTCGAGTCGGTGCGCTTGGTCGCCTTGGGCGTTTGGATTCCAAAAATCCTGTTGGCCCAGCGGGTGATGGCTGGAGCAACAATACCGGAGACAACACCACCGAGAACAGCAGCAGCGCCAGGGCCAATGACACGCTTGTCGAGAGCGTCACGCTCGTTGATGGGGCCGCCTGGACCGACACCGATAACGTCCTCGGGGGAACGCTTGTTGTTGATGGGCTGGCCTGGGCCGACACCAATAACGTCCTCGGGGGAACGCTTGTTGTTGATGGGCTGACCTGGGCCTACACCGATAACGTCCTCGGGGGATCGCTCGTTGATAGGCTTGCCTGGGCCCAGACCGATAAAGTCCCCGCTGTCCGCGAGAGGAGCGGCGGCGGCGAGGCCCATGAGGGCGAAGGTAACGGCGAACTGCATTGTGACTGTTGGGATTGTTTGTTTGGTGGTGGTTGAGAAAGAGTGGATGGTGATGGTGAGATGAGATGTTGGTGGTTGTTGCTGGTTGTTGCTGGTTGTTGCTGGCTGTTGCTGGTTTGGATGCTGTTGCGATGCTGTTGCTGATGATGAGATAGGAAGTGGTGATCTTGACGGTTCTTATATCTCTTCAACCGCACTGCTTGTCCCGTGACCTCGGCTATCACCTCATCGCCTTGGAACCGTTAACCTTGCAAGGGGTCAGTCATACTCTCCTCTATCCGTTAGCGCTACTAAGCATAGTCATGTGCGCTGAGCGTGCAATTTACATGCTGAGCGTGCAATTTACATACACGCTAAGGAATAATGAGAACACGAAGTGAGCCCGAGCAAGGTTATCTGTTGGAGATGGCGAGCGCCGCGCAGGGATGTCTCGCTGGCCGCAGTCTACAAGACTGTTCCTGCAACGAACGCAATTCGGCCAAGACGTCGGCTGTTTCTTTGAGCCATACTGAGAGTTTGGGGACTTTCTGGAGTAGTGCGGCTTTGCGCGGGCTACTGGACCGCTTCTTGGCTTGATCCTGGGCAAGCTATGGCTTCTGTCTCGGAAGTCGGCCCCCATCCACAGTCTAGCGAACAGTACGGATTAGCGAGATGTCCGAGTGTTGTGCCTCTGATGAATCGATGATGGCCGTTGCAAGCTAGCCGCCAGCCAAGGGTTCTGGAATTCTGAGGCTGTTGTCAAGGACTACGACGAAACTGATACTACCCTACTGCCCTGGGCCTTAGGCTCAACTGGCCTTAGGCTAAACTGGCCTAAGGCTAAGCTATGGCTCACTCACGGTGGCGTCTGCGCTTGGCTTGCACTGCCTTGTATTATTGCCCGCGAGCTCAAGAGTATGGTGGTCGAATTGAGTATGCGTCTATCAGATTGAGCATAGGTCTCTCGGATTGGAAGACTGGTTGATTGAGCAAGCGAGCAGTCAGAGGAGATGGGCTATGAAGCCTCCCGCGAGACTCATGAGAATGTCTTCCCCATTGGGGACGCATTGCCCACGATCTGGCTGTGCACAGGGTCCAGTACTCTTGTCGGGCCATCACTGTGCTTCGCAACTGTGTGATGGACTTGCGCCATCTCCACCTGCCAGGCTAGTGAGACTTTTCTGGATCTAGCGTTCACATGCGGACCTACGATGCTCCACACACACACACACTGGAGACGGGAGCACAAGAGACGCCATATGCAGTGCACGGATGGGGGAGAGGGAAGGCTGAGATCGCGACATCTATCGTCGGTCAAGAGGGGTCATCAAGGTCCTTGGCGATCTCGGCTATCTACTTCGGCGTACGATCGGCTAATTCTCTTGTGTCTCTGCACCTCGGCGGACTCAAGCCGCTTCCAAGACGTCCAAGAGGAATCGCTGTTCCACAGTACGAATCCAGCATCTTCACGTGGAGACCCCACTGCCAGAAACAACGCTGTTCGAGCAACAGTGTCCAATCTCAAACAAGTTCATGCCAGCACAGAGCATGTGCTCGACGTTGAGTAGGTGCGGATCTATGGAGGATCGACGGAACACAGTGCTCGAAAGCAATTCTCACCCCAGTCGACGCATTGCCTTGTCAGACGGTAAGACGTATCCCAGACGTATCAGCCCTATGGATACGCAATTGCGTTCCAGTCGATCGGGTCGCCACGAGCAGGAGTGCAGTTGGAGGCTGAAGCTACGCTCGAAGGCGCCAAGCCAGCTTCCCATAGGTGGCATGATTCGCTCTTGAACGAGTAAGCAATGCAAGGGAAAGCCACCCCAAGTGCTCCTGCTCTGTATCACGCCTTAGGACCAAGGCCCTTGTTCTACCCGCGACACACTGTACCTCGGCTGCCAAGTAGCTTGCCATTGGAGCCGGAATGCATGCGATTGGGCAACTGATCATTACTAAAGCTCTTGTTAGCTAACCACTGATCCCAAATTAGGCAACCTTTCACCCTAACGATTGTCTCGGACACAATCTGCTTGGCTAGCGATGTCCTAAGGTCTTCTGCGGCTCCATGTAGGCTGCAAGCATGTATCTGTTACACTCAAGATTCTCGGAAGACTACGCGATGTCGTCAAAGGTGCCGTGGACGATAGTCCCTGAAAACTTCAAACGCTCCGATACCAGTCCTAGGCTGTCTGTAGCAAGCCAGGATACGTGGGAAGATAACATGCCAAGGTCATTGGTATCTATCCGAGCCTCGTTCCGCCACTGGAACACTATCTGGGGATTTTTGGAATACTATCTGGGGATTTTTGGAATGGCGACTATGTCTCCAGACTTCAGTTGCTCGGGAACTTTACGAGCACGGAACGGACTGAAGTCTCGTCGTCCGTATGGCAGTATGGCAACATAGAGGCGTTTGCATGATACCCTATGCGCCTGGAAGATGCTATAAGAGTCTCCCGGTTCGCAGCCCCAAAGTCGATTCTCGAGACACAACAACAACCAACAACAACAATCATTACATTGGGCTCCTCTCGAAGCAAAAATGAAGGCTTCGGTCGCCACTGCCATCTTGGCCTTCTATGGCACTCACTCGTTTGCAGCTCCAATCGCGGAGGCTAATTACGGTACGATCTTCTTTACACGAGCTTGATCGCTCGCAGCTTGACCAGCACCTCAACATACTGACTCGCGACTCGTACAGGTGCTATCGCGCAGCGTGAAGCTGATGCGGAGCCCATCTTCGGTCTTCCATTCGGGATGAAGATTTTCAAGAAGATCTTCAAACTTGGGAGGCGCGATGCTGAGGCCGACGATTTCCTCTCTCTTGAAGCGCGCGATGCTGAGGACGTTGACGTCTTCTCTCTTGACGCGCGCGATGCTGAGGACGACGACGTCTTCTCTCTCGAAGCGCGCGATGCTGAGGACGACGAGCCCGTCTACGCTCTGGTAGCGCGCGAGGCTGAGGACGGTTCAATCATCTTCGACAACGAGGACTCTGGAAATGAGAAGCGCGGTCTCAAGACGCAAAAGACTATCTTTCTGATCGGCAAGACTGTCGAGGCGCTGTCCAGGAAAATCTTATCGAAGGTCACCAAACGCGATGGCGAGGACGATCTGGTCCTCTTCGAGGCTGACGACGCGGAAACTGGAAATGAGAAGCGTGGTGTTAAGACCAAGTTCTTCGGCAAGCTGCTCGGCAAGGGCCTCGGAAAGCTATCACAGAAAATCTTGCAGAAGGTAGTCGTCAAGCGCGATGGCGACGATCTGGTCCTCTACGAGGCTGACGACGCGGAAACTGGAAATGAGAAGCGCGGTGTTAAGACCAAGTTCCTCGGCAAGCTGCTCGGCAAGGGTCTCGGAAAGCTATCACAGAAAATCTTGCAGAAGGTAGTCGTCAAACGCGATGGCGACGATCTGGTCATCTTCGAGGCGGACGACGACGCGGAAACTGGAAATGAGAAGCGCGGTATTAAGTCCAAGTTCTTCGGCAAGCTGCTGCGGCACGTAAAGCTGTCCTCGAAGATTCTATCGAAGGTGGTGGTCAAGCGCGATGGTGAGGACGGTCTGGTCATCTTCGAGGCGGACGACGACGCGGAAACTGGAAATGAGAAGCGCGGTATTAAGACCAAGTTCTTCGGCAAGCTGCTCGGCAAGGGTCTCGGAAAGCTGTCCCAGAAGATTCTACAGAAGGTGGTGGTCAAGCGCGATGGTGAGGACGGTCTGGTCATCTTCGAGGCGGACAACGACGAGGCAAACGAGAATGAGAAGCGCGGTGTTAAGACTAAGTTCTTTGGCAAGCTCCTCGGCAAGGGTCTCGCAAAGCTCTCTACGAAAATCCTGCAAAAGGTGGTGGTCAAACGCGATGGTCAGGACGACCTGGTCTTCTACGACGACGACGAGGAAAGTGGAAATGAGAAGCGCGGTCTCCTCAGCAAGCTGGCCAAGAACAAGTTCATTAGCAAGGGTCTCGGAAAGCTGGCTACGAAAATCATCAAGAGCGTGATCATCAAGCGCGATGGTGACGGTGGTCTGATCATCTTCGACGACGGCGAGGAGACTGGAAACGAGAAGCGCGGTGTCAAGACAAACAAGATCGGCTTCCTGATCGGCAAGGGTCTCGGAAAGTTGTCAAAGAAAATCATCAGCAAGGTGATCTTCAAGCGCGAGGCTGAGGCTGAGGCCGAGCCCAAGATCGGCAAGCTCAAGATTGTCAAGGGTCTATCCAAGCTCGCAGCGAAGCTCACCAACGGGGACGAGGAAGAGGAGGAGCAAAATGAGAAGAGAGACGCTGTAGCCGACCCTCGCTTCAGAATTGGAAAGATTGGAAAGATCGGCATCAAGGTTGGCGCGGCTACTGGAAAGTCCATCTTCGGCGACGACGACGACGACGAGAACGAGAAGCGCGATGCTGAGCCAATCAACTTGTCCATCGACACCCCTTTGACCGACGATCTCCTCAGAATCGACAGCAAGCTGCTGGGCCATGTCTCGATTGACAAGCGCGATGCTGAGGCTGACGCCACGGATGGACTCCGCCATGCCGTCCACTGGTGGGGCACGGAGGGCCAGGAACACGGCCCAGTCAAAGTCGAGTAGATCATGGACGTCACTGGTCTTGCTGGCAAGGACAACGACAGCAGGCTGAACCCTCTGGACGGCAAGCTGAACATTTTCACGCAGTTGAGGATATGTGCGAATGCGGATACGAATACGGTTACGGATGCGGATGCGGATGGGGGATGGGGCATGGGCATTGGGATGGGGAATGGTTTCTTATGTTGGCAATGGGTTCTGAGTGAACGGGGATAGAGCTGTACATGTACTCCCGCGATGGTTCGATATCTCCTTATCCAATGGCTAGCTGGCCCTTCAAGCAACCTGATCCAATTTTTCCCTCTGCCTTCTTTCGACCTCTCTGTTTTGAAATTCCCGCTCTGAGACTCTGACTGAAATGATAGTACCAACTTGGACTGGAATAGTCTTATATACCAGACGCTGTCAATATGTATGTACACCATTTAACTTCACGGGAAAAGAGCACTGTAGCAACTTCTTAGCTCTTATGGCTGGTCGCGAGTCACCTCGTCCCTGATAGTACTGCACAAAGCTGGCAACTCATGGGTCCCACATGTACGACTAATCAGGACCAAAGAAAGATTTCATAGCAGGCCGAATGGAAATCCAGACGCCGACGCCTACATGAGTGTGTGGCGTGAGGCTAAGATGCGCTGAAGGTCGTAAAAAGTTTGTAGCTCAGAGAAAGGTTCGCATACAGCAGGCTTAGCAGTAGTCTGCACAGCCTTACCTCCATTCTAAGGCACTCGCTAGAGACAATGGCAGTGCCTGCCGGTTGATAAAGCAGCAGTCACTGTCTTCGAATGGAAGGGTCCCTGCCTCGCCTGTTCTGAATCAATACTTGAAGGACACCAAAACTACTCCGTGTTGGGGTCAGCAGGACGTTCCGAACTTTTGTCGCGCGCTGATTCGTAGGAATCTAAATAGACGCCAAGAGTTCGAACGAAATATGGATTGATCTAGAAGCCGGGCGCTAAATAGGCTCGCTATAACAGGGGCCCTAGTAAATCAAACTTGAAAGGAATCACGATCGAAGGAAGACAGTCACGTGAAGCGTGCGACAATTTGGAAGCCCTAGTACCTAGTCTAACACGAAGAGAGCAGAAACTCATCTCCATAGCTCGTCACGCCGTCACAATAGCCAATCTCGGATGCTTGCCAATGTCCTTCCATCCGGATAGTGCACACGACACGACACGACACGACACGGCACAGAAAGAAAAAATTTGCACGTCGAAGCGTTGGGGACGCGAAAGAAATCCGAATGCGAGACCGACAGACAGACAAGCATGCGAGAGACCGATGGTATGCGAGACATTCCAAGACTGGCCGCCCAAGACCCGAAAAGTTGGCATTATGTGAACATACAGATTCCTAGCCTCCGAAATCTGAAATGTGGCTCATACCGTGGAGGGAGAGAGCCACGTGCAAAGGCAGCCAAGAATGGGTCTTTCATGTTTTCGTCTTGCTTGTTCATGCGGAGACTTCCCATTACTTTGTACGAGCACGTGTGCATATCGACTGCGAGGCAGATTTCCGGTCTTGAGGAGTTTTTCGGGTGGATGAGGAGTCTGGAATGCTTTTTCGGAGTCGGTGGGAGTGCTATTGCAATGCATATATAGATGTAGATTCCTATGGCTGGTATGTTTTGCATCAGCAACAATAGCAGTTCTAGGAAACAGTTCAGAGCCTCCAGAATTGCACCAGAAGCCCATACTCGTTCATCGACTTTTCCCTCAGCATCACTTTCGCCAGCACGAGCAAAATGAAGGCCATCATCGCAACTCTTCTCCTTGCCGCCTCGGTAGCCGCAGCACCTGTTATCGTCAACATAGACGATCTCGTCACCATCAACCCCGAAGACCTTCGTAGCCCAAGGTTCCCAATCATGGGATTCAAAGAAGGTGACCGTGGCGTCGACAAGCGCGAAGCCGAGGCCATTGCACCAGTCGCAGCAGGAATCTTTGGCATCGCAGCCGGCACCATCGCCAATGCCATCGCTACGGGTGCCACCAAGGGTTTGACCTCTGGAAGCGTCCGCAACACGATCGAAAGAATCTTCGGGCGTGGCGAGCGCTCCGTTTCTGATGAGCGTCTCGCAAAGCGCGAAGCCGAGGCCATTGCACCAGTCGCAGCAGGAATCTTTGGCCTCGCAGCCGGGACCATCGCCAACGCTATCGCCACGGGAGCCACCAAGGGCTTGACATCTGGAAGCATTCGCAACACGATCGAAAGGATCTTCGGGCGCGGCAAGCGCTCCGTGCCTGCTGGGGAAGACTCGTGGACCTTCGAGGATGTCGTGGAGCGTTTCGCCACGCAGGCCGTCGAGGATCTCTACACTGATGAGGCGACACCTGAGGAAGCTGCTGTCTGCGTCAGCATCGCGTATGAGATCGGTGGGAATGACACCCTGGTGAGGGAGGCTCAGTCCGTGCAGCTCTCCTCCAAGGCGGACGGCACGACGGTTGAGTAAGTGTTCTCCCGATGCCGTGCGATTCTTTCATGCATGCTGATGCTTTGAGTAGCTTCGACTGCTTCCTTCTCGCAGCACCTCTCAACTTCACTGTTCCTGCCGACCAGGTCAATGCCACCACTGTGAGCGATCCCATTCACGCACACTGTAAGCCAGCCGTCTTGCTGACCACTTTCCGCACAGGTCGCCGTCAAGCCAGGACCAGGAACTTGGAAGAACGGCGTTCTTAGCTTTTAGGTCCAACAAGTGGCCAGATCTTGTCAGCAACAGCGATGCGGTGGGCAAAAGTTCGGGATGAATTAGATGAAATGAGCTCAGGGTGTTACTAGGGAATGTTCAATGTTTGTGGGAAGATAGCGTCAAGAGCTACACAAAGGAATGATTTTTTATGCACCCAGACATCAAGTTGTGCTGTATCATGATATTGATAGTGACATGGCAAGAGTTTAGAAAGTCTGGGATAGCCACACTGCCAGGATGTGACGTTAACGCCAAGCTTTCGGCGACATGCTATCCCTGAACGGCAACGGCTTCGGCTTCGGCTTTGCCTTTCAGCTATGAGCATGTCTCAGCTCAGATGTGAACACTAATTAAGTAGAACCCTTTCCCCTACCCTAACCTAACCTAACCCACAAACCCCAATTTTTCCAATCGAGATTGCCCTCACGTCCTATCAACCTCTAGCGTCCCGTCACAACCAGAGTTCCTCCCAAAAAAAATCCCAACCAGCCCTCAACCCCACAATCGCGCCCAAGAGAACCCCAGCCTTCACAAACTGACTCCCATCCGGCGCCAGAGCAGCCACCAGCGTAACAGCCACGACCCATACCAACCCATTCACCCCGAATCCCACCCGCCTCTTGCCCCTCCGAAACCATTTCGTGAGATAGTAAGTCACCGTGAAAAACACCCAGAGCACGAAGAAGCCCGAGATCTCTCTCTGCAAAATGTCCCACGCGCTGGAAGCTGCGAGTTCACCTCGCTGGAGCATGGTTGATGAGGCGCTTTGGTTGGTGAGAGAGCGGACGCAGCAGCCGGTGCAGCATTCGACGGAGTGCAGGCCCGGGTGATGGCGGTCGCGATGCCAGTAGTAGAAGAAATCGTGCCAGTAGCCATGGTCGGAATTTTGGAGGCTTTCGTTGGGACATCGGAAGCAGCATTCGACGGCCTGCGTGATGGGGTTGTTCTTTTTCTCGAACATATTGTGGAGGAATTCCTTAGAGGGCGAAAGGCTGAAGAGATTGCGTCGTGGACTTGGTAGAGGAGTTGGTTTCCAGGGTTCCCATTTCGTTGGATAAGGGGCCGCCATTTCGTGGAAGATGAGGTTTGCGAAGTAGGTAGGTGACTGTTCTTGGATGCAATACTGTATCCGATGAGAACGTATTGTGACGGCTGCTGCGATGGACTAGATTGTTAGAAGCAGCGATAAAAAAATCCTTCACAAACATAGACAAAGAAATGCGCCGGAAAGAGGTTGTGTTTTGCTTGTAAGGTGCTTTATCATTACAATGCTTTCCCGTGCACGAGGACAGGGAGCTGTCGAGCCTATCTGGCATGATGTACCGTTTGATGCCCTTTGCAAGACACCGATATCAGCCTGGCATGGGTGGACTTGACGCCCAAGTCGTGAATCTATCTGTAGGCGCTCAGTAGCAGCCTCAAGGTAGATGAGGCGGTCATCTGTCAAAGTTCCGTGTCTTGATTTGCACAGTCTCCTTCATGTGCGCTATGCATTTCTCATGCTTCATGTCTATCCACCAACGTCGCGCTATGCAAAGATCCCACCGCCAAATTCACACCTCCCTCATGTAAACAAAGAGCTCCGACTGGTATTCGCAGGACTTCTCGGGGTCCCTCTTCCCTTCTCATACAGCCACTTGTTGTTCAAGCCGAGACTAGTCTTGTTACTCTTTGTCGGTGTGCTTGTGCTGCCCGAGGTATCGAACAAGCTCTCGCTCAGAGGTGAGCTGCGGTCCGAAGTGTAGCTCAGCCTCCTCCTTTCGCCTCCACTTCGCAAAGCCGAGTACTGAGGCGACTGATTAACGCTCGTTGGTCGTTGGGCAGATCCAAACGGCGATCCAGATCCCGACCGCAAGAAAGATGCGCTCTCCATGGGTGTGCCACGTCCGCTTAGAGGCGAACCGCTGACTTCGGCGCGAATGCTACTCGACGAGGAGCGCGGAGTGTTGGATCGTGAAAACCGGGGTGGCGTAACGTACTGCTCCTGCTCTTGCGGTGTAGCTGGTCGTGACATGGGCGGCAGGCCTAACAGCTTTCGTTGCTGAGGTGTAAGCGGGATGTCTTCGCAGGCGTCTGGTGTCCGTAACAGCGGTGCGGCCGCGACTCCGATAAAGGCGAGAAAAAGGAGGCGAATTGCCCAAAGAGCATACATTGGCCACGGGTAGATGGCGTGCAGCCAAGGTGTTGGTAGTCTGGGTTGGGGGTGTCAGTCGTGGTCTCAAAGTCCGGCTGTAAGCACACGTACATTTCGCGCAGAAGATTCGGCACGAACATCGATGTCAGAATGATGAGTGAGCTGATGATGATTGTCTTCACATTGCTGCCGTCGAAGTCGGTCGCGTTGCGCCGCCGCAGGACCTCGTCCATGCGCGGGTGTATCCAGCCAGCATGTCCTGGCATTCTTGTGGGTGTCGTCGGCGCAGGAGGAGCATTTTTCTTCGGTGTGATCTTAAGAGTCTGCAAATTCGCTGAGAGCGGCGAAGATCTCGTCTGGCCAGCCGCGGTCTGGGTGAGCGTTTGGGAGGATGGGACTATCGCGGTCGAAGACATGGTCGCGGCGGTGAGCGTGCGTGGTCTCGAAGGGCACGGGCCTTGAATCGTGGTGCTGTCTAGGTTAGTAGGTTAGTATGCAGTCGAAGAGTCTTTATTCGTCGCGCCTAATGCATGGTCGTGGTGCTGTTTGCTGGTGAAGTTAGAAATGTGTTGTTCGGAGGAAGCTAACGGTTGCTATGTTGTCCCGCTTCGGAAGTCTTACCAAAATTCTTGGTTATTCGCGGTAAAACGCGCACGTAGTGTAAGCGACACGCTCTCGGATCTTCCAACACAGTCTCCAGAATCAACCTCTAGACGATATCAGTCCACGGTTCCGGTGCTGATGGCTGTCGCCGTCGTATCTGGACTCCTCTCTCCACCCAGTCTGACGAACAAGATGACCTTGTGATTCTATCCTACATTCTATCCTAGATTCTATCCTAGACCCTATCCTACATTCCATCCTAACTTCTATCGTAGATTCTATCTACGATTCTGTCCTACGCGGTCGTAGCCTGCATTCCGGACTCATCAGCCTCCACCGCCGTTCTTCATGCGGATGTCCGCTATCTAGGCAACTCTGAAGGTGCTGGCTCTCCATTGAGATTGCACTCGACTCACTTACCTCGCCTTCTCGCTCAAAGGCTTCAGTCTGGACCATGCACTCTCGACTCTGCTCATGCAAGTAGCTACAGTAGGCGAGATCTGCGATACGAATGCAGGCCCTCCACGCAATCCATGTACAGTTCCGTCCATCCGGCGGCGCATCTAAGCCTCTTGTAGCCGTCGGCAGGGCACCCACGAGAAGAGACGAGATAGCGAAGAAGGAGATGGGATGAGGGGGGTTGGGAGGGAAAGTATGGCGCGCCAGCCTCGATATCTGTTCCTGATCGTGATTGCAATTGTCCTATACATCTCATGCAATGATGACGCGTACAGACGCGAGCATCGTGAGGTACCGCGCTGGTTCGTATTCCGCCGTACTCTGGGGAGCGTCCAGCTGGTGTTTGGATGGTGAAGGTTGGATCGTTGGTGCGACTGATCAGCACGACAGCGCCGGAGGGATGTCGGCGGAGGGATGTCGGCGGAGAGAAGTCGGCGGGAGTGAGTGGAGTGGAAGAGGACGGGAAGGAGGCGCACGTGAAAGGTGGACCACACGGCACACGGACACGGGCCGTAGCGCAGACCACTGACCCCTCCTTGAACCTTCCATTTTCCCTCTTCGTCACCCACCACCACTTCACCTCGCCAGCAATTGCATCGCACCAACGCCACCATCTCCCAATATTCGTCCCAGCACGGCGGTCAGCGCTCACGCGGTCCAGTCATCGTGCCTTCTCCCGTCTCCTGCCGTCCTGCGAACACGGCTCGCCCGAATCTGGATATGCATGATTATGTTGAGCGCGGGACAGTCAGCAATCTGGCCACAATTTCCTCTCCACTTGGCATCGGCCGTCGCCGCCGCCGGGACACGACACCAGCAGTAGCTGGCAATGCCGTAATCGAGAAGCTCCGCAGTCCAGTCGCCTCTGAGTCGACGGAGAGTACAGTAGTAGCAGTTAAGTCCTTGGGCCACAACGTCTTCTCGTCCCACTCCCATGCACACAGCACGCACAGCATCCACCCACCTCCCCGCCGGACTTGGCGATCGGATATTAGAAACGACCACGCAGGATATACTGTACAGTATACCTTCTGCTGCACGGGCGGGCCGACGCATTGCTTGCAGGTGCCGGTTGTGGGTGCAGGTCACGGGTGTCTGCTGCCACTACTGCGCGCATCCCGCGCTGCAAGTCACTCTCGCTTTATTCCACTTTCCGCACCGTGACGCCAAAACGACCACCTACACCAGGCAACCCTTGCACAGTGAGGGGAACGGAGCAGCTGACTGGACGACGACTCCCCCATCCCACGCCCATTGCTGCAGGTGCTGACAGGCTACTGTACGCGCTTCCACAGCTTGCCCCGGATTCTTGCAACCACAACCAGCACGCCCTGCAGCTGCTTGCTTCGGCCTCGTCCTGGCGATCCACAGGCCAACGTCTCACGTCCTCTTCACTTTCTTGCTGCGCTTGCGTCGTGACGTTGCCGGTGTTGGCCTGGTGGGCCATTAAAGCGACCTAACCGCCAGCGACAAATTCCACTCTCCCTCCCTCCCTCCAACTTCCAGCCCGGTCTTGTGAGCACCTCGGCGTTCCTGCTGCCGTTGGAGGATTACGGTGTGGTTAGTGGTAGACGAGCATGAACTTTCAAGCGGCCCTATACCAGGACTACCCTATTCCAATCGAGCCCGTCAACCGCTGAGACAGAGCGACGTGCTTGAAAGAGAGTACATTTTGTCTTGGTCTGCCTCTTGCGAGATCGCAGCGGCTCCGAATGCCAAAAGCTTAGTACCGCAATCACGTCAATAGCGGTCCCGCGAGAGCATCTGGCCTCGTTGCAATGGGTCAACCGATAGCCGAGTCGAGCACTCTGTTGAACGCTCAGATAGGCTTCCTAGTAAGTTCGCGGACGCGAAAGAGTTAGACCAGTAATCTGGGCTAACTGAATCGATAGAAAACGCACCTCGCGTTGATACATCTTCCGCCGTCGGCATTGCCGCTGTTTCTACAACCAATACTGACACTACTACTCCACAATGACCAGAAAGATGAGCAAGGCAATACCATCGAGCCACACCGATCCTGGAACTTCTGGCATCCATTCGTCAACGTGTCGATTACTCCCAATGAAGTCTCCATCGTCTGTCCTCGTGAGCAAGCAGAGCTGCTCTTCGCGCCTTTGGTCGACAATCTGAGCCCTGCTCTGCGAAAGTCAGTGTCAATAAGCAGAGAAGACTACTCTGTTATTATGATCGGAGGGGAGGGCCTAGAAGCTGGACAGCGAGTACTCGACCTAACAAGCCCCCTGGCCATAGCCGGAATCCCCATCTTCTTCATCACAAGCTACTACTCCGACTTCATAGTCGTGCCATTCAGTTCCCGACCAAAAGTCATCCACACGCTGGAAGAGCGCGGCTTCGTCTTCGAAGCAACCGACGCAGACGGCGAGGCTGGACAAATGACAAACCCTCAGTCACCACTCACAAACTCTCACCACCGGCCAGGTTCATCGACATCATTTGACTGGCCGACCGCAAGCTCTCCCCCGCCGACCTCGGTCTCGGAACTACAATCGAAGACCTTCAAAACGCTTGCCAGGAATAACATCCAACCTACCGTCGACCAGTCGATAGAGCTGATCACTTGCGCCGGAGTCAAGGACAGTATCCACGCAACCCAGATCGCCCACTTTCGCGACGGGAAACTTCACCTTGGCATCGCCAAATGTCTCACTTCTTTCCCACCGCCCGACTTCTTCTCCATCACATTGACAGACTCCGAATCCGCATCCCTTACGATGGAAAAGCGTCTGCTCGAACATTTCCCGAATGAAGGCGAGGATGTCTTACTTGGGATCGATGGACCCGAACAAGTCCTCATCACGTTGGATCTGAAAGACCTCCCGCTTGAAAGCACGGGTATCGTGTGCGGGGTCTCGAGTCGCTTGACGGATGCGATGCGAAGGAGGATAGGGAGGGAGATGTTCAATATGAGTTATCTGAGCACGTCGAGGGCGGGACATGTCATTGTGTATGAAGATGAACTGGAGGACGTCATGGATGCTTTGAAGGGGGTGCAGGTCAATGGGGTCCATAGTTGAGGGGGAATGTAATCATCACCACCGTGCTCGGTTCTCGATACCCTCAATATCCTTCCTTCTACACCTATTCATCTGGCACCCAAAACCAGCTCCAGCTTTGAACAGCATCTGACAGGCGACAGGGGCGATTATCGGTGCATTTGAAGCGCGCGCAGATACCCAATTGCTTCGCGAACCCCACAACGGAACCAGCAGCTTCCTGTCCGAGCTTCTCGATCTCTTCGTCCGTGGCAAAACCCCTCCTTCCAGCTGTGCGCGACCTTGGTGGTGGGCACGGCTTCGCGGAGCCGGGAGCCATGCTTGGTGTTTGCAAAGACCAGCTGGACCGTCGCTGGACTCAAAGACTTGACCGATCTGATGGCTGAGTAGATAGGATTTGTAAAACCGCATCGCATGAACTCGGCCATTGCTTTGGAATGGGCCACTGTGTCTTTCGTGCTTATATCATGCAAGGCACTGCCGGCTTGAGTGAAGATCCCCCGCAAACGCCATATCTTTGTCCTACAGATCTGGCCAAGGTGCTGACAGCGACAGAGGTGCACACCTTGTCGACCGCCACGTGAAGCTGATGGCATACTGCGAAAGATTTCTCGAAAGACAGATTGTTTCATTGCGATTGGCGCATGGCTGAGATTCCGCCTGAAAGAGCTCCAAAGATGAGATGCCTAGACATCAACATCACCCAATAAAGCGATTGGTGAAGGAAGTTCTGAAATGAACTGTATTACCCCAACGACTGGCCTGAGAGCCTTACTCTATACATACTTGTATGGGTTCATTATGCCATTCTGTAACTCGAGTCAGTGAAATGTGCCAATGCGACGGCCTAGAAGAATGTTGACTCACCGGGTCGTAGAGCTTCTTGATCTGTCCCATCAGCTGAATCATGTTCTCACTGCGACTGTATCCGATGAATTCCTTCTTGGCTAAACCGAGACCATGCTCGGCAGAGATACTGCCGTCGCGCTTCGACACCCACTCGTATACCCACGGCTCGATGGCCTTCTCCACCTCCTTATCATACCTTCGCACGCAAACGTTTAAGTGCAGGTTCTGATCTCCCATGTGTCCGTAACCAATCACATCCATGACGGGCTTGGAATCGTCCGTGTCGCTCATCATTCCATTGTCCAAGAAGCGCTGGCGACACTCCGCGACAATGCCGTAAAGCTCCGGTAGAGGGATCGAGAGATCGTACTTGTAAACACCGCCAAAATGCTGACTAGCCTCCGAAATGCCTTCTCTGCAGGACCACAGATCTTGCACTTGCGTTTCGTTCTCCGCGAGCACTCCGTCCTGAACAATGTCCTCCTCCATGACGTGTTCCAAAAATGCCTGCATCTTCTCCGCGTCATGGTCGCCATTTGATCCAGATGTCTCAACGAGACAGTAGAAGGGGTGCTCATTTTCCAGAGGCAATTTCGTTCTTCCAGACGCACGCTGATAAATCTTCTGCGAGTTCCCATCCATGAGCTCGAAAGCCGAGAGAATCTCTTGAAGATAGGTCTTGGACACTTTGAAAGCTTCCTGCACTTTTTCGTACGATTCCAGTCCAAAGAGAGCGACATTCACAGCAGGGCTTCGTTGCGGGCACAAGATTGAGACACCCGTCACAATTCCGATCGTTCCCTCACCTCCGATGAAGAGTTGCTTGATATCATAGCCAGTGTTATTCTTTCTCAGTTTTCCAAGGTCATCGACAATAGTTCCATCTGGCAATACAGCTTCTATCCCAAGGACATTCCCGTGTAAACTACCGTATCGTAGTAATCGCAGACCTCCGGCGTTCGTCGCAACATTTCCACCGATTTGACAGGTACCTTTCGCAGCCAGATCTAATGGAAATATATGTCCGTGCTCCGCCAGGTGATTGTCTGCCTCCTCCAAAATGACACCGCCATCTGCGACCAAGATTCCAGAGACGTCATCGAACGATCGGATTTTGTTCATGCGCGCCAGGTTGATGATGATCTCGTCAAACACTGGCACCGAACCTCCCACCAAACCAGTGTTGCCACCCTGAGGATTCACCGCAATCAAATTCTGATTGCAATATTTCAAAATCTTGCTGACTTGCTCCGTGGAGTTCGGTTTCAAAACCAATCGAGTCTGCCCCCTGTACTTTCGCATCCAATCTGCATTATATGCTTCCAGATCACTTGTCGCATCCTGGCTCAGTCCATCAATGATCGCATTGTCCGAACCCAGTACCTCTTTGAAGAACTTCACGTCCTCGTTCGTAATCTCTTTGAATCGCGAATCTCGCTTGAGGTTGGGGTAGGATTCAGCTGTTGGCTTGATCTGTCTCTGGCTGAGACCTGACCGGGACGGAGGGGGTCCTTCGTCCATATTCGAGGCGGACGTGGTAGGCTCGGCGTGTTGCCATCTTCGTTGCAATGGTTGGTAGGCCGATCGGGCTGCTTGCAATCGTAGGTGGGAAGTTTGCTGGAAAGTGTTGTTCTGCAATCGCAGTCGCCGAGCGACTGGTACACATCGGCTTAATGAAGACATTGTTGTCGATGATAGTACCCAAGAGCTTTCCAAGGGCGTTGTGGGATTTCCAAAAGGAATCAATGCGTTTGACGAAGTGAAGATGAATCTCTCGGCACGTCATCGGCCGTCGAGGCTTTCGCTTTCGCTCTGCGGGCCGAGCACCGGAAAACTCCTACCCTTGTTCGGCCAAAAAGTTCGCGACGACTTTCCGAGATAATCTGACATTTACACCCAAATTGCAACCCTCCAACGCAAATCTATCTGCTTTCGCGAGATGGCACCGGCTCCAGCGGGAACCAAGCGAAGACGGGTAGAAGACGAAGTCCGACCCAAGAACAAGGCGAAGAAGCACTTCAAAAAGCAGAAGAAGTACCACAGTTCTTCGGAAGACGAAGAGGATGAGCCTGCGGGCAAGCTACAGAGGGCCTCAGATGTACCCAGACCGACCAAAGATGCGTCGCGAATACAGCCCAAGTTCTCTATGAAGGCGAGCATGCCAGCGGGAAAAGCGAAGGCAACATCGAGGACTACACCCAAATCGATTCTGAAGCAGTCGGAACCTGTCGCAGAAGCCGCGGAAAGCTCGGCAGATGACAGCGACGACGAAGAGGATGATCTGGAAGTCGACGAATTGGAAAAGAACACCGCGCTCAACGCACTACAAAACGAGGACTCAGAGGACGAAGACTCAGAAGAAGACGAAGAGGAAAACGACGAACCCAACCTCGACTCAACATCAGACAACGACGACGACGATGCCGCAGCATCAGACTCCCCAACCTCCAGCCAACCCTCAACCACGACCAGCTCGAAGAAGAAACGCAACGACCCCACAGCCTTCGCAACTTCCATCCAAAAACTCCTCTCCACGAAACTCACAACCTCCAAACGCTCCGACCCCGTCCTGTCCCGCTCCAAATCCGCCGCAGAAGCGAATAAGACCCTGACAGATCAGAAACTGGAACAGAAAGCTCGCGCGCAGATTCGGGCGGAGAAGAAACAGGTGTCGGAGAGGGGCAGGGTGAAGGATGTGTTGGGGCTGCAGACGCCGGATGTGGATACTGGGGCTGTGATGGAGGAGGAGAAGCGGTTGAAGAAGACGGCGCAGAGGGGTGTGGTGAGGTTGTTTAACGCGGTGCGAGCGGCGCAGGTGAAGGCTGAAGAGGCGAGGAAAGAGGCGCGGAAGGAGGGGATTGTGGGGATGCAGAAGCGGGAAGAGAAAGTGAATGAGATGAGCAAGCAGGGGTTTTTGGATCTGATAAGTAGTGGTGGGAAAGGTACTGCTGCCGCGTGATGGCATGGAAAGGATACCATGGGGCCGATATACAGTGTAGAGAGGCCTCATACGTCTGCAGGATTGCCGATATTCTGCTCCTCTTCCTTCTGAATGTGGATCATGTGCTCACTCCCCCCAGCACTCTCATCCAAGACACCCGCCTTTCGCAAGATGCCAATGGTATGATCCACCATACTCGCCTTGACACCCTTCACATCTTCCGCAAACCTCACAGTTTTCATCCACTCCAGCGCATCCTCTTTCGAGTAATGCATCGTACTGGTAATATACTCCACCGCCTCCTCCCTATTCTCCCGATAGTGTCTCACGCCCGCATTGATCTTCCCCAACATCTCCTCAACCCTTCCATCCTTGGCATCTCTCGCCGTAATGACCCACGAGGGCCAGGGTGTATAAATCTCCCCGATCCTCTTGATCTCCCCATTGTCCCAGAAATGTTTGGTGGTGAAGTGTTCCCACATGAAGAAATCGCTCGTCTGCTCGTTCACGCTCTTGCGCAGAGCGGCGAAGTCTCCAATCGGTGCGACGGAGAAGGGTTCCTTGGAGGCGAGCCAGCCTTGTTGGTCCGCGAGGACGAAGGACATGACATAGCTCCCGCTCCCGATCCTACTCACGCCGACTTTGGAGCCTTTGAGGCTGGAGACGGAGGTGATGTCGGAGCGCTGGGCACCTGTGGAGATGGCCCAGCATAACGGACTCTCGACGTAGGTGCCGACGAGACCGTAGGAGGAGGGCGTGCCCGACGCTTTTGCTTTGCCGAGGTCGGCGACGAAGCCTTCTGTTAGACCAATCGCCACGTCGATACTGCCGTCGTCTGCGGAGGGTTGTTTGAGGGCGCTTGCGAGCGCTCCTGTGCCGGTCGGGAAGGGGATGAGGTCCGCATTGAGGTTGAAATGGCGTTGCGCGAAGGCGAGAGGAGTGCTAAAGTGCTCTGCGTTTATAAAGAAAGTTGGTCAGCAGAGCTCCGACACGCATGCATCGTTCTTACCAGGCACAAATCCGATTCTCAACTTGCCGGCCATGGCCATTGCTCTTGATGGAGTCGTCGAGAATGTCCGAAAGCCTCCAGCACGTCCTGATCTCGAGATGCTCCGGCTGAATATCTTGGTGCTCTTGCACGGACCCAGGACGATTGCCCGTGTAGTCATGTCGAAGCGAGTGCATCCTTGGTGGGGGTCTGAGCAATGACGATGGATCATTGATGATGGGACCACAGACCGGTCCCTGCAGCGGATCTTACCTTTAGGCTTCGCACGGTGCACGCGGTCGGAACGAACCGTAACCTTCCAAGCCACTGCCGGGTCTTCTGTTCTGTTCCGATTCGGAAGTGCCGACCGCCGATACCTGCCCTGTCACACGTCAAAGTCCAGCATCTCAACACATGCGAACTCAGGTTCAGGTTGTCTCGACGGAGACTGCCGCTCTTCGGCGCCGTCCGGTTACAGCGAATGGAGGCAGCCGCATGGACACTGTATGCGCACGCGATTCCGTTATCGTGCAGTCGAGCGTGGAGTCTTGTCACGTGGACAGCTGTAGGCATACATATCATCATGTTACCGTTCTGTGTTCTTGTTACACGAGCCAGGGTACCTTCCTCTTCCAGCGCGGTCCCACTGGTTTCTGGACGCCGACACACAACAGTCCCCGAGTCCCCGACATCACCTCTCCTCGCAGCGCACAGGCGGTCGAGTGTAGCGCCGGGAAAGTCGAGTCGGAGGGATGAGAGACGATTGCAGTCCAGATGAGGTGGATACACTACTCCGACTTCATCATCACTCTAACATAAGGTAGCAAGCGACCACCACTACACACTACTAGGTACATACAGTACGGTAGCTGCGCCTGGAGATCACTGCACCCACTTCGCCTCCACATCTCCCCACCTCACTCACCTCACGATGGCATTCAGGTTGTCGAACGACAGGGATCGTACCGGCCGCCCGTCACCGCTCGCGTGCAACGAGTGCAGGAAGAAACACCTCAAATGCGATGCCACGCTTCCCGTCTGCTCGCGATGTATCACACGAGGCCTTCACTGCACGTACACACCCTCCCGCCGGGGCATCGGAGGCCGTAAGAGACTGCAGTCGCCACGCAATCTCCCTCAGCCCGCGCCGACAACCCACGCCGGCGAGTATGCGCCGCAGCCTGCAGCGCCTTATGCTCCTCATCATCACAACCACCACCAGCCCCAAGTCTCGGCGGCGACCGGCGCGCCAGCTGCTATGCGACCGCCGCCTTCTCCCAACAACCGCGCTTGGACGGATCCCAGCGATACTGGAAGACCCGAGGCCGCAAGAAGTCCATCCCAGCCGGCGTCAACAACTTCAACGTCCACCTCAAAGTCGTCCTTGCGATCGGAAGATGAGCACTTGACCAACCTGTATTACTCCAGCTTCCATCCGAGCCATCCCATTCTCATTCCGCGGTACCGCTACGCAGGTCAGAACTATCCGCCCTACCTGAGGTCTGTGGTGCAGTTCATTGGTAGTCAGTATGCGCCTGGAATCTCCAGTGACTGTTTAAGACCTGCGACATCCGCCGCCATCGCGCAAGCTACCGATAAGTCCCCCGAGATGGTACAGGCGCTTTTGTTGTACGCCATGGCTCTTCATGCGCGTTACGAGCCAGTGGATGCCATGCCAGCCGTCACAAGGGCTGTAGACATCGCCATTCAGCTAGGCATGCACACTGCAGAGTTCGCCATAGCTCATGGGAATGGCGATGCTGTGTACGAGGAAAGCCTTCGCAGAACGTGGTGGGAACTCTTCATTACCGATGGCTATCTGGCGGCCTTGCATAGGCACACGAACTTCAAAGCGAACAGCGTAGTGACGAGCACGCATCTGCCTTGCGAGTCGAATGCCTACGAAGATGGATCAATTCCGTCCAACCCACTCAGCATTCAGCAGTACGATGGTAGGCTGTTCGGAGACGATGACCTCCATTTCTCCTCGTTTTGCTACCGCATAGATGCCGTGAGGATCCTCGCCAGAGTCATTGCTGTCTCGAGTACCAACGAAGCACACGCGGATGCGATCCAGGCTATCGACAACGCCCTCGCGAGCTGGAAATTTCACCTACCTACCGACAAAGCGGGGATCCTCACTCACGCTGGAGAGACAGATGAAATGATGTTCCAAGCAAACATGTTCATCCACATCTCCAGCATCTTTCTGCACTTCCCTCGATCCGAGCTCCCCATCACAATGCCCCCAGCCGCCGAGATCGACTGCGCACAGCAACACATGGAACAGGTCTCGCCCACATCCACGCAACACGCCGTCAAAGCAATGGCAGCTTCGAAAGATCTGGCCAACTTGGCCGCTTTGCCGGTGGAAAGGCACTCTCCCTTCTTCATCTGCACGCTCGTCTTCGCTTGCGTCGTGCAGATATCCGCATGCACAGCTTACCCACGAGACGCCACGCAACAGAACCGAGACCGCGTAGCTCTCATCATCGGCGTGCTGAAGTCCCTGAGCCGAAACTGGGCAATCGCACAGTTCGTCTCATCGCAGTTGAAACGCGCCGCGAACGAGGTCTTCAACCCCCGGGACGACGCGTCTGCCGCTTCCAGCGGAGGCTCCACCTACGACAGCGGCATCGACCTGGGGAACTTTCCCAGCGACATGTCCTGGCTGGAGCTCTTCTACAACGAAGGCATGCAAGGCCAAGTCTTGACCGGGCCGGCCGACATGTCCGGCATGCACCATCACGACGCACGAATGGCCTGAGGAGAAAAGACCACCCGAGGGAGCATCTCATGGTCTGAGATGGATTGATCACCTAAAGACCACAAACACTTTGTTTTTTTCGGCTTTTATGATTCATTATTGTAAGCATGCATTAGGATCGCAATACTGGGGCAAGGCGTAGGGGGCATATACAGGAATCTGAAGAATTTGGCAACGAATTGAGGAACGAACGGCCGCGGGGAATTGGTGGCAAGAGAAGATTCTTAACTTGCCTCATAAAACCATCAACTACAAAGAAAGAGCCGGCAGCTTTGTGGGAGCTACCGTCACCTCTTATCATAGTGGGATCGAATCAAACAAACGACAGACAGTATGAAGACATATATTCACGGACGGGCAGAATTTCTTGGATTTTAAAATTTGGGCAGGGTATGTTTTCTCTCTTTCATGCGCGGGCGTGACACGTGCATTACTCATGCTCAGGTTGTAGTGGGTCTCGCTCATTCACTCACTCACAAGAAAAAACGCCAACGCTAACTCATACTGGGGACTCATCATATAGCCCACATTCCCTTGCATTGCCATTCCATGAAGCCGGTGCTCTCCTGGTATCCATCCAGCTGTAAGCAAAGGCCCGTAAACGCCGCCCTAATGATGATCATATCTCGTAATCGTCCCATCCCTTCTCGCATGATTGGGAAAAACAAAACCCCCTAGCACTGCGAAATGCGAACGCCGTATAATTGCAGTCGCGCGACGATACGCTTCCGACAGACCGGGCAGACTTCCAGCATCGCAGAGCATTCCCGACACGCAACCACATGGCCACAATCGTAGAAAGCCGTGCTCATTTCCTTGTCGTAGCACACTTTGCAAGTGGTCTTGTCGTCGTCGGTGACGGTGCCGCGAAGGATGAATTCGCCAGTGGCCTTGCCCTCCTTGAAAGTGCCTTCATGGACATTGCCGGTCGCGGAGAAGACCAGCTTACCCTTGCCGTCCTGTTCGTCTTCTTTCCATTCGCCCTCGTAGACGTCTCCAGTCGCCGAGTAGATCATCTTGCCGTAGCCTGATTTCTGACCCTTGGCAAATTGACCGATGTATTCGTCTCCGTTCAGTGCGATGAGGTGGCCGCCGCCGTGGTACTTATTGTCTTGCCAGTGGCCTTCATAGTACGCACGGCCAAGCCAATCCGTGGTGCCGACCTCGAGGCTGTCATCCATGGTCGGAGTGGTCTGCTGACCGTCGATCGAAAAGGCAGAGTCGTCATCGGCATCTCTCATCACGACATCTTCGCCGTCCATGAGAAGCGGCTCCGGCGTCGGCGCGGCGGCAGCTGCTTCAATGCGCTCCCTACAGGCGCGTACGTACTCTTCTTCAGAAAGCGTGGCTTGACCGGTGGCGCCGTAAACAAGTACATTGCCGTTCGCAGATCCAAAGTCCTCGTGAATGGATGTCTTGGGCGGCTCTTGTTGGCCGACCTGTGGTGGGACCCAAGTCTCGACGTCGGAGGCGTTGAACGTATCCTCAGTCATGTCATCGCGGACGTACATGACAACGCAGGTGACCTCGCGATCCGAAGGCGATGCCTCGGAAAATGGTGAGTCGTAGCCGTCTTCTGGAGTCTTCGGTTTCTTGTCGCCTTCTTCAGTCCCGGAGTGGATATCGCGAGCTTGCTTTTCAGTAAGTCTCTGCACGACTGAGTCGCGGTACGCATACCAACCATTGCCCGCACCCCGCGGCCGCACGTAGGAGTTGTACTGCGAGGATTGCAGATGCCCCTTGTGGGTAATGAAGGCAAAGAGGGTGTAATGCGTCCCGCCGACAGAGATCTCCTCGTCAACTTTGACTTTGTGGGTCAGCTTCTTCCATTTGCGCTCTTTCTTGTCGTGCTCTTGACGCTGCAGCTCCAGCGTGAGCAATGCAGGTCGAGCGATGACTTTGTGGTGATTGTCAACGGCAGTCTGAATGCTCGTGTGATCCTTCGTGTTCAGTCTGCTTGTGCCGGATGCAGAGCCTTTGTCGGAATGAAAGTTCCCAATCAGACTGTTGAGCTCACCGGGTGTTTCTGGATACTCGTTCTGAAAGCAGAGTGACATCCTCCACAGCATCTCCATGACGTCCCCGTCATGGATTGGACCCCGAACGCCATAGTTCGTGGAACGCTTCCGCGTGTACATTTTCAAAAGCAGAGTGTGTAGCCACCTCGACAGTTGCGAAGCAGATGTAGTTTGAAGGTCCTGAACGAATCGACGGAATGGCGCAAAATGTAACAGCGGCACCGCGACGGCGACGTACTGCAATGACTTTGTAAACGGTCGAAGGCCGGTAAGGGATGTCATCTGATCAGCTGTGCGTGTGTCGTGGACCCATTGGCAGCCGGTCGGGTCGTGGACCACACGAATGAAGGCTTTGAAGGCGAGCTTATCGTTGCGGAGCAGGGCTTGGCGCTGGCCATGATGGCGGAGGTTGATGTCGTAGCGGGACATGGAAGTGAAATGCCGCCAGCCATGGTTGTGCGCCTTCTTGCAGAACTGATGCTGTTCTTGCTGCATGGCGTTCACGCGCGGTTCCTCGGGGTTGTAGACCACGACGGAGAACTGTACAGCAACACCGCGACGCTTGTTGATCTTTTCCACGCCTTTGAGGAACGGGAAGGGAGGCTTGTCGAAGGCCCCGTATTCTTCAAAGTCTGGTGAAGCCATCGTGACACACTCCAAGTATACCGACAAGTACTCGCTGCGATCTCCCTTTGGAAAGAACTTGATCTGCCAGTCGTAGCCACCGATGTTCACAATCGGGGAGCGCATGATGCGTTCTGTGTTTGGGTTTTCTCTCGTGCCGTTGTAGTGTTCGATCGACCAGTCGATTCGGCCACTCGCAATGGGGACGAATTCAATATCTTCCATTTCTGCCGTCTCGAAGGTCCGCTTCTCCCAATGCTCATGATCTAGAGCGCTGTGCTCGGTCTTGGAGTTGATCCACGCAAGCTCATCTTCGCTCGGCGCCGTCTTGTCTTCCGGCATCTCGTGCCAGTAATTGTCATGTTCATCTTCGTCTTCACTCTCTTCGTTCTCGCTGCCGGAGCGTGAACCATCCTCGGAGTCGGGATGCTGATCTTGCGAGTCGGGCTGAGGCTGACGCGGCATGGGGGGAGGTGGAATGTCGTTGAGAGCGGACGGATTGAAGGGTGGTGGTGGTGCCATAGTGGCCGTGAGGAGCTCGTGGAAGTTGGTGCCATTTGGAAACCCCGGTGGGAGGACTGGCGGTGGTGGTGGAACGATACCGTCCGCCTCCGGGGCGGGCGGTGGTGCTGGAGTATCGCTGGCGGCCTCCATATTGCTGTCTTTAGTTCGATGTGGATGTAGTAGGTTGGGATTCGAAGGTTCGAGTGCGTGGAAGTGATATGTTGCTGGGAGGTGGAAGAGGCACGTCTGATATGTGAATGACTGGGTCTGAGCCATGCGGCAAACAACAATAGAGAGAGTGATTGTTGCCCGCTGCTATTGTAGAAACAATAGCGGCATTGAAGCCGTCGTCACATGCGAGTGGGTGGGTCCGCAGCTAGTCGGCGTCGCGGAGGTTCAGTTTAATCGGCTGGCGGCGGCGTGGTAGCAGGGAAAGCTTCAAGAGCTCATGTCAGGTCGTCGGAGGCTCCTTGTATGCATATACCAGTGTCAGTCGAAAAGTGCGTGCGGCGTGTGGCCTGGAGTCGGTGTCTAGGGTTGTGCTTGTCGGGCTGGCTGCAGCTGGAGAGCTCTGCACGGGCCTCCGTCATCTGCAAGTTATCGCGTCTTATCGCCTGCCGATCCCGAACGAAGACCCTTTGCCAAGAAGCGCCTACACCTGGAAGTGCTCAGAACTGGACTGCTCCTATTGAGACGAGATGAACAATACTACCACTCACCGGTGACCTATTTGGCTGCTTATCCTCCCTTCTCCCCAATATATGAGTCAAGCAACAGTGACGTATCCACCTCACTGCTGCGCCGCATCTTTCTCGTCTCGGCAGCGCGACCACGTCAAACTGGCGCATGCATCCTGCATGAGCGGCGTGCACACTTGTGAATGGTGCCTTGCGTAAGCGCATTAAGTGTCTGCTACAGTCTAGGGCCTCTGTACCGTCTACTTCTCCACTTTGGCGAAAGAGGCCGCCACGATGAGTGGGAAGGCAACGGTTGCCTCAGCGTACACCTGCGCAACATACGTCAGAAGATGCAATCTAGCTGGAAGCCTTGGGCACAGAACATACCTTGACGCTTGCAGCATCTGCCTTGATCTTGCCCCAACTCACAGCCTCGTCCGGTCTGGCCCCCGCGTCTGAGCCATCAAACTCTTGGGCCGTGTTGATGTACACGGCGCTCTCCGCGCCATTGCGCATCAGGTTTGCGTTCGCGATGTGGTGCTTCACGATGCCGCCGCCCAGAATGATCATGCCGGTTCGTTTGGCCCGCACTGCGAGGGTGTTGATGCGGCGGATGTCCTCGACAATATCGACACGGAGCTGCAGTGGCGATGCCTTGAACGTATGGAAATACAACATGTCACCCAGGCTGCCATCCGTGAGGGCGGGACAGAACACTGGAATGTCATTCTTGTACGCCCAGTAGTAGACAGAGCGCTCGTCGTTGATCTCCTTGCCCAGTCTTGCGATGATCTTGCTCGGCGTCCAGTTAAGCGGTTCCTCCGAGCCCTTGGTAGCCTCTTGCTCCTCCAGCAGTTTGTCAAGGATTGGCACCAGCCAATCTTCGAATTTGCAGTAATTATCGTTGGGAACAAATAGATTGCCGATCCGGTTCATGCCTTTGGCGCGCAGGGCAGCTCCGGCTGCAGTAAACGACCCCATGTATGTTTCTCCGAGACATTTGATCAAGTCCTCCTCGACACCACCAGCAGTGGTCACAATTGCTGAGACATGCTTATGTTCTACCAACCACCTCAAGGTCTCGCGTAGACCAGATGAGATCAGATTGGAAGTGTAACCGAGGAAGATGGTCGTCTTTTCTCCCGTCTCCGCGTCGCACCAAGTTCTCTGAAAAGAACGCAAAATCAACAATCAGAATCCGAGATGAACAATTGTGGGTGGGTGGGTGATGAGACTCGAGATGAAGAGTGAAGTCAAGAACGCGATAACTTTGTACCTACCATTCCGTTGACTATCTGAGCTGCCTGCCCAATGGAGGAGGCCTGGAACCCGACATTCGTCAGATCTTCCACCAGCTCGGCGACGGTCACATTGCGATCAGCGTATGCATTGAAATCTAGGCCTCGGACGGGCACAGCGCCTTCGGGGACCGGATCCGAGGGCTTGAGGACAGCGCCCGTTGCGCCCGATGGTGCATCGTCACGACTGCCGTGCGTGTTTCCATTGGAGGACATGTCTTGGGGACGCTTTGTTTTCTTTATTAGGAATGAAAGAATTTTGCAGAGAGATTTTGCCATGCTTTGGCACCGAGTAGCCGAATGGCGCATCCATGCTTCGGGTACTGGATAGCGTCCACGGGTAGTGATAGTATGCGCACCGGCCCGGGCCGAAACTCGGAGGCGGACAATCAGCCCTTATCCCTTCCGAGCAAGACCATGGCAGAAATGCACCTGGTATGCTCCTGCTCCCCCGTCGCTGCGCGGTCCTATCAATGAATAAGAAGCCCTAGTAGATGCCGAGAAAGACATATATCCACGCGCTGTCTTATCCTCAAAGCAGCTTCGACTTCTACGCGTTTCTCGTATCACACCGCTGGTAAGTTGAACATGTGCGTAAGTAATCCTCTTGTTCGGGTTGACAAGCTCCAGGACTGATGACAAGCTGATGTATTAGTAGATCGTGTCTCAGAATGTTGGTATCGTATCCCTCAAGCCGCATGTTCACTTATTATTAGCGAAGTGAAAGAGTGGATTCATGGCAGTTTCAATATGTGCCTGCCCGTTCGGATCCACTATCGCCAAGGACCGCAACGCGTGATAAGGTAGTTCGGATTGCCGTTGCCCTGCAAAGTGCAAAGTGGGCGCGTCGCACTGCCCCGGGAATGTGGAGGAGAAGCTCCGCTGTAAAGCGGCTACCTAACACATATCTGGCTTCAAAGCCAATGTCCCTCTATACCAATACCGCGGCTGTTCGCCTTCGGACTGCCAGGAACCCAATGTGTAAATCATAGCATTTGAAAGATCGCCGGTCCGACTGACCACATCCTAGTCCACGCAACTTGAGACAGCGTCATACTGGAGCGGTGTACTATATGGCGATTGCGACGTATCGGCGCTTGGTCCTCCCACCAGGATATTTCGCCATACGTGACTTGGCGTTCTACGCTCAAACATGCCTTAAAAGTATGAAACAGTGCCTTCTGCGCTCACTGGCGTACCGTAGTCCTTCTTGATAGAGCGTCTGAGACCATCCTCATCTGCAGGAAGACCTTAGGGCGACGACGAGCCTCCGCCTACTATGTCTCCTTTAGGGCCCTCGGGCGGCGGCGGTCGAGAGACCGAGACATCCCGCTAGCGGCCCGTTATCAGGTCGATCTAGGGAGCGAGTCCTCGGTAGATGGAGTGCGTGTCCTGCGTTATACAGCGGGACAAGTAGTGCTGTTGGAAGACTGTTGAGCTCGCGTATGTATTCAGGATGAAATTCCGATGGGACTCGGTCATACCGACCACGCAACGTCAGTACGCATTATACGTGCCCTGTCCAGTTGTCTGCGTGCTTACTGCTGGTCAGCGCTTCGCCGGCAGCTCTCCTGAAAGCGTAGGGATTCACGGGTTTACTGAAAGAAGCCGTCCAAGAAGCGTACAGGATTTCATACTCCTCCAAATCTCCTCATATCATGCTCGTTCGACTCCGTGTGAATTTTTTGCGTGAACGACGCCGTATCGTACTCTGGCTCTTTCCGCACCCAGTACGATGTATCGGCGAGCTGGCCAGCTCCGTTGCCAGGCAGCACATCCTCTCCACAGCGGCGAAGGCGTCGCATATCGGCAAAGGCAAAGAGCGGCGGCGAAGACGGCGCGGTCTTGGACAGAGAATCGAATGAAACTTGGGACCGGAGCTCCACGTTTCTGCCGCTGAGCTGTAACAGTGAGGGTTGGGGGCCAAATCACCTCCCGCTCCTAGGCTCCCTCGCACGCTGTGCGCCGACGTCTGCTTGTTGGTGAGATGTCTCTGTTTAAAGACGGGCTAGGCGGTGGTGGGTTTCGGGGATCTGACGACATCGCACAGATGGCAGCGTTATACTTTTTAGATCCTTGGAAGCCAAAGGGCCGGCGCAGCCGCAAGGATGGTGCACGGCACGCTAAGGTAAGGTAGAAGTGGCTGCGAATCTTAGGCTCGCGTCACCCGAGGCGCTCTGCACGTCTGCCAGACTTTACAGGCGCGAGATGCCATGCAGGGATCTCACGGAAGGGCGAAGATGGAATGGGAGCGATGTATCCGGTGGTGATGGCAGTGCTCGACAATGGTCCATCTGACGGTTTTTCATTTTCGGGGGGGGGGGATGAAGCAGAAGCAGACACGATCTCCGTTAGACATATGGGACCGGGACCAGGCGCCGGGCCAGTCCCGGCGCGCAGGTGTGCACTGGGAAGGTGCATGAAGGGAACACTGTGAAATCATGCTGCACGCGCTCTGATTGGCGCTCCGTGTCCGCACTGCCGGCAACCCTAGGTCCTCCCGCGCGGTCCTTGCAGGCCAGTCATCAGTCGTCGGGGCCAGTAGTCGAGAGCCTTGCTTCTGGGAGCAACGAAGGCTCGTCTGCCCTCCAACATCGCTGCCACCACCACCACCACCGCCCTCACCACCGCACCCACGCCGCACCCCGCCAAGCCGACGTCCATTGCAGAGAGCGCCATCCCCTCCGCCACTCGCTGCATTTTCAGCACTTGTCGCCCACCCGCCAGCGACTTCCAGCACCGACGAGCCTTCCCGTGCATCTGCCTCGCCTCCTGCCACTGTGCCTCAGGCGTGCACCACCGACTCACTCACTGTCCCTCCACAGATTCCGCTGGCCCTGCTGGAAGGAGGGCGCCTGCGTTCGTCGTCGCTGCACACGTTTGCGCGAGCGTCGTCTTCAGCTGCTGCTGCTGCTGCTGCCGCTGCCGCTGCCGCTGCTGCTACTGCTGCCGCTGGGCGCTGCGCTCTTCTCCACCTGACACAGCACACAGTTTGAGAGCCGCAGGTCGACGCTAGGGTGCTCGCGCTAGATTACCGCTGACTCGTCTCGCCCGCTGCCGAGACCGCCTTGCACCTCCAACGACACACACCCTGAACACCCACCTCAACTCGGACAACTTCCCAATTTTCACACCCACGACGCCATACATCGCTACATCGCCCGTGGAGCAAGCCTCGTGCTCTGCAGCCTCTTCTCTCCAACATCCTGGCTCTTCTCGGCCGATGAGCCGCTGCCCGGCCTGAGTAAGCATTGAGGGGGCGATTCCCCGGTTTTGTGGCGCTCCTAAAAAAGTGCTCCCGCCCATTGTTTGCTCATGTCGCAGTATCGCGGATCGGGATACAGAGGACCGACTGACAGATCGCGCTCGCCGCGCCGCTTTGGAGACCGACGTCCATCGACCGCCAGTATTTTCGACGGCCGACACTCAGGGCCGGCCCCGTCGCGCAGCGCCTCGGACGCGCCAAGAGGCCCCAGACAATTTGATGCACCACCTGCGCGCGGGCCACCCCCGAGTGGCTTAGGCTCAGCTGCTGCGCCACGAAGCCTGAGAGATGCGCCTCCTCTGGGTGCGGGTGACCGCGGACGACCTTTTCGAGAACGCGATTATCCAGATCGCCGAGAGCGCTCGCCACCGCTGCGCGAGAGATCACCGCTGCGAGAGAGATCGCCGCCTCGGAAATTTAATGAGCCTCGCGACTTTCCTCCTCGAGACATAGACACCAGGACTGCACGGAGATCCTCCCGCGACGGACCGCCTTCTGCTGGTTCCAACTATTCAGACAACCCTGCCTTTGGATCAGCTTCGTCATTTCGAGGTGCTTTCAGCGGCAGAGGACGCGGTCGTGGCGATTCATTCCTTGACAGAGGCGGTGTGCGCGCAGGCAGGCGAGCATTCGATGACCGTTCCGATCGTCCAGATCTCTTCCGACGCGAGCGTAGTCCGCCTGCTAGATACGGTCGAGACCTTTCACGAGATGGAAGGGATCCTGATCGAAGAGATGATAGAAGATACGAGCGACGCGAGGATGACCGTCGACCGGAATGGCTCGACAGAGAGCGTGACCCTGACCGCGAGCGTACTGCGAGGAGAGATCCCCCGCCTGGGCGGCTCGAGTCCAGATTGTCCGCCGAATCTGTTCCAACCGCGAACAACAGTCATCCATCCTCAGTCGCGCCGCCCATCAACCCAGAGCGCTTGGCTATAATCGAAAGTTCAGGTGCTGACACTTCCTTGCGGAGACCAACTTCATCGCAGGCAACGCCATCTTCTGCAAGACGCGATCCTCCGGCAGAAACTCCAGCTTACCTCAATGGGCGTGCTGAGACAACCGCAAACAGGTATGGTTCGCGTGGTTCTTCGCCGCCCACCCAGGCACCACCAGTGCCCGCGTTTAGCTTCTCGGTAGCACCTACCGCTGCCACCAATCAGCCATCACAGGGTGCCAAGAATGAGCCGGAGACGAGACCAAGCGTCGCCGCTGAAGAACCCGTCCCTGAGGTCAGATCTGGTCCTGAGGACAGAACTCGCCCTGAGGACAGGCCCGCCCCACCTGCAAACGCACCAACTGCTCCAAAAGCAGCGCCCTCTGCTCCAAAGGTACATCACGCAAGCCCACCGCCCATGGCTCCAAGAGCGCCCCGTGCACTCGAGGTCGATACTACGATTCCACCGAGTAATCGGCTGCAGGGCGTTAGATCTATGGAGAGCTTGTCAGGTTCGAACCCAGGAGCTAGATCGGAGGCCTTCCCTTCGCATTCAGCCGCAGTGCCAGCCTCGCCGGGCTCTTCACGACAAGCACTGCCACATCTCATTCAGTCTACCTCCCCAAATCCGCCATCGGCGCCACGCTTTGGGGAAATCACAGCTCCTACGGGCCCAAGGGCCACGCATGCTTCTCCTGCGCAAGCATCAGTGTCACCAAGACCCACTTTCGCTTCTCCTCGATCGGACCTAGGATCATTTCAACCACCGCCTCCCTTCGCGAGGGGCCAGACGCCTCCTCCATCTGCTCCCTCTGGTCCACGCAAGCGCTCCTTTAGCGTTTCTCCCAAGGTCTCCAACTCCATCATACCGACCGCTCCGAAGGCTGTTCGGGCTGCACCTCTTGCGCCTAGAGCTGGCGACAGACCTTTACCGACTCAAATTCGGCAGCCAGAGAGGTTAGGAGGTGCACCGCCTTTCGCACCACCATCTGGTCCTCGAGGACTCCAATGGAACCAATGGCGGCGGCCCGGTGCGCCTGTGTATGGTGAGAAGCTTGGTCCGGCTATTCCTGCGAAGAGAGACGCAAATGGCGATGAGAAGGAAAGACAAGCTCAGCTGGCAGGGCCATCTTCTGGACCCGATTATCACGGCCGTGAATCAGACGCACACGTCAAGCATGAGGGACAAGAATCACGACAGCCTTCTGTGTCAGATGTCAGCGCATCGACACGAGATGTGCAAGAGGACAGAATGGATATCGACAGCGAGTCTACTCGACGTAAATCTGGGGCTGCTGATGGCCATTCGGCGAGACAGTCATTCTTTGGTAAGACAATCGAAAAGTCTGAAGACGAGATTGTGTCCAGCAGCGATGAGGATGAACTCGATGAGGAAGAAGACGCTACCCTGTTGGAGGCGAAACACGCGCGCAAAGAAAGAGAGTTGAAGTCACAAATGTTTGACCTTAGCTCACGGAACTATCGCGCCACCTCACCACTCGAATCCATTGCTCGGCTTGCTCGGCTTTCGTTCCAAGATCTGGAGAAGATCAATGCGCAGCGCGATGAGGAAATGGACATGGACGACAATATTACAGTTGAGCCTAGACGCCCTGCCCCGCCAGCTGCACAATCTTCAGAGAGCGACGAGGGTCCGGACATTTCCACGCCGCATGGCGAAGAAAATAAAGCCGTGGCCATTCGAGAGCCCGAAGAGGGATCGGACGGCGTCCGTCGACTGCGAAGACGAAGCCCCGAGCCCATTCGTCTCCCGTATCTCGTGAAGGCAGAGAAGGCGGCACCACTCCATGAGACGCATGAGTTCCAGGACAATCTACAAGTGCTGGAAGAGACCGAGCCGGACATTCTGGAGGCACTGAAAGAAGAGATTGAAGTAGAGAATGAATTGGAGGAGGGCGCAGAAACGAACTTCGAAGATTTGTACCGCCAGTGGCGCGAAGCGTGCGAAGATCTCGATCGAGAGAAAGAAGAACAAGAGAGGTTGGAACGTCAACTTTCCGCTGAACCTGGCCCCGATTTTGAGGTCTCCGCTGCTCTTCCTGGAAACTTAGTGAGTGAAGGAAGAAGACACAAGTTTGCCAGCGAATATGATATTAACATGGTCATAAAGCAGTCTGAGGAGACTGCAAGAATCGAGCAAGAGAAAATGGACCGTGAGGCCAGGAAGAAGGAGGCTGATATGGAAAAGGAGGCGCGGCTGCCAGACCAGCAGACACGGTCCGCCGTCGCTCGCAGCCTTCTCATCGATGAGAACAGACTCAGACATCCGCATTCTCTCACCCTAGTGTTCTCATACGAGCCTCCTGCCAACAACTTCACGGACACTGAGCAGCAGATCTTCATTGCTGCATTCAAGGATACTCCGAAGAAGTGGGGCGAGATTGCATCGCTCTTACCTGGCCGCTCCTACAAGGATTGCATTCACCACTACTACGCTAACAAGTGGGATGGTCGATTCAGAGACAACAGGGCCAAGAAGTTCAAGGGTGGCCGCAGAGGTCGCGGAGGGAAGGCTTCGAGGCCCTCCAGGGGCTCTGCTCTGATGGCGGACCTGAACAGAAGCGAGGATCTTGCCCAGACGACGACCGACTCAGCCAGTGGCAGGCCCAAGCGTGCAGCTGCGCCCACCACCTTTGGTGAGCGCGAAATTGAATCGAAAGGCACTCTTGTTGGGCAATCTCCGGCCAAAAAGCAAGGGCCGGGCTCCAAGGACGAAGCAGGCGGGGAGAAACCTGCTAAAAAGCAGCGACGCACGGGTGAAGTGAAGCCTGGCAGGAAAGGCAAGGCTCAGCTTGCGGCATTGGCTGCTGCGCCTACCGTTCCGACCAATAAGGCACTTGTACCTGGCATGTCGAGCAAAGAGGACCTTGAAAGAGCGCAGAATCTGCAAGATGCGAGCTTGTTAGCAAATCTACAAGGCGGGCAGCCTGGCGCGATTCGTCCCGAGGGACAAATGGTGTTCAGCCAAGAAGGATTCGTGCCGCATCCGGCGGCAGCGGAAGATATCGACCGACCGAAGCAGCCCGCCCAGACGGTGAAGAATTCAGCTTCGAGTTATTGGTCGGTACCCGAGCAAACCGACTTCTTCAAATACATATCACATTTTGGTACTGACTTTGCTGCAATCGCTAGTCACATGGGGACGAAGACGCAGACGATGATTAAGAATCACTTCATGCGTCAAGTTGACGGAGGTCGCTCAGACCTGGAACAGGCGGCAAACATAGCCAACGAGCGCCGCGACCGTGGCGAAGATCCAGGACCGCCTCCCACGCCGACGCCGATCGTGCGAAAGAACGGGCCCAAGGTCGTACCCGACCTCTCTCAATCCAGCGCTCCACGTGCTATTGCTCCTCAGACGACCGAAGCAACCGATGCGGATGAGCCATCAGCAGCTTCTCATCCTCCTATGCCAAAACACTCATCTCCACTTCAGGCGCAGGCGCAGGCGCAGGCGCAGGTGAAATCTCGTTACCCGCCCTCGGCTCAGAGCACGCCCATTCCTGCGCAGCGTGCGGTGCCGAGTCCTCTGCCCACAACAGTCGCAACGCCAGTTGCTACCCCATCTGCCATGCCTGCCATGCCCACGGCGCCCCACAACAAGCACACTGGACACCCGCTGGGTTCGCGTTTGGGCTTTCTGGCAGAGCAACAGCGTCCAGAGTCACGCCCGCCCATACCAACATCGGGTTTCCGCTTTGGCCAGGAGTCAGCGCCCCCTCTATCACGGCCTCAGCCCCAACCAACGCAGATGGTCACCAGAACACCGTCTGGTAATCCTCTAGATCCTGCCTACCTCGCAAGCCTGCAGCAGGAGCAGGAACGAGCAATTAGAATAGCGGGAGCGGAATCCGAAGCTCGTGAAGAGCAGATGCAAGGACGTCAGCCACCGGCGCAGACTCCCCATACGCATGGGTCGCCAAGTAATCACTCGATGGCCACACCGTTTGTGGACCACAAGCCCATTATGGAGGAGCGTAGGCCAACTCCGCCACGCACGGCCTTTGTACCTCAGAGCTCATCTCGTCCATCGATATTTGGTCCATCTGCACCAGCGGCACCTCCTTTGGCAGTCACGCCGCTTTCCTCGTTGCATCACCGCGCACCATATCAGGCATCTCCTCCCAAGCAAGAACCATTGAGGCCTGGCTCAGTCTCCGGACCTGGGCAGGCTCCTTCTCATCAAGGTCCTAGCCCGTTTACATCTGCTCCCGCGCCGCCTCCTGCAGCTACGCCAGCGCCAGAACGCGAGCCCCCGAAGCGATCGAACCTATTGTCTATCCTGAACAACGAAGAGCCGCAGGAGCCAAAGAAAAGAGACAGTCTGCCCTCAGCTCGAGTCGCTTCTCCTGCTCCTTCTGTATTTCCACCAACTTCAACGCCCCAGCCAATTGGGGGCATACCGCCTTCCAGGAGGGAACCTTTCGGCCACCCAACAATGCCTGGACAAACGCCTCTGCAGAGACCGTATCCCTTTGGACAGGGCTCGTCAACTCCCGCGCCGCCACCTGCAACGCTTGGTCACGACCTCTCGTCCGGCAGCGCTTCGTCAATGCAACAACCTCCTAAGCAAGATCTTCATTGGCAGTCGCGCGTTTTTGGCCACGGCAATCAGCCAAGTCCTTCGGCCAACCCTCTCCAAATTGAGAGGGACGGGCGGACTCCAATCTATTCACACCGTAGCACCATGCTTGGTGGCCTTGGCCAGCCCCAGCGCGCAAATCCATCGCCGCCGCCGCATTCTATTCACTCTCGCACCCCGTCAATGACTGCTCAGCAAGCAAGTGTCCCGCCCCCACGAGAACAGCGCTCAATCATGGGAGGACCGCCACCATCCGCGCCAAGTATGCATTCGAATCCCTTCGAAATGCAGGCGCAACACATGCCTCCATTCTCGCAGGCGCCTCAGGCGCAGAATAGGGCACATCATTCCCACAACACTTCACTTGGCGAGAGACCAGGGTACCTTCCGTTTGGACGCAACGGCTCGGCCAGTCGTGAAGAGGCAATGCGACAAGACGAAGCTGCTAGAGCCCAACAGCAGCACCACAGGGATCGGGAGCGCGAAGAGCAAATGCGTTTCGAGGCCATGCATGTTGATCGACAACGCCATGAGCAGCAGATGTATGCGCAGAGGCAGCAGGAGGTGGACATGGAGCGCCGACGGTTGGAAGACCAGGCGTACGCGCATGGCAGACCTGCAGGACATCAACAACCAATGCACCATGGGCCACCTTTCGGGTCCGGCTTTGGAGTCCCGGGTCCTGGTAGACCTCCTTCCATCAGGGAGCAGTCGCTAAGAGAAGCCGAGCTCGTATCGCAGCAGCGGGAACAGGACCAACGCATCCTTCAAGAACGGGAACGAGAAGAGAGACGGCGTAGAGAGCAAATACAGGCACCACTCCCGGGGTATCGAGATGGCCCGGGAGACCCAATGATGCACAGGACGGAAGATTACATATCACGGCGAACGACACCGTATGGTGGGCCGTCATACCCACCTCCACCGAGAAGATGAGCGGTTTGAGGTTTTGGTGTGACCAGAGTTGGATACCCTTTTGTTCATTGGCGTTTTGGTACAGTATGCTTTCAACGCCGATGGTTACCGAGAGAAATAGAGGGAACCGACCGGCTGCTATACTGCATACGGTACTCAAAACTCGTCCGTGAACGACTGCATAACAGTGGCTCACAAGGAAAATAGAGTCTTCACGGGTCAAAACGGTACACCGCTATGCAAGGTGTGAGAAAGCAAAACTGGAGAAAATTTTGTCTTTTCCCCTGTGTTGGGAAATAACCATCCGCGATGAAAACATACTGTACATACTAGTCTCTTGAAGTTCAGCGCATTCTCTTACTTGAAATCTCCATATGCTGCCGCTTCTCACTGAACGCCTCCCCCATGCTTCGATGGCTTTCCCAATGCGTTGATCGCACAAGAGGCATCTCCTCGTTGCTGTCTAAAATCACGCGCCATGCAGCAGACGCCAAGGATATCTGACGAAGAATTTCCACTTGGAGATGCTACATGCTGTAGACATCATGAGCAGCGGTGTAGGCGTGCATTTCAACCTGTGCCAGACATCACGTTGGCTTACCACCGGTATAAGCGTGAATTACAATACCCCCAAACTGTCCTGCAGCACGCTAGTGACATGAAATGCCATTGCTTCCCAACGACTCTCTAGCAGACAGAGTTTTAGTCCAGTCTCGAAATTCTCAGAAGAGAGCTCTCGAAAAAAAAAAATTGCGAAGGTCTCTCTCTATATCATAGCAGTCGAAAATGACATTTTTTCTTTCTTTCTTTCTTTCTTTCTTTTGTTTCTTTCTCTGCATGAAGGTAAAGGTGAAGGTGAAGGTGGGTGGTGGGTGCAGCGGAGCGTCCCACCATTCTTTTTTGCAAACCCAAGAAACCCCTTAGTAAGTAAGGTAAGGTAGTTCGGGTATTGCAATGCAGTGCAGTCGAGAGCGGCATTGGATATGATACGAGTTTCCATTAGCAGCAGTCTTGTGGAAGAATTAGGTTGGAAGGATTCTATTCTGTGTGTTAGTTGATATTTACCCCCACCCCAATACGAGCGAAAGGTATGGTGCATTGATCTTGATATTGATCTTGATCTAGTTTTCGGAACGGAAGGGAGGTGCTATTGAATCGTGATCGTGGGTCTTTGGATTGTTCTACTGTACCTTAGCGTGGTGAGGATGTGATGTCATTTGACATGTGAAGGTGTTTCTGAGGGGAGGTGAGGTGAGGTGAGGTTCGCGGTTGGAGATTATCTAGGTGAGAAAGAGGGAGAGAGAGAGAGAGAGAGGGCGCGCGGAAAAGCTCACATGCTATTGCTATTATCGCGTAGTCAAGAGAGATATATAACCTTCCTTCCTTTCTTTCTTCCTCTTTCTTTCTTCCTCTTTCTTTCTTTCTCTTCACTCTCCACTCCCTCCAACCAACCAACCAACCAACCAACCAACCAACAAACAACTCCGACCGACCGACCGACCATCAACACAACCACACCACACCACACCACATCACAAACCACGATGCCTATCACGTGGAATTCAGAAAACGAGGCCAAGGTAAACCCATACATTTCAACCCCCCGGCGACCCCAGCCCCCTTTTCATCCATCCATCCATCCCTCCAACAAGCAAGCAAGCAAAACCCGCTAACAACAACACCACCTACCTCTTTCACAGTTGCTCGCGGCCATCTTCCAAGTCTGCAACGTCCAAGTCACCGAGCCGCAGAAAGCGGAAGCCGCGCGCATCATGGGACAGGGTGAGTATCCATGCCGCCCCCCCCCCCTTTTTTCCCTAATCCACCAAGGTACGAATTAACCTGCTGAAATTGTATGTGCTAGGATGCACCGCCAAAGCCATCTCCCATCGGATCCAGAAGATCAAGAAAGGCGCGAACCTCGACGGCAGCGGCAGCGGCGGAGGAGACGTCGGGACTCCAATTCCAGCGGCGAAGCGTGTGAAGACGGGCAAGGGTAAGAAGGCAGCCGCTAGTATTCCTCGCGTCGACGACGATGATGATGATGACGAGGAGGAGGAGGAGATGTTTGGCGGCGCGTCCGGAAACCCCAAAGGTAAGAAGCGCAGCGCGGGAGGAAGAGTCAAGTCGGAGCCAAGAGAGGATGACGATTACGGCATTCGGGTCGGGGAGGATGTTGGGGAGGGATTGCGAGCTAGTTC